GCCTCCCACAGCCGGACTGTCTCGTCCCCAGATGCCGACGCGACCAGCTGCCCGTCTGGCGAGAAGGCCACCGCCGTGACATAGGAGGAATGGCCCTCCAGCGTGCTGCGACAGGCGTCCCAATCCGCTTTCCTCTTCGACAGCATCTCAACCCACTGTGGCACTTGTTCCGCAAAGGTCCGCCGTATCAGACTCGTCTCCGGCGCAAACACAAGTGCGGAGCAATAGATCTGCAGTGGAGCATTTGCGAGTATAAATTGAAACCGCAGTATAAATCGCTTGGCATCATGAAGAAAGCTTAAAAAATTGCTTGCGGATAACTGCGTTGCACATTAGCACAGCAATAAGAATTTTTTTATAAAGATTTTACCCCTGCAAGTGCCTGAAGGCTGTCGAGCAAGAGAACACATCTGCTCGACTCTCTCATGAGACTCATCGCTTCGAGCCAATGGAGGAGGTGCTTCTGGAGAAAAAGGTGTGTCGTGTCTCTGTCGATGATGTCTTGCTCACTCTGCTTGAGATGACTAACCCAGTAACGACACGCGTACTGCAGTTCAGGTAGCAGACTGCTAGCAACTGTCCCCTCGTCGATCTCGCTCCTTAAAACCCCAAGCCCTAAGAGTCCGCACATGTCCTGATGTAGGCCGCTTGGTTTAGACATAAGTTCAAGGCAGCAAGATGCGAGCTTCTTGTGTGTGCTTTTCTCGTTCACCCAGAACGGGCTTTTTCCCTGTTTTTGAGGGTCGACGAGGAACTCGCGAAAGGACAAATGCAGGAGTCTAATAGGAACGTCCTCGCTGTTGGGAACGCTAAGAACAGAGTGCAAAGAGTCTAGCCGACACTTAACCTCCTCTTGTGGAACTTGAAGAAGGCATGCAAGTGAAGTAATAGAAAGCGGACTCTCTAGAACAACAATACTGCCTACAAGTCGTCGGAACGCGTGAAGCCACGTTTCCTTCTCGTCTTCCTCCTGCTCAACGAGCAGCTGATCTAGAACAGGGAGGTAGGTCCGCTCTAACTGTGAAAAGGTCGACTTTTGATACTCTAGAACCTTGTTCAAGTACTCCTTAGGATTGCTTCCTTTTGTGCCAACATATCGGCACACGGTAGCAGCATAGATGAATAGCGGCACAGCTAGCTCAACTAGGGCCAGAATCTGGTGTGTTGCTGGCCAGTCTGAGGACAGCATGCGCGCCTCTTGTATTGTACCGAGCTCATGCTCCAGGAAGAGACGTATGTCGTGTTCAATTGTGCTCCTTGGTACTTCGTGGAGGACTAGGTCTTGGTATGTGCCGTTCGGCATCTCCTTGAAGCCAAGGCGAATGTGGAGCTCTGGCCTGCTAGTTACTACGATTCGTAATGGCAGCGGCTGGATGTCCTTTGTCCGAGCAAGCAGCTGAATGATCGCTCGAATGTCTTGCTCTTGCTCACATTCATCTAGCGCGTCTATCACCACAACACGCGCCAAGGCCTGCGCACAAGCCCGCTTTATCCCTAAAAGTGGCTGCAGGATCAGCTTCTCGAACTGGTTTTTTAGAGCTCTGTCCGAGATAGCAGGGTCCTCGTTAAGCGCCCTCCTTATACCAGGTAGCATGCCTGGCTCACAGGCCACCAAGTCGTTAGCGATGGTGGTGAAGAACCGTGAGGCGTTGCCGCGCTCGCCCTCGCCTTTCTTGAAGAAGAAGCTTGCTCCTAGCTGACTGTGGCTGGCAAATGACTCGGCAATCGTCCGCGCAATCGTAGACTTTCCCGTGCCAGCCATGCCGCTCAGCCAGAATATAGACTTGCCCTCCTTGTCGTTCGCCCAATTTGTGATGTCGTGCAACAGCGCGGTGCGGGTGTTCACTAGGCATCGTGCGTTGTGTTCTTCGGTGTGGGAGTTATAGGAAGCGCTTGTTGCGATTGGCAAGTTGATGGAGTGGTGCTCTCGAATCTCTTTCCGCAGTCGAGATAAGGCCTTCTGCCGCCCTTCTCCGTAAAGGAGCGGCATGTGCACATCGAAAATGCCTAGAAGCGAGTACGCTGCGTCTTCCTCGCGCTTCGTGTTGCGTCTTTGTGCCCACAACATCCGTTCCTCCACAGTAAAAGAAGCCATCGGGCTTCCTTCAAGGGCTTGCACAGCAATTCCAGTGATATCATGGAGAGTCTGCATTAAAGACTGCTTATCCCCAAGCCGCTCTCCCTCTTTAGAGAAAAACTCAACTGATGCTGGAGCAATAAGCTCTTGAAGCGTCCAGCCTCGAGTAAACCATCTGCTCTTCCTAATTGCTGGTTTCCGCCTCCGGTGCGCGTCGCTATCTTCTTCGGATGCTCTGCTGGAAACGTCGGAAAGATAAACGTAGCATCTCGTTGCATTCTTATACCAGCGAAACATGGAGATTATCGCTTCCGAAAGCTCTGAGTTGTTTGACTTGTCGATACAGCAGGTGTCTACCCAGAAGTGATTCAGACCATCACGCTTAGCCTGTTGTGCACAGAACCAGATCTTCTTGTATCCCGTCTTGCTCTTTCCGCTTTTCTTCATCATATCATTAAAGGTCACTTCTTGATCCTTTTCCCACGTATGAGAGAGTATCGCATAGGGGGGGACCTCATCGTCGCCGGTCAAGTCCTTCGTCCAGCTAAGCTCGCCGCTCGTGTAGTATAATAGTCGCATCGCGTCGTGGACAAGGCCCGTACAGGCTAATGATAGCGGTAGAAGGATCGATGGTGCACGACGGCTTGCCTGCTCGCTAGGGACAACGGTCGTTGCTGGTGGGGGTGAGGTTGTCGCGAGTATGGACGGACAGAGTACCTTGACTTGCGTGTGAGGATTAAATCTACCTTAGCAGCCGTGTAGAAGGTTGGTGATCACGGTAGGCTGTATCGTGGGTACATAGTGAAAGATGTAGCCTAGATTGTGAATAAGTAAGGCTGCGGCGTGCAGAGCTGAGGGAACTTAATCGCCAGCGAAACAGCCTGCATGCTTCAGCCACACCAACAGATATGCGAATACCTCTCGCTTTGCTCATTAAGACGCGACAATAAGATATGGACCGCACCTGGCTGGCTCGGTCCATATTAGCGAATGTGGTGATGGGGATGGGATAGGAACGAGTAGCTCGATGCAGCAATGAGCGCGCATGACCCGTGGCTCCGGAAATAGCCAGCACGTGACAGCTATAGAAGCTTCGAAAACAACGCCACACCTTGGTCTTTTCAGCATAATGTAGAATACAATACAACACCAACGTAAGCGCACTTAGTCTCCTCTGCCAAGACACATTACCCACTTCTTCACCCGGAGCAACTCGGAGTGCATACTTTCTAGGGCTAAGTGTCCTTAAAGCTTGAGGCAACTTTCTTTATTGATGAAACTGTTGTCCAAATACGCCGAAGTCGGAAAATATATAGATGGCTGCAGCGGAGGGATGCAAAGCTAAAGTGGTTTTGAATGCTGTGAATGGAACAATCGACAGTATAACTAACACTGACGTATTTTTCTCGCTGCAGACTGGATTACGAAGGGTAAATGTCCAAAGAACAATGATATTCTAACCGTGGCTTTAAATATTCATGAGCGAGCGACTTGAGATGCTTACACAATAGATGCGTCTCGGCACGGGGAGTGTCTCGGCACGCAGGGAGGGACGTTAGATAAATTACAGTAGCCTGTCCAATCAATAATTCCTACATTCTGATTGGCTGCAGAGCGTCACCGTTATCGGATCTCCTAAAGTATTCGGCCCCTCCAAAACTTTCTGGAGCTTGACTCAGAAACAACAACCTCAACATGGTTCAAAGAAAATCGCCTTTCGACTTGTCCCGGTGTGCGCGACCGAATATATTGGCTTTGGAACCATATCGCTGTGCTCGAGAGTAAGTACTCCGTCAATTGGCCTTGGAATGCTCGCAATTGACTCCAAGCTGATGAGGCAGTGACTACAAAGACGACGGCACCAACATCCTCCTCGACGCCAACGAGAACGCGTATGGGCCCGGATTAGCGCTCGATGGGCGCGGGAAGCTCCCTGGTAGCGCAGAAAATGGCGACAGAGGCGGATTGGACGTGGATCTGCTTGGACTGAACAGATACCCGGACCCGTAATACACTCCCTCAACTCCCTATATCAAGACTAACAAGTCCAAAGCCACCAAGCCGACCTCAAACAGCTCCTATGTAACCTCCGAAACACCCACACCCACACGTCCAAAACCCTCACCCCAGCCAACCTCTTCGTCGGCGTCGGCTCCGACGAAGCCATCGACGCCCTCCTCCGCTGCTTCTGCGTCCCCAGCAAAGACAAGATCCTCACCTGCCCGCCCACCTACGGCATGTACGGCGTCTCCGCGCAAGTCAACGACATCGCGCTCGTCAAAGTGCCCCTCCGCACCCCCGGCTTCGCCCTCGACGTGCCCGCCATCAGCGCCGCGCTCGCCGCCGACCCGTCCATAAAACTCGCATACCTCTGCTCCCCGGGCAACCCGACCGGCTCGCTGCTCTCCAAAGCCGACGTCCAGCGCCTCCTCGAGCACGAGACCTGGAACGGCGTCGTCGTGCTCGACGAGGCCTACATCGACTTCGCGCCCGAGGGGTCCAGTCTCGCGGAATGGGTGACGGAGTGGCCGAACCTGGTCGTCATGCAGACGCTGTCGAAGGCGTTTGGGCTCGCGGGGATCAGGCTCGGTGCGGCGTTCACGTCGCCCGAGATTGCGCGGCTGCTGAATTCGCTGAAGGCGCCGTATAATATCTCGAATCCGACGTCGCAGCTTGCACGGGCGGCGCTGGGTGGGAGGCATTTGGCGGTTATGCGCGAGAATCGCGGGTTGATCATTAGGCAGAGGGATAGGTTGCTTGAGGAGCTACCGCGTGTGCCGGGGATTGGGCAGTTTCTGGGTGGTGCGGAGTCGAACTTTTTGCTGGTGGAGATGTTGGATAGGCCGAAAGAGGAGGGTGGAAAGCCGAGTAATGAGGTGGCGTTGCGGGTTTATGAGAGTTTGGCAGAAGACAGAGGTGTGGTGGTCAGGTTTAGGGGTAGAGAAGTGGGGTGTCTAGGTTGTTTGCGCATAACGGTAGGTACGGAGAAAGAGGTGGACAGATTTTTGGTAGAGATCAAAGCGGTGTTGCAGGGAATATACTCGAGTGCGAATAGCAAGACAGAGAAAGAAGAGCAGAGGAGGGAGGTGGCAGCGAATGACATCGTAGCCTGAAAAATCGTCCCTCTCCATCAGCGTTCAAGAAGTCAAGGTTTCTATAGAATTCGGTTGATTCAAATACCTTGCACGATCTACAAGAAAAAAGCCTCTGAACTTCTCAAGAATCTACTCGATGAATACAAGCCTCTCTCTGTACACTCCCTTCCCGCACGTTTCTCACAACACCTAAGAATTATCCCAATTTCTCCCACATTCCAAAACCACTACACCTCCTTCCACACTACGCTCTACGCACAAACTCCCAATCCCCAAGCCCATCCCCCTTCCCTTTCCCCCTCAGCACCTCCGCCGGCGGCGGCGGCAGCTCCTGAGGTTTCACAACCTCCCACTCTGCTTCATCTAATACCCCCTCCTCATCAACGTTCGCGTCACTACCCTCTAAGCTTGAGCAGCTCTCTCCCAACTCGCTCGCAGCCGTCGAAGACGCGGTGAGGTTTTCGCCGTCTTCGTCCCCATCCTCAATCGCTTCCTCAGCTGCCAAATGCGCCACTGTCTCGATGATCGGCGCAGGGAGCGCTGGTGAGGGTTCTTGAGGGCCCGACACTGCTGGTAGTGGCTCTTGCGGCGGTGCCTTCTCGATAATCGGCGCTGGGGCGGCTGGTGCGGGTTCTTGAGGGCCAGACGCTGTTGGTAGCGGCGCTTGCGGCGGCACCGTTGCGATAATCGGCACCAGGGTGGCTGGTGCGGGTTCTTGAGGGCTCGACGCTGCTGCCAGCGGCTCTTGCGGCGGCACCGGGCCCGCTGTACCCGTTGCAGGAGCTGAGTTCATGTGCTCTGCCCATTCCGTTGGTCCCCGGGCCTTTAGCTTTGCGAAGGCGGTCGGGAGGTCCTCGATTGAGGACGCGGAGAGCTCGGCTGGTAGCTGAGGCTGGGGCGGTGCATGGGGTTGAGCATGGGGTTGAGTCTGAGTCTGTAATTGAGCTTGAGGTCGAGTCTGAGTCCGAGCTGTGGGTTTAGTTGTAGACGATATCCCGTCCACGGCGGCGGAAAGCTGGGCGAGTGTTTTCGCGAATTCGACTCTGTTCTGGGAGCTAAAAAGAGGGCTTCTAGGCGCTGTCACTGGCGAGGCTGCTCGCTCGCCCTCGGGGCCCAGCCCCTCGAAGTATCGGTAAGGATTTGCCAGAATGCTTGGCGCTTGCAAATGCGCACCTGAAGCGATACTTTCGAGGGTAACCGGGTTCCTTTGCGCAGGAGGTTGGGCGCTGGGTTGGGCGGCCCAGAGTCTGCGAGAGTTCGATTGCACTGCCTGCGCTTTGGTCATGGCAGCGGGTGCCTGGGGGAGCTTGTCACAGTTTGGGCAAAGGCGCATTGTCGGATTGAGGACGATGTCTGGGAGATGGTGGAAGAAGGGCCTGCCTTGTTTTCGAAGATCTGCACCCTTGGGGCATAGTTCGATGTGGATGGGTTTCGAGTTCCCGCATCGGCAGTGTTCGCGGTATTCTTTACACATTGTGGGATATCGGAGAATATGTGTGATTATATGGAAGGATCCTGCCCTTGGGCTGTGGTTCTTGGTTCTGAGAATAAGGAAGTGTTGGGAGATTGCGGCTGAGATAGTAGCTGCAGTGTGCTCGTAATGAGGGAATGGAATAAGAGGTAGAGACTGAGGTTTATAATGTTAGGTCAGTAGAAATTCTTAAAGGTTGGTGACCGTGGAAAGCCACGCAGCGAGGCTGCTGGCTAAAAGCCTGCCGGCGAAGTAGTGAAGGCTCGCGCCGTACGTGCTCGCTTCTATAGGCGTACAACTCATCGATGTTAGTGAATTATGGTAGAAGTGAAGAGAGGACTAGTTCATCGGGCGTTTGACACTTATATACAGCTAGATCTGAGCGTCTGCGTTATTTCGCTGTGCTATGACACGGAGTGACTCAAGTCGTGGTGGCCGACGCGTCGCTGAGCAAACGCTTACAAGAATGACTGGTATGCTGCTATATTTTAGTAGCTACGTGGTAGTCTCAGAACCTTCTCGCCCACGTAATTCATTATCATTTCCTAGATCACGTGAGCGTTGAATTCACTTGCTGTGGTTCTTGGAGGACTTACTCTGCTGACGGGCGCTATTCGTGGCACGAAGCATTCTCGTAGGTAACGTTCGACGTGGTATTCTTGGGCATATCCCATGCCTCCGAGTGTCAGTACCTTTCATAGGTTAGCAGCTGCGTAAAAATCGGGGTGCTAGGTAATCTCAGGCTTACGGCCCGTTCGCAGGCCGTAAATGCCGCCTCAGCTGCTAGATATTTGGCGGAGTTGCAGGCCACCCCAACAGCATGCGGTGTAATAGTCGAGTCTTTGCCACTGGCATCATAAAGTCGTGCAGCATGGTACGTGGCCAGTTTCGCCGCTTCGAGATTCATGAAAGCCGCAGCGAGTGGATGTTGGATGCCTTGATTCTGTCCAATGGCTCTTCCAAATACCACTCGATCTCTCGCATAGTCCGATGCCTTCTTTAGAGCAGCGTATCCAAGACCTAGAGCTTCTCCTGCGAGGAGACATCGTTCCGCATTCATTCCGTGCAGTACCTGCCCTGATATCAGTCTTGACGCTTGAGACAGACTTTGATGAAGCACTCACGATCTTGAAGCCTTGTCCTTCTTGCCCAATCAAAGTATCCGCAGGAACGCGGTAGTTGTCGAAGAATACCTCGTTGGCATCGATGGCTCTTCCACCCATCTTGTTGATCTTCTTGAGCTCTAGTCCGGGTGCGCTCTTATCAAAATCGATGAAGAAGAGCGAAAGGCCTTCTGATGGCTTCTTCACATCTTCGAGAGGCGTAGTTCTGGCTAAGAGAACCATTTTCGAGGCAACCTGCGCCGATGATATCCAGCTGACACTCTTAGCTTGAAAAACTTGATAGAAAAAATGTTGCTAACATCTTCTGACCACTGATGTCATAATGGTCTCCGTCCTTAGTAGCCAAGGTGCGAAGCTTGAGAGTCTCCAAGCCGGTATTTGGTTCGGTGCTGTACCAAGTCAGCCGTCAACTAGATGCTCATGTCGGAATTTTGCAGTACACTCCAAAGCATGCCCTCCATTCTCCTCCAATCAGCTTCGGTAGCATCTTATGCATCTGTTCCGGAGTTGCAAATTTAGCGACAGGCTTAAAATGTTAGAAAGTCTCAAAATGGGGATAACAGCAGTTGGACTGATACCCACTTGCGTTGCATACACATTAGCGTGAATAGACTGCGCACCCGCAATCCCAGCACCGCTTCTAGTGCAAGTAAGTACGTGATTTTGTCGACGCCTACTCTTCCAGGCTTACTCCGATATGGTGTGCAACATCATTGTTGCCTCTGAGATTCCTAGACCGGCACCTCCGAGCTCCTCTGGCAAGGCAATACCAATCCATCGATCCTTGGACAGCGCAGCATGTAGCTCATGAGGGTACTCGCCTGACTCATCATGGTTTGCCCAGTATTCCTGCACGTGTCAATTATTGAATTGACTTCGTCAAGGATCGTATGGCCACACATCAGGGAAATTTGCGCAGATCTTCTCAACTGCTTCCCGAACCATTAACTGATCTTCTGAGAATCCAGACATTTCCATAAGGTGAGGACGCGGGGAGACAGAAAAAAATCTTGAACGCGTGCGACAGGTAGGAGTGCCATTTTGATGCAATGGAAGTGGAGGAGTTCGACGAAAGAAAGGACGAGAAAGTCTAGATATCATGGTGATTGTGTGATTGTTCTGAAGCGCATCACGCAAACAAGACAGCGCGTCGAATGAGTCTACATTGGCAATTGACTCTTCAGCGATGGGATCTTCACGATGGTGGTCGTCATCCTCGGCTTTTAGATGCGGAGATATTTGTAGCTATCTGAATGCGGTCTAGCCTGAGTTCTTACCACTACCGTCGCCTCTCCTTTTCAACAAACACCATGGACATTTCGAACTCGTGTCTAGGTTCCACCACGAATTTGTCTCTAGGTTCTCGATCCCGACATAATTCAAGCCCCAATGCCTCACATTATTGAGGCTTTGCCTATCGATATTTAGCGCACGGGAATTCCAAGACCCCCTAAAGCCCAACGCGTCCCGCGGGCCCGTCCCGTCGCTCGAGACGCTTGGTGGCGCTTCGAGGCAGCTGAACATCCACGGATCAGGGCTCCCACTGCCAGATTCAGCAACGCAGCCAGCCACATGGTCCAGAATGCAAGCCAAAGACGAGGCTATCACACCTGTCACGCCTCAACCGGCCGTTCCCCGTCACTAACATCCTGAAGCTGGGCTTCCCGCCCCAGGCTTCCAATCCAGACTCTTTCTTCAATCCCAGACGCGTTCTTGCCCCTGTACCTTGCAGATGTAACAGCCACACCTGGGCCGGACCGCCTTTGGCGTCGTCTATCATAGCATGTTTTGGCGCAAGCCAGCTTCGGCATGCCCACGAGGCAGCCACACCTATCTGCAGGAACGCAGCATGCTTTGCCAAATATCCACTTCGTTCATCAAGGGCCTGTAGATACACCTCCTTTGTGTCTCGGATCAGCTAATCCTGAGGGTACTACGTGGGAGAAGAAAGGGCACGGGTTTAACAAACGACGCCATAGCGTGAGGCCATGCACTTGTCGCTTCACGACACATAGTCGTGGGTAGATCTTTTCCATCGTCATGTTCACTCCAATTCATTGTTTTCCTCTGCCAAATGGCGTTCATGGGTTTGCTTTAGGGTATTGTTTATCAAATGGGCTCGACCAGTCCGACAGAGTCGAGATCTTTACATCCCCTGGTCTCATGTACTCTCGGTTATATTGATCATCTACCCCCATGCCCGTCTCCGCACGTTGTTCCTGGTGTAGCTGCCTCGTTGATCCATGCACAAACTGGCGTCTCGGGAGTACCGAACGTGTGGCTGTGGCATCCCCGGTCTATCTGGAGATTCTAACACCCTCTTGGTTCTAAGGCGCAAAGTCTATATCGGATTGGGTACGTGGCTTCTCTCCTTCGCCTGATGGCGGCATCAGTATTGCATCCCCCTGCAGTCTGCGTCGTCTAGAACCGTCTCAGAAATCATGCGCTTATGGCTGTTCATTTTCGGTTTCCCCGCTGGCAAGATTATGGGAAAGTATAAAGTATGATGCCTAGCCACCATGGAAATGTATTCGGTACATTGCATGGGCCGTGTGGTAGCACACCCTACACTCGTTATCAACCTCTTCCTTTGCTGCTTCCCTTTGAGCTCTCCGCATGCTTGGTCTTCGAACGCCCAGATGTAGGGAACTCTACTTATTATTCATCTTCCCGATCTTCATTGTTTCTGACCTCTCTCAGTTTCCTTAGTATCTGACACGCCTTCCAGTAATACAATGGCCAAACCCACCAACGCCTCAGCTGCGGAAGACGCTCCCCCAAAGACTCCCACAACTAATGGAAAGCCGAAGACCAATGGGTCTGACTTGAAAAGAATCTCATCCAATGGTACTCAATCGAGCGTTTCGCCTACTGGGTCTCCTACCTTTCGCATGGGTAAAGTCAGTGTTCTGAGAGAAAGCATGATCAAGACGTCCACTATGCTTCGAACCCGGCTTGGCGGGTCTTCAAATGTTATGTTCGAAAGCAGCCAAACTGCAGAAGATTTCATGGAAGCATTGGAGAATGAGAGACTTCGCCATATGCCCCACGACGGAAGCAAATGGGATGCCGTGCTTCGATGGGCTGAAAGCATTGGGGGACATGTCTTGGTGTTCCATGAAGCCGTTCAAGATTTCATGATGCAAAGCGAAGATGCGACACGCTTGATATGGGGTAGCTGTCTTTCCCTACTGCAGGTAAGTGGCAGTGCAGTCTTTCTCTTGACGTTAGCTAATGAGTGCAGATGGGACCTGGTCAAATCGCCGTTTTGACCAAAGCATTCAGCGTATTTCATAAGATGACGCTTTCCTTGTCTATTTTTCTACGGCAAAGACATCTTCTTGGGACCACTTCGGAAAGTCGACGCGAGCTTGCTCATGCTTATTCTGAGTTCATGCAGTTGACGTGCGCTGTCAACGCCCATTACCGAAGCAAAGGCTCAAGTATGTTTTGTTTCGCGCTTATGTCCCAGCAGTCCATTTGACTAATAATTAAATAGGCAGCCGCTTGGACGGTGCAGGATTCGATGAGCAGTTTGGAGAGAGCATCTCTGCATTTTACCATCACCTCCACCTCATCTCCGACTCGATGTGGAAAGATGAAATCGCAGGTTCGCGCTTCAGACATTCGAACCTAAGCATAGAAACACTGCGAGAGTTCCTGAAGCCACAAGATCGAGTGGTGCAAATGATGTTGTCCAACCAGACGTCTTCTGGCGTTGAACGAGCGGAATTCACTTGCGAGTGGTTCGGCGGGCACCTCAGAAGTTTCACGCGGAACAAAAACAAGGTGCTCCTAGTCACTGGAGCTCCTTGCAGCGGCAAAACGGTGTTGTCTCATTGGATCTCTGACAGTCTGCAGGGTTCTTTGGATAATGATCCCTACGATGTCATATCGTATTTCGTTGGTGAGTGATGGCTTAGTATTTGCATTAGTGGGACTTCTACTAACACTACCACAGATTCAAGCGCAAACCATATCACGAGTCCTTTGAGCCTCGTCAAATCACTAGTTCTCCAAATGCTCGATAGGAAGATCGGAGATCAGGAATTCATCTTCAAGGTCCGCGACGCGCTCGACCATGCGAAAAGAGGCACACCTGCGTCTACTATCGAGGAGACACTCTGGTCGGCACTCGACCTTGCCTTGGACAATGACAAGATCATTATTCTCATCGACGGCCTCGACCAGATCTCGGGAGCCAGGATCGGAAACCCTGCTATTTTAGAGAGAATACACCGAATCACCTCCGCGAAGGATCGAACTCGGGTCAAATCTATCATCCTCAGCAGACCATTAAGCAAGGCGGCGTCTCAGCTTACCCAACATATCTCGATCGAAGAGCAGCATATAGCTGATGATATTCGTCTCTTTATTGAGCAGTGTATCACTTCAAGGCCCCAGTTCCGCTCTATGAAAGAGAAAGACCGACGTCCAATCATCCAGAAACTATCGGAGGGCTCTAACGGCTCCTTTCTTTGGGCAAGCCTAGTTTTTCAATCTATCAAGCATGAAAAGACTATATCTTCAATCCTCAGTCTCTTGGAGCGCGCACCTAAAACTGTCGATGAAGCGTTGGATCGCCAGATTGCTCGTTTGGATGCCGCAAACCCTGAAACGAAACAGATTCTGTCCTGGATATTGGCGAGTGAACGCCCATTGACAACTGAAGAGGTTCAGGCACTTCTGGAAATTGATTTGGATCAATGCTCCCATTCGCCACGATTCACCGAAATTGCGCAGGACATTCGCCACGCGTGTGGGCCTCTTGTCACAATCCGGGATGGTTTGGTATTGCTCCGTCACCCAAGTATTCGGGAGCACGTTCTCACTTCCGCATCAATATCGAACAAAATTGACCTCAAGGAGGCACATCATGATCTCACCATTCGCTCCCTAGCTTACGCCAAGATTCACTTGCACGACGACGTGGAGCCACGGTTCGGACGGATGACGACCAGCGAGATCGTCGAGATATTCTTCAAGTATCCGCTTCTTGAGTACTCAGCAAGATACTGGACCAGCCATTTCCGTTCTTCGTCGCTGTATGAATCGAATGGAAAACATAAGCTCTCTTCTTCATTCAAAGCATGCCTTTCCGGGTCCACATACTTCGCTCTTGTCGAGGGCACCTGTGTCTATCGCCAACACATCGCTTGTGAATCAGAGAAGTACCAGTCTTTATCCTACCATCTACGAAGAACAGTCTTTGGCGAAAGGTCTGCTGTCGTTCTGCAAAGCTTGATTCTCCAAGTCCGCATTTGCCAAGGTCTAGAAAAGTCACAAATCAGCGAATACTCTTACGAAGCTTGGAAGATAAGCCGCGCGATCTGTCATGGCTCTATTGTCATTCGAGCTTGTGCGGAGGCCTTTGTCCAGTGTACCCTCTCGATCAAGATCACAACACGGTCCGAGATCTGCATCAGGAAGGAGGAGATCCTTTTGTATCTTGTGGAAACATACAAACACACCTATGGCGCTTCCCACGAACTCACCATCAAGTACACGACAATGCTAGCGGAGTTCTATGTTTCCATCAAGGAGATTGATAGAGCAGTTGTCTTGTATCGGGAGCTATATGAAATCCGTATTGAGATCTACGGCCATTTCCACGCCGAGACTACGGAGATTTTCGATATCCTCATTTCGCAGTTGAGGGTCCTCAAGAAGTTTGAAGTGATCCTCGAACTCACAGTTCAGTATTACGAATATGTTTCCCGAACGCTGACTATTACGGATTCGCGCCGCATCGAATGTACGCTGAAACTCATTCGCATGTACGAGGAGCGAAAAGAGGTCAGCAAAGCCGAAGAAATTCTCGTCACTTTCTGGAGGAGCATCACCACCGAGACTTCTACATCGGTCACTTCGCGCGAGACGAAAATCGACATATCCTTGGAGTATTCGAGATTCCTATGCCGACACTCACGGAAAGAGGAATCAGAGGTCATCCTTCGTGGCGCGTGGACGGAGGTTGAGTCTTACAGCGAGGAAGTCCGATCCGAAACAACCATCATCAAGCGCATCCGCATTATCGCTGAAGAGTTCAAAGTTTTGAAAGTGTTCTCCATGGCTCGTTCGATTTTCAGTTCCCTCTGGAGCTACTACAAGAGAACCGAGCAACAAACCTGCACCGAGGCCGTATCAGTGGCAACATCACTCGCGGAAACAGTGACAGAAACAATCTCGTCATCTACAAGTTCCACTTCCACGAGTTCCAGTAGCTCGAGCAGCTCGACCACGACGACAATTTCAGAGAGTACGACGTCCACGCTTTCTATCGAAGAAGAGCATACTCTTCTAGAAGTTTTCGAGTCTTCCATGTCATCTTCGTCAACTTCCATCTCTTCATCGACGCTCAAAACCTGCGTGGCCCTCTCGTCAAGTTATCTAAAGGAAGAGCGCTATTCCGAAGCTTGTGCGATATTCGTCAAAACCATCAGCCATGCTTGGTCTTCCGTCGAAAGTAGTGAATCAAAGACTATCGAGATCACTGAATCATCCGAAATTATCGACGTCGCCATGAGTTTAGCAGAATGTCGATTCAAGATGTTGCACGTTGAGGCCGCGGAGATCATCTACTGGAACGTCTTCGAAAGTCTCATTTGCAGCCGCAAATGCCATCACGACATCCTGATCAGAAATGTCAAAACCATCATCAAGTTCTTTGAGAAGACCTACCGCTATCAAAAGGTCCTCGCAATATACGACCGTCTTTATGTCTACTTGCAAGGATCAGTAGGCAAATCACACGCTTCAACCATTGAGATCCTCTACGCCTACGGAGCTATCGCTAAACGTATGTGCCGCCGCAAGGAGATCGAGGTCGCCTACTTCCAAATCTACTCAGCGTCCTCGATCGAGCACGGGTGTTTGCATGCCGACGGAGTCAAAGCTGCTCTACTCCTTTGCGAAATCTACGAAGAGTCTCAGCAGTGGGGATCTGCGCAACCCGTATACGCTTGCTTGTGGGCAACCTTCTTGAAGCATGGCGTTACGTATCACCTTGGCGCTGACTTCGTCGAGAAGATTTACTCCAAGTACATGCACATTTTGGAACACCGGACCAAGACAGAATACACCGTCATTCGCGAGCTAGCTATACAGTACCGGAAGACTTGTATTAGCTTCTACGGAAGCTATAGCGAATTGACGGTCAAGTCGACAATTCATCTCGCTGAGATCTGCGAGCGAAGAGAGGAGTACCATGAAGAGTCGATGTCTCTTTACGAAGAGGTGATAAAGCACGGCGAAAAGATAACCAAATCAACATTTTCCAGCACTTCTATAAGCTCTACGAGCTCCACGGCTTCAACAACTTCGACTACCACGGTCAGCAAGTCCACGCAATCAATCCTGCAGATCGTGAAGCAGCGACTTGCTTCGCTCTACTCGACGAAAACGACCACGGTATCGAAGGCCGTCTCCCTGTATCGCGAGCAATTTGAGACATGCAAGACTCAGTATGGATACTCGTCCACCGAAACGCTGACCGCAATGCGACAAGTTGTCATGTCTTACAAGAAGCAAAGTACCACCGAGTCTACTATATTGGCGACTTCTCTTCTTCGCACGAGCGTTACCGAGATCTTCCAGCATGAGTCGCATGCCGAAAGGTCGATTGAGTCCGCGAAGACCATCGCGAAGGTCTATATCGAGTGTGGCTACAAGGAACATGCAATCAAGGTCATCCAGGAAATGCGAACGACCATAATCGAGCAGGTCAAGAGTGCCCTGACGGTCAGCGTTGAAAGAAATTCGTATGCTTTCCTGGCTGCCTTCGCCGAGATCATTACCCAGTCAAGCTCTTTCTCTTCCATCATCGCAGAGCTAAGAACCGAGATCCTCCTGTACGAGTCCTACTACAGAGCCACTCGAACTCAAAAGGAGTTCTTCTCGATCATGGAGTCTGGGTGCCGCCTTTACTTCTATCTGAAGGAATCAAAACGCGAGGCCGACGTTAAGATCATTGAAGAAGAGCTTCTAGAAGTTTTTGTTAAGCATTTGACCGTTTCTCACACGATCAAGAAGACCATCATCACGAAGTTCTTCCATATTTGCATGGAAGAGGTAATGCATAGCCACTACGAGCTAACCGTCATCGAGCGAGCTACTGAGATGGTTTTGGAACATACCAAGCATTCGCGGTTTCAAGAGGCTTATGACCTTGCTGCGCTTATTGATAGATTTATCCATCTTCAAGGCGGTTTCCATACCGAGCAAAGCATCCGTGTTGGCTTTAGGTTGGCGCTCTGCCTCACTGGTCGCGGCACTCTGCGTTGCGCAGATGCCAAATTGAATCGCACGATGCTGGATCTCTCAAGGATTTTGCTTGCAGAGGCACTTCAAGGCTCAGAAACCGTCAACTTGACGTTCACTGATCTCCCGATCGATCTCCTGAACGATCTTGTGGGTCTTCTGGGAGAACAGCAGAACTTTGAGGACCTTGAGGTATTACCTATCCCCCCTCAATTACTTCAAGCCCATGTATTCTAACTTCCTCCTAGCGCATCCTCAACGGCCTCTGGTCCTCCCGCATCGTCCAAAAGACCTGGTCCACAAACCTTGTCATTTGGATTGGCCGCCGCCTTGTCGAAACTCGCTTCTGCCGCAACCACAACGCCGAAGCTATTCACCTGTGCAAAGACATCCGGTACAACTTGGCCCGCGTATGGGGCAGCCTCGACCCTACCACTCTTCAATTCACCCTCCTCCTCTCCGAGCTCTACACCGCGACCAACCAATACAAAAAAGCAATGGCCCTCCACGACGACGTCCTGGGCCAGATTGCATACGGTGATAACGAAGGCCTCTCTGTCCCGGACAGTGCTAGCACAGCTGTCAGACACGCGGAACTGCTTAAGCGCTCCTTCCAACGCGAGGGGAAGTGGGACAAGGGCGTCTCGTCTTATCAAGACACGTTCGCACAATTGGACCAGAAGTTCCGGAAGGAGAAGACGTGGGTGGATACGGCGCCGAAAGCGATCGACAAGTGGCAGCCGAAAGTTACCGACCAGATGGGCATGTGGACGCGGCCGACTGGGTTCGAATTCAAGGTTGAGGATGTGAAGCTCGAGAAGCCGGTGCGGAAGCAGCAATATCTTCTCAGGCGCACGAGCAGCAACTGGGCGGTGAGAGACTCGCATGTCAATGGGAATGGCACGTTGAATGGTAATGGGAACGGGACGGGACAGCGGGTATACTAGACCCCTAATAGCTTGCGAGTAATGAGAGGAGAAGGAGTTATGTTTCCTTTGTTTTTTCATTAGGTCTCCTTTACGCTCATTCGATGATCTTTTTCGTTCTTGTATTACTTATTCTTCTCTCTTTTGGCGTGTCAACCGGTTCTACTACTATCGCTGGCATTTCCTTTATAAGATCTCACGGGCAGTCTCCAGGCAGTACACTCTCGGCGTACACTTTTTCGGCTCCGTCTGCGTAGAAGTTAGAATCTAGGCGTAGATCTCTGTATACACATCCGTACATGCAGCTCACGTGCGAATAGAAGGTCAGGTTCCATTGAATCTAGGCGTGTATGCACTTACCTAGCACCGTTTGAGGTCCTCCGGTATATCATAAGATTTGGTAAAGTGATAGTTTGGGCAAGCCTAATAGCTCTCTGGGCCGCCTCAGACGGTATCAGAATAGACCGCTGAGCCTGCCAGTATGACAAAATTGCCCTTCGGAGAGGTGCAGCCAGCTGGGCAAAAAAGTGTACGGCGAGAGTATACTGCCCTGAGACGGCCCGTGAGATCTCATCGTGTATGTTTTCAGGTATTATGCATTTTCTCGCCGCAACTTTGATCAACACGCTGCATTCCTTGTTCATTCTACCAATTTATACTACCCGTCGTAATCGTTGAATAACGTATGTTGAAGAAGACATCCTGAAACCTAAGAGATACCTCAAAAAAAAGTCGAAATTGTAATCGCGTTGAAATCATCAAGCCCATTCCCATTTCCTCCCCACTAAATCGCCCTCAACACCTTCAATCAACAAGCGACGACAGGACCGAATTCGTATCATCGTCAACATCATCCCCTCGCATCATCCTCAGCGCCTGCAACGGCAGCCAATCCTTCTCCACAAGAGACAACCCCCCATAGCGCTCAAAGCACTCATCCGCATAAAGCTGCACAGCCCACCTCTCCCCAGCATCCAAGCTCCAGAAGCTCCCGCCAGTCCCTTGAGCCCGCTTAATGCGCCGAACCTCCTCGCTGACCTGATTGGTAGCCTCGATATCCGCCTCCGGCACACGCTGCAGCTCCGAATACGCCTCGAACAAGTTGCCGCCCGAGCCCGGCATCGGGTTCGTCTCGCGGTACTTCGTCCACTCGGGGTACAGCATAAAGCTCGTGGTATCGCCATCCGGGAACGCGGTCGTGAGCTTCGCCCTGTTGGGCCAGATAGCCTCGGCCCTGTTCTTGCGCGCCACGTCGTCGAGCGCCTCGAACCGCTCCTTAGCCTTCTCGTAGGTCTTGCGGTCTTCCTTGAGGTACTCCCGCATCACCTCGGCGGGGTCTTTCTTGGCCTCGGACGCGAGGGAGAGCACGGTGTACGGGTTCTGCAGGCCGAGGCCGCCGAAGCTCTGCGGGAGGTAGATGAAGGCGTCGGTGATCTCGGGGCAGTCTGGGATCTTGGCGAGCATCTGCTTGACGTGGTCAGTTGGGTTGCTGGCGGTGCCGTTTTTGCCGGTGAAGAGCGCGGCGTGGATCTTCTGGGTAGCGCACAGGAGGTCGTCGAGGTGTTCTTTGCCGAAGCAGTGTGCGGGCGGCCCGAAGAGGGCGTCGATGTTGTAGTAGACGAGGCGGTTGTAGGTGTCGATCCAGGAGAGGACGCTGGTGCAGGACGCGAGGTCGGAGCGAACGAGGCGGATGTAGGCGTCGAGTCGGCTTTCGTCGATCTTCCAATTGCCGGTGTCAGGGCAGAGGGTGAGGTAGCCTACGGATATCTTGCCGGTATTGAGGGAGGCATTATTGGAGCTGTCGGAGCTGGACTGCAAGTTGAGGCCCATGAGCACTGAGAACTCCTTCACGGTCTGTTCAGCAGTGTAGCACTTTTCGTGTGTGCCACATATCCATCCTTCATCGCGTGTGCGGAAGTGCTGGACACCGACAACCTGATTGACGGCCAGGTCCAGGAAGAATAAGACAGCTTCGCCAAAGAACTTCTCGAAAGCATGACCGACTGGAATACCTCGCTTGCGAATTCGGACTTGGTCCGCGGTACCTCTGATGATGGGGCCCATGTTCAAAGGCGCCTCTAGGAAGCGTTGGAAGAATGTCAGCCATGTCTCGCTGACTCCAATGAACTTGAGAACGGCGAGAATGGTGCTGTGTGGAAGCCCAGAAGCGAAGGATTTGAAGTCGTGCTGGATGACGTCAACTTCACCGTCCAGTGCCTCACGGAGGAGCATCTCGGTGGCCAGCTTCTTCATGACAGTCTCCTGGGTAGTACTAGGATTGACTACCTCTGGAAGGGATTTGTCGTTATAACGACGAACGCCGTATCGACTTCGGAACCGGCCAGGCAGCTGAGACAAGAAAAGGTCACGCATGTACTCGTGATGTCGCTCCTCGTCTAGCCTCTCAGTCCTGAGGATGATAACCTCGTTGTTCCTGGGCATCGGAGGGGGTGGAGGTGGCATAGCGCGTGGCATCGGCGGAGGGGGCGCCCATCCTGGAGGAGGTGGTGGTGGTGGAGGGCGGCTGAAAGCTGGTGGCGGAGGAGGTCCCCGATGCATATGAGGTGGGGGACCATGACAAATGTCACAGATGTTTGATTTAACCTGCGGCTTCTTTCTGGGGCCTGATAGGTAGTAGTCGCGCTTGTCCATTTCTTCAGACGTTGGGTTCTCAGGTCGTTTCCAGGTGGTGGTGCCCAAGGGGAAACTGTTGACAAGATCCCGGAGGCTATCTTTAATGCAGACCGACCATCGAGTCGCCACCACATTCAAAAAGATGAGGTCTAGGAGTCCTTCTTCTGCTGTCATACAGTAGGACTTATCCAGGTTTTGGCGAGCCTCGACGCGGAGGCCCTTCTCTGCATCGCGCCACTTCCAATTTGTTACGTTGGAAAATCGTAGGTTGAGAGTGCTGATAAGCTCCTTAAGCACAATAGGCGACTGGAGATAGGAGTTCAGCGTCTGCTTTGTCTCAGTACTGACGAGGGGCTTCCTGAGGAGGTCTTTGATTGTCCAGGTGACATTATCCTCGGTGAACTTCTTCTTCTCCTCAAGGATATCTTCTCCAAAGTTCTTGACACTCCGGCGCAGATCCTCCAAATCGTTACTCCCCGCATTTCCGACGAAGAACTTGGAAAGATACGTGTGAATCTCTTCCTCGTTCGTCTCGAGTGGCGTGAAGGTGATGGAGTCGAAGCCATCTCGGAGCTCTTCAATCGCATCCTCCTCGACCAACTCGAATTCATCTTCCATACAGGTGCGGTCAAATTTGGCCGCGAGCGATTCCTTAGGGTCAGACTTCTCGATGTATTCAGTCAATAGCTTGGCGTGCAGGCTGCCAAGCTCCATCCTTCGTTTGTGGTGTCGGAATTTGTCAATCAAGGTGGTCTCGAACTTTTCGAGCTTGGTGCTGGAGATGGAGCTGTCGTATTCTGCCTGCTTGAGGTACTGCTCCATATTCCCTAGTTCGTAGTCTTCTTCGTATTCCGGATCGAGCTTCTTGACCTTCGCAAGAAGGGACGCGACACGCTCGCGCTTGTCGCCGCCTTCCTCTTCGACGGCGATCAAGATATCCATGTGACGTATGCGAGCATCCTCGCGAAGACGCTCGAACTCATCAATCTTGAGCTTTGTGGCAAGCCTCAGCTCCGCTGAAGGCATCGGTGTCGTCAAAGCCATAGCGTGCAGTGGGAGCAACAAAACAACAAGCTCCTCGCAAAAGAAATATAGAAGAGCTCAGAGTGTAAGAAAACAGGCGCGGAATTCAGCCTATATATACTTTCTCCGTATCATGGGCTCAGCCGTGCAGGCAGATGCCAGTGGGGGCGGATAAGCTGAGGTTACTCAAAGCGGGGGAGCACGATGGTTGCCTTGTACCGTGCCATGTCTGCCTTGTTTTTGCATGCAGCAAACATTCGGGCTTGCAGACACGAGAACAGCTATCCAACCATCATGAAGATGGAGAAGAGGGCAGCCTATTGCAAGCCATCATGGCGCAGCACTTGCATCTCTGGCTGCGAGGGAACTTGTTGAGAGAAGTCATAGGCTGAGAAGTCGGGTGTAACACGGGATCGAAGCTGGAATGGCGTGCCGCATGTCGGAGACTCCCTGGAGGAGCAATAGGTGCTAAGGTGTTCAATTCGATGAGGGGTGAGGTTGAGACTTGGTGGGGTATCCATGAGATATGCGTCACGTGGTCCTCACCGGATGGTCAGGCTAGGCACCGGTCAGTGTGGGCTACATCATGCCGCTAAGAGAAGGAACTGTAATTCTGCCTGAAATGGAGTGGCCGCACCATCTGGTCTGGCTGGAGCTCCAGTGATTGCCACGGTACATCACGTGGTGGTCACGTTGTTGTCGATGAACGTACGTCTAGATATAGCTCGATCGAAAAGAATTGGGTGAGATTTCTTGAGGGGCATCAAAACATCTCGCAGCAGTGATTTCCAGACATAGCACCACTTAGCCCTTTGTGGCTTCGTTGAGAGCATCAATCCTCTTCCACCTCCCAGCCCCATTCTCATTCCACTCCACAACCTCCTCTGGGTTCTCAAGATTATGCAAGTCGCCCATCTTCTTCATCGATCCTTGAAAGCTTTTTCCCCCACACCCAATTGATCCATCATCACTGCGAAACTCCGCTCCTTGTCCCATAGACCACAAGAATTCCGCGATCTTTGAATAGCATCCATCGAGCTCCATCCAGAGGTCCCCTCGTTGTGCTTTCCTCATCCTAATCCTATCTGTCAGGATATTATTTTCCTTCCCTGGTGCCAACTGTACTCTCAATTGCTTCAATGTTGGGACCTTTCGCATAGACCGTAGCATCGTCCTCATGTGTGAGCTAAATGGGAATATGGCTACGAAGGTCAAGCTTCGGACGTAACAGCACGTCTCCTTGCCCAGTCGTGCAAGAACCAGGTAGAGGACCTTGGGCGTCTGCTTGAGATGATATTCGTACGTGGAATACACGGGTACCGAATTGCCCTCGTTATACCCGATGTGCGTCCACGGCCGCGCGTAGATCAACAGACTACTCCTGTCCCCTGTCACTGGCCCTGTGCCGAGCACGTAGCCATCTGGGCGCTGGAGCGCTAGCTCCTCCGCCTTCATTTCGCTCTCTAGCTTCTTAGGTCTGTCCTGTCGTAGTTCTAGGTAGTGACAAAACATCTCAAACGCCCAGCCATCCGAGCTGAGCGTACTCGTCTCCGTCAATGTCGCGAGCGTTCCCGGCGGCGCGGCTACGACCACTCTTTCCGGATTTAGCAGCGTGAACACACTCTTCCAGAGATCCTGGACAGCATGGTACGTGTACATCCGCCCGTCGACCGTATTGGTACTATATCCAAAATCCGGCTCGTAATCGCGCTGAGCGACCACAACCAGACTGTCTACTTTATGTCGCAGGTTGTGGTCCCTTAGAAACTTTTCCATCTCTCGGAATTGAGGTGGCAGCCGCGGTACCCACGATGCGCGTCCTGACTGCTCCATCCACTTGTCTCCGGGTTTTACATCCACAAACTCTAGCATCACGGTGTCGAACTCTTCTTGATATGCACCCGGCTGTGTAGCGTCTAGTTTCGCCCTCATACTTATGTAGACTGCCAACTCGTGTGGTGAGAGTGTCTTGAGCGCGGCTTGCATGGCGTCTAGGGTGCGCGCGTCGATGGGGAGCAGTAGGAGCGCGCGGTCGAGGCTGAGAACGCAGTTTTGGAAGAGGATTGGAGTAGTGAGGGCATGGAAGCGGTGGGATGTTAGGCGCAGGGATTTGAGGGGTATAGATTTTGAGGTCGTAAGGAGGATGGAAGGCTCGTGGGAGAATCGTGTCACGGACGGCGGGGGGACATCGAGGTGGGAAAGGATGTGGAGAAGGAGTTCAGTTGGGAGGGTGTCCATAGTGACGGATTCAACCATAAGCGTACGGTATGGTCGCGATGGCCTACGATATAGGAGGACTTCGTATATGTATGTACCTTTGTATCCAAAAAGGAGAGCTTAGTGATAAGAGAAGATCTATAATGGAAGAGACTATAGAATTGAACGTGCCGACATCAAGTGACTCGGAGAGAACACATGTATTGTAGACAGGGAATTGCACAAGTGAATGGCTAGATAAGTTAAGGCTGCTGAGGGTTCGGGATGAGAGTCAGGGAGTTCATCGATGTAGAAGTGGGGCGTCGATCGACGTCACTTCTGGCATCACGTTTGAGTCACGTGCAATATATCTGTAACTATATTCCGTTCGACGCCCAATCCATTTAGATATTTGAGTTGATCTCATTATCTAGAGCAGGACACAACGATATCAATACCAGGCTTACAACTTGTGGAGATGGATTTATAAGACGACGCTCCGACTCCTCCGTCAAATCTTGCTTCCCTCTCCGATAACCATCATCTAACGAATAGTCCGTTTAGATGCTATGGTTCTGTCATCATAATCACTAATTTGGACATGCCGGTCAGTCTCGCGTAGCTTTTGGCAATGGATACCCTCCCAGCTCATCAAAGAACTTTCCTCCTTCGGCCATTAGATTTGCAGTGTCTTCACCAACCCATTCCTTCACCAATGCTGTCCTAGCCAGCTCGATCTCTCTTGTTTGCTTTCCAGCTACCTACAGAACCTTATATCAGAGGATGTAACATTTCAAAGCAGGGCCACTAACCAGTATGCACTCCCCTTTCTTCTCGCTATCAGTTGAGGTCTGAACGATTGTATCCGCTACACCTTCAACTGTATTTGCCGGAAGACCCCTTTCCTTCCACTTCTCTGCGTATCCTCCGGTGATGTGTGTGGGTGTAAAGAAGGGCGCCACGACATTGAGCCTAACGTTCCATCGATTCGCAGCCTTTTGTGAGGCTCGGAACAATCCTACTACTCCATGTTTCGACGCGACATATGAGACGACGCTTGTTCCACCAAAGTAGCCCGAAGTCGATGCTATTAGCACTACAGAGCCCCGCGAACCATCCGCGCTTACTGGATTTGATCGCATGTGGTGCAGCGCGAGGCGCAATGCTGCTAACTGTTACCCATCTGACCAAAATCGTTCAAGAGATTGCAGTTACATACTATTCATGGTGCCTCTGAGGTTTATATTAACAATCCTGTATGCTTCCACAGGCTCCTTCAAATCGCCGTCCTCGTCCGTCTCCAGATCGAAGAAGTCTTTACTTTCCATAGCTCCAGCATTGGCGACAGCAATATCGACTTGGCCAAATCGTTCAATGGTCTGGCGATATAACGACTTCATGTCGGCCCAGTTGAGAATGTTGGTAGGTACATAGAGAGCTCGCGAGACATCGCACAGAGACGAAATGAGAGCTTCCGCTGCTGCCTTCGCCAAGGGCAGATCCGCTATCACGACATTGGAGCCGTTTTGATGGAAAGTACGGACAGTTTGAGCACCAATTCCATTGGCGCCACCTGTTACGATTATTGTCTTTGATTTCGCGTTGGGAAATGAGGATGCCATATTGGAACGAGACACTGCTTCTATAGCTAGCGAGCTCAGCTTTTCGCTCAGAAGCTGAAGAAATGGGAAAGTCGAAGTGAAACAAAAAGATATCGCCAAAAAAGGAGAAGCTAAGCAGTGATTCTCATTTGTCTCAGCGTAGTCTGAGGCGGAGCTCTTTCCACTTGGAAACCTTCACCCAGAGTCCCACTTCAGATCATCAAGACCACGAGACGCTTGTTGATATCCACGATTCTTCGGAGCCCAAAATAGCTGACTTTTAGCTTCTGCCATCGTGTGACGTTGATGTTGCCGGGGAGGAAGCATGCTCTCCGGTTGCTGCGGGGAAAGTGGACACCGTAACATCCCACCTCATTCCCTCGGTCCTACTCGCGGTATCTTTCCGCATTTCAAGCTGTGACACCAATAAGAAACACTTGAAACGGACAGTCTTTACCAGACAGATAGAACTGTGAGCTTTTAGAGGGCGAAGCCGTTTATTGCTAGAATGGTAGTACACATACAACAGGCCCATCGGGTGCTCCGACCCGAAATGTTAGGCAACCAATACTACGAGGTAGGCGTCATCGTTTAAGCTCTAGGTGATTCCGAACATCGGCCGACGATCAACCTTCTCGAGTTGTTTGTTTCATATTCGCTTTCTAAACTTCTCAAGCTTTCAATCAAAATGGGCAAAGCACAGCCACTCCCTGAACCGTCCGAGGAAGAGGCAATTGCCCTATTCAAAGCCATTGAGGCTCAATTTCCATCCAAAACTGTCGGCGATGACAAGTGGTATCTAATCACCGTAAAAGTGCCCCCAAGTATACTCCGGAATCTGCAAATGCTGATGTGTGCTTCAGATAGCAGCTCTCTGCGGCGGTAGCAAGCCGGATTTCGCCCCAACCCTCTACAAATACCTCATCTACAAACCAGAGTATGCAAGCTCGGAATCTCGTAAAGCATTGATGCGACGGTTACGAGAGGCGTTGGTGAAGCTCGTGTCACTCATTGGCGTTTGCAAGTGCTTGGAGGCCATATTCGATATCGAAGCCATCACCCGGCCTGAGGACAAGGATTACTCCTTCTCAAGGTTCGAGCTCAGCATGAGATTCTGGAAAAGATTGCAAGCTGATGAATAACAGAGAAGGCTGGCAATGTGACGAAGCGAACCTCCAGCGCGGACATGCGTGGCAGAACCGGATATACCTCCATAATCAGGGCAAAATTGATGAGACGTTATCATCGCAGAGGGATTTCGGTAAGGATCCAGTTTTCTTCTCATTCGCTCATCCTTTCGGTCTGACATGGTCAATAAATAGACTGGCTCAGCAAGAACATCACCTACGGCCTCTACCTCTCCGACCACACGATTCTCAACGACGTTGATACTGAACTTGTCGTGTTGTCTGGAATTATGATACAGAACCTTCCGCGGGAAACTCAATGGCATCTGAGAGGCACCAGGCGCATTGGAGTCAGCAATCCAGATACGGAGACGATTCAGCAATGTGTAAGTCAGTACAAGAGCGTTCAATGAGGCGCCATAGATTATTGCGTCGTGCTAATCCGAAGTCAGATTGAAACGGTGGCTGACTTTTGCGGAGTCTGCTTGAACAAGGTCCCGAGAGTGGCGGATATAGAACACGAAGTGTAGCTCACACTTCGCAGTCTAGCCTACATTGCCTTTCAGCGTATAAATAGATATAGAAGCATTCATGCCAGATTTCAGTGACGGCATCTTATTCAATCACCCGAGAGTGGGGCCCCGTTTCAGAGAGCACACTGTTTCTCGGATTCTTTACCGTCTACAACACATAGTGAATGGTCAATTGAACGTCAGAGAAGATCAGGCCCTATCGTCAGCATCTCTATATCTCTTACCTCTAACCTAAATCCGTTGGCATACATCATCGATCTTGTCCACGACTCGTGCTCCAACCGCTCGGTCCCGCTGATGAATCAGCCCGCAATCCCCTCACGACTTCTTAGCCGTGCTAAGATCAGCGTAGGCTCATAGTGCTTCTCTACCGGGGCCACGAGCACATCTCCGGACCACCTACAAGCTTCAATTAGGCAGGAAAACAGCAGCCGCAAAGGTGGGGATCGACTAGTAGCACCAGCGTAATCCCAGCTCTCTGAAGCTTCCCCATGGGGTACACCTCCGCAAAATGCGCCGGTGACGTCCTCCAACACCACTTAGTCGGTACACCTATAGGCGATGCAAATCCCGATTTGCCTAGTGCTTTGATACTCTAAGTATTTAAATTAGAGTGGGGAAAAGGCCGCAACTGTTCGGTTTTCTGCCCTTTGCTCCTCTCATATCACCACCCTCTTCCCTATCCTTCATCCGTTTTGTCTTCAATATTCGATACACTCTACGATGGCAGCACACCCCGAAGATCCTAAAAGCTGGGTCGAAACGGTGGACCATCTGGCAACTACGGATCGGAAGCAGGATCTTGAGGATGCCGTCTTCATCGAGAAGACGGACGAGGAGAAGAAGCTAGTGCGGAAGATCGACTTCTTCCTTATGCCGACGATATGGGTGCTCTATGTGTTCTCTTACATGGTATGGGCGTCCGTATGTTCCCTGTTGACTTGAACCATGCTGACAGAAATCTAGGACCGAACGAACATAGGTGCGTCAGGTGAATGTATCTCTGGGAGAACCAAAGCTGACTCAAACGCAAAAGGCAACGCCAAAGTCGCAGGAATGAACGTTGACATCGGCCTCTCGGACACACAGTATTTCCTCACAATTGTGCTATTCCAAGTCGGCTACGTGGTGGCGGAGGTGCCTTCGAAGTAAGCTTCCCTTAGTCTCCTGGTAGCCATGTTCTTCGATACTGACTATTTAAAGCATGATAATGTCCCGATGGCGGCCGTCGCTCTATGTCCCGTTATTGATGATTTGCTGGGGCACCGTTGCAGCATCTATGTCCGCCGTGGAGACACCTGCGCAGCTTCTCGGCGTGAGATTCGTCCTTGGGATTATGGAGGCAGGCTTTAGTGTGAGTCGCGCAAAGAAAAGAATATAGGAACAGCGTTTTTGACAAGACTTTTAGCCCGCTATTCTCTTCATCATTTCTACTTGGTACCGGCGACACGAGCAGTAAGTCCTCGGGAAAATGGCACGAGGCACGGGCTAATACAGGATACTAGGTCTAAGAGATTCATGATATTTCTGAGTGCAGGCATTCTGTCGGGCGCATTCGGTGGGATAATTGCTGGAGCCATAACTGACTCGCTCAACGGGAAGTACGGAATTGCGGGCTGGAGGTGGTATGGTCCTTTCATTAATCACGTTGAGCTCATACTGACATGCCGCAGGTTATTTATCGTCGAAGGCGTAGCAACCATTGGCGCTGCTCTAATCGCGCCCTTCTTTCTGCTCGACTACCCAGCCACAACAAAGAAGTTGACGCAAGCTCAGCGCGACCTTGCGGTAGCTCGGTTGCAAGCCGACGGAATCACCAGTCGAGGAGAGACGGGCGAGCGATCTGAAGTAACACACTGGCGAGCATTCATTCATGCAATCAGCAATTGGAGGCTTTGGTTGCTATGCGCAGGCTACATGACCATTATCGGTTGCTATTCACTCTCCTACTTCAACCCCACCCTCGTGAAGGGACTCGGATACACAGCTGTAAAAGCACAGTAAGCATTCCATCATTCACTCGAAGGGAGACTTCCGACTCACCCTCAAAAGATACATGACGGTCCCGCTCTACGTTGTCGCCTTCGCCATCGCGGTCCCCACCTGCATTATCGCCGACCGCGTCCCTTCCTATCGTCCCATAATGGCTGGCGGTGTGCTAATCCTCGGATCTGTCTTCTGTGCACTCTCTGCTGGCATCTACGCTTACGTCCCACTCTACGTCTTCCTCTGTTTCATCAACAGCGCCATCTGGACCGCAAACCCACTGGCACTATCATATGCTTCGGTCAGCATGGGCCCTCTAGAGCCAGAGACGCGCGCGATTTCGCTGGCTATCATCAACGGCATGGGCAACCTAGCGCAGATATATGGGAGCTATCTATTCCCCGGCGCTGATGCACCGAAGTACTTGAAGGGGTTTGTGGCGTATGCCGGACTTCTGTTCTTCGGGGCTGCCGTATATCTAGCAGCGTTCTTTCTGTTCAGGAGATCTCCATTCAAGACGAGGACATAGTTGTTTCATGCGAGAATGTCTGAAAAGAAGATTGAATATATCGAGTTTCATATATAAGAGAAATAAAACGAGTGACGGGCCCCTATTGAGATAAGGAGAACTGAAATAACAGCGTTCGGTGCTAAGACGTCGGCCTAAGCATCCACCATGGTAGAGCCAAACGGGATCTTAGCGGTACAGGGTAACTGCCTTCTCTAGCTCACTCGTGAACTCTGTGTGACGCTCGAGGCCAAAGATTGAAACCGAGTCCGCACGAACACGTAGCCCGCCAAAAGCCTGACGAGTCTCTTCCAGCCTCTCCAATTTCGACCTCTGCCTGCGCGGTTCTTGGAAGCAAAGGTTGATAATCTCAGCCGTACCGTCGCCTATGACCACATAAACCGACTTCAAGTGTGTAAAACCCAACTCATCCAGCCTCTGCAGCGGCCCCAGACCTTGGCCATGCCCTATAGCCGAGTGCCAAAAGTTCTCGGTGGAGTTGTAGAAGGCGATTCTCCTGACAAATCGTCGGACATGTCTCGGAGGTAGTAAGAGCTGTTTGGTTTGGGAGAAATACTCGGCCCACTCTACCTTCAAAGGAAGGGCGTCGCTGCTGTAGTATGCTTCGACAACCTCTTGGCTTACTGTGCGACAAATCGTGGCGAGGCGCAATGACCGGTTGGCAAAGCGTGTGTCGTTTTTGAAGGAGTTGCTAGTCAGTACAGCTGGATTTCGGCGGATGGATACGAGATCGCCGGGGTCAAAGGCGTATCGAAAAATTTGCAGTCGAAGTTCCGATGGAAGGTCGAGAAACGTTGTACCCGGTTGTTTGGCTTCAAGAGTAGGTACTGCTGGTGTCAATCAGCCGTTTCTAAACGGTAGAGAATGATAGACTAGAACCAACCTGAAATAACGGCTGTGGACTTTGGCCCAAAGTCAGTGCCAGAGTTACATGTATTGACCGTGTTCGTGTTTGCCATGTCGACGTATGTCTCTTCTCAGAGTTCGATCGAGTCCTACTCTTAATCCTGGCAAGAAAGCAGGCGATTCAATGTAGAACTGGCCCCGGAGAGAAGGAAGGAATAGAACCAAGAGCTCTTAGAAGCGTTGTTAGTGGGAATCTTGCAACACCAAGGATATGATTTACAAGACCGATAAGTACAGAAATTCGCGATAATCAAGGTAAAATACACCTATATGTCGCAGCTTCAATGAGAGTTTTTGACTCAGTAGCTTCAAGAAGAGAACAAGAAATTTACACTGTACTATGTTGAGTAGATGGTGTCAGTGGTGTTGGACCGCGGGAAATTCACACTACACTATGTTGAATAGACGGTGCCTAAGGATATTGGTGGTGTTGGACCGCGCGAACTTTACACTGTACTATGTTGAATAGCTCGCGTCTCAGGATGTTTGTGGTGTTGAACCGCGGGAAATTTACACTGTACTATGTTGAATAGCTGGTGTTCTGAGGATGTCGGTGGTGTTGGACCGGGGCACCGACTAGAATATATGTAGTGCCTTTATGGAGGGCTAGTATTCGGGTTCCGAAGACTCATGCCGACGGGCACCGTACTCATGACCTAACTTCCACAAATCTAGACGAGGCCATAACGGCTATCACTTTGACGATCTTCTAAGAGTGATTGTCAAGTAGCATAACTCACCGTACCTATACCCTCGTGATATGCAGACCAGCGTATTAGAACAATGCTATCGGGCTTTTCAACCCCACAGATACTCGGATAGGTCTAAGGGATCAACTCGCGTGCCTAGTGATGTGTCCTGATGTTACGAGAGTACACAAAGATAAGGTAATCGGGAACACACGCCCGGGGTAGACATTGAGTGCCAAGGTTTATGCAGCTTAGTCAGCGGACTCGCCTCGCTCACCTGAGTTCCCGATGCCACCACAAACACCGTTAGAAGCATCTATAGCTATCTAGTCATCGCCACAGCACGCCAATCTTTCCGCGTCGCCGCAGGCCAACTCGTTATTCTACCACCGGCGAGAATGGACCCCGACGCGCCCCATCCCGAGCCTCAACCATCAATCATCCGCTGGGTTCTCGGGTTCCTCCTCGTTGGCGCTGCATGGGGTCTCACGACGCCCTTCATGCGACGGGCCGCCATAAACTACACGCCTCCTACGCGTCCCTCAGTCACAGATCCACGAAACAGCTGGTTAAAGCGGAAAATACTGGGTGTATTCTGGGCGGTGGTAGACTTGCTGCGGCGGCCCGCGTATGCGATTCCGCTACTGTGCAACGTTACGGGAAGTATATGGTTCTTCTTATTGATCGGCAAGGCGGGTGAGTCAGGTTCTGTGGGAATGGAACAGGGAGACGGCATGCTAATATAAGAGTTGTAGAGCTGAGCCTCACGGTACCGATTACGAATTCATTGGCATTTCTGTTTACAGTCCTGGGGGAGTGGTGGGCAGAGGGAAAGGTTATAAACAAAGGTGTGTGCGAGTTGTTGCTTCGGGCAAAGGGTTTCGAACTAACGTCTCACAGACACTTGGATAGGCATGGCCCTCGTGCTTGGGGGCATCGCGCTTTGCGTGCAAAGTAAGAGCTAGTTATGGGAGGCTCGTCCATATATACGTACGAATCTTTTCGCATGAATGATACCCAATCTCAAAGCGTTTAAGATGTCATTCTGCTGCAGACACGACAGGACAATCCAATCCAACGATACCTCTAGTCCGGACTATTCACACTTTCACCCCGCGCCTGGAGTCGTGAGTTGTCAACTGCACGTCTTTCCTTTGGATCGATACTTCTCTAAAGCCTGTTGCGAATTGGAGGTCCCATAGATTTCCAAGCGTGTAGGCATAATACACCCGAAGTGCACCATTCCGTGAGCCTGAACTTAACATCATCGCAAGTTTTAGTTCTTCAATCCGCCCAGCCACGTTCCGGCCACCCTTCACTTCCAGGGCCAACTTCGGGCCAACCTTGTGGTATGACGGAATATGAGGGCAGCTTGTATCGCTTGTCGCACCCGCTCTCTGTACACGTGAGATTGCACAGGCCGAATGTTTCGCAAAAGCACTGCCCAGCATCCTGGCAATCAACAGCTGGCATCTGCATGATGACTATGAGAGTTCATGAATCAGCGTCCTTGGCTCATCCAATGCTTTACTCGACTTACTGTGCCATGTGTACTCTAGCACTCTACCACTGATCTGATCTTCCAAGTCGGTTTCCAAAAGCCATTTTCGGATGTGTTCGTATTCCGCCTTCGACGTTTCGCGAACTCGCTCGCGAGATACAGCGAATTGCGAGGAGCAGTGAGCTCCAACTACCTCGGGGACTGTCGAGTTAGGAAACAGAGTTTTGAAGACGGCAGCATATGCTGCTTCACTCTTAGATCGATCATCAGTATCTGAGCTTAGCTTTAATGGGTGCAGTTCGGAAGGACAGCCCATAGTCCAGGAGCAGCGAAGAGCGACATAACCCCGTTTTTTCACGTGATTAAGTTGGAGGTTGAGGAGGACCGGAACGCCGTCTACTAGTTGTCAGATGGGTGCAGGAGTAGTCTGAATATGTTTTACTTACCATACATGGGATCCTCATTGTGCCACTGGTAACGCAGACTATGAATGAAGATAACGACGTCTGGGAGATCCTCGTAGCGGTCTATGATGTATCTATCAACATGGAATGAGACGACTTCCTCAAATTAAATAGAACTAAAGAGATGCATCGTACGTAAGATATGCCTATATAGGATTTAATATGAATAATTGTCTCATCAACTTCATTCATAGTACTAACCATGGCTTCTCTGCCTTTGTTTACGGGAACGGTGAGCGGCGCGGTATTGTCGTTGGCCACGTAAACGCTTTTTATCCAATCGGGAAAGAAATCGTCCAGCCACGAAGTGTCATCTCCACGAAGGCTCGCAACCACTAGCTCTTTCTCGAATTGCTTTATCTCATTGGTCTTGGGCTCATTTTCAAACCTTCCAAGTTCAATCTCTGTCGAGGTTTGTGGACGCGACATATATAAGTAGCAAAGAACGAAGAATCCTATTCCAGAGGCTAGGAACAAACGGACGGGAGTTCGACGCGCAAGCATGACTGAGACAGCCTCGAAGAGGATGCGCGTCTTTTACGTAAGAGAACCCTTCCCTGAGCAGAGTGTGCGATGTACTAAGGAAGGTTAGTGGACATGTGTAGATAAGATGCAAGGTTCCGTTCAATAGGGGTTTACATAGGTAGATGCGCCATACATACACAGTACCAAGTTTGCCGGGCGAATTGGATGCCAGACGCTCCGTGCTTACACTTTTCCGCTTTTCGACCAATGAAACAGCAGACATGTTTCTGGTTCTAACTTTGAGTGTAATGGTCAACTTTGAGATCAGGCTAACAATCGAGATCCATAATGGAAAATGACCTTTTGCTACCCTTGAGAAGGAATGACACAGTTGATACTACGCATTTCGCTCTTTGACGGCCCTATGTGAGAGCCAATAGCTCTACAACGACACAACTATTCCATTCCAACTTTGGTATTTGCTCCTATCGTCTAGCTTGCTAAGAAGGTCATTTTCGAGTCTATGAATAGAAGTGGTGAAAAATAGACACCCGTCTCTGCTTGTTCATAAATTTGTGTTGCCCCTTGCATGCCAAGCTTCCTCATACAACAACACCTCATCTCTACTTGCCCTGCTTCACCGTAACACTAAAATGACCAAGAAGCCCGCATATCTCCTATCATGTCAGCAGACGCGTACCCTAGCGATGTCAGGATCTGGACTATGCCGATTATTAATCATCGAATGCTGCAATGGCGCGACGATCCATTTGACTAGCTTTGAGTATACTGAATGATGGACACAGGCTTACCTTTGTAGTATACGGACTATGAATAGTGAGAGTTCATGTTGACCCGCAAACTCCATCTGATGGCCTGTCATTCTAGATCATGAAGAGCAGCCACAAACATACTATAGCAAAACCTCGGAGCTGATTACCGAAAATTGTAGGAGGTATAAAGCTTCGAGAACACCTGCCATCCTTACACTACTTCCAATATCCACGTTCGAAATAAGCTCTTCTTTAAGTTTTCCACATCGGGAGCGTTCGTCAAATCAAACTCCATGTACTTCCCACCGTCTCTATCAGTCCGCAGCAATGTTCAGCTGGGGGCAAATGAGGTCTCTTTCCATCCCTATGGCTAGGACCAGGATAGTGCCCCAGCATTTTCCAACTCGAGACAAGCTCACAAACACCTGGGGCTCTTGATGCCAAGCGGGCGCGCCGTTCAAGGCTGAAATAAGGTTACCATCCTAGACAGCTTTAATTCACACCCTCTTTTACCGTCCTGCTGGTCACCGCCATGAGCAGGGTTTCCGATCGTGGGCGTGGATCGGGGCTGCTGACGCCAGCAAGCCCAGGGACGCAGGGGGCCCGCCGCTCCCGCATGCTTCACGCTTCAATCGCGATTCCAGTCCACTGAACACCATGCTCGGAGTATTGCAGCTGCATGACTGCCGCAGCCCGAGTGGAGAATAGCCGCGGTGTCGTAGCTCGGCTGAGCTCGGGTCAAGATCCGGATGAGGCAGCAAGGCTTGGGCACTCCACGCCAGGGATGTCATCACCAAGCGAGCCTTGTGCTTGGCCGTTTTCTTAATACTAAATTTGGCAGAGATTATAAAGCTTTTATTTGGGAGCGCCTGCACACAATAGGCCTAACATCCCCGCTATGACCCGATTGCGAGCACATATATACGCGCTATGCGGGAGGCGTCAGCATCCCTTATCTTTTCGTCTTCCACGCTACCGCTTTTTACTATTACGAGCATTCGCAGCAAACGACCGTCGTGTACACGCTTAGCTAAACCATTTCGCATCTGCTAGCGCCCGGAGCACCGACTCACAGATTCAGGAGAGATCAGTTAGCTCGGTAGAAGAAGGAAGCAACGCCATGCATAGACCTAGACGAACGCGCTCTGCAACGACGCTTGGAGGACCTGCGAAAGAGACGGACATCAGGAGACCCTCGGCCTCTCCGACTCCCAAGCCTACCAAGGTCAACAGCGAAGCACGCAAGCAACAGAACCGCATCGCTTCAAGGAATTACCGTAGGTGCTTCAATACGTGGTTGAGTTACTTAGCGGTCTGTACTGATTCAGCTGGCTTTCGCAGGCGAAAAGCGGAAGAGGAAGCTCCAGTTTTTAGAACAGCTTCTTGACAACGACCCATCATCGAGTGGCCCGGGCTCTTCTGCGGGATCTCCAGAACCGTCTCTCGATGGTCAATTCTCCCTCGAACTTGGTCACGATATATCTCCCTATCTTCGCTCTTTACCACTAGAGCCCCTGTCCGGGGACGACTACATCCAGCCGGGATCGGTGCCTGTTACGGCTGGCTATCATGAGCCACCGTTGGGACATATATGTCCACAGACTTACGACGGCCCAGACCCTGCCTGGCTTCCAGAATCCTATGCAGGTCAAAGCCACGAAGTCGAAAGCTACGCAGAACCCTGGGCCCACCACCCTTGGATCCCATCAGTGCCATACTACCCTCGCGAGCCCTTCTTTCATCAAGACCCACCTATGATTAGCTACCAGGCAGCTACAGATTCGGCCTCCGAGCTCGCTTTTAACGCGGATGGTAACCTGCCATTGGATGGCCTGCATTTAGGGAGTGGAACCAACACTCCTAACGCTGTATGCAGTCTCTACAGTCTCCCTGCCTACCCCCAAGCTTATTTGGACGCAGGAACGAAGTCCGCGCTTCCATTGGCCGACCCCCGAGGTGGAGAGTTTCAGAAGCTCGTGAAAGACCTGACGAAACGCTACAACCGCCTGCCGTTACACACAAAGCAAAATCTGATCCAAGAAGTCATCAAGCAAGGCCTTCTAATCGACGGTTTCATCGAAGAGACTTGTACTGTCCTCGAGTCGGAAGAGCTCCTGCCAACGCTTGTCTCGCGCGTTGCTTCGAACAGCAAAAGACGCCGCACCCGGCCGCGCTGCGGTTCCGAAAGCCCCAATCTCGCAAAGCCAAATAATTTGCTCGGCCACCAGCTACGGCGAGCTGCGGGGGCCGCGGATACCTCCCCCACCGGTCCCATGTCCATGCGGCTCCATCAGTATAACTTCTTCACCGCGTTGCACGTGAACGCGCGCCAGCTGGGCTTCGACATGCTGCAGTACCTCGACTACGACGCCGTCAGCCCCGTCTACATCCCGGGCCTAGATGCCAACAACCCCGCGCAGATGGTGCAAGCGTATGCAAAGTACACGCACGTCAAACGGGACTTGGTCCCCACAACTTTGCAGTTAACACAGCCGCATCATTCGTATATCGTACGTATATGACTCTTCTCTTAACTGCCTGCTCTTCCCGAACCCCTCCTTCATCCACACCCACCGTTCGCAAAGATAACACTACCGTAATTTAATACCCCCCCCTCCAGGACGGCCTCCCCTACCCCTCCCTCCGCGACCGCATCATCACCGCCCTCAACGCCTCGCCCGCCCTCGTCTCCCGCTCAGAACTGTGCGGCGACTTCACGACCGACGGGTTCAAGTGCTGGGGCAGCGGCGCGGGCGTGCTGGACCAGGGCAGCGCGAGCGACATGCGTAGCTGGGAGCCGGAGCTGTGGGTGCTGCGGAAGTACTGGTTCCTGGTGGACGACGAGCTGTGGCGGAGCGCGAGATGGTGGAGGGGGATGAGGGGGGAGAAGGGTTGCTGAAAGGTGGACAAACGAGAGAAAGAGAGTCTGCTGTTTTTGATTGCGACTATGGAGTTAGACGGTGGGGTTTTGGTACGTGGGCATGTGTGTAGCACGTTAAATGTACCTCGAGAGAATATGTTTGATTTTCAAGACCCCTAGACTGCTCCTCCGCCGAACGAAGCCCTAGAGTTTGGTTCTACAAGCGCTTTCTTCTACAACTCAATTCTTTTTTCCTCTTCGATGCTGTCCAAGACCCTCTCACTCTATCCACCCCCCCGCGCTTCGTGCGATGACACATTAAGGTTCTCACCTCTGCACACGCCAACAACCCTAAGGCTACCCGTCAGACTCTTAACAGACCTTATTCCAGCGGTCCGCTAGCTGCTGGCGCCATGGCAGGCAGAGCGGTGCTTGGCGAGGCAGCTGTGTCTCCTCGGGACCGTGAGCTGACGAGGTTCGCCTCGCAAGGCTTGGCCGGGCTTGGTCAGCAAAGAGATGGCGAACGTCATGTAGGGGGCGCGGGGCTTCGAGTGCGGCTGAGCGTTGCGTACGTACAGCACACAGGCTTGTGGGTATTTGGGAGTGGGGAATCGAGGCTTTGGCTAGGGGCTGTGCGTGGAGGGTGGTAGTAGCGTGAGCTTCGATTGCTTAGGAGGGTTGTCTGGCTTTGGGGGTAACCATGTTACATCTAGCCGGAATCTGGGCATAGGGTTTGCAGGGGTCGAACGAGGCTGGCCGGTTTGGAGGCCTGCCTTGTGGATATTTTTGGCTCCCTGGGGCAGGTATTCAGATAATGCTTTGTGATAAAGCTTGTGCTCTGTGCTTTGTGCTTGGTCAAGCTCCCGGTCTTACTTCCACTCCAGGAGTCCTCTTCGCGCTCCCACGCTCGCAGCCTTTCTCCTCTTCTTCTTCAGCTTGCCGTCTGGAGCATTAGACGCCGAGCCTCCAGGGCGGTAGTCCCTGTCGTTCTTCTTGTTGCTACTTCGGTTCTTTGGCGTACATGGAGGGGCCTCTTGAGCTTATTGGCCGATTTAGGGGTAAAAGGGACAGAAGCGTGATGAGATGCACTCGGGAGAGCCGACAGAGTGTCCTCCAAGGCCTTGCTACTGAGGGGCGGTGTGGTCTCCTTCGAGCAACCATTTTGACGAGGATTTAATGACTGATAGGTCCGGTTCCATGTTCCGGATACTCATCTCCGTAAGCCATCGAGGAGAGGTTCAGCAACGAAATCTATAGGAGAGTTGTCGAAGGGTACAAGATTCGGGTCATCCCAAAAGGACCACACTCGCCAGCTGTCACTGTCGATGTTCTGGAGCAAGTCGAATGTCGCCGAAGGAATTCCAGAGTATGGTTGATTGCCATTGACACCGTCCCAGGCGTTGTTGTATGGTTGCGTACCGGAGTAGGAGACCATTGTATTCCTGGTAGGAGGAACAACGTTTGGCGTTACTGGGTTGTTACATTGTGGTGTCGATTCCGTTGATATCGTGGTGGAGGTAGGTGTGCCGTTATTCTTGGACGGTCCCATGATGTTGAAAGCAGTCTCTAGTTGCAGAAAGTCTTCTCGGGTCTTGCCAGTAAAGCTGCTGTGGTCGGACTTGATGCGCTGGTACATGGACTTCGCTATCTCGATGACGCTGCACCAACCTTCGCTGATCTTCCACATCCCGCGGAACTCTTCTAGCGTTTCGATGTTCTGTCGAGCATATTCTTGTGCACTTTGGCTATTGCTAAGATTCATGAGGGGAAAAGCGTCGAGATATAAGTGCATGATCGCAGATGTGTAGACGCACAGGCCGGAAAACGGAGTGATCAAAGATGCGTTGTCCCGTTTGAGGTCCCGCATCAAGTGGGTAATCTGCACAGAAGCATCGAACATGAGCTGATTGTTGTTGTCCCACCATCCATCCGGGGCCTGCGTCTTGAAATGGGGCGCGTCTTGGGGTCCACTAGGTCCGGTACCGGCTGCTGGCAGGAAGGGTATCCATTCTCGACGAATGAAGATGACACTAATACAAGATCAGGCTTGAAGACATGTCTTCTATAGATACAGCACTTACCTGAGGAAATACAAGAGATTGATGTATGCGAATATCTCTCCGTGTCTGAAATGAGCATGGGCTCCAACGGGTGCTCTCGGGTACTTCAGGCGGTCTTCCTGCTCATCCCTCCACCGGAAGAGTTCCTTTTCAAGGTTGTACCAAAAAGAGCCTGGTACCCAGGGGTACTGGTCGAGGTCCATTTGACCTTGCTGCCTGCGTCCGCCGTTGACGATGTAGCTATGAATCTTGGCCCAGATGTTGATTCCACGAACGATGATACTGTATTGATACTCAATGGTACCATGTGATCTAGAAAGTATAGGGTCGTCTAGGAGCTCTCGAAAGGTGACGTGCTGCGGTGACTCGACATCGAAAGCAAATTCTCTCTCTGCTATTGGTAGGTGTGTAGATATGTCGTCTATATGCATCATCGCGGGTCTCTGTCTTCCACAGCTCAGCAACTTGTCGATGACGAAACAAGTCCATAGGGTTCTGTTTTCTGATTCCGAAGGTCTGAGGTCCTCTGCATTGTCTTTCGCTTCAGAAACGAATGCTTCCGCTCGTGTGGCGACGAGGCACTGCGCCATCCTAATGGCTACACCCGCAAACATCCAGGCGCGGTAGCCAACGCCTTCGCCCCATTCATAGAGAGCAAGCACTAAGAAAGCTTGGATGATACTCAGACGTGGAGGTGATGCAACGTGGAGCAACAGGTCCTGTCGCACGAATGCGGCGTACTGTTCGGATTGCTCTAGACTCTGGTTGGGCATATAGCGAGACGCGACTGCAAGAATTGCCAGGAGCCTGAGTTTTTCAATATCTGGCTGGTCATGCTTGGGCTCGAGAGAGGGAGGTTGGATGAATCCATACTCGGGGAATTTGAGTCGGAGTATGGAAACTGCCTCGTTTATGAGTCCGGTCGGGACGGAAGAAAAGAACTCTGAGACAGTACTGGACTCAAATCGGGGTATTTTGCGTCTTCTTTCTTCTCCAGTGCCTGCAAGAGGCGTGGGTTTTCTCTTGGATTTCACGAGGCTCTCACCAGGAGGTCGGTTGGCAAAAGGGCCCTGGAGAACACATGTCTCCGTGAGCTTAGCCTTCTCACAGCCTTGACAAGGTGAGGTCCCGTCGTGAATGCATTTCACTTTTGATTTCCTGCGTCGGAATGGTCAGAATTTTTTTTAAGATCTCCAGAGTGGCGAGTGTAGTACCTGCATCTGTGAAGCCACGTTAGCGAAGAACCAAACGGCTATTCATCACTGGAGGGGATTCGAGTCAAGCTTTGGGGCACCATAGTACATGCAAGGAGCTTTGACAGTACAGGCCTTATCCCACGAGATCTAGCCTGCCGCCGTTGCACTTGAGGTGTGGGTTCGGGATGCTGTACAACCACACCAATGGGCGCTCGATTGGAAGTGCGAAAATGAAGTCTTACCGTTCACACGCAATGGTCGTTCGCATCTCGAAATCGTCGCATATGGAGCGCTCAAATCTACGAAGGAGATCGGGTAAGGCGAGGTTGTATACTTGGTCGGCTCTGGAGAATAGCTTACTCACGTTCTCTAAACTCCACTACCGGTCAGCCCTATTTCAGCCACGCGATTCCTGAGCTTCACGGGATGCTCGATTCGGCAAGCTGAGTAACCTTGGAATCTTGAGTAAGAAGGGCTGATCTTTCCTCATATGTGTAGAAGCAAGGTCTCTTTGCAGATGTAGCTATTATCGCAGTTGGTAAAGCGATAGTGGCGTTGTCAGCACGATCGCAGGTCAGCATTGTGTCTAGTTCGGTCACTTTCTTTCACCAATACAAATTAATAGAGAGCTGATCAATGCTCATTCTATTCAAAGCCTCCCGATTTTGCTGGTGGCTCTATGTAAGGCTCGTTTAATTGTACAAGAGGGCGTGTGCACAGCAAAGTTCGGAGTTAAGCGGCCCAAAGAATAAAAACAGCGCAAGAGGACGGCCCAAATACTTGATAAAACTGCCGCTGTGCTTTGACCGAACTCGCCATAGACCCAAAAGTTCCAGTAACTGTGCAATATTGGCTAAATTCTTCTATGTGGTATCAAGTAGAAGAGCGAGTACAGGATACGCGAGGTCACTCTCTGGTCCTCCAGTCCAGAGCCTGTATGACTCCAGTTGGGTCGATGCTCAGTAGGTAGTTGATTTTAGATTCAAGACGTTCGACATAGGCTTTAACGGCCCCATGAAGCGAGTGAATTGTGCCTTCGAGGAGCGAATCACATGCAAGACAGGCTTCTTGGGGAGACAAGCTTTCAGGGAGTGCTGCAACCGGAGAAACCACCATCAAAGCCACGTCGAGCTTTATACGTAGTATTAGACGTGGCTGTGGGTCAATGAAGTCGGCTATTATAGACTCCTGAAAAGTTCTGCTCGCATCATGCGGACAGCCATATTCTGTCACCGAGCCCGCATGAATGACGGACTGGGTCTGCCGCCGCAACCTTCAGCAAAACTGAGCTCCAAACTACCGCCACTGGCCACCATTCACATCTACCACCCCAACCCTCGCCCTTTCAACCCTTTTCCTGGCCCTGACATAGTTCCGCCGCATCTCTGCAGCTCCTCTGTTTTGCATGAGGCGTACAAAGGTAGCGTTTAGGTTGTAGCCCGTTACGCCACGCTGGCCTGTAATCCACCGCGCCGCCACCATGCCGACTGGACCAGCTGTGGTGATTATAGCCAGGTACGCTATATCATTGAAACACTCTTCCTTCACTTAATATGTGCTAATGGACAGTATGCAGGCATGGAGCTCGGCTAGACGCTGCGGACAAGACCTGGCATCTTACCTCCCCCACCCCCTACGACCCTCCCTTGACCTACGGCGGATGGGCTCAATCAAAAGCTCTCGGAACACGCATAGCAGCTCTGCTTCATGCTAGAGAAGAGGGCGAGGACAAAGGATTTGGAGCTAACGGGAGCTCCTATGGGCTGGATAGCTTTAGCTTCGGAGCCCAGGACACATCAAGTACCAATGGGAAAGCCTCGAAGTCTACAAAGCGAAAGCAGAAAATCGTAGTCCATTCGTCACCGTACCTTCGCTGTGTTCAGACGTCTGTTGCCATCAGTGCTGGCATTGCACAGTACCAGGTTCCATCAGACAGCGTCCCAGGGCGAAGCCAGTCCCCAAAGAACTCCGGCAGTCCACATGCTCGCCCTGGGTCCCCGAAGACCCGCGCCGTAGGCTCGACGTCACCCCATCTGGCCTCTATTCCAGAGCCTCATGTCCCAGAACCCGAGGACGATCCTGCCCTAGCCGTGTTCAGGAAGTCCTTGAGACGCAAGGCACCCGAGAAGACTATGCTACGCATTGATGCATTCCTCGGGGAATGGCTGTCTCCAGATTATTTCGAGAATATCACACCGCCGCCAAACTCCACAATGATGGTCGCGGGAGCCAAGGCGGACCTTCTTCGTCGTGGAGAGTACATCGAGGTGCAGCAGAACCCACACAGCATCAAAGGCCACTTCCCAGGTGGATGGAAGGCCGGAAGCTCACGACCTTCAAATCACACTTCAAACCACGCCGACGACTCTGTGTTATCGAACCTAAGTAGCTTATCCCAAGCTCTACCTCTCCACAACCACAACCGATCAAACAGTCAGGGGAGCGTTGGCAGTACAAGCAGCAGGACAAGTCACCGAGTATCGACACCCCTCTCTACCTCGCACAAGGTGACAAGCAACATCTACGACCCTCCAGTACCCACCTACGCTGTCTCGCCTTCCGATCCCATACCTCGAGGCTACGTAGCCCACGCGCGAGATGCCTGCGTGGACGTCGATTACCAATGGGACAGCATGAGGGCACCGCAAGAATGGGGCGACGGAGGCGAATACGGGGACGAATGGAGCACCATGCACAAACGCTTCCGAAAGGGTCTCGCGGGTATGATGGATTGGTACAAGGAGCACGGCATCTCAAGCCACCAAGACAAAATGCACGACGCCATCGGCGGAGACTCCGGCGACGAGCCCGACGACGACAGCGACCTCGTCCTCGTCCTCGTCACCCACGGCGCTGGCTGCAACGCCCTCCTCGGCGCCATCTCCAACCAGCCCGTCCTCCTCGACGTCGGCATGGCCTCGCTCTCCATGGCCGTCCGCAAAGACACCCCCACCCACAGGTCCCCCCTCCCCTCACCTCCCCTCCCCGACCTCCGCCGCTCGCCAGTCCTCGATCTCGGCATGTCGGAAGACTACGAGATGAGAATCCTCGCCTCCCTCGACCACCTCCGCCCGGGCGCCGACCCCGCCAAGCTCTCCGAAGTCCAGTCCCCGCCCATGCTGTCCAGCCCAACCGAGTACCGCCGCCGCTTCAACTCGACCACTACCATCAGCAGCCCCGCCGAGTACCCCTTCGGCGCCGTCGAGCCCATCCGCGGCGTCAACAGCGCCCTGGGAAGCATGCGCCGCAGCTCGACGTCCAACTCGTCGTCGAGGCTGTACGCGCCGTCCGCGACGCAGAATGCGCCGGCGATGTCGACGACGGGGCTGTGGAGTCGGGGGCCCTCGACCATCGGATCGGCGAGTGTGCGCTCGTCGAGTCCGGGCGCGGATCTGGTGCTCAACTTCCCGGACTCGAAGCCGAGTAACGCGCTGACGAAGACGATCTCGAATCAGTCGGAGAACGACGACGTGGCGCCGCTGCCGACGGCGGGCAGGTCTGTCACGGGGTTGTGGGGACCGGCGCCGGTTGCGGCTCACACCGAGCGGGTGAGTGGGTTCAAGAGAAGATGGACGATCAGTGACCGCAATGCTTCTTGAGTTCGGGAGCAGGTAGGATGATACATGCATGGGTTCAACGGCGTTCGAGGGCACTCTTCTCACTCCAACGGGTCACGGATGAGAGGAGCAGCATTGCATATCGTCGTCACATTTGTTGAGACGAGCATTCAAAACAAAATCGCACGATACCCTTAATAGAGCTTCATGGTGTTTATATTCATAGTTCTATATATACCACTCACCTTAGTTTCTACAACATGTCAGATGTTGAGTGACCTGTGATATATCCTATTATGCGAGTTAGCTCAATGTACCGTCAAGTACTGGAGTAGTAACAAGGCGAGTCCAGAGTGTCGGTGTCAGAGTTTAGCCCGGTCAAGGGCAATGTCATCAATGCTACTGAGTAGCTAAGAAGACCGTCGTGATTGAAAGAGTATCATCATTCGAGACACTTTCGTTGGGGGGAGCAAGAAATACGGGAGGGCAGATACATACATTTGAAAATCGAACACGAGTTTTGGGTCAGTATCGGTATTAGTGGCTGAGGAACAGGTCAGCGCAGTTCCATCAAATGCAATGAAACCAAAGAAGCCTCTGGCGATTGAATCAGTTAAGACATTCTCGTCTTCGCACCCGAAGGCAACTTGGACATATGCTTGTCATTTGTAGGTCGAATCATCATGTAATGTGGGATAGTGGGTAGGATGGGAAGTGCCGTACCAGGAGGCTCGGAGCTGGGCGAAGCAGTCGGGCTGTCAAGGTTGAAGAATTATGTCTGATTAACTTGTATGAAACATCTGTTGTGATTGTCGTTAGCAGATTGCAAACGAAATAGCAGTTGAAGAGCATGCAGAGTTTGTGCTACTGGATCAGAAAATGCATGAATGGTATATAAAAAAGGTTGTCTGCATCGGAAACCCGGATAAGACTCGTCATCTAAATGGTTCATCATGTAGGAAAATGCGTGAGTGACGCCGGCAACTTACGTTACGCAAAAACAACCATACATCACTGCGAAGTAAAGCCATCCTAGAGACGTCTCAGTAAGGAGCAAGTCTGTCATCCAAGAAGATGTGTGCATGTTGTTGACAATCAGTGGGCGAGGTTTTCTAGGCCTGCCACAAAAAGGCATATCCGATCATGGATTTTCGGAGCCCAGTGCCATTCATCATATAGTCGACTCGAGAAGGAAGAGCGGTGTTCGTACCGTACATAGGGTTGGCCAAGGTGGAAGGTAGGGGTTCTGTCTCTGCGATTAGGAATGTCAGTCCATGATCCTTCAATAGAAAATTGGCAAAATGAAGGTAGTGACACAATAGGTTCAGAATCAGCCTTTTTTGTCGTCGTAGACCAGAGGTCTCAGTCGGTAATTTCCAGCGTGCAAAGCACTCTGATCATCATACAATGTGTTGGGTATAAGAATCGAGCTAGAGATGGCTTACATTTTGCATCAGGGACAGTTAATGGTCGGAGTCTGTAGTCAAGGGGAGCCTGCGCAGATAGATCAGCAATCTGTGTGATCGAAAATATTTCGAGCGTATGTTATGGAAGCATCTTGATCAGACTGACGTGCTTTCGTAAAAGTTTCATTCCTCCTTGGAGGTCAAAGACTCTAGTTTGTATATGGTATGAAAAATCATCATTAAGAGGAAGGGAGGTATTGAAAGTTCTTACCTGGAGAGACTGACACCTATGAGCAGATCTCGGTAGCTTCTGATGAGCTAGCCAGCAGCGACATCGAGAAGCTTCCTATTAGTGAGTGATGAGACAACTTTGCTTCTTGTAGTGGCTCAATGGCATCACTGTAGTTGCTCTGCCCATCTGTTGTGATGCGAAAGCTCGTGTTGGGGTGTTGAGGATGGGGAGGTTGCAAGAATTTGCGGAAAGCTTTGGCGGCGCTCGCTTAAGCACCTTAGTCAGCGAGATATATCTCTTGGCATCGGCACGCCGAGTCCGAGAGAGATGCCGACAACCCCGCCGACATTGTCTTGTTAGCAAGCAGCGATGTCATCTTGATTCTAGAACTCCTTTCATCCATTTGTACATAAGTCTCCCTTCCTCAGACTCAATGTTCTCCGGGAGGTAATTTTAATGAATCATCATATGCCTGTGAGGCAGCTTTAAGACCTATTACTTGAGGAGATACCCTTTTTCGTAGAGCGGAGGCATTAGTCAAATTTTCGGGATACGCGGACGCTTTCTAGTATCTCAAAATCTTTTTTTCATATCTGCGCCCCTACAACACTCCTCAATTCCACTTTCTAGTCTAGAAAAGTCTACATTCTATCCGAAGTCAGATATAAAATGGCCCTTTCCAATACTTTCCAAGCTTTTATCATAACGGCCATTTTCATCCTCCCACTTTCCCTCTATCTAGTCATAAATCAATGGAGCAAGCGCCCCAAAATCCCCCTCCCACCACCAACAACCATCACAAACCTCTTCCTCCACCCGATCAAATCCTGCCACGGCATCGCCGTAACCTCAGCACGCCTCCTACCCACAGGCTTAGACCTCGACCGCCAATGGATGTGGGTATCCTACCCTGACCGCAAATTCCTCACCATCCGTCAAAACGCACGCATGACCCTGATCCGGCCCTCCTACGACCCCTCTAGCAACACCCTCACCATTACCGCGCCCGCCCCGGACTCCATGGACGAGAAGCTGTCTTTCTCCATCCCCGCGCACCCCTCCGCCGCCTGGCTCGCCGAGCACACAACCATCCAAGACGCCACCGTCTGGAGCACCACCATGCCGACCCACGAATACGACCCCGCCATCACGCACTCCTTCAACGCCTTCTTCGCGCAAGAAGTCCGCCTCGTCTACAAACCCCCCGTCTCATCGACACCGCGCGCGCTCGTCGGCAACGGCAGCCCCGCGCACCTCGGCCGCGCCGCATCCACCTGCTTCGCGGACCTGATGCCCATCCTCGTCGGCAGCGAAGCCAGCATCGCGGAGCTCAACGCGCGCCTCGCCGCGCAGGACGAGGCCACGATCGGCGTGACGCGCTTCCGGCCCAACATCCTCGTCGCCGGCACCGCGCCGTGGGCCGAGGACCGTTGGAAGACGCTGCGCATCGTGCCAGAGGCCGACGCGGCGGCGACGTTCTACGCGAACGTGCTGCACGAGCTGGGCTTGGAGGGCGTGGTGCTGGATGTGGTCGCGCGCTGTGCAAGATGTCATGTGCCGAATGTGGACCCGGAGACGGCGGAGGAGCATAAGCGGCAGCCGTGGAATACGCTGATGAAGTATCGGAGGGTGGATCCGGGGATTACGTTTAAGCCGTGTTTTGGGATGCTGTGTGTGCCGCGGAAGGGGGCGGCGGAGGTGAGGGTGGGGATGAGGGTGCAGGTGACGGAGATGACGGATCAGCATCGGTATGTTACGGGGATGTGAGGGGGGTGGTGGTTTTGGGGATCGATTCTCAGGAAGTGATGAGATTGGAGGTGTAGGGCATACGTATTAGGTGTGATCCCGAGGAGTCTTGTATGTTATCTTGTTGTTCTTGCAGATGAATTGCGAGACTCCCATCGCTCGTCCATAGCTCCTTCAGATATATAGCTTCAAGCTCTCGATCCTATTCTTTGACCCCTCCCCCAGACCTTTTCACATAGCCCTGACTTCCGTTTCCCTAATCCATCTTACGCCCGGTGTTCTCTTTCCCAAAAGACTAAACTTGTGCGTCGTCGGGTGTAGTCAGGTTCCTACTTGGATGGTTCAGTGGAGTTGGCCGGCGCAGACGAGGACTGTGAATAGAATTGAGCCCAAAATTCCCGGATCTTGGCCTTTTCAGCTGCTGTAGGCTGGGGTTGGGATTCTTGGACAGAGAATGTGGCGGCCGTGGCAGGTGTGGATGTAGTCGAGGAAGTAAGAGGCGGCATTTTGACGATGCTGATGGCTGATCGTGATTTGGGGATGACGAAGCTAAAAAATGCTGTAAGGAAATAACAAGGGAATGTAAACTCCGCCTGTAGATCGTAGTTGTGTACTAAGAAAATGAAAAGGTACCGTGTAAACTCTAACTGTAGATAGTAGTGGAACAAAAGACACTGTTACCATGGTACCTAAAGCAGGCTACCAGATTCGCATACGTGGCCTCACACAAACTAAATCCTCGAGTCACAATAGTACCAATATCATTTTCGCAGCATCTATTTGCGCCTAAGCTCCGGTTCCCATTAACCATCTCAGAAAGCCCTTCGAACAGCGCGCCGAGTCGATAGCGCCATAGCCATATGCTACGCCAAACCCACAAATTACACCTCAATTGGTTGACTCCATCTAACACTTCGCCAGAAAGTTTCGTGTCAGGTTCCCGCTGCACATCTTTGAGGCCAGACGCCCGAAAGCACCATCGCGATTTCCTGCCGCAAAAACGCCAGCCAATGCCGAAAATGATGATGCAGACCAAGGAAATTGCTTCTATTCGCCATATCCATGATCCGTCGTGATGTGTTCATGCAATGAGAGTAAAGGAAAGACAATGAAAGCAGATGTCTACTAGCCAGATTCCTCCTGAAGTGAACAAGAGTAGAGGGTTCGGAGGGCGTATCATCGACAATAGTCCTATGAGGCAATACCGATGTTAGTAGGTCATGCTAATAGGTTCTGGAAATGCCATTTCCAGTCTCGCATTACCATCCGCTCGTGCTAGGCTGGCCACCATATGCCATCTCTCTGAAGCCTTCTGGGACCGTCCATCCATGCGTATTGCAGGAACGGACGTACGCTTCGACAGCCTCGCCGACGCCGTAATCACGCATCGCGCCGTTCTCAAGACGAGCTGGCTTGGGGTCTAGGCTGGACATGGCCATGCGGACTTGGAGAAGAACGGATTCGATGGAAGAGACGGCGCTCCAGCCGTTGTTGGTCAGAAGCTAAGAAAAGGTCAGCAGCTGTTGATATAAATCGACGCTTAAATGATGACAATGGGAGATATACAAAAGAAATCACATACCTCCATGCACAAAGCGCCTCCAATAGTGACATGTCCACCGCCACCTGCCTGGAAACCCAAAAAGCGTGGGCGAATGACTCGCACAAACGGCGGGCTCATCGGATAGTCTTTTCCAAATCGCAACTCCATAACAATGCTCTTGATGCCCTTTGACTTCATGTCCTTTGCGAGAGGAAGAGTCGGATCAAAAGAATGCAGCTCAACGATCCATTGATACATGTTCGTGATCAAATCTGGATCGATGTACCAGCCTAGTTCATGCAGAGGCTCAGTGTCTTGCACTTTGAGGAGCGCCTTGAAGTCTTGTTGAAGTCGCTTAGTTGCGGGCGATGTGGCCCAAGCTGGTGGTTCAAGCATGGGTAACTTCGAGGCATCAAGGCTGCCAGGAACGAAATCCATCATGGGTTTCGTCGGCTTGGAGTCTTTAGACGAGCCAACAAGTTTGGAGAAGAACGAAGTTGCTTTGCCCTTTCCTTTACCGACATAAGGTTGTGCCTCAGGTTCATTCTCCTGTACGGGCAGGTCGTCGTCGCATAGAATAGCGAGATCTTCTTCCAACGTAGCAACACTTGCCGAATCATCGAAATCGTCATCCAAGACAATTGGGTCGGATATATTCTTCCCAGATGCCTTGATGCGCTTGCTAGTAGTTTTGATTGATACGGAACGGGGGCGGCGGGAATTTGATACGGCAGTGATCGGGATGATGATCTTATCGGTGGGACCACGTGGTGTCGCATTCGGATCTTGCTCGTGAACCTGAAGTGGTCTCGTATCCTGCACTGTATTGACATCGGGCTGGGAGCCCTTGACAAAAAGGTATCGAGTTTGGATCCAGTCTAGCTGAGCGACCACCATATGTGGGTTTGAACTGACGAACTCCTTGGGGGCGTTGACAATCTCGTTCAAAGCAATGGCAGAGCTAACTTTAAGCTCGCTCGGAGGCCAGGCCGATGCTGGAGTATACCCGTAACCGCAGTATCCCATGCTCGTGTTGTAATCAAGAGAGTGGTAGACCCCATGGCCGTAAGCCCTACCATGTGCGGTATGGTTGAAGTGCAGACCCTCTCGGATGATGCTGTGCCAATTCTGGAGAGGGCTGCCATGCCAGGCAAAGAATGTGGGATATTTCAGCTTCAGACGATCTGAAGTGCTCCGGACAGCAGTGATGAAGCGCCGCTCCTTGTCAGGCGCTCCCATAGCAAATCGAAACTGCGTATATCCAGTCATTCCGTATAGCCGCTCTTCGCCTTTCTTGCCCTTCGGATCGGTCGAATGATCAACTTGCATGATACAAGCTCGGTTCGACGCAATGATCCACCGCAGAATGCCCAAGGCGGCCGGAGATATACGGTCGACCCAGGTGTTCAGACCTGACTGTGCCTTTCGCAAAAGATAAAGTCTCATGTCGGCCACACTTGGTAGGCAATCCAAGAGAGAATAGATAGCCTGTCGTTTGTAGAACTCGTGCAGCTCGTCGAAATTCTGGTTGTAGGCAAAGTACGTGGCTGGAGTAAAGTTTGAAGGGACATTACCAACAGGCGCCTTAGGATAGGTTGGAGCAACGTAGTTTGGAGCAGCATAGTTCGCCCCATGTGAGTTATCAGGTAGAGAGCTCGCTGGAATGACCGGCTCCGACACCTTTACTGTGGGGAAGAAGGTAGTCTCTACGATGCGGCAATGAAGTGAGCGGGTTGGATTATCGACGGTGCGGATAATGATCCACTCTCCACTCCTGAATGGGCACGGCTCGTTTGGATTGTCGAAGATCATTTCAAGCTTCGACGTGTCGAAACGCATCTTGCCAGGCAAAGTGGCTGCCGTGGTACTTTTGGCTGGAGAGGGCGGTGCCTGCAGAGGGGTGTTGTAAGCCGGCATATATCCGGGGTAGTTGCTCACAGACGTGTTGAGGTCCAGATTTTCGAGTGCGCTCGCAGGGGGAACCATCAAGCTCAGACCAGTTGGGAAGTCCTTCAGACCGCCTTGTCTGGCACTGGCATAGCAGAAGCTAATGAGCAGGTCCACCACCTTTGGTTGTGCAATTATTTCATGCTCTATGCTGGGACCAAAGCCAAGGGACATGTATTGGTATAAGCAAAGAGGCTTGTCGCAAACGTACGGCTTGATGGCCTCGAGGTCGTCCGCCATCTTGCCGAAGCAAACAAGACAAAACTCGGTACAACGCACGAAGTGCCGAAGAACAAATTGCATGGCGATAAGTGGGAGCGACGTAACCTGGTCTGAGGCAGCCTCCTGAACATGGTCCCCTGTGACGAGTGCCGGGTATGCGGTAGCAACCTGTTCTAGCTCCATGTATTTGTCGTTCATCATGTCGGAATTCTCAATATTTGTCCCGAGGTGGTCGGTGTAGTACTGTTCCGCTCCAGACCATGGCATACCCATATATCGGTACTCAATAAGTGTGACGAGCCGCTCGTTGAGGAGCTCATTTAGGGGACGAGAGATGAAAGAGTTTCGGAAGCCTCGCCCGGCCGACGGATCTTGTGATTGGGAGTCTCCTTGCGCTGCTTCGCGACGCTTCTCCTCGTCCTTGGACAACACAGTGAACGCCCGAACGGCCTCCTGCATCGTGGGCTTGTAGGAATTGCTGATCCCGATCCTCATGCTGATATGCCGACGGGCCGTGGCAGCATCATAGCTCCTCAGGGACTCTACGCTCTTGTATCCGTTAGGGTAGTAGAGGATCAAGACCAGGTACTCAGTTGGCTCGATCTGCCATGCTTGCATGGCCTCTTCGGAGATGCCCAGTTTGGCGATTCGACACGAGATGGTGACATAGCAGCCTAGCCCATCCATCAGAGACCCGAGATGTCCGACCTTGAAACCAGTCGATTTGGCTGATAGCAGATCTGCTCGGATGCGATGCCGGAACTGTGACGTTGGCTGCGCGTAGGACGACGGGTCAGCAGCCTCTGATTTGGAATATTGTGCTTTAGGGACAACCTCGTCGTCGGGGAAATACTCGTCCCCGGAGTAGTCCTCTTCGTCGTCGTCCTCGTAATCAGACCCATAAGCTTGTTGAGAATCCATCATCTGTGTATCGCCATCGCGGTCTGTGGACTCCAGCTTCCGAGCAACCAATTCGAGGAGCTGGACAATAGTCTTGCCTGTGGCTGCATCTGCAATATCCGGGAGAGCCTGGGCAACCTTATTTGGAACATTATCGGAGGCAAATAGCATGCAGGTGTGACTTGACGGGTACTCAGATAGCTCCGGGATTAGTGCAGAAAGCTCCATGGTGTTGCCATTGGCTGCGTTCTTGACGCGGAACGTGAACTCCCCATCGTCGCCGCCAACCTGGACATCGCTGATACCAACGATAGAAAGTCCTCCGACGGCCTGCTGGAGGTCCGCAATGTACGCCTTCCTAGGCATCGTGGCGGTGGAAGGTTTCCTGCTGGGCGGTACGTGTGCGGAGTCCTAGGTAAAGTGAGGCGGGGTGGTGCCACGCTCCTGACTGGAATTAAGGCAGCAAAGATGCAGCTGCAAGCTCTCCAGAGGAACTGGCAGGACTTGTATCTTGGGGACAGAGAATTTGGGTCTCGGTGGTCCAGATTGAGGTGCAACGTGGAGGGTTGACTTCTTCAGGCGGGTGGTGGTGGGGCAAGGCTGCTGAGGTTGGTACAAATGCACGGCGAACCTTAGAACACACAGCTCGACGAACGAAGGATCTCGAAAGGCCTAGTAGAGCACGGCAAGAGGCAGCCGTCTCAGTGTGAGAGAGACAAATGAAAGGAGGGTGGACGGAGGCTGCTGGCGGAAGTGTGGTGTTTTAGACAGCGGTCCAGGCAGCAGACAGCTGGAGCAGGCGCGCGAAAAAAGAGCAGCCAAGCTGCGGGCGGATGATTCACGGTGCGATGTCTTGCACGGTAGACGACTGGTCAATGGCCTGTTCAAGACGATTCAGGAGGAGGCCCGTCTGGCAGGGCATTCACAGCCGTCTGGAGCCTTTGCCAGGCAGCAAGTGGGCAGTGGGGCAGTGTGGCAGTGAACTGAGCTCCCCGCCAGCACGGCCGCGAGAGGTCGCCGTAGATAGGCGGTCGAGTTAGCGATGGTGGGAGCAGCTGCCCGGCGAGGCTGTCGCAACAGTCGACAGTATGACAGCGGCAATGAGAGAGGAATTGAATGGCAGCTGTTGAAGCAATATGGCCGAGTTGCAGTGCTGGTACACTACAGCGAACCTTGAGGTAAACAGGCGACCAGTGCCTGGCTTGTCACGCTGTGGCGGCGCGAGGGGCACCTTTCTAAGCTCCCGCAACTAGGGACCAAGGCACCTACAGCTCCACACGCCGTTGAATTTGCACCGCCATCGTCGCTATCCAACACCGCCTGGGCATCATGGCCGTCTCTGCTGCCGCCGACGAATCCGCGCCTCGATCCTCTCACGTATCCGACCCGGCTCTTCGACCCTTTCTCCAGCTCTCCTTCAGCCCCGCCGACTACCTCAATGCCACCCTCCCTCCACTCGCCCACTCTTCAGCGTCCTCCCGCGCCTCCAAGACCGCCGCCGTCTCCCTCCCAGACCTGTCGTCCCAGACCCAGACACTCCTGTCGCAGCTCAATGCTCACACCGCCCGCCTGTCCACCATTCTGACCCAATTGACCGACGACATACTGCGGAGCGGGGGCCGTTTGGCGTACGAGGTGGAGGTCTTGCGGGGAGAGACTGTGACTCTCTCGGAAGCTCTGACGGATGGCTTGCAGCCCGAAATCTGCAGGTTTCTGCCTGGTGGTATTTTACTCGAGAAAGAGGCAGCTCCAGAAGCCAGCGAGGAAGAAACATCCGTAGATGACGCCGAGCAAGACGCTGGCGGCGACGCGAAAGCTCCCAATGCAACCAAGTCTGGCGCTGACTTACCGCCATACATCTCACAGCTACGGACCTTAACGCAGGTCAGGGACCGCCTAGACAACGTTATAAAAGTGTTCGGCGATGCAATGCAGTGGTCAATTCCGCCGTCCGAAGTCTCTCTGGCCTCTTCATTCATCTCGGTATCCGCCCCTGAGCCTGGCTCCGACAGCCACAGCAGGGAGGAGAAGGGACGAGAGTTTGCGGAGAAGCTACGAAACGAGATTTCCGATCTCATTACCGGGAGTGACAGTGACGCTGAAGCAGCCTTGAGCCGTATACAGGCACTACGAGACCTTGCAGAGGTGTGGAAAGGCACAGCAGAGGAGAAGGCCCGCATAAAATTCGTCGAAAGCCTGGTCAAGCTATCAGAGGAACGGCAGAAGGCAACGAGTTCGACTGCGAGCCAGAGGCAAAGGGTCCCGCGCGGTCCTTCTCCGCAGAAACAGCAAGCTCGCGAGAAGGGCCATGGCGGTGGATTCCTCGAAAATATCTCAAGGATGCGTGGCAACATATACTTAGAGTGAAAGGAACCGTCCAATATCTCGCCAATTGTATCGTTGTCTGCTTGGAGTAGCATCTACGTACTGTGCAAGTATCCACCAAAGAATGCCGAAGCGCCCTTCAGCACCACTAGGTACCTCCATTCGGGTACCTATCAAGGACAGATTTTTATTGAAATTGACGTTAGCCGAGAGTCGGTTACTTTTTCGGATTTGAGCAGTTTCTTAGAGCTTCCAGTTCCTCCATTGCTTGCCTGGGCCTGTGTTGAAGCATCTGGAGTTTTGTGGCTGTTAGGAAAGAACATTCACCTTCACTGGGTTGACTGTTCAAAATCACGGCATCCGTTCGGTCGATTGACGAAAGCAAGATCCGTCTTCCCTAGATTCTCTAGGTTCTCCAGATGATGTACCGATGCTTGTTCACAAGGGCAAGGATCCCCTCGATTTCGGAAACATCATGATTCCGCGGTCTTCCGTCATAGTAATGAGGTCGGAGCAAACGGGGGCGGAACTCCTCAAGCTAGACTACAACGATCAGTAGCTTCCACTACGTTACTAGAAATGTCGACTTTTTCACAGGATTCATCAAATTCATTGTTTGACGCCAATAGATTATGCGCATACGAACATAAGCTACATGGTACCACGCCAATTAAATGCGGTGACCGGACAACGCGCGAACATAGACGGACCACGAGGGCATTATGTCTCCACTCTTCGTAGCACGAAACATATAAGTGATCTTCGGACTCTTTTTCCCACCTTTTCGTTTCAACGAACTCCTCGCTACTGTGTCTAAGATGGTTCTGGTGCGCGTCCTCGTATTTCTACTCTTTCCTCTATCTATCCTTTCAGTTGCTCTGAATCCGAAAATTCGCGGTACTCCAATCGTCGACCTTGGCTATGCGAGCTACAGTGGCTATTACAATGCCTCCACTGGTATCAATTACTTCCGTGGGATTCCATATGCCAAAGCGCCCATTGGCGAACTTCGATGGCGCAAGCCCGTACCCATAGATGGTGCCATCAAGAAGGACAAGCAAGTCATCAACGCCAGTTTACCAGCTCCAGCCTGCTACCAATCCAATCCGAGTTGGGCAGAGTTTGGGGCTTCGCTATCTGCTGGGGCCCCTTTCCAACAATCAGAGGATTGCTTGATAATGGATGTGCTTGTGCCGAGCAGCCCTGTATCTCAACGTCTTCCTGTAATAGTGCAGATTCACGGCGGTGGCTACACTCTTGGCGATGCGGCGCTGTATCCCGGCGACGCCATGGTCAATCAGTCTAGCGGAACCGTGATCTATGTCGCCATTCAGTATCGTCTTGGCGTCTTCGGATTCCTCGGCGGTAAATCAATTGCAAAAGATGGCATTTTGAATGCAGGATTGCTAGATCAGAGAGCGGCACTAGAATGGGTAAGCGTGTCTAGTTGTTATCCTCTTCCTTCATTACATTCTGGAGACTGATCATTCCTAGCTTCAACGACATATACACGCATTCGGGGGAGACCCATCTCGCATTACCATATGGGGTGGCTCTGCTGGTGGAGGCTCTGTATCTTTGCAGTTGACTGCATATAGCGGCAAGGATACTCCTCCGTTCTCTGCTGCCATTGCCGAATACCCTTGGTGGCAGCCACTCCTTAACCCTGCTATACAGGATGCCCAGTACGACACTACTCTTCGCTTATCGAAATGCAGCGACATAAACTGTTTACGTGCTCTCTCTGGAACGGACCTAGCAAATGTCGGACAAGGTGTTCTGAACGTGTCATACCCTAGTGCCGGTTACGGATATGGCCTTTTTTACTTCGGCCCCGTTGTTGATGGAAATTTCGTTCGAGATCTCCCAAGTACCGAATATCGTGAGGGTCATTTCTACAAGGTGCCTACGATCGTGGACCACGAGGGTTATGAGGGCGTCATTTTCACCAATCCGACACTGACTACGACCGATGCTGAAACTAAAGATGTGAGATGTTCTTTTCTTTGCTTCTATGCAGTTATCATTACAGGCACTGACGTTAAATTGCTCCCATTAGGCGCAGTACATCTTCCCCTCGGCGGACGCTTCTTTCTTCTCTCGCCTCTACGAGCTCTACCCCAGCTCCGATTTCAACTCCACCTTCTTCCAACGCCAGCAATGGTTTGGCGACGCAATAATCAATTGTAAGCTTTTTACTTATTCCTAAACAGCATACATCCCCCTCCGGCTATAGCTAGCACTCAGTTCGGCTCACATTTTGCCTTAGGTCCGTCATACCAAATAGCCAACGGAGTAGCCACCCATTACCCAAACCCGCACGCCGTCTACAAACTCGTAACCGCAATCGGCACCGAGCTACACGGCTCTAATCTCCCTTTTCTCACTTCCGCGGATCCTGGGTACACGTCTGCGCCAAATGCCACGATTGCTAAGATTCTCACGGGCTACTGGTTATCCTTTGCTATTACCGGCAATCCAAACCCACTTCGTTTCCCAGGGGCTCCCTACTGGCCGTCGTATGTGGGTGGTTACGGTGGGAAGCGTGTGCTGAGTATCAATTATACACAGATTGGGAGGGTGCCCGACCGGGATGAGGGACCGCGGTGTGATTTCTTCAGCTCTCAGGGGACAATTGTTGAAAATTAGAAAGGTGGGTTTCGACCATTCGCTAACACGCCAAAATTTAGTTTGGGAACGGTAGGTTAGCTTCCCAAACAATTCAATCATCAATCACAGCATCATTTTGATTTGCTATTAGTTTGCGTAACAAACCTCATAATTCAAAACAAGAATATTCATCACCAAGCTCTCTCAACAATCACACTTTCAGGATATTTGAAGCTCTTATTAATTCCTAGGTTCCTCTACTGAAAATCTTCAGAGACGCCAACCTACACTAAGTCATCATACGCGTTCGAGCAAACGCAAAGTCTCACTTGATCCTTGCTAATATGGATGACCGCGGCAATATGAACGATGAGGACCAACTTTACCCCATCGAAATTCTCCTTCGAGTATTGCTCGTCCTATGGGTGATTTGGGACCTTCGTGCGTATCTCCACCGGTAGCACCTTTGAGAAACCCATCAATCATGCGGCGGTAAAGCTTTGAGGCATGCATTTTCGACAGGGTGGTGTTATACAATTTTTTTGAATACTTGAGACACTCTATATCTAACCTGACTTTCTATTCCTTATAATCGCATATACAAATGGTCGAGAAGAGCCGAGAAGACGTGGAGTTTGAGATCCCCATTTTAAGATCATCGTCCCCGCGATCTATTTATGATTTGTACTGACATTTCCTCTTAGATACGTCAACCTATCGTTCTCGATTACTCTCCAGTAGTGGTTGACAGGAGTGGAGCAGCCCTAGCACACTTTATGTTGCAGGAAAAAGAGAACAAAAAAAGCGGGTTGGACCTAAAGCTTGTCACTTGGGAGTGAGAGAGGGGTGCAACATCTAGTTTTAGATGTTATAACGACTATAATAAGGTAAGAAAGCTCAACTTGCTCATGTTCTACAGATATAGCTAACATATCTAAGGGCTCCCGAACGCCTAGTCGAAACCACGATTCATCAAGCGAGCGTTGCTCGGTTGATGACTGCGCCATTCGAAGACCATGGCAGATTCGAAAGGCTCTCGAGGCTATCGATGGAGATTCCCTCAGATCACCCACGCACAGTCTCGCCACTCCTTTCGGCGACAGAGTGTTGAAGCCAGTTCTTAGATGGGGCGCAAGAAGATGGAACAAAGCAGGCGTGGCTCCAGCGTTTTGTCAAAAGGCACCCTGAACTCTGCATGCGAACTTACTGATGCCGCAACGCCAGATACGGGCTTCGGAAGGGCTCAGCAATCCATTTCGGAGAATGGCAAATATGTTCCGCCACATCTGAGGCCAGATTCAACATCGCAGCCAGCTCTCCTGCCCGCAGGTCCTGCTCAATCAACTGCTTCGCAACGAGCGTGGGAACGGGCACGCACATTGGAGCCCGAGGCCTCATGGTATGTTCGAATGGCCCGAACCACTCCCGCGTCTGAAGAATGGGATGGCTCGGTGGAGAGCTCTACAACAGGGGAAATTTTATGAGAGCGGTTTCCTTGAGTCTCGTCCTACACGCCATCATCATACCCATACCCCTACTACCGGCACACTCGCAACACCACAGCGGGTATTCTCCAACCCTAACACACAACAGCAGCATCTACATCTCTTCCTGTCATGACATAATCCTTATGAACGATGAGCTCAAGCAACATGTTGTAGTTCCAAAAGGCAAAAAAGGTCCTCGATATTGTGAGCTGGCTCTTTATGTACTAGCGATCTCGGGAATAATATTCTCATGAAACGACAAGTGATCGATTTCTTATTCCAATACACCGCCATTTTGACCACAACAAGTATCTGGAGTTCGAAAGGAAGGCTATGGAAAATGGGGGCTACCCCTTGTTTACCCTCTTACAATACCCGGGCCTCCACGAGGATCACAGAGCGCCTCCTACCGTGCGCTGATATATCCGTACGGACAGCAGTCATACGAAGACACCCGCCAACCACCAGCAATATGGAGGGTCCTTCGAGCACTCTTTAGTGCTCGTTTAGTTCTATATGTTTCCGTTAATATCACCACGTTATTGTTCATTCATGTTAGCCCTGTCCCTAGCTTCAGCTGTTTTTCGATGTTGTTTCGCATCTCTGATTCCCTGGGATGTTTGTTACCAAACAGGCACCGAGACGAGAGCTCCGAGGGCCTAATTAATAGGGCTTTTACCGCCAAAAATTCACCACCAGAGGTGCGGAGAGTATACGTCACTACAAGGAGATGATTTGGGGACGTTATGTCTATTTAAAGGGAGCGTAGTTGATTTTGCATCAACGCAAGGAGTCCGCTCCATCCCTAGCACCCACCACATCCCATCACCACCCCAGTTCATGAATCACAGCATTAAACGATACTCCGCAATACACCAAGGCAATGTGAGGTCGTTTTACAAATCGCTAGCACTTCTTTGTACAGGAGACCCCGACAACTATTTACTAGTTAAATGGCAAGTGCAGAACGCATTTCTGGTGGTATATTCGAACGATCCACAGATCATGGCAAATATGTCAAGTTCAATGATGAGCCTGTTGCGCCAGGATCGCATCCATTATTCACGCTGTTGGAGTGCACGGAGCTCGGACTGGACCACACGGTATACTACATTGTTGCTAAAGCCATGAGAATCCAGCTCTTCATTTGGACCGACCTCTGACAAAACCGTCCTCTCGGATTGAATTTTCGGTTTGGGCCTGTGGTTAATCCTCAAGTCCAGCTCCTCTGCATCCCGTGTAATCAGAGGATCCAAAGCACGCGCACAGCCGGGCGGATCATCAGTGGGACGGCCACTCTTCGGTATGCCCCTTTGGTGGCGGGTAACAGCGGGGCTTCTCTAGCCAAATTTATGCACCTAGAGATGGAGAAGAATGAGTGCGGCCTAGATCTATGAGTCTGCTGGGCTCACTTGTTATAGGACGAGCTTAATTACCACTCCCCCTTTCTCTCCGCGTCACCCCCCTTTTTTCTTCCTACCACCTCCCTTCCATTTAGCTTAGCTTCGGCTCGTAATAACTTTGTTCCACCGATTAGGTTGTAAGCGATAGTAGTGTTAGACAGCGGTCTTAATTCACTAATACAGTACCGGACCTCTCTACCGGATAAGCAGGCCTAACGGCGACGCAGGGCTCTATTTCCTTAGTCCCCGATAGTTAACCAGCCCTTAAGGATGGCCCTCTGTCTACTCCTAAGGAGGAGGCTGTTTATAGTGAAGGAGCCGGTGCAGCAGGAGGATCTTCGGGTGTAAGACCTTGGTATAATGGTGTATACGGCGTTCCTTTTAATCAGCAATAAAGAGGTGGCCGTCTAGGAGCTTTCCGCTTCTAGACTACCTAGAGTAAACAGAGTGAATAGACTATTGTTGCATGTGTATACATCCTTTCTGATTTGTGTGGCCTTTCCGATTTGTGTAGCCTTTCCAATTTACATAAGCGAGTGAATCTAATTAGTGGAACAAAGTTATTACCAGCCGGAGCTAGGCTAATGTAGGGGGGGTGGAAGGAAGAGAAAAGGGGGGTGATGCGGAGAGAAAGGGGGGGTGGTAATTAAGCTCGTCCTTGTTATAACGGACATGACGAAGTAAGTAAGCGAATCACCAGGTTTAGCACATCTAACACATCAAAGGAAGCTCCATTACTACCACTGAACCCAGGCCCATCTACCCAGCGGTGCGGAGTAACGGACTGTGCCATTCGGAGATCCGCGATGAAATCAAGTTGATTGAGAAAGCTCTCCTTCGGTCACCAACGCATGGTTTGACTCCACTTGGCAAGCAAGTCCTGAAGCCAACACTCGGATGGGATGCCGAATTTGCAAAATTACCTCAGCAGCCGGATGACCTCTCTCCTAAAGAGCGTGAAGAGCGTTTCATTCGCGACGAACATGAAGAACTTGTCACTGTGATGGTGATATTTGTCGGAGAACAAGCATCGTTCAAATGTTACATCCTTGAGATGTTGGAGAACCCAACCAAAGATACAGTTCCAGAATTAAGTGTCTCCGTACAGTCCAACTCGATAATGAGGGCTGCCTTGTCTGTAGTTAAGCTTTTTCTGAAAATGGTTCAAGAATGGAAAGAAGCTGATGGTGGCATCTAACCTTCGAAGCGATATGCACGCGATAAAGAGCAGTATCGCCCATATGTTCTAAGGAACAGAACGACTTTCTTTCCAGTACGAATCTTTTCGATTCGTCAACGGATCTAAACTGCACGCTATCACGCCGAAGTGGAGATTACCCATGGGCCAATATTTCGGCGGGTGGCTTCCTCTAGACCTGGAGTTCTCGGAGTCTCTGGTAAACTGCCCCGTTCCACTCTGATATAGTCTCCATCGCTTTTGCAAGCGCTGTATTCTGGATCTCTCAACATTGTTTGTCGATCCTCCGGAATCGCAGGTGCGCCACTCCGTCATGGATGGGGCGAGCCACCATATGGCTACAATTACGAGAAGTTCTTACAGTGTGTCCGAGCTGGAGATCGACTGCTTGAACTCCTCAAGCAGTTCAAAGATGGGCCAAGGCGCTTCGGGGGAGAGGGTGCCTTCTATTCCGTAGTTGGAGATGCGGACATGCAACACGATGCAGTCATCATCGAATATCTCCTGGGAGACGTCCTGGATTTAGTGAGAGCTCTCATGGCGATGCTTGCCACGGATGACCGCCGCCTAACCACAATACGTCTAATGAAACATCCCGAAAGAGACCCAGAACTCTCCATGGAACTTCCAGGGAGACCGAGCCCAAGCAAAAAGCCTTTAGGTAGCGGACTCACAGCTTATAAAGACCATGTAAAACGCTTTCACGGCCGTCAGGAGGTTCAGAACGCCTACACTGCTTGCTCCCCGCACCAAGCATGGGAAATGGAGAGTTATGGGCCTTACAACACAGCAGCACCTGGTGATAGAAGCTGCGAGAGAGGCATCTTCCCGTTTGTATACACTGCGGATTTGTCGTACGTAGACCACGAACTACGAAATCAGGCTGGTGATGAGGTCTTATCAGAAGACATGAAGGAACTTCTATCAGCAGCGGACGACCAAGTGACAACATCGTCTATCTTCCGGAGCCCGACCTCGGCAGAGCAAGAGCTGATCAACAACTCTCGAAACAAAATCCGCCATCGACTATTCGACGTGTGTAGGTTTAGCCTCCCGGATTTCCTGGTGGCTCCGGATCCGCCCGCCCACCCAACCTATTGCGGCGTACCTACGCAGAGTATCCGCGGATGACTACCCAGACCCGATCGTTCGTGCTGGCATGACACACGAAGAATACCTATTGGCCCTCCTACGGTCTGACAAAGCGGCCCAGGTGCCCCCACCGCATGGATTCGGAGCTCCGTTAGGAAGCAAAAAAGGCCTACCCCATTTCTTCCACGACCTCCCGCGTGTACCGGGCGCCGATCTCCCCTTCGCGCGCAACATCTACGCCGAATTCCCTCTCCCAGGTATCTTCTCCGGCGACGCACTCGGAGCCCTAACGCCTGAAACTCATCTCGAACCTCTCTCGATATTGAACACTCTTACAGAAGAAGAAGAAGTGCTAGCGATTATCCCTGGACTCGTTCCAGACCGCGAAGAAAAGACCGTCCAGGACTATTACGATGCCCTGTTTCTCTGGAACTTGTGAGCCCAGAGTGCGGTGAAAGACATTGAGGCCGATGTGGAGAAGGAGAAGCGGAGGAGTGCGCAAGAGGGGCTGCCTGGAGACTTTGATATCCGAGACATCTGGGATCCGCACGGGAGGGAGTACGAAGCCCGCGTGTGTGCAGCCCCAGAATGGAATAAGCCGCCTGTTGCGTTGCAGCGGAGAATGGCGATCACCGACGGCAATGGGAAGTGGATCTCGGAGAGTACGCGACGCTTGGATGCCCTCAAGAAGATCATCGTGCAGGTAGAGGTTGAGATCTTGGAGCTGGAACTCCAGGGACTCAAGATGTCAGAGGGGTGGGGAGTATGAGTCGATATTCGCATTCGCTTCTTTCTTTGTATCATTCATTGTTACTATTCCTTGGGAATGGATACTCTGACCCTTATCGGATAATATCCTACTTCTGGGATAGACAGTAGAGGGTCTGGCTCCTAGATGAAGATTGGGTAGACGAGTTTACATCAATATCATCTTCATTTTGTCCTCAGCCTCAGCCTCTTCAATGCAACACATCTATTCGTGGCCATGCTTTATTTAACATCCAATCTAAATCCCTCTTTTTTCCCCAGCACCCACTTCTCACACCGCCCGACATCTCTACACCCTAAATACCTCCTATGCCTCATTCGCTAAGCAACGTGACCTATCCCAAGTCACATGCAACTCACATGACTCCGAAATTTTTTGACTATAAAACCCCACCATGTTGTCTCTTCAAGGGAAAGAGCGGAGGTGCAAGGGACAGCAAAACACTTTGGTGAGACAAGCGAATGGTGTCTGTCGGCTGTCAGAACCAAACTGTATGCGGTCCATGGCGCCGTTGGGGCCGGTGGTGGAAAAAAAAAAAAGGCGTGCGCCGCCGTACTATGTGCCGTCCGTTCACCATGCAGTACTTCTCGGGCTCATGTGTGGTGGGAGGTTGGTGGAGATTGCAAACAACCGGGTAAACTTTCTCCATGGGACTGGGGAGTACGAAATCGAAACAATGATGGTAACTAACCCCCTCCCACGCCTACCGTCCTCAATCACCTCTCAAACACTTCGATCAATGTCCTAATGATACTGCACACTAAAGTCTTTCAGGCTCATAGGTCAGCGGTGTATTTTCATCAGCATCGCCATTCGCGGCCCCTGAATATGCTCAGCATCATCTAACCTTAATGCCGGCGCCAACACAACGCCAACGTGTTCATTTGCAGGCCGTAGCATCTGAACATTGACAGAACGCGACATTATGTACATGAGAGCGCCCTGTTTGCTACTAGCATTGATTGCAGTGGGTGATTGTCATAATCTAACACGACGCCGCCGACACAGACCATGGTCCTGTTTTATCTATATTTTGAGCCGACTCAATCTCGACACTCCCATGGAGAGTGAGCCACGCTGCTTTTGCAGGAACCATGTTGCCAGCTCTATGTCAACTCGGCAGAAAACAGACCGAGCAGTCATTCGATTGTAGTCTTCGCTGGTTTGCACCTCCCCTTGGAGGTCACCGCACTCCTGAAGATTGAAAAGCCAGAGGCCGGACAAGGTGTTATAGCTCCGGAATAAAGGTTGGTAGAAGCAAATTGGATGAGTCAGCGACACGTGATATTGCAATACTTATCTCCACTTACGAAGGCATCATGAAGCGCCTGATTGTGTTCTAAACGCTTCTAAAATATCCTAAAACGCACCATTCAGTCTATCGTAACGCCGACCTCGCCCTCGTCCAAAGGAGCGTACACCAGATGATACCAAAGCCCGCACACCGCCAGCCCGTACTCTTACATAGCCATCTACCTCAAATCCAACCCACCCAGCCTACCCCATCTGTGTCTGATTACCCGAGAGCATCCACGCCTCGGGCATCTCATTCCCCGACTCCGTGGGCGGCATAACCGACCCAAACAAATCCATCACATCCGTCCCCATCAACAGCCCCTCAGGCATATAATACGGATCGTCGCTAATTGGAAAAAACAGTGCATCCGTCACGCCCGCCGCACTCGCCCCCGACACCTCCGCCGGCGGCATCACTATCTGGCTCTGATTCTGGCTCTGGCTCTGGCTCTGGCTCTGGCTCTGGCTCTGGCTCTGGCTCTGGCTCTGGCTCTGGCTCTGGCTCTGGCTCTGGATCCCGCTGCTCGGCTGATTCAGCAGCGTATTCGACCACTGGATGCGGTTCCCCTGCCCGGCCTCGCGCAGCTGCACGTCGCGGACGTACTCGCGCGCGATGTGCGCAAACTCGGAGACGAGGGAGCCCGGGAGCGTGCCGCCGGAGGCGTACTCGACGCGACTGAAGTGGCCGCTGGCGACGTCGAGGAGGGCGAGGTTAGTGCTGGTTTCTGGGTGGGTGGGGTTGTGGATGACGAGGTCGAAGAGGACGAAGAGGCCGGAGAGGGGCACGCCGGCGAGGACCCTGCGCGTGTTTAGTAGGGGGTTTGGGGGAGGAAAGGCGAGGGGAGGGGGTGCGTTACCAGACGGGTGTGTAGGGAGCTACGTCGATGTAGGGGGTTAGTTCTAGGATGGCGCAGGAGGCTTTGACGAGGAGCGTTTTGCTCTCCGAGTGGCGGGTTGATTTGGCGGGGTCTTCTCTGGAGGCCTCGGCGTTGATGTGCAAGGAAGCTCGGCATAGGGCGAAGACGAGGTTGTAGTAGAGGAGATGTACTCTTAGAGCTATAGTAGTGCTGAGCGGCCCGGGGAGTGCGTGAGCTCGGAATTGCTCGCCGGGGCGAACATTGATGGGAATGGACATCCGCCAATGCTCTAACTCTTCCATCAGCTGTCCGATAGTGGTGGTGAAGTAGCTGATAGGGTTCGATGCTACGCTGATTGAGAATAGAGAGTTGTAACTTCGGGCGAGCAATCGGCCGTATCTTGCGAATGCTAAGAACCAGTCGAAGTCTCCGAAGACCGCGGTAGGGGTGTAAGGTATTGGGCAGCTAATGTCCGCGTCGACAAACACCTAGGGGCTTCTCAGTAGTGCACTCTTGAAGCAGTGCATGGGATGGGAGCAAGCGTACCGACCCCCGACCAGCGTAGAAAGTGGCCATCTTTTCCAACGAATAGACGACCCAGAACACCCGGTTGTAGACGCTGTCTGGGGACGCCCTCGACTTGATAAGACTTAGGTTCTGGGCTCTTCGAGCGCCCTCTGATATCATGGTGTGTTCAATTTGAACGCATGATACGCTCAATGCGAATATGGACTGGATCGAGGTTAGAGAAGTATTGATATGGAGTTAGATTGGGAGTAATGTACCATTGCAGTGACAGCTTGCAAAGCTATGAGAGAGTCGGGAAGGATGACAAGCTCTGGGAACAAAGCTAGTGACACTGAGAAAAGCTGCCATGCTCGGTTTTGCCCAGGCTCAAATGTTCCGCCGTTGTTGTATTGCGATCCCAGAGCAAGGACTGCATGATACAGTGCCGACCAGGCTTTGTTCGTATGTAGTATCTGAGAGAATTGTGGATTTCGAATGGTTTCCTGGAAGGCATGTGGGTCTAGGAAAGGGTAGAGAGGATGCACTTGCTCAAAGAAGGATCGTATGTAGATCGAGGTTAGATTCTTGTCCGAACTAATGTCCGAAGTCCAAGGCTTCGAGAGAACGTGTTCACTGATGATGTTTTCTTTTGCTTTAAGACGGGCGTTTATGACAATATCTGCCTTGTTCAGGACCGCGTCGAGTCGGTTATGCCCGAGGCGAGTCGAGAGAGATTGTCGTCGGCCTTCGGAGAAGAAAGTCAGACTATACCCGCTGTAGTCTCCCCCTATAGCAAAGTTAGAGAAGTATAGTACAAGAGTATTGAAGGGCCAACCAAAGATCCCGTTTCCCTGTGAAGTTCAGTAGATGTACTCGAATGAGGGAAATCAAGTGGGTACCTTGAACGGAAATGTTTCAGATTTAAGTCTCTGTAGAGAGGGTCTATCAGAAAGTAGCCGGTCGATGTAAAGTTCCGGCAGGCTTTCAGTCGTAGACTCCGTAGACTGCTGTACTTTCTTCGGCGGTTGAGCGCTGACGGCTGACGCTTTTGCTGAAGGATCTGATGCAGCTGGCTTCAGTGACATGACATGGAACGGAGATGCTGGTTCGTCTTTGACGACTTTCGAGCCGAATACGGTCGACAAGGACTCTTGAGCCACTACTCTCGTCAGCAAGGTTTCGGTGTTTGCAGCAATGGCTCGTATGTACAGTACATTCGCCGAATATGCGCTCGTAGCGATTCCGTCGTTTCGGTGCCGATGCAATACTAAAGTGGCATTCCACATTCCGGCGCTACAAGATCATGTTAGCCTAAAGACCTATATATTCAAAAGGAGTCAGGTCGCGATCTACCGTGCAGTTCTCGCATGGTCCAGGATACCCATGTCCTTAGCAATCAGCTGGTGTCCACGTATAGGGGTTCTTTGAAGAGGAGAACATACCTGTACACCGAACCTTACGGCTCTTGCATGCGTCGCACGATTTAAACACTTTAAGTGTTCCGATCATGGTTCAATAGCGCGAATCGGGAAACCGAGCGACTGGGATGAGTCGGTAAGTTCGTCAAATCGTACCACCCCACGCCGTGACAGAGAGGTTAATAAGTAGATTGGATTGCATGTGGAATGCGATCATGAAGTCATGAGGGAGCTTGAAAGTTTCTTGTTGTGCTGAAGCAGGATCCGGTTCAGCCGCTCGGTTAGTTGCCCCATTCGGCGTCCGGAGCCGAGAATCGATCTAACTATGATCGAGGCAAATCTGACTGTAGCGCCGGGGGAGCCACAAAAATACTTCAGGTCTGTCAAATACATGTTCTATGCGTTCAGATATAGATTCATGGAGTAGTTAATATCACCTACCTACTATTCACGGTCGCGAACATTACATCGTGACCCAAATGCAATGCATATGGCATGGGGTAGCTCAAGAACTTTTAATTCATTCTCCAGGGGTTCCGATTTGAACTCAGGTAATAGCAGATGTCACGTCGATTATCGTCCTACGTTATCGTAACCAATCGGTGCGCCTCGCTTAGCTTATCGACTCAATCTGATTGGCCATCTCAAGAAGAACATCAAAATGTTGCACATCGACGGGTTAAGGGATATGCATGGTCGCAATCTTTACATCGTGACCTGATTGCAGCGAGTTTGGCCAGGCCTGCTTCACAGACCGTTCAAAGCTACCAATTTTGACCTCCCGGCCGCCGGACTTTGGAACCATACTGGCGCTAATTTGACATCAAAGTAGAACTACCGGGGCTCTCTTACATATACTAATAAAAGAAAATACTGGATGTCAAAACCTTGAGCGCGAGGATCGAAGACGTAAAATCCACACGTCTGATTTCCGCTCTCCGGATCTTTACGTCTTGTTAATCGAGAAATGTATACGGCCAGGAGTGCTTCGAGATACTTCCAGTGTTGTCAGAATCCATTTCCCAGGCACCTCGATCAAGGTCGTTTGCAAGTGAGAATGGACAGCGACGCAGCGCCTTTGGAGGTCTCCAGCACATATGAGTGGGAGAAAACACACGATGTCAAATTCTCGAGCTCGTGAATCATAGATGGGAAATCTGCACACCAGATTCACGCTTTCCAGAACTTGACATCATGTGATTCTTAGAGTGTGTAGGGTCAGGGGTGCCCCAATGCGATCCGACTGTTGTCAAAACACTCGTCACAGGCGCGCGATTTCAAGTCATAGGATCTAAAATCCACGACCCCGATTCACGCTCTCCGGAGCTTGACATCTTGTAATTCATGAAGCGAGTATGGCCAGGGGCGTCTCAGATCGATGCGAATACCCTCAAAACGTTCGTTCGGTGCCCCCGATGTTGAGTGCTTGGATGTAAAATCCAAGGACCTGATTTCCACGCTCGCAAACTTGATATCTTGTGTTTCGTGAAATGGGTATGGCCAGGGGTCTTACAGCGACCGGAGTACTGTCAAAACGAACCTCATATTGGCTCAATTCCGGGTGGCTAGATGTAAATTCCTCACGCCTGAAATGCGAGGTCTGGAACTTGACATCCTATAAAAAATTTCTTGCATAGTGTTAGAGGCCTTCAAAGCTATCAACGCATGGAAAAACAATACCAGAATATGACCTGATTTGAAGTGAGAGTCTACTTACATTTCTCATCACTTTCATCACTCGAGGCACCCCAGAACGGGCTCAAAAAAAGGAAATTTTCATTACTCTTTCGTCTCATTCATGATTCATGACCGATCCTCCATACCCAAAGGCCCATTTCGGACGTCTCCCTAAAAGTACAAGAAAGAAACCCTCAAACCAGAACGCCAAGCCATGCCTTTTTCCCGCTCAAATAGTGCACTGAATCCCCTCCAGCGCCAGGAGGGCCTTGCCACCCTCGATTTCGAACACATTTATCTTACGCTCACATTCCGCCCTTAAAATCGCCTCGCCTCTCTCGGCATTATGGACGATCCATTCCTCCACTGACATGCCCCTCTCAGCCTCTGTCAGCCCTTCACGAACTTTGGCGACTTCAGCTTCTCCAGACACCTGGAAAAAGTTCTCCTTATCCAGCGCCGTGTCAAGTGTCGGGACGGAAGGAGAGAAATTGAACACGTTTTCGAGGTCAATTGGCTTCCAGGGCATGCTAGAGCCGAATCCGCCCAGTTTTGTGTTGCCTGCTGCACGCTTGGATGGAGAGTCGAAGACCCCCCGACGTTCGGACAGTGGTGGCCGAACAGACGCAGGACGAGCCGAAGGTGGCTTGTTCTCCACGTCGGATGAGGATTCGCTTGGAATCTGGGCCTTCTTGAGAGTCTTTTTGACCCTCTTTGGCAGCGGTGTGGGGGCCTCTGTGGTCTCATGCTGATCCTCCAGGATGGCAATTGGAGAGTCAGTCTTCTTGGTGCCATTGCTCATTCGTTTGGCGCCTCGTTTCGGTGTTGGGCTGTCGTGTTCTGATGGCTGAAGGGCTTCTAGCTCCCAGTCCATACTCGTGGTGACAGCAGGCTCGTCCAGTATAATGGGTTCGGATGTAGAGGCTATGGAAGCGGCTTTCTTGCCCCTGGTGGTCTTGCGGGCGGTCTTCGCCGGAGCCTTTGCTTTTCCTTTCCGACCCTTGGTGGTGGTAGCATCCGTGGCAGTGGTCATGATGCTGTCGTCGACATGGGCAATGACTTCATCAACCTCCATCTCGCGGTCCTCCACGGGGGCTGCGGGCTCGTCCAGCATGATAGATTCAGACGTAGAGGCTGCTTTCTTGCCTCGGGTCGTCTTCTTGGTGGCGGCCTTTGCCTTTCCTTTCTTGCCCTTGGTAGTCGTGGCATTTGTCATGTTGCTATCATCGATATCGGCCATGGCTTCATCGGTATCGAATCCGTGGTTCTCCTCTGGAGGAGCTGGGAAATCGTTCAGATTGATAGATCCGGACGTGGAGGCAGCTTTCTTGCCTCGTGTTATTTTGCGCGTCGCTTTCGCAGGGGCCTTCGCTTTCGCCTTTCTGCCTTTCGTAGTGGTAGATGTGGCGTTCGTCGCATTCGTCATAACGCTATCGTCGACATCGGCCATAACCTCATCGACGTCGATGGACATCAAGGATGGAGCTTCAGAGAAAGATGTTAGATTTGATTGTGTAGACAAACGTGATGCTCTTGAAATTCTCGAACCCTTAGCCTTTTTCTTCGAAGCAGGCTGCCTCGTGGCAGCATACTCGTCGACAAGTGCAAAGAAGAGACAGTCCGGAGAGCGTTTTCGATGCTCCGTCCTAAGTATGTTAGTCGAACATAGCTGGCTAACATGAGCATGATAACTTACAAAGGATTGTCCTTTGGCTCCCATCCATCTAGAGCTAAGTGGCAGTAGTGGCAGGAAGCGCCGTCGTCAGCATCTGGGCTCGGGTCGTAGCACCAGCCAGCTTCGATCATCTAGAGCAGACAGGTTAGCTTTGCGACCAAGTGCGAGCGAATGAGGATCGCGAACCTTCTGAGTCTTTGGCTTCCATCCCTTCTTGTCCTCATGGGGCCAGCTCTCCATGTATGTGGCCCTTCGAGACTCGACCATCTTCTCGCTCATCGGGTCTTCCTCGACGCGATTTGGGTCGCCGAGGCGGAGGCGGATGCAGGCATTGATGGCCCATCCGCATTCTGGCGCGTGGAGGAGATGCTCGTAAGCTGGAACATCGATGGGATCCCATCCATCGAGCTGGCTGCTGCAGACAAGGCACCGGACGTTGTCGATGTTGTCGGCGGTGGGCGTGTAGTAGAATCCGGCGAAGGCAAGCTGCAGACTGAGTTAGCGATGGAGCTCCATCAGATATTGATGAGCTGCGCATCTCACCTCTTCGGGGTTGGGCTTCTTATGGGGCCAGGTCACTGAAGCAGGAGTCTTCTTCTTCGAGTTCGAGGCGCGTCGCTTGGGGATGGTATGCGGCGTTAGGAACGTCTCTAGACGGCCCATCAAGGTCTTCAGACCCTCTGGGAGAGGGACCATGGTGTGTGGTTGCTCGGTCGCAGCTTCCTTCTGGGGAATTGGGGTATGGGTGAGTGTGGGTGGGTGCGGGGGTGGTGGCGGGTTGTGTCGAGAAAGCTGGTGTCGAAGTGGTGAGGGCGGTCGGCGCGTCGTTTACTCAAATAAACACGGGCCCGCTCCGAATGAATTGGCCCCAATTACTTCGGAGCAGGCCTGCCTTACCTAAGCTAGCAATGCTCCGGCCTCTCTCACACTTCCGTCTCTATTTGCCATGGACTGCTCCCCCTGCACGCTTCATAACCTGAAAATGTCTGATTCTCAATTGCACCGGTGATATTGTCTTGCCTTTCAATCCAGTCTCTCCATCCAGTCTCGCCTTCCAAACATGGCTCTCCCAGCACTGGCCGTATGTGAATTCCCAACGGAGTGCCCCAACCTTAATGGGATGATTGCTAATATCTCTCAGTCTGCCAGAGGCTTCCAGTCCGTTGTTGCTGGACACACCTTATTGCTGGGCCAAATAGCCTGGTACCGCCGATCAGAACTCTTCAGCAACCGCAGGCAATTCGCATCCCAACCCGTTGAGAAGCTGTCGCAAGATGGACAGCTCGGCAAATCCGCATCTTTCACCTCCTCATCGCCGCCATCATCTCCGTCCTCTGGGACGACATCGCCTGTCGCCTCAAGCTCTGGCGCCTCCTCAGTACAGTCTCTACCGCCCGATTGGGAGGATCAGCTTCCGAACCTCGAGAATTTCTCCCAGCTCCCCCACCAAGATTTCGGGAAGAACCAGCTTATAGAGACGAATGAGGAGTTCAAGCGGAGTTTAAGGCAGATAACGCGGCAGTTCCCAGCCATCACCTATGCTTTTGCGTACGGTTCCGGCGTCTTCCCCCAGACAGATGGCTCCACCTCTTCCGCATCGCTGAGCCCGCACCCAAATCCCCCGGAAGCGATTACCAAGTGGCAGAAAGGCGGAGGCAAGATGATCGACTTCATATTTGCGCCCAAGTTCACGGAGCATTTCCACTCTCTAAACCTTATGCGCCACAGAGACCACTACTCGTTCCTCGGCTCTTTCGGCTCCAGCGTCGTCTCACACGTTCAGGACTCCTATGGCGCCGGCGCATACTTCAATCCATACGTCACCGTAAACGGCACCCTTATAAAATACGGGGTCGTAAACTTCAGCACCCTACTCCGCGACCTCACAGACTGGGACACGCTCTACCTCGCCGGCCGCCTCCATAAGCCTGTGAAAATCCTGACCGAAGAGCCAAACATCCGCGTCGCCAACCAGCGCAACCTCATGGCCGCCGTGCGCTGCGCCCTACTCCTCCTCCCGCCCCAATTCACCGAGAAGGAACTCTTCACCACCATCGCCTCGCTCAGCTACCAAGGCGACCCGCGGATGTCCCTGGGCTCAGAGCACCCAAACAAAATCGCAAACATCGTCACGCACCAAATCCGCAATTTCCGCCTCCTGTACAACGACCTCATCAACAGCCTGCCCAACGTCGACTACGCCGAATCCTCCGCCCCAAAAGACGCCAGCTGGATCGACGACCTCAAGCTCGACCGCCCCATGACGCAGAACATGGAGTCCGCCTTCCGCGGCAACATGGTGCGCCGCCTGCCCAAGTCCTTCCGCCAGAAAGTCTACTTCCTCTACCAGCGCAAATTCGGCATCCCCGGGCGCGAGTTCCAGGAGATGCTCGAGGCGAGCGCCGACGAGGACGCCAAGGGCAGCCTCAAGAAGCCCCTCGGGAGCGACTTTGACCGGCGCGTGGCGGGAGAGCCAGATATCCCCGAGATGGTGGCGAAAGCCGTGAACCAGACAGTCAAGTGGCCGAGCGCGGTGCAGAGCTTGAAGTCCGGGCTGACGGCGGGCCCGGGGCGGGCGTTAAGATACGTGCGGGAGAAGCGCGCGAAGGGGAGGCAGTAGGGAGGCAGTAGGGAGGCTAGATCTGCCTGAAAAAAGGTGGGATGTACGAATTCAAACAGGACCCGCCTTGTCAGGCTCGCAAGATTTTCTTTTGTTTTGTATGCTTCAGCTCTGTTTTTTTTAGTACTATCAGTGTAGCATGGAGGGGAGGCAGGACGGATGGAGGGGCTCGGGACTTGCATTGCCGCCGCTGTCGGACGGATGCGGCGGGTTGGGCTATAGGGACTTTGGATCTTGTCCTGGCGTTGAGCGTTAATGTTATATGCGATAGAGTACGAAGGGAAGGGGGGAAACCAGATGGTGGCATTATAGGATGGAAAAGCGCTTTCGCTGCTGGAAAATATAAAAGCGAAAGGGATGGCTTACATTCACTCCTTATCAATAAACAGATCTTCTTCGTCTATGCGTTCCCAGCCCTGAAGTGAAGAGAAAAATGTAAACGGACCACAACCAAGGTTTCGTAATATCACACCCTGTGCCATATCAAATCATATGCATAAGAATAAATACCAATTTCGGCGTTAACTCGATCTAAGAAAGCCGCAAAACGCCATGAATGCAATGATATCACAACGCAACAGACTCCACCCAAAAACCAAACCCACACCTGGCAGTCATCTCATCGAGTCCCACCCGGAAAAAAACGCCGCCAACACCAGCCTAAGTCCCAGATCCCCAGCCGCAGCTACCCAAAGCCCCTACCTGCCTATACCCACCTTACCCTTCGCGCAACTACGCCCGCTGGTTGAAGAACCAGCTAGTCCGCTTCCCACCCTGCTCCTGCGCCTGCACATTCGCGAGCGTCTGCAGCGGCGGCCCGCCCTGCGGATCCGTGCCACCTCCACCCCCTCGCAGCGGTTTCGCGATGCGCGATCCGGCACCGCCGAATGCGAAGCTGGCGCCTGAGGTCGGGGAGCCGAGACCGCGGGTAGAGCCCTGCTTGGCTGCCTCGAGGCGCTCCTTGACGGCCGCAAGCTGAGCTTCGAAACTGTACAATGTCAGTAAGCTGCGGTAAACACGGGGACGGAGCGGAGTTAAGAGAGACAGACTCGACATACCGGTGGTTCGCCTGCGTGAGCTTCTCCTGGCTGTCTTGGAGGAGGGCTTCGAGGCTCTGGATGCGTTCGTTGCGGGCGATGAGCTTGCGCTCCGCGATGGCGACTTCCTTCTTCAGGCCGCCGTTTTGCTCGACGAGCTGGCGCTGGACGACGGTGAGCTGCTCGAGGTTGCGCTCGAGGAACATCATCTTCTTTTGCTGGGCGCGGTTGTTGGAGGTGCGCAGGACGTTGTTGTATTGTTCGCGCGTTTCGTCGAGGGAGATTTCGAGTTCGACGACCTTGAGGACGCCGGTCAGTATGGGAGCATTGACGATAGATGGATTGACCGGAAAAGTGAACGTATGACTTACCCTCTCGCACCTGTTTTGCAGGTCGCGCATAAGGCTCTTTTTCATGTTGTCAAACTCAGCAATCTGCTGCTGCACTGTCTTGCCATTGATCCCTCCACTTGCAACGCCATTCACAATAGCGCCACTCTTTAGTCGCTGCTGCATGGCGTCGACGTCAGCCTTCAGCTTCGCGTTCTCCTCTAATGTCCTGTGCAAGTCATCGCGTAGTTCAGCCTCCAGCTCCGCCTGACCCTCCTGCTTCGCAACGTAAGCATCTGCAAGGCGGGCCTTGACCTCTTCCGTGTCGGCCTCAGAGAGATTACTCTCGAGGAGATGCTCGTAGTCCTGTTGCAACGTAGCGAAACGTTCCTCGAGCGCCTCCCTTCGCCGCATGTGACCCTCGTCCGCTTCGCCTCGTGCGGTAATGGAGAGCTCCGCCTGCCGGACTATTCCCTGTGTCTCTTGCAGTCTGTGCCGAAGATCCTTAAGCGCGTCTGGAGCAATGGTGCCACCACTGCTGCTGATGTCGTGGAGTGAGTCGACCTGGTCAATCAGAACGCGAAGGTTCTTCTCGTTGTCGCTGAAGACCTCGCCGCCCATATCGAAGCCAGCCATCATCTGGGCCATGCGCTCCGCCTTCTTCTTCTCCTTCTCGTCCAGTAGTGCACTAGTCTCCTTTGCGCTCATCTTTGCATCTAGGAGATGTTGCTTGGTGTCGTCAAGCTCGGCTGTAAGTTCCGAATTCGCCTCTTTCAAGCCGTCCATCGTGATCTGCGTCTCCTTGAACTCGAAGTTGAGCTTCTGGACTTGCATTTTGATCTCGTTGACCTCGGTAGTCAGCTTCTCGTTGTCTTTGTTCAGCCTACTCTCACGCTCCTTGGTGTCTAGCAGCTGTTCTGTGATTGACTTTAATTTCTCCTCAGTTCTCGCCATCTGAGTTTCCTTCTCAGCGATCTGGTCCTGTAATTCGTTTTCCCGTCGTAGGAATTCTTCTTTCTCATCTTTTTCTAAAGGAATACTCGGCGTGCTTGCTCGTTCTAATTCTAGCCTTGAGTCGGGTCTTGAAGGTGTTTCCGCTCTTGCGCTCGCAAGCCTCGAAGGTGTATCTGCTCCAGATCTTGGCGGTGGTGCTCTCCTGGCTGTTGGGTCTTGTGATAACGATGGCGTCCACTTCTCTTTCGGCACTGCCTCGCCAATACGCCATAGGCTTACTTCTCCCTCCAAATTTTGTATGTAGCTCTCAAATGTTGTGACCTGGCTCTGAATCTTCTTGAGCTGCATCTTTAGTTCCTGTGGGCTAAGTTCCGCATTGACCTTGGCCTTGTTTTTGATGGACTTCGCTCTAACACCAAATCGTAGTGTGCCAAGAGTTTCCTGGTCATTGTAGCTACTCGGCGAGCAATTGATGATGAGTGTCGTCCTTGAATTACCACCCAGTGATTCTTGAAGAATACGCGTGAGCTTCGAGTCTCGATACGGCACGTGCGTCGATTTCCCGTCTGTCAACGAATTGATAACCATGCCCAACGCACTCAAGCTCTTGTTGATCTTCTTCGCCTCCTCTAGCGTTTGCCCGCTGGCACCTGTCTTCCCAATCTTCTCGCTACCAGCCAAATCTACCAGGAACAGCTGTCCGCGCTTCGCCGACCCTGTCTCGACGTTCTTCTGCTGGATAGTGATAACGAAGATGGAATGTGATCGCGACGATTCCTGATTCATGTTGGTTGCCGCAACCGCGCGGGCCATACCGCCTCGCCGCAGAACCTCATATACCTCGTCCACACTCGTCACGTAGACCTCCAGCAATCCCTTAACATACACGCCCCTAGTCTTGTCCTCGTGTACGGGTAGATTGTCATTCTGCGGGGCTAGCAGATCACGGATGCGCTCCATGTAGATCTCCATGTAGCTGACTTGCACCATGAACTCCATATTGCTCCCACTCGACATGATGCTGGCGAAGATCTGGTTGACGATGCGAGGTATGACTCCCTTACCCTCCTCGTCGTCTATATCGTTGCCCATCATCGTGTATGACTTTCCCGCGCCCGTCTGCCCATACGCGAACACGGTTCCATTGTAACCATTAAGGATGTCGTCGACGGTGGAACGGATGGAGAAGTCGAACACGTCTGCCTGCCGCGAGGCCATGTCGAAAACGCGGTCGAATGTGAAGGCCCCGGAGGCGTCCCCAGACTAAATGTCCCCATCGTCAGTTTCTCTGTAGCTCTCTCGACCAAGGCCTGGGGCTTTTCCCTCGACGCTGGTGCCGTACCTGGATATTACATGTGTCATCGGTCTCGAACGCTACTATGCTGTCGCCTCCGCTGGCGAGTTCCACCTTGTTCTGCGGCCGAAACCGCGCAACCACTAAGTCGGCGCATTAGCTTTAGTGCCATACAAAAAGATAGAGACATCTCCAAGGAGGCCAGGAATATCTGTAGACGAACCCTTGATGGTGTTGCTCCTATACACGCCCATATGTTAGCCTGCGTACTCCTGGGGACGGTGAGGGTGACGTACGCCATGATTGCGATCTCAGCGCGCCTCCAGCCCAGCGGCGAGCTCGTGCAAAGCTAGAATGGGGAGTGATCTGGCTGTAATGCAGGCGGTGCAGCTGCAGGCTCGCTGTCGTGGTACGTGGAGCTGGTCGACTCGATGTTTTTCGCGTCCCGGGTGCAGGTCCTATAGCGGCGGGGTCTATTACAATAGGGGAAACAAAACAAGGGCTAGAGTTTCAGCAGCGGGCGACGTAGGGTGAGCTGTGATCCTCGCGCAGAAATTGGGGTATTGCGCGCAGTAAAGGGATGTTTTGAGGCAGCGAGGGTGGTGAGGTGGGTTGTTGACTTGGTTTGGTGTGGCTAACATTGCCCTGCGTCGACTCGTCTCGGCGTGCACACGCGGCAGCGGAGGGGTCACATCAGATCCATGCACATGCATTATTTATCGAAAGAGTATTTTGTCGTACAGAATTCCGCTCAAAGAGCATTTATTGTACTATGCTACTGGTATCTGCTGACTGGTAGTCCAAGACAACAAACCCAAGTATCCCACGCTAAAGAGCCGAGTGGACCTCGTACAGATCCAAAGGCAGCATATTTACGCCACGAGCAGTTCGACACAGATGCTGAACTCCAGATTCCAAGACGCCTCGCTGAACCAATGATGAGCCAAGAGAAATATCCTGCTACCGCAACCCCATTCACCATTCAAGCCGGATCCTTTGCACACCAAGCCTGCATGGCGCATGAGAAGAAGAGAGATGCTGCAAGGTGGTGAGTAGAATCTAGTCGTCCCAAGATTTCTCGACGGTCTCGCGGACGCGCTTGGTGTACTCGCGACGGTTGTCCTTGTACAAGTTCGAGGCCTCAACGTTGGCGGGAGAGGAAGTGTTCGGATCATTCAGCAGGCTATGGCACGCATTAGCTTCCCATTCACTTTATGTCACTCCTCTCAGCATTTCTAAACTCACCTCTGAATGCTAGTGAGAATAGCAGCCACGTCGTAGGTCGGAGACCAGCGGTTCTGGAGGATGTCGAGGCAGAGTTCGCCCGTGCCGTATACATTGGGGTGGAACATCTGGCTGATGAACTTCACGCCCGGGGGCTTGTTGGGATATTGTTCTTCGAAGTGCATAACGAGACGGAACGTGCCATCTTCGAAGGGGGTGTCGGCGGGACCAATAATGACAGCGTTCCTGTCGCATATTTAGTGAGGCGCCCAAGTGAGGTCGTGTGCGGGGCGGTCCGTACCAGGTCATGACGTTGTCAGCGATAGGAGAGGCGGAGACGCCGGCCGGAGGGTCATTTTGCATACGCTATATCCATATGCTATTAGCATGAAGCTCCTTGAAGTTTGTAGAGCTAGAGGGGAGGTGATGAGGCAACAACTCGAGTCCCCTAGAGCTGCGAGTCTCGTGTCACGTACCTTGAAATCACGCATCAGGCGACGACGTGCGGAAGTAGACATGGTGAAGATCTAGGATGCTTGAGGAGAGTTAGCGCTGGAAGATTTGCGCTGCTGCGATGTTAGGCTCGGTGCGGCGGCGACCAGGCTGTTGTCTGGTGCGAGGCGGGTTGTCGAAGCTTCGAAAGCGGAGTGAAGCGGAGGTAGATATGGAATCGCGGGCGAATCTTAGCGCGGCACGTGCCATCGCCAAGAAACCCCACACCACGTGTGTAAAATATGAAGTTGGATATTGGTTACTGCATGGTGAAGCGTTTTTGAGAGTTCGCGCGAATCTAGCGGTAGTAAAGCTTACATGCTGTTGAGGCTGATGACCGATATCACACAGCGCAAGACATCCACAGGACACAAGTAAAAGCATGGCAGTACGATATACAAGAGGGAACAGATTTCAAGTCTGGTAAGAATAAATATGATCAAACCCTATTGAGAAATATTTACCACACAAACTACATTAAATATAAAGATCATAATCCCAAGCGTTGTGGCGTTATCGGATCAGAATAACCGACTACATCGCATCGCTTATTGAATGAATGCCTCAACAGTATCCACCCGCCTCGCTGTCCTCTGCTCCGGCCAACGTCTCCGGCATTGCGGGAGGCTCGCATCACCCCAGAAAGCTATGCCGGAGACGCATATAGACCGGACATCGCTTTTCAAAGACTAGTTGTAGTCTTGCCGGGGTGTATCTGATATCCTTTCGTTCTGTTTACGAGACGAGTCGCAGTATCTAGTTAATAGTGACTAGGCGTTTCCAAATTAATAATTAACACTGCAATTTTCATGTTTTCCCAATCCCATTTCCAAGACCGCCGCCCTGTGCCAAGAACGCCATGATCTGCTCCGGTGCGTACCCGATGAAGACAGGTCCGTTGAATATTACCTGTGGCTGTGGCGTGGGTTTGTTTGCTTCGGATGATTCCGGTGCCGGAGAAGTCGGGGGTGGCACAAAAGGGTCTTGCTGTTGCGGCTGTTCTGGCAATATCTGCGGATGTGGTGTTTCAGGAGGTGCAACATGAGGTGTCTGCGGTACTCCCATCGTCATCCTGGTATGGTCAAACGGACAGCCGCCACCAGACGGCTTTGCAGGCATGTCCGCCGGCATTTCCGATGCCATGCCCATGTTGAACTTGGGTTGAGAGAGCGGGGAAGCTGTTGCGGACTTGTCTCTCTCCGATGACGCAACGCTGTCTGCCTTGTTGCGGTGGTACTTTGAGGGAACCGAGATACCCCAGGGACGACTTGGAGACTCGCCGACACGGATTTCCTTCAGAGGCCGGTCGAAATGTGGCGTGCGGTCCATGTCGTCAGGAATGTTTACTTCATCAACATGTGTGTCCGCGATGGCTTCGTCCTCATCGTGCAGACTTTCGCTGACGGCTTTGGCCCACTTCTCAACTCGATCCCCCGACTGTCGTTCGATGGCCTCATCCTCATCCTCTTCAGGCTCTTTCGGTAGCCAGGGCTGGTGCTTTACGCCGAGGCCCTGGATCATGCTGACGAGATTGCCGTACTTGGCGTCCAGCTGTTTGATACTCTCTGTATTGGACTGGAAGCGCTTGACGCAGACCTCATGACTACGAGGAATTTCGTGCTTGTGGTTCTCAAAGTACTTGGCCACCTCTTCAGGCGAGTGTTGGTCTAGGAAGCGGATAGGGCAGACGGGTGCGGATCCTGAGGCGACAGATTCGGCGCCAGAGACGGGATCGACGTGGCTGTCAATACCACATATTTCAGCCCGGATAGGATCATGGAACGAGGGTCGTTTCGACCTTCGGCCGTGTTGCATAATTCGTGACATCGACATGGAACTTCGGGGAGTAGCTAGAGGACTCCCACCTAGCGGGCTTTGCCGACCGCTTGTCGAAACTCTCCTGCCGCTAGGCGTGGCGGCAAATGGACAGCCAAGCCTGCTTGGAGTCCCTGGGATAGTGAAGTCTCGTTCAAGGCCAAGAGTCGAGTCCATGTGCGACCTGCTAGGTGCAGAAACTGAAGCCGACTCCCGGTCGGCGGACGGACCGTTCCAAATCTTCACGCCCACCTCGTCATCAGAGTTCGCGCGTATCTGTTCTGCTGATATGCTTGCCTGTCGGATAATGTATGCGCGAGTCCGTCTCTCGCCGTCGTCATGTGTGGAGAGCTGGGCTAGCCAGTCGGGTCGTGGGACGAGAGGAACCGATGCAGGCTGCTCGAGGTCCTGGAGGAAAGCACGATGCTCTGCCGCTGCAGTGGTGGGCGAAAATCTTTTCAGAAGGTCGAGATACTGTGCAGATTCGTCAGCTCGGAGTGGAGTAAGAAGTCCGAAAGCGTCAGAGGGGCATTCAAAGGGTTCAGAGTCAATTTGAAATATTCTATCTTCGCCGCATAGCAGCTACAGATCTAGAGCTAATTTGTTTCATCATAAAAAGAGGGACAGAAGGGAGTTCCTTGGGCGCGAGATAGATGAACGTACCTGCTGCTTTGCCCATAACAGTTTGCTCTCTAGCTCGCGGTGCTGGTCGGCCAGCAGCTGGTATTCCCCACTAAGGGCGATGAAGCCATCGGCAAGTTGCTCCGCTACCTGGAGAGTAGTCGGCGGGTGTGTGGTAGCCATGTTCGTGATGGAGATATCGGAAACTATGAACGAAGATGTTGAGGTGGTGGTGAGATAATCAGGCGGCGGCGGAATGCTGGCCCCGACACAGCGACAAGGCGTCGGGCGAGGGGCGTGTTCGCACCACAGGAGCGTGCAGAACAACCATCCGTCCTCTCCCAACGCGGCCTCTGCAGAGTCTGCGGGTCGCGTCTGTGGTGTTGCAATAATGGCAGAAGCCCATCCGGCGGTGCGATCGGCTACCAGGCGCCCGGGCCGCGTTTCGAAAAACAAGAGTGGGCCTGAACCGGGACGCCGCGCAGCCTCAAGTCGACGCAGCTCAACATTGCTGCGAAGCTAGCTACACATGTCCACCACGCCGCAGCCGGGGACACTGACACCGCCCCTTGTGCACGTCTGGACATTGTGCGGGGCCTTATTCATGCCATTGCAGTCTATCTAGACACGTTGCCCTCGTTGTCGTCCCTTCGCTCTCGTCTGACCTCCGCGATTCACCCAAAAGCACCACTTCCGTTGCCATCCAGCACATCTGTTTGAGCCACGAATCACCTCAGCAACCGCCATTTCGATACTCCACCATGGGCGACTCTATCTACCATTCCCGCATGCGCCAATGGTTTGCCTCCAGCCCTCCCGTCACCTGGGGCATACGTCAGCTCCGAGAATTGTTGATTGGAGCTCTGCGTCAAGGCCCAATTCCACAGCACGTTGCATTTGTGATGGACGGGAACCGGCGGTTTGCCAGGAACAACCATCTGGAGACTGTCGAGGGTCATAATCTGGGCTTTGAAGCTCTGGCGCGGGTGGGTGGTCTCCATACCTGACACTCCCTGCTGACCATGATGCTAATCTCTCCGTTAGATCCTTGAAGTGTGCTACAAATCCGGAGTGAAAGTTGTCACGGTTTACGCCTTCAGCATTGAGAACTTCAAGCGCTCCAAATACGAAGTCGACGCTCTCATGGAGATGGCCAAGACCAAGTTGACTCAATTGTCACAGCATGGAGCTCTACTTGACCGATATGGCGCCTCCATTCGAATCCTCGGACAACGAGAAATGGTCAGACCTGATGTTCTGGAAAGAGTGGACGCCGCCATCAAGTTGACTGAGAAGAACACAAGGCAAGTGTGCAAATATTCCTGGTTATTACCTAAGGCTAACATGTACTAGATGCATCCTGAATGTTTGCTTCCCTTACACATCGCGAGAAGAGATCACTGGCGCGGTCCAAAAGACTGTCTCGAACTTCAGCAAACCAATCCCACCTCCCCTCAAGCGTCCCTTCTCTGAAACCCACATAACCCGCAACCTCCGGGCGCAGACCAACCATTCAGTGCCCGAGGACGCACAATCCCAGAACTCATCATCACGCTCTGCGTCAACCTCCTCTTCTAAGTCTTCCCAAGAAAACGGTCAGGATTATAGCTCGGCCGACGCCTACCCCGAATCCTCTGCGCCTACTCTCGCGGATCCTGCCGACACGAACGAGAAGATACGAGAGGTATACCCGGACTCAGAGTCAATCACAGCGGAGACCTTGACCGCGAACATGTTGACCGCCGAAGCACCGCCATTGGATCTCCTAGTCCGCACATCAGGCGTCCAGCGCCTGAGCGACTTCATGCTCTGGCAGTGCCACCAGAATACCTCCATCGTCTTTCTCGACTGTCTATGGCCCGAGTTTGATCTACGGCAATTCCTGCCTGTGCTGGTGGAATGGCAATGGCAACGAAAGAAGGAGCTAGAGAATTCAGGAGGCCGGCTACGAGACAAGGAGGACTGAAACAGGAACGAGACAGCAAAAACAATTCATGGATTTGATTCAAGTAAACAAAGCAAGGACGTAAGGACGGTAAATCCGATTAGCGAGCGAGCACAGCGAGTGGCAAAGGGCGGCTGAAACATACAGCTCTTTCGATACCCAGCTGCATCTCAAATGCAGCCATTGTTCATAGCTCTGGTTAGCATAGGACAGTGTACATACATTGATAACTCTTCGAACTCAGCTATACACACTTAACTTTATATTTGCCCAACTGTTTCACGCATGCCCACTTCCCATTCATGCAGCATGCGGCTGAAGTCTACAACTTAGTACAATAGCAAAACGCCGCGCTGACCTCAGCGTTGGAATAGACGACAGCCCGCCTGCACGCAGCGGGAGCGCTTGCAAACGGCCGAATAGAAGGCCTGACTGCTTTATCGCCATCGTCCTGCATCAGCAGCCACACAGGACCTAGAATTCAGCTTCCGCGTCATCTGATAGACGCCCGCTCCGAGGTAGAGGAGGGCGGAATGACGAATAAATGGGAGGGCTCCCGCGGTCGGACTTCAGCCCTGTCAAGATCATTCTGTGTTACCATCGAATCCTTCTTTTCTATTCTATCGCGAGTTCCATACTGGACAATTGGCTTTGTCTCTCACGCGTCAAGTTTCATTTAGGACATCATCTTCCTCCTTTTCCATCCCAACAATGCCATCACAACCGGCCCCTCTCACCACCACCCCACCCCTCCTCCGCCTCCCCCTCGAACTCCGCGACCTCATCTACGCCCTCGTCTTCGCCGACCTCGTCATCACGCACGCCCTCCCCACCCCGTCCTCCTCCTCCTCCTCCTCTCCCAAACCCCTCCCCCCTTCCCACCGCACCGCCCTCCTCCGCACCTCCTCCCAACTCCACCACGAAGCCCGCCCCCACCTCCTCGCGGCCACCACCCTGCGCTTCCCCTCCACAGAAAGCCTCCTCACCACCCTCGTCCCCCTCGCGCCCGCCACCCTCTCCCACCTCCGCCGCATCCGCGTCACCGCCTACCCCTTCCCGCTGCACACGGACCGCGGCATGCGGTACTACGCGACGTATGGCTTCGCGGCGGCGCTGGCGCTGCTGCCGGGGCTGCGGGTGCGCGAGCTGGAGGTGGAGGATGCGTTCGGCGGGACGGCGGCCGAGGGCGTGGCGAGCGAGGTGGGCAGGCTGGTAGCGAGCGACGGGTGGCAGGAGCTGCGGCTTGTGGCGCGGACGGCGGGGGAGGCGCAGTGGGGCGGGCTTGCGAGGGTGGGGGAGTGGGATCGGGCGCTGAAGGGGAAGGATGGGGCGAGGTCGGGGGCGAGTGTGAGTGTGTGGGTGGGTGGGAGTGGTGCTGGGAAGGAGGTGCGGTTGACGGCGACGAGGGGGAGGGGGGCGGATATTGTGCAGGGGGCGCAGGGAGAGGAGGGGAGGAGTTGGGCGGAGATGAAGGGGAAAGGGGTGTTTCCGGATGGTGAGTGAGGTTTTGTTGTTTTTGGGAGTGGAGGAGAGGGATGCGAAGTAGAGCGGATTGTGCTGACTGTGATGCAGATTGGGAACGGTGGTATTATGATGAGGCAGATAGAGCGGGGTGGTTGTACGGGGGTTGGAGTCGCAGGATGCAGTTGGCGGTTAGGGGGTTGAGGTGAGAGAGAGAGGGAGGGAGGGGGGCTGAGAATAGAGGAAGAATTTGACGCAACACGAAATTCACACTAGATGCCAGTAAGACCAGCGAATTCGATGCACAAGAGGTAGCCACGATGAAAGATGATAAGCGAGACTCGGACCATGAAGGTAACGACTTGTGTTGAATTCGGGTTGACTGGTCCCACCGTTATCGATGATCCGTCTCTTGAAGATATTCAACTCCTTCCTATTCACACCGAGAGTTCCTATAGTGATACTATACAATGGCTAGATCTTAACCACAATGCATAACAAGCCGAAAACAGGCTCGCCCTGCCGCGAAAATATGCAACTACACAAAAGGAATAACGCCGTGCTCATGTGAGCCTTTTAGGTGCCTGAGGATGAGCTAAAGCTCCTGCTTGTAACAATGAGGAATGGCGAGAAACGCCAGCAGAGATGAGAGATGGCCGTAGTAACAGCCGTGACACTGTTCCAACGCCGAGGTAATGCGGGTACGAAAAAGAGATATGCGCGTCGCGAGGTTTGTGACAATGATGTTGGAAATAGACACGAGAAGGAAACATATATACAAACAAAAACCACCCAGACTGGTATCTCGAAGGAAATGTATAGCAATGAAACGCTATCCGGCCCACGGACTATTTCGCTTCGCTCATGATTTAGGCGCTGTGATTCTTCTTGAAAATCCCGAACATGCGTCGCAACCGTCCGCCGCTCCTTTTTGGCCTCCTGCCGCCCTTTCCATTCACCTCTCCGTCAATGAACATGCTGGTAGGTCGATCGCGGTCACCAGTGTCCCACAGGCCCGCCGTCGTTCCCGCAGAGTAATCTACAGAGTTTGCTTTTACTCTCTTGGAGGTCGAGCGCCTCGGAGATGGCGTGGGCGTGTGCTGCGGTGTCGCTTGAGCGATGCGAATGGGCGGAGGCTGTACAGGGTTCGTCTGTCTATTTTGCTGCAGGAGAGAGTTGCGGAAGAGTTCCATGCTTTTCTCGCGCTCACGCTCTACCTCGCTTTCTGGCAGGCTGAGGTCTTCAGGAGTCAGACCGAAACGCTTGCGGAGGCTGTTTCGGCCGCGTGTTGAGGAGAATGCCGAGCCAGTGGAATTTGATCTTTTGGCCCGGGCAGGCTCGGGGGTTGTAGGAGATCCCGTGGTGGAGGTCGCACCGGAGGGGGAGGGTGTCCGACCTACGGAATGGCGATTTATAATCTGGGTGCTGCTGCGGAGGAGTTTAGGCAGAGTACGACGATTTTCATCCGGAAAGGTAGGGGTGGCGGGGGAGTCGAACACTGGCATAGATACAACGCGCGTAGGGACCACAGGGCGGGATTTGGAGGTTGAAGCTGAGGCGGGAGTACATGTGTTCAGGGGTGTAAGACATGGTGCTTTGTTGTAGCTAAACACATTCGACCAGCCCTCGCGAAAGCCAACCCAGATGCCAGAGATTGTAATTAGTTTGCGAAGAGTATGTTCTGTTATTATAGGGGCACGTTCAGCGTTCAGGTGTTCAGCGTCGATGAAGAAGCCGGCGTCCGACACAACCGAGGGGGTCTGAAGGGGAGTGTGGACGGGTGAAGCCGCATGGGATGATGTGGTCGTGGGCATCGTATACGAATCGAAGACGTCGATACTGGAGCGAGTCATGGTAGCAATAATGGGATGCCGTCTCGAGTTGGTGCTGATGGTACTGAAGATGAACTTCTTGTCCTCGAGCGACCCTGGACTGGGCAGAGAGGAAGCACGTCTGGACGGACTGTGGCGCGCTATCCAACGACACTTGAGCTGCAGCCCATGCTCGTCCGTGCAGACGAATTCGTAGCCGCCATTGGGCATGGGGACTGCATCCCAGTTGGAACCATCGTCCATCAAGATCTCCGTCTTGCATGGCTTGTTCTCCTCCTTCTTCCCGGTGCATATGACGCCAATGACATCGCGGGAGCTGAAGCGCTCGTCGTCGGAGCTGTCTTCGTCATCGGTCAGTCCGTATTGCTCAGCCTTCACAATGAGGAGGTCAGATGGCCCGAGCTTGTCCTTGGACTTGAAGACGCGCGCAAACTTCCGGACATGCCTGGGCACAAAAACGGCGGACGGGATTACTTCATACACGGGCTTTGGTCGCGTCGAGGGAAGCACCTGCTGCAGCTGGAGGTAGACCTTGGGCCGCAGATGGAGCTTCTTGCTAGGACGGATGGGTGGGGGCGGATGGGCGAGGTTGTAGGTTGTTTTGGCGCGAGGGGCGCGCTTCTTGCGTCTGGTGTCCTCTGAGGCTCCGCTGCCGGACGAAGTGGGCCGGGACTGGTCAAAAGAAAGCGGGCGAGAGGCCTCGGGGTCCGCAAACATGATGTTTTTGGCGGGTTTTATGGCTCCATTCGAGAGGACGTGCTCGGAGAGGACGGTAGGAGGGAGCTCCAAGGGAGTGACGGGGTACTGAGGGCGCCATGAGGCCAGGTTAAAGATGGACAGCGGCGAGCGGGTCGAGGGCGAGGCGTCGGAGAGAGAGTCGGCGAAGGGTGGTGTGAATTGGGTGCCGTGTTTGGCTGCGTGGTCGGCTGTCAACATGCTCACGAGCATGGTTCCACGTCTCGCGAGCGCAGGCAGGGAAGGGAGGGGCAGCACATATCCCACCAGAGGGCAACAAAGGAAATGGCCGCGAGAGGTAGACGTCGGAATGGTTTGCGAGGAGTTGGAGCGCAGTCAGGCGCCAGACGCCCCCTCCCTAGCTGGGGGCGCTTGGCTTATGGGTGAGGCCGTGGTGACTCGCGGGCCGTGAGAGCAGGAGCCTCTCGTCTAAGCTCCTCCACAGGGCTGACTGCTGGGCTGCGTGCTTGGAGATCAGCCACGCGCGGCGTCAGTGCTCAATGCTGCGGACGGCCGTCTGCAAGGGCTGATGGGACTCGGGGCGGGGCCAGTGTGAGAGACTGCAGGCACAACGAGGGGGCGGAGGCTGGCTGAATAGAGCGACGGGCTTCCATTATGTACGGCTGCCATGTGCGAATGGGCCGCCGTGTCTTTGACTCCACCGCCATGGTGCAGGCTCTTTGAAGCGGCTTTCGGGCAGCTCAGGCCAGCGTGCACACGCTTCGCCGACAGGCTGTGGTCCTCGGGGATTCGACCGCGCAAAAGCAGCGCAAAGGCGAGCATCTCGGGCTCCAGTCGCTCCGCCCCCGACAGCGTACTTTTCAGCGTCGAGGTGGCCACGTCCGGCGAAGGACGCGAGCCGCCAGCCGAGAGAGGCTTCGTGCTGTCTTCATGCCCGGCCTCATTGGTGCTGGCGCGCTGGAGTGTCCAAAAGGCCGCTACGGCCGTTGCGGATTGACCGCTGTAGCCAGCAGCGTGAGATGCATCTTCTAGCCTAGCCCCGCGACTAATCAGAGGCTCGCAAAGTGAGACTGCCTGATACGCAGGAGCAGCAGAGTTGGGGGCGGCATCATCCTCCAGCAGCAGCGAAACCTGCCTGGAAGGAGAGTGGTGGCCGCCACGAGGGCTTCACGAGCGCGCATCCGCCAGCTTCCGGCAAACTGCTGGAGGCTCGTGGCCGCCAAGAGCCCTCCGCGAATTGACCAAACACGGGGTACGAAGTACGAGCAGAATGTACGAGTCTCAGGCGGACATTATCAGATGCACTGGACGCGGTGCCTTACGTGTGCAGCTAGCCCTTTACCACTCAGCAGCCCTCCATCACGGGAGGGGCTGTTACCTGCTATAGGCGTATCGTGACCTTGTAATACGCGCCACGCTGCTGACCTTGAAATGAAGCTGCTCCTGCGGGGCAAGGCCATGCTGGCACGCTGGCACACTGGCAACCCCACTCCTGCGAGCCCTGAAGTCTTCTTGGTGTGTCATAGTTGAATCGTCAAATATGCCCCAAACCGGCAAAAAAGCGAACCTCGCCCTCGTAATATCGCGCTTCCTCCCTCGCAGCGACCACCGCCGCGCCATTTCTCTCACGCCGTCTTCGCTGTTCGTCCAAGAGATACAGGGAAGCAGTTCTAGCTTCACTTGACTGCCGGCTGCGGTGCGGTGTCCGCATTTCTCGTATTATTCCCCGTTGAAGCCACCATGCCGGTTGCTGGCCATACGGATCCTCCCGTGTCTTGACACCGCTCTCTCACAGGCGCTTGCTTCTGCAACGTTGACCTATGATGGGCCCAAGGTTGACATCTAGATCCTGGCCCGTAGCCCTCCTGCTGCCAAGCGTATTCTCCGTTCATGTGCCTCGCTGCCGGATCGGCGACATGCCCGAAGTCCGATGCCCCGGACGATACACCTCGTTCACTATTCGAAAATCTCTGACCACCATCAGAGAACCATCCAGCCACATATTCCAATAGCCATCCCGGACGCTCCCGGTTTCTTCCTGCCTCGCCAACCCGCCAGCATCCCGGTTACTCTTGGTCCCTTGGTCCCTTGGTCCCTCAACATGGTAGCCTCTGCCGCTAGGGCGCGGGCCCGTGACTTGGTATCGTGGTTTGAGAGCAACGGAGGCCAGAAGAGCCCAGCTGTAGAGCTCGCCGAGGATGAGCAGCATGCTTTTCGCTTTCGAGCACTGTCCGACGTCGACGGCAACGAGTCTCCATCAAAGTTCAACATTTGCTCGTGTCCAACAACACTGTCACTTTCCTATCTCAACATCATACCCATCGAAGAGAAAGTCCTCGATGGCGTATCTGTTCGTTTCTGTGGTAGCACCCTGACGTCGCTATGGGATGTTGTCCCATCTCATATTCTTTCTCGTTTCGTACTCCTTGAACAGGCCTCGCTCAAGGACCGCTCCTTCTGGGCCCCTTACATCAATGCTCTGCCTACGACCTTTGATACGATCATATACTTCACTACCGAGGACCGCAAGTGGTTAGGCGCAACTAATCTAGACACCTTTCGCGATATTCGCCATGGTCTATGGAAGAGCGAATGGGAGCTTGTCATGGACGCTCTCAAAGAGCGTGGAATAGATTGTAGCCAATTCTCCTGGTAAGACTGTACCAGCTAGGACCTCCTATTCCCATGCTATTTTCGTTTTCTGAGAATTTGGCATCATATTTGCCACCCCTGTCCCAACTGTCAGCTCGGCCAAATGATCCTTCGGTCTATGCGCTAGCAGGAGAAGTGAGGCTATTTTGAGCTGTAACCCAAGATTACAAAAGCGCCACCGCCCCTGGAATTACAATTAGATATCTTGTGGAAGCTTGAAAACTGTGTCTAGCTTCCGCCATGTCAGCTTTCGAGGTTCCTCTTCTCGTCTGGCGCCGTAAACACGTTAATTCACGGCCAATGCGTCTGCTGTTGCCCGCAACATGCAGAAAATTACTCGTGCCTATTTCGTTCGAATTCCACGTCCAACGACCGATAGACGATGGACGATTGCTAATTGGAGATTAACGCAGGGATTCTTATGTTTGGGCTGCTTCCATCTTTACCTCGCGAGGTTTCGACTCAACACTTGTGTTCCCTAATCTTGAACTAGAGCGGTTCTCCGTTCTCTACCCCTTCTTAGACTCCCTCAACCATGATAGTAATGCAAGAGTGGATTGGGATATGAGATTTGACGCCTTCGCATTGAGCACATATGAACCCTTGAAGAAAGGCGACGAGATATTCAACAACTATGGATCCAAGGGCAATGAAGAATGTAAGTATCAAGTTCTTGTTTCTTTGAACTTTGTGGCTTCAGAATCTACTAGCTCCTTGGAGTCTCAAGTATAGCACATACGTCCTCCGTAATACCTAGAATCAATCCCTGCCTAGATATCCAACCATCACCTCGGTCCTCCTCTTTTCAAACACTGAAATTCCGCTCGCCTCCTATCAGAGCCCACTCTTTCAATATGTGATATATTAAATATCCTTCGGACCATCATATATACTAATCTCCATTCCACTATAGTGCTCGCCGGATACGGCTTTTGCATCCCTAACAACCCTTTCGAACAAGTAGCGGTCAAACTCGGCGGTCTGATCCCACCTATCAAACAGATCATCCTCGAGAACCACCTCCTGGAACCGAAAGACATGAGTGAAGAAGATTTCGGCCGAGACCTTTACCTCCGATCCTCCGACTGCAAACTCGGCCGATACGACAACAAGCACTCCTGGCTCGGCGGAATTCCACCACTTCTCTTTAAGGTCGCCCTCGGCATATACCTGTATACGACAAGTAGGCCGCAAAGCCTCCACTACGATCTCCCAGACTGGAAACCCGGTCGCCACATCATCGGTGCCGTGAGACAGCTCCTCCAAGTTCTGCAAGTGCGGCACCAGAAGATAGCCGGAGGTGCGCCCAATGGCGAGCCGACAAACACGAGACAGCACTATGCAAGCGTTTATCGCAAGGGGCAGCTAAATGTCGTGGATAGCAATATCGCTGAGCTTCGCAAAGTGCTCCCGGAGTTCGTGGACGAGCGCTCAAGTATCCTATCTCCGAGCTCTATCTTGACTACGCGCGAGGCCATTGCGCAGCTGGAGACAGAGAACCCAGCCGCTGCACGCGCCTTTGTGGAAGGCGTAGGTAACGTGCTCGTAGATCCTATGGACGCAGCTGAGATGCAAGCTGCAGATTGTGAGGACGTAGTGTGGGTGCTTTGGCTGGCGTATGCGTATGTCTTGACTGAGTGAGTACTACATCTCTTTACATCATTGAACTTGATTCTGCTCCACTACTCGTACTTCCATACTCCTCATTTGGCTACATCACATTTATGCTTTCGAATATCTAACGACCACCACCACAGAAACACCCCATCCTCAAAAATTTACGCCTGGCTCCACAACCTCCGCGCCTTCTACAAGTCTAAGCTGCGGGATTTCGCTGCAGGCGCCGACCAGGCCTACGTACCCCCAGCATACGAGTTCGTGGCGGAGAAGATCGCTGAAGTGGCTCGCGATGTGAGTGGTGTGTGGACGGCTTGCAGCGAGCGCAGAGACGTCATATTCTGGGCAGCGGAGGTCGTGCAGTTTGAGGCGTGGGAGGTGTTCGTCCGTGAAGACGATAAATATGGGGGAGCAGAGGGGGGGAGAGAGAGTAGATGGGTCCTATTGATGGATGATGAGGCGTAGGATATGATTCAAGCTCGATGGTGGGTGGACGGGATCGGGCAATACGAGCACCCCTGCTAAAACAAAATGCATACAGTTGGCTGATGGCCTTTTCTCAACGATTGTTGCAAGGCAAAAGACCCGGTCTAGAATGTGCGAAGCACGCAGTTGGAGTGGTCAGACTTTGCCTCGCCGTTGCTTTGCTTCGAGGCTGGTGCTGCGTGCGTTTCGAACTAGAGCATCCTGTGCCGCAGCCAAGAAGTCATGGATGTTGGTGCACAGCAATTGCGCATATCAGGCGAGGTGTTGTGGATACATGCAGAGGAAATGTGATGCGACGGAGTTTTGTGTGCAAGGCTGAGTTTGAGAGTCTGGCTGTGTACAACGTAGATCAATGAAGGTGACATGGAAATGTGAATGATTAGCAGGATGAGCATATTACATATTACTATAATAAGCGGAGTTAGGGCTATAGGGCGAGGGAGAAGGAAGGGGCACAGTGGTGGGATCGGACCGGTAAGGCGGATTCGTCGAAGGATGCTGTTCCTCGTACGATTATTATGGCGACAGAAGGCTGAGATTGCCAAACTTTGAAAGTCGTCGAAAAACAGTTTTTGAAAGATGGATTGATGTGGCAATTATGAGCTTAAAGAAATATCCAAGGCCAAAGTATTTATGGTGCCAATAGAGAATACGAAGAAGCATCCCGCATCCGTCGAGTTCAGAGGCGAGATGTGAAGAATCACCAGTTCAGGGGGCGGCGATTGGCCGGCAGAGCAGGCGGACGCGTGCCAAGTGATACCAAATAAAGACGGGCCCTGGCTGCTTTTGACACAGCTTGGGGCCAAATCGCCGGGATTCATGAGCCCGGCGGACGGTTGCCTTGCCGCCGTTCACCGTTTGAGCTGCGCCTTCGTCTACAGGAGGTACGTAACCAAAGCCTCCCGCACGCCTCTCCCTCATCTTGTCTCTTCCTTTATCAACCCCACACTTGTCCGCCTTCATCAAGGACACTTTCTCTTACACCTCTTCTGTGTTTGTGCTCTGATTCTAGTTCATCATGGTTGGTTACGTCGGTCACGTCGGTCACGCCCTCGTTCGTCGCGGCGTTCAAGCTGCCTCTGAGGGCTTCAAGAATGGCGATGGCAAGCCAGTTGAGATTAAGATCCCCGGCTGGGGACAGGCTTTGCTCTTCACGACCTTCATCGTCTTCACGGTCATCTTGAGCTCTGTATGTGCTCTTCTGGGGGACTGTAGCCTCGTACCTCTCACTTCAACACCACTGACAACAACCTAGCTTGAGTACACCCTCAAAGACGTCGTTGCAACTCTAGCGATGGTATGTCTAAATATATCTATTCAATTTGGTGGACCAATATTAATATATGGCTAGGTCGAGAGCCCCAGCGCCGAAATCGCCCTCACCTCCCCTCCCGAAGACGCCGACCCTCTCATGAAGAACGACGGCAATGTCGAAGAGAACGCAGGCCCCAACGTCACCCTCGTCCGTGCGAAGCCCATCACTTCCAAGATCCGCACCACACTCCGACACCTCAAGTCCCAGGCTGGTCCCCTCTCTAAATGGCGCGGACTGGTTCCCTTCATCTTCTACAACTTCACACATGCGTTCGTGACCAAGATTTTGGATGCCGTGATCCCTGGCTTCATCCCGGGCCGCTTTTTCATCTTCTCTTCGCTCTCCGCTGTCCTCCTTGCCCGTGTCCACGCGGCATGGACTCACACTGTCATCTCGATGCCCTCCAACAAGCGCTTCTGGCGCCGCATGCCCCCGGCATCCTCCTGGCGCCAGCTTGCGCTCCCGGCCGCTGTCAAGGCCTGCGCCGGGTACGCCTCGCTGTACGTCGCCGTAGGCTTTGTCTACGTCCTTCGTCTCAACCGTCTCAACGGCAACGAGCTTGCCACCTACAAAGGCGTTGACTGGTTCCTGCTCGCGCTCCGTGTGACCTCCCTCGTCGCCGTGGTCCTCCTTTCGGCGCTCTTCGTCACCCTCCCTGCTATTGTAACTTTGGTCCGTGTCGAGGCCAGCCTACTGCCGGAAGATTCGGAATGTATAGTTCCATTTGACCGCTCCTTCGCCGGCAAGGTTGTCCCAGCTATCCTCGGCGGCTCTGGCGCTATCGGCTTCGTCGATGCGTGGCGTTCGTTCAACTGGGAGGCCCGCCGTCGCCTAGTATTCCTCTATGTTAAGATCACGCTCGTCATGTTTGCCGTCATGATAATCCTCATGCCCATCATGGTCTTCGAGATCTGGGTCGTCATGGGCCCAGCGCTGCAGAAGCTGGTGGCGGATGCCCAGGGGCAGGTTTCCGCGCAGGGCGAAATGCACACTTGGTAAATACACCAAAGCACGCAAAGGCTCTGGATTATGAACATCGAAAGCTATGTCGGCCGCTGGAAGACATAGCTTGGTTCGTAGCGCTGCGAGTAGTATAGTATGATATGGGTTGCCGATATGGTAGCACCAAACTTGACAAACTGTCGATAGCTGATTTACTTCGGTACACTCTTTTCCTTGGACCTAGCTCTTTTCTTTGGGCGTTTGGCATGCACTGTGTATTTCAGACCCCTCTATAGGATCGTTGAATGAATATGATCGGAACACCATGGCTTTTTTCTGCGTGATGTGAATACTGCATGTTCTGAAGCTCGGTCTTGCTGATGACTATGCGAATGGTTACAATGTGTGGACTGTCGGAAACGACGGTGTAAGGTATTTCAGTAGAATTAAACATTGCAGTAGCCGTATATGAGCGGCCTTTTCTATTCTCAAGGCGGTTTGTAACAAATCGATCTTTTGGAAGGTTGCAGCATGATAGGAAGAGTGTTAACCCTCTATCAATGAAATCACACTCAAAACCGTTAGCACACCTGCATTACGGAGTCTACGAAAGCCCTGAACCCGACCAATAAAACCCATCACCAACTCCGCCCCACCCGTGGACCTTCCCCGCTCCACCAGGCCGCCCACCACCAATGGCCAATATTCACCCACCAACTTCCCAAAATTATGACACACACCCCCAGTTTTTGGCACTCAAACCTCGAAGCGCAAAGACCTGCCAGAGGATCCTGGATTATATTATAATTAATTTCCGCACAACTCAATTCCAGTAAGGTGTCATGGTCTAGTGGTTAGGACATATCGTTGTGGAGCACAACCCCGATATAACCCGCGTTCGATTCGCGGTGACGCCAATATGCGAATTTTCCTTTTGACTTTTTGGGGGCCTTAGAAAGGAGGAACCTAGTGGTGCAATCTTTTTTGGAGATGAGCAAAGAGTGGGAGAGCGGAGGGATTTTGGCTTCAGAATCACATTATGTGTATAGAGTCGTAGTAGGTTGCGTTGGAGTGGTTGCATTGTTTTTTCATCTTGTATAGTCTTCATTTCGTTCATACATTCTTTTCAACTCTAACACATGGGCAGCAAACCCACTCACTTCTTCTTCATACCCTCCGCCACCCATGCCCGCACTGATTTCGCGCTGTCGTGTGCAGCGCGGAACACTACAAAGCGAAAGAGTTGTTAGTAGCCGCAGGAGACGTGCGGTAGGAAAGGTATTCAAACATACACTGCCGCTCATTCTCATCCAGCCCCCTCAAGAAATCCGCACCTTCCCCCAGCGTGCCCCTCACATTATTCGCTTGATCTGCTATTACCGCCGCGCGCGCTTTGAACGTCTCACTCAACACTCGAATCATTTCCTGCTCCTCAGACTTGTTAATATCCTCAACATACATCTCTAGCAGCCGCGTCGCGAGGTTGTAGAAGTGCGAGGCGAGCGCGCGGAGGTCGACGGTTCTGGGGTCTGCTTTTAGTGCGTTGAAGACGCGTGGGCCCAGGGCAGAGGGGATGCTGAGGGTGACAAGGGAGTCGGTGTTCATCATTTCGCTGGATGGGGGGTTAGTGGGAGTTGGTGAGGGAGGAAGGGGTTGGCGGTGGTGGTGGACCTTAGGGAGAGCATCTCGCCGAGCCAGATTGGGAGTTCGACTTTGGAGTCCTTCTTCATCTGCATGGGTGTTAGGATAGGGGATGTTTAGTATTCAGTAGGGGAGAGTATCTTACGTCACCATCCATGTTTCCGTCAAGGAAGCCCAGACCGGGCACGGTGAGTTCGAATGTACATGGCACTTTCTGTTTATATTGTAAGCCATTTGGAGAGTAGTGAAAATGATATGGTAATGCAGATGTGATATTTACCTGAGCATCCGTGAGGATGGCGTCGATATCGTAGTAAGACATGGAGACTTAGTCTATCCCCAAATATTAGTATTTTTCTGGGCGAGTCTGCATGTCAAGATGACTACGTGTTTCGGAGTGAAGGACAGCATATGACACGTGTGAATGCAGAGTGCAGGCATGAATGTCCAGTCGGCAGAGTCGCATCCAAGACGCGTTGTGCCACTACTACAGCCAACATAGGCATGCACCACCACGAAGAGTGGGGAATTCTTGAAAAGACTCAAGGAGAAGGACGCAGAAGAAAACAGATGGATCGACGCGTGACTGGACGTGCATGAAAGAGATCTCTCGCCTTACATTTTCGCCCCGATTTGAATTGCGTAGTCGTGATTGCCTGCAGACAAGTGCGGCCTTAAAACACCATGCTCGCGCTGGCCTTCTGCACCAATTGACCTCTTCTCAGACTTTCCTCTTTTTCGACGACCTTCCAGAAGAAGCGCACGCGACTATTTCTTTGCGCGACGCTGTGAATCGTCGTTGGTGGTGTCGGAGATAAAGCAGCGGCTCTTGGCTTAGCAGCGCCTAAGGTCGCCTGCCACCATCAACTCCGTCGAGGCGCTGTGCGGAGAGCAGGCCATAGCTCCAGACAGTCCCCGGTCATCGACATCCCGCAGTAGACGACGGCTACCTACATATCGCCGTCACTTTAACTTCTGCATCCTACTCCTGCGCTGCGTCGTTGGGCACAAAACACCCACTACACGAGGCTCAACTCTAGTAAGTTCCACGCCGAGCTGCCCCGGCCTTGTGTGTCGGGGTGAATGAATATCTCATTCCAGCCGCTACCGCGCCCGATTCACTCTATAGAACAAGCTAACGTTACCACCTGCATAGTTTCCATCCGTTACGAGCTATTCATTCTCTTTGATGACCACTTCTGCGCACAATACACCCTCCGACCCCTCCACACCCTCGAGTCCCACGGTTGACCCTCCTCACCATGGCCGGTAACGAACGCATAGGTCAGCTCATGAGCGCCCTCGACACCTCGACTAGTATGGACGTATCGCGAGCCACGTCGCCAGGTGGAGACTGGCGCGACTCAAATGGTACGGCGAATGGCAACAATGCTGAAAAGCAGAGTCGCAGTCGCCCGCGGACCTTTCCGTACTTCAAATATTTACCGTACGAGACCGAAGATGCATCGGAGAGGGAGGAGAACCTCAACACATGCATAAAACATCTCTTCATAGCGGTTTCTGCGGGAGACTTTGCGCCGGGTGCGGTACACTGGACTCGAGAGATTAGAGGATGGCTGTCACTGAAGTTCGACCTTCCACGCAACACCCGCGTCAAGCTTGTCAAACTCTACTACGAGCTGGCGCTTGCCCCGGGTCTTGATTATCTGGTGGCGGAGCGCTTTGCGAGCATGTTCATGGTCTTGACGAAGTAAGTGAAGACATCTTGAAACACCCAGCCAATCACATGGACTAACAGGTTCTTTCACAGGCGAAAGCATTATCTTCGTCCGGGAAAAGACTTGATATTGGACTGGAAACCGCTCTTCAGAGAAATGAAGATGTTCGTATTTCCCTCGGAGTCAGGGGCATCTCATCCTACCAATGTCAAGCGCAATATCCGGACGCTGACGAAGCTGGCTACATTTGCACAACTTTACTTTGACACGCAAGATATTCCTGCGATGTTTGAAGAATTCCTTCCCTACTTTAGCACCTCGTTCTCTGAAAATGCATTCGTAGTCGTTGGCTTGCTCAACCTACTTCTCCCCACGTTCCCGGCATCAGAGGAGAAAGATGCGCTCCAGCCACAGACCTACCTGCCAACTTTCTTCCATCTTTGGTCTCTAATGAACAGGTCGAGACTGTTCGATGTGCACTTCGTCGACATCTTGTCTAGATTGGCGAGGGATTCCTTACCAACACAGCATATTCCTTTCTCTCAACATGGTATCTTTACGAGCGAGCAATCAGCACTCATATTTACCGCTATTCTCAGACTACTTCAGATCCCAGTTGGACAGGCTTTGACTCCCTACAGCTCGACCGTAGACCTAGGCGCCGGTCTGGCCGTGATGCTTGACAGAGATCAGAGAAAGCACCCAATTGCCCACCATATTGCTCGTTGGATTGTAATGTCCTTGTCTCCTGCTTGTTTGGACCACCCTGACTCAATTTTGGTCAAACTTGAAGGCTTGATCCAGGGGATCGAGACTTTCTTCCATCCATCCAATTCAGGTGATTGGACGAAGTCGCTCTCACAGCTTGTCTACTATCTCGCTGACTTCTTCGTCATGCGTTGGAATCGGGAGCATAGTGGCGAGATGGAGGTTCCTGAGGAGAGGAGACTCAATGATGTACTCAAGCGGCGATTCGTCCTATGCCTTCGAGACGTTATCTACATGGGAATCTTCGCGAAGAGTGGAACAGCTATGAACTTCTCGCTGTCAACGCTCCAGAGCCTTGCTTTCTTGGAACCAACCCTCATTCTTCCCGGGGCGCTTCAGAGGATATATCCAGCCATGCAAGGTCTTGTTGAGGTACACCGGACCATATCCTCCATACGCGCACTTCATATGCTGTCAAAGGTAATGGCGAGAACTAAGGGTTATAGATGTCACGTTACCACAGTCTTGGGGCTTGCTCTGCCAGGCATTGACGCGAACGACCTAGAAAAGACTTTACATACGTTGTCATACATCCAAGGCGTATGCTATACAGTTCCGTTCCACGATTTGACCAAAGAAAAGAGGCCGGGACAGAATGGCCGACTCACTGGTGATGGCACAGAAACTCCCATAGAAGGTACGGACACGGCATTGGCAGGCCAGTGGATAATGGGACAAGTCGACCGGCTAGAAAATCTGAGTGCCGACGGCGAGATCGACTACGACCAAGAGCTTAGCGATCAAGAAGAGGAGATGATATTAAGATCTTCAACAACTGGCCTCGCGGAGTTCTTGATCACCTTCCTTGGACGGGTATTTACTTTGCTAGAGAATCTCCCAGATGCCTCCCGCGTGAGGAGTGGATCGCCCGAGGAGAACGTAGTCAACACCCTCCCTGCAGCATTTACACCATTACTAGCAGCACTTTCGCCAGAGCTATTCGATATCGCCCTAGACAAGATCGCCAACTTCGTGACAAATCATGTCATTCATCAGGCTAGAGACGCGATGGCTTTCATTTGCAATGGTCTAGTCAAGATCAATCCCGAAAAGGCTCTCAAGCGGCTACTTCCTCATCTCCTGTCGGGAATTCGGGTTGAAATTGAGGACAACGGAGCCGGATCCACGAGGACAACGGGGTCCGAGGTTCTTCCTCGAGACCGTGCATTGGTATGGAACATCAGCCTGCTAAGCATGTGCGTTGTACATGTCGGCGACGCCGTGCTTGCCTGGAAAAAAGAACTTTTCGAGATTGCCGAGTACATGCAAAAGCACTGCAAAGGCATTCCAACGGTGCATGTTTCGAACTTCATCCACCATCTTCTGCTCAACTTGACAGTCACTTACACAATCGACTACTCCATCTACGAGGAAGACGAGCTTGAGAAGGGCCTCACCACCGAGTCATGGGGCAGACTTCCAGACCCGAAGAAATTAAACATTGTTTGGCACACGCCGAATGAGGAGGAGATCGATTTCGCGATCCGCCTTTTCAATTCGCAGTGTAAGAATGCGACCACCGCTCTGCTGGATCTGATCAAGCCAAATCCACCGATCAAGCGTGATGGCACTGGGAAGGACTGGTCCGACGAAGTATCACGCAATCTGGTCCTCCTAAGGCTTATCATGTCTGGTATCTCTGTCCTCTTCGACCCCAGCATTGAAGATAGCGATGAGAGCGACACCACAGATTCTTCTTCTGACGAGGATGCTACGGATACCGAAGGGCCCGACCATGATGCTGGCTTAGGTGAAGCTGAGGATGAGGAAGTGAAGCCAACGTTCCGATACAATACCGGTTACCCGCTTGCCAGGGACGGAAGAGGCTACAAACTCATCCACAGCCTGCGCCACAATGTTGGACTCTGTCTCCATGAAGTTCACAAGTTCTTGATCGAGAAGCAGGAAGACGACGTTCCTTGTTTCAATTCTCTATATAATGCCTACCGGTCCTGGTTTATCGATGTGGGAATTGAACGATCTGCTCATGTACTTGATCGGGTTACTCGACTTCTCGCGGCGGACGTCCATCCTTTCAAATTCAGCGGCCTAAGAAAGGAATATCCGAGACCATTACTGGTCAGACGAGCGAACGTCTATCATCTGCAGAGATTACGGCATAACGCAAATCCTAGGCCAAAGACTGATCTCGACAAGCAACTCCTCCTCGACTTGGCCGAGTCCAGCGTCTCACTTTATACTGAAATTCGCCGCACTGCTCAAACCGCGAACGAGTCAGCAGTCAAGTGCATACTTGGAGCTAGGCCTTTGGTTATTCCACCACTACTTGAAGCTCTCGTGAAAGCTGTAAATGAGAACGACTACCCACGCATCAAGGGAGCGATGTTCTCATTACTCTTCGGTAGTCTAGCAAAGACCATCAGCCGCGATTGGAGATTTACACCAACCTTGATCAAGGCATTCATCGAGGTCACTGGAGCTGATAAACCATCCGTGCAAAAGCTTGCAGGTAATGCTACTTTCCAAATCATGGACATGGGCAAGCCCTTGGAGCGTATGGTCATACTAGATCAAGAAGTCGTCGAGGCCATAGCATTTGCAGCTGCTTCTGAGGATTCGAAGAAGATCGAGGCGAAGGTCAATAAACGCCGAGAATTTATCAAGAAGAAACGAACCCGCATAGAGAAGAAGAAGGCAGACTTGTCTGCAGAGCTGGTAGACCTGGGCGCAACGTCACACTGGAAGAAAGCAAGTCGAACAGCGGCTATCGTCGTCAATCTTGGCATGAGATATGACTCCATTGCTTCAGATCCAATGATCGATCTTGTCACCAAGGGTTCTATTGATCCTCATCCGAGTCTTCGTGGGTTGTACGGTGGAGCTTTGGTCGGCATTTTCACTCTCATTCAGACTCGTGGTATCACAGGCCATAGTTACGAGAGATACCTCCTCAACGATGAGGAGCTTCCAGACAAAATCACCGTACCAACAAAAGCGGACGATCCGGGGTGGACTGAAGAGCACCTGAGCAGTTTCGCTAAACCAGAGGCTCAATATTATTCCGACTTTGACTATCCCGGCTGGCTGGTGTGGAACAAAACCATGCCTGCTTTCCTGACAAACCCACCTCCGATTCAGTACGACGAAGTCGAACAAGCAGTGCGAGCAAAGATTGGCAAGCATCTTGATAGGCAATGGTTCTCGAACTACTTCGCGTACATGAAGCAGGAACCACGGGATGCTACTTCAGACCGCTTCCGCATGTCTAGCTGCATGATGCTCACCCACGCCTTTGAGCTTGTCTTCTGCGGCTTGACAGAGACTACCTTCGAAGACATAAAAGACCTGACGCAATCAATATATGCTGATGGTAGCGACAAACATCAACACCGAGCTACTGCTGAAATTATGGGCGCGTTCCTCTCCGTTGCGCCTGACTTGACTCCCGAGCAGCGCGCAGAGATATGGGAGTATGCATTCCCGATCGTTCGAGGAATCTTCAAGGATGGCCTGACACCAGAGAATTCCTCGTACTGGACCACGTTCTTGCACGTCGTGCTTCAATCCAAAGATCCCCGTCGTGCTTGGCCATTGGTAGACTGGCTTGCAAGTTTCCGTCTGGACATGAACTCTAATGCTGCCTTCAAGGAGAGCTCCAAGATCCAGATGCTGCAGCAATGTATCCTAGATGCTGGATGGCATTTCCAACTCGACAAGCCAATCTTGGAAGACTTCATGCAACATCTCGACCATCCGTACAAGGGCGTTCGTGAAGCAATGGGTCAGACTATTGCTAGCATTCTCAGAATGAGATACCACGAGTCTTACAAGAGCGTTGAGACACTCATCAAGACTCAGAAAGAAGCTTCGTCGATCGGCACTCGTCCATATGAACCTACAGAAGAATACTCAACCACCATCACCAATGTCTTCGAACGACTCGAGGTCTGGCGAAAGGAGCGTCCCGCTGGACAACAAACACCCTCATCCTATACCCAAGGCGGCAAAACCGTCCTCCTCTGGCTCGACTCAGCCCTCTCCTCCTATGAGTGCATCCAGCTTGTCAAATTCTTCCCCGACGTCTTCATGGAGCAGCTCCTGCACATGATGGACATCAAAGAAGACCCGGAGCTCCAATCCCTCGCCTACCACGTCTTCCGCCACCTCCCCAACATTCCGCACCGCGCGGGCGAGGACGCCGACTTCATCGCCGCCCTCATCCGCATCGGCCGCACGGCCACCTCGTGGCACCAGCGCCTCCGCATCCTCATCCTCATCCAGGTCATCTACTTCCGCCGCCTCTTCCTCATGTCCGAGGCCCAGCAGCAGGCCCTTTTCGACTGCGTCTCCACGATGCTCGGCGACGTGCAGCTCGAGGTCCGCGAGGGCGCCAAGGCGACCCTGTCGGGTATGATCCGCTGCTCGCCGGTCGAACTGCGCACCCGCACTGTCGAGGCCCTGAAAGCGAAGTTCACGAAACAGCTCGCCAAGAACCCTCTCCCAAGAAGCCGTGTCCCGGGCACCCCAACGCCGGAGCAGGGCCGTCTGATATTAGTCCGTCACGCCGCGGTGCTGGGCCTCGGCGCGCTGATCCAAGCGTTTCCCTACACGAGCCCGCCGCCGGCGTGGTTGCCGGACGTGCTGGCTACGCTGGCGCGGAAGGCGGCTGCGGACTCGGGCATGGTGGGCAAGAGCGTGAAGAGCGTGCTGGCGGATTTCAAGAAGACGAGGCAGGATACTTGGCATGTTGATGTGAAGGTGAGTCTCCACAACACCCCCGAACAACGCGATATGAAAGCGATATATATACTAAACCCGGCGAACAGGCGTTCGAACCAGACCAGCTCGAGGACCTCGAGGGCGTGCTGTGGAAGAGCTACTTCGCCTAGCCCTATCCCTATTCCGCTAGATGCAAGGAGTGGGCGCAGTTGGAAGAGTGCCTTTTTGTCCCTTTTCTCTCCGACTCCGGGTTTTGGTCCAGGCTTTCCGCCGCGGGGGGGGGGGGGGGTTGCTTGGTAAAGCATCACGTATTCCCTGATTTTGCGTATCGTGTAGGTGTAGATTCTGTCTGCATAGGCTGGGCGCTGTGCTAGTAGCTTCTTCCGGTTCTTTTCACAATATACAATATTCGTCTTCTAGCTACGAGTTACGAGGGACGCGGGGGGCGGAGGAACGGGGGGACGGGGGGCGAACGGTTGGGGCAAAAGAGGCATGTAGAATGATTTGCTTTGCTTGATTGAGCTACCGATAGACAACACACAGACATAACAAACGCATTTGGCAATCTCTACGTATTAATGGTTGTGAATTGATGTTGCTTTTCCGTGCTTGGGTTTCTACTCGAAGTGACGCATCCGAATCCGAAACCCTCGTCTTGCGATCCATCGAAAGCCGGAACAATAATAATAATAATACAAGAAAAACGCCATGTATGCTTCCCTTAGTGCTCTATGGAGCCCCTGATTTTCCTCCCGGCCCGCTTAGGCGTCCGTTTTTTTGCTCGATCCAATAATACCACCCTACGAGCCTAGTTGAAACCGGGGTAAGGATGCGGAAAATCCCCCAAAACGCCAGTGGCTCCGCTATCAATGCGCGGGATGAATGCGTGCCAAACCCGAACCACCCATGCCATGCCGTTGTACACGCTCGATGATTACGCTCGAGGAGGACACAAAACCGAAAAGTGGTATAGAGCGAGTTGCTGCAAAACAAGAGCTATACACATCGTACACGCGAACTCACCACCTCCTTTCGCGGAGGCTTCAGATGTTTCGAGAAAAAAAATGTCCGTCGCTCATACGAGTATTAACCAACTCAAAGCAGCGAGGACACCGCAAGGACCAACCCAGCGCGCACTCCTCAGCCGCGACGGCGCAGCCGCAGAAGTAGCGGTAGGCGTGCCCGTAGCGACGTAGACGCCGGTCAGTCCGGCCGTCGACGTCCCCGTCGCGCCTTTGCCGCCCATCGAGACGGTGCGGCTGGGCGGCAACACAGAGCTGGGCGCGCTGTTTTCTTCTTCGTAGTACACGCCGTCGACGACCTTGCCCTGGCCCGCTGCGAGCATTTGTATCTGGTCTTGTGTGCACGACCCTTGCAGGGCACGCAGCCAACACGTGGTGTCTCCTTGATCCGGCGTCTTGTTGGTGTGCGTGGAGTTCATGAGCCCGTAAGTCGCGAAAGTGCTCAGATCCACGGCGTGTCCCATGGCGATCTCGGAGCCTTGGATGATGCGCGTGAAGACGGTGAAGGCGGTTTCAGGCTGGTATGCCGGGATGAGATGGCCAGAGTCGTAGATGCGAGAGAAGGAGAGGTTTCCGAATTGGCGCACTGCACCACCGACGTAGGTAGAGTTGACGACAATTTCAGCGTAGCCGGCAGCGGGGAAGGCAGTGGTATATCCAGGCGCAGCTGCAGCGATGGCAAAGGAAACCGCCTCGCCTCCGAACCAGTTGCAGATGTAGTCAGCATCGCCATACATCAACGCAACCCGAATTCCAAGTCCAAGGAGTTGTGCGAGAGATGCAACTTGGCCATCTCGGTTGATATCGCCTGTTTCTGAGAAAGCGTTCAAGACCACATCATTGGAGTCTGTGTAGTTTACTTGGGTTCCAATTGACTGCTGCACCTCGGCATAGTTGAGATATTCCATGTAAGCAGGACTGGGAAAGCTGACCGGCAGTACCTGTCTTATGTCGTAGGGATTTCGACTAGAATTGTAATAGGCGTCTTCGATTGGAAGGCACTTGTTTTGCGCTGAACTGCACAGCTGATTCGTCGATAACACGTCGCCCTCGCCTTGGGGATCATTCTTCGCAATACTACTGCGACAGGCGAGAATGGCCTCCTTACACCCTCCAGAGGCTTCGAAATCGCTGAGACTGTTGAGCATAGTCACGTCGTCGACGGCTTTGATTCCGTAGGTATTGTTGTTGGCAAATCTCGGGTAGTATGGGGTTTGTACGAGCTGGTCGATCCAACCGTTGATGATGCCAAGGGAGACGAGTTTGATTTCGAGAGTGCTGTTACGTGAGAGTTGACCAGTTGCGCGTTTTGAGTTTTGGGCTTCAAAATAATTTGCCATGACAGGGCCGTACTCTCCTCCATAGCTTTCTGCGAAAAGATTGACACCAGTCGCATACGTTGTAGTGCTGTTAGGCTTGGTTCCGGGGTTGTATCGAGGGAACGCGGAGAGGAAGCCTTGCAAGAAATGCCAGGCCGCAGCTGCCGCGATATTGGTCGTGTTGGCAGTGTTGAGTGGGTTCCCTGAGCTGAAGGTGCCATTGAGGTCGGTGTAGGGGGACTGTCCAGAAGGAGCGCCGGCAGGAGTGGTGTAAACATCGGTGAAAAGATTGTGGGATTTGTTCACCAGGATGTCGTAGGAGAAGCCGACCTGGGCGGGCTGGTCGATGTAAAGCACATTGGAGCTCCTGTCCCATCCCCAAGTACGCGCTTGTGTGGCGTAACCCTCGTCGGTTTGAACGACCTCACATGGTCCGCTCTCCTGGAACAGCCCGATCATGCTACTACTCCCAGGACCCCCATTGAGCCAGATAGTAAGCGGGGCCGTCTCCGGGTTTTCGCGTGCTTCAATGAACCAGAAGAAGGTGTTTATGGTATAGTTCTGCTGGTATGGTGCAATGGTGTAGGGCGGAAGCTGAACATAGCCCGTGTATTGCTTTTGGGCTTCGAAAGCTGTAGTGCAGGTGTTGGCATTGGGTGTCTTGTAGGAAATGGTGATTTTAGGATCGATTGGCGACTTGATGACGGTCGAATAGGTGACGGGAGCTGGAAACTGGGCGGCAGAGAAGGGAAGGATGAGGATGGCAGCAACGATTGGAAGCAGCTGAAACAGCTGGAGAGGTGCATTAGCCTTCAATGGACTGTGTATGACTGGGGGGAACGGCAGTCCTTGTGACGGATGCTGGATGCTTCGTTGACAGTTGTAGGGACGGGGGACTTGCCATGTTGATGGAGACTGCAAACTGAAAGACTAAAGAGGCACCATGAATGGAACGGAACGGGACAAGACAGCGGCAGCGCACGAAGAAGAGGAGAACAATGCTTGACACGGGCGAGGCTACACTCGCACAGCCCTCTTGCAGAATCCGCGTGTCGGGGGCGAGTGGTGGTGAGGCTGAACGAGGGTCGTGGGGAAGTCCCCAGGCGTGTTTTAGTCAGGGAGCAAGAGCAAGCTCCACGCGGCCTGGGCGGACCTGCAGCCGGAGGGGAGTCGGCAGCTGCTTGGCAACGGGTGATCTCCAGCGCAGTCCCATTCTTCCTTAATTTAGAGCATGCAAATGCTGGCGAGGATGCCATTGTTGAGCCGCATTCGAACGTGAGCATTCCAGCCGCCAAAGCTGCAAGCAGCAGCGTGCAACGCCCGCCTCCTGCACCATCAGCACGACTAGGTCGCCGCACGGCTGGACGCATCAGAACCACACGATTGGTCTTCCAGGCTCGTGACATGTATGGGGAACCTCGCACAGTGACACCCTAGTCGACGCATATACATCAAGCCAAACTGAAGTCATCGCACGCGGCAGTCAAACGATGCCTAGGATCCAAGGTGAAAGCAGTGTTCAGAGGGCAGGGTCTTCCTACTACATTCGATAAATGTGCACGTATGTCTGTCATTGCTCGTCTGTCACTGCTCAAAGAGCTTTCATAATGTCAAAACATGAGAAAGAGAATCATTTGGAACAATCGGATAGCCTGCTACGCCAGCTCAGACGGTGCCCCGTCCCATGGCCCTGTGGAAATGGACTTATGAATGCCAGCAACCCCCTCCTCCGGCACTTCACCGCTCCGCTCGTGGAGATCCCGCCCTCTAGCCCAGAGCAGCGTGGACACACTGCTAGACCTTTCCGCCCTCACCATCGTCACCGTACGTCTCCTTGAGCATGGCCATCATGCGCTTGGCCTCGGCCGGGTTGGCGTCCATAGAGACGATCTGGGAGAGGTCAGCATGCGGAAGGGGAGATCAGCATCAAAAGGAAGGCACTTACCAAAGGTGGCTCGGTAGCCTTGCCCTTGCCAGCTTCCTTGATAGCGGCGTGAGCGGGGCACTCCTTGTCGTAGTACTCCATGTCGGCCATCGAGTGGAAGATGATGCGGGCGACGACGGTGTAGCCCTGGTTGCGGGGCTCCTCGTGCAGCTTGCTGGTGCTGGCGGCGAAGATGTAGGGCTTGCCGTCCTTGAGGGCATGGTGAGCGGGGTTGGGGTAGGGTTAGGAGGGGAGTTGAGGGGAGTTGAGGGGAGGGATGGGAGTTCAGTGGCAGGTACCTTGACGGCGTCTGTCTGGATCGTGCTGAACTTGGCTACCAGGTAGTCGATGTCTTGGGGGTCGGGGATCTTGAAGAGGGTGAGGCGGACGACGGGGGAAGCCATTGTTGTGTTTGTGGTTGGTGATGTGGAAGCACAGATTGTTTGTGAAGAGGATAGAGTTGGAGTTGCAGATGGGGATGGTGAGTGATGGAACGGTGATGGAACGGTGATGGATGGAGGGCGGTGTGTCAGAAGGAGAAGAAGAAGTCGAGGTTTTGAGGACTATCACGCGGCTGGTTTGCACGCGTGGCAGGATGGAGGTGCAAAAGGGGAAGTCACGATGGAGCAGTTTCTAAGCGCTTACTGCTACTCAATAATTAAGAATACTAAATAAAAGCCTTTGCAAGTTAACAACTACCTATAAGGAAGTCTTTTCACTCTTTAGAATCTGAAATCTCTGTTGCGTTGAGGTTCTGATGAAGTAGGGGGCCTGCACGTCTACGCGTCGTCACTTCGGAGTGTGCACGTATGGGAGTCCTAGTACTGTAGGCCGAGGCGAATGCCACGTGAAGGTGAACTACGAGAGCGTTTCTGAGCTGGTGTTGGGCATCATATAGACAAGATGAAACTCTACGACCTGCAGCGGCTCCTCACCCGCCCGACAGCGCTCTCCTCCGGGCTTCTCCATGGTGTTGAGGCTCCCCGAACGCATACTCCTGGCACGTGATGCACGTCTCACGCCAACCTTGGAACTTGACCTCAGATGCATCTCCAGTCCACCCGTCTTCTCGCTCATAGCTGCCAGACGCCACTTGCAGGCAGGCCCAGATGCAGCGCCGGACGCTGGCAGTCGGCGGCGCAGAATCGGCAGGGCGGAGGCCCGGTGTCTCATAGGGCTGAAGGGCATCGCAGGGCGTGGTTGGAGAGACGCAAATGAACCTGTGGGGCGCTTGTCGCTGCTCGCCGCCTCATCGTCAAGGACTTCGACGTCGTCCACAGCATGGCGACGAGACAGCCCGCCCACGCGGCCGTGGTGTTGATATAGAGTATCATCAGCCCCAGCCCCAGCATCAGCATCCTCCTCCTCCACTAGCAGCAGTCCCCAGCGTCGCGCCAGAGGCTACCGCGCCTAGTTAGCCCTCACCGCCGTTTGTATCGATTGCGCACGCCGGCGGGACCCTGTATAGCCAAGCTGTAACACGCAATCCTGGAACGACGCCCATCATTCATCGCTGCAATTCTCCGCCATGCTCGGATGCTGCCCGTCTGCCTGTGCCCTCTACCACGCCTACCTGCTACCCCGCGACTATGGAGCCATGGAGCCATGGAGTCCACTACTACCGTCATGCATCTGATGCCCGTCGTTGCCTCTCCCAGGCGTGGCTCCGGCGCCAAAGGCTGTCGGTGCGGTACGTCTCCCCATCCATCTTGGAGCGCTCCTCGCAAACCACAACTACGACGATAACGACCAGCGTCCAGTTGCCAGGCCCTCCTGCCAGGCCTCGATACCGTCTCGGCGCAGGTCACGCTGCTGCTGGCGTCCTGTCGGCCGTGGGGCCCTGACGGCCCAGTATCGTCGAAGCTTCACGCCATATTGCTGTCCATCGATGCACGATGCGGCCTGGCCAACCAGGTCCCATACGCCCAGAGACTGGGGGCGGCGTCCGGGCAGTTCGGATAATGTGAGCAAGCGTTCACTGCTGAGGTAAAGTAGCTCGCCGTCGAAATGCTCCTAGGATGGCTCTCCGCCCTCGTCAGGAACCACTCACCCCAGTCCGCCCCCCCGTCGTGCATGGCGGCCGTGCCTATTCGGACTGTTGTCGTCTCGTGGAGCACCCTGGCGCCGTCCAGAAGGGTGCGATGGGGCTCGTCCAGGCAGATTCGGGCCAGATAGAGGCAGTCTATAGTCTGTTCACTCTGTCAGTCAGTCCCCACCGCAGCCCCGCCGTCATGCCAACGTCGGCAGCATCCACGCACTCTGCGACTCATGCCGGGCGCGATGCCGCACATTTGCAGCCGTTGGTCTTCCCCCGTTTGGGCGTTTGGCGCAGATAGTTCGGCCTCCAAGCATCAAGCGTTGACAACTCACCACGCATTGCATGAGCACGGGCGTCCGGGGTGCAACGACATGTCCTGCCGTAACACCACCCACCAGCTGCCCGCCATCGAGACCCCTCGCCCGCTGGCGCTGGTGACTGGCCGTTGTGCGCGCAGACAGGGCCGTCTATTCTGGGTGCGACGCTTGAGTGCTCCTCCAAGCCACCATGCTCTGTTCCCTCCGCAGTCACGTAGCGTGTCGTCCTGCCTGCCAGTAGAGGCCCCCGACGCGCGATGGCCGCGCTTGAACCGGCACGGAGCAGGCCTCATCGTCCGCCAGGCCCAGTTTTCGCGCGGTGCTGGCGCTCCTGGCCGTTGCTGCTCGTCGACGTGCCCGCCTGTCCACCACCCATCCCCCATTCCCCTCGGCCTCGCGCCAAGCCGCACCCGCCCGGGGCCACGGGTGCTGGTGCTCGCCGCAGCTGGGGACGGCAGGCATGTCGGCGGGAGCTCGCTGAGAGGCTGCGTGCAGCATCTGACGTTGCGGTGCGGTGCATCTCCAGCGAATTGCCGCACAGCATAAATTAGCGGCCGCCCCAGAGCCTGAGACTCCTCCGCAACGCTGGAGGGCGGAGCGGATGGTGCTGGTGCGGGTGCAGGGCGCCTCCACCGTTGCCAGCGTGCCAGCGTTGCAACTTGCAGCCCGTGCCTTGGGTGCGCTGAGGCCAAACCGCTGCTGGCGACGGCGATCTGAGCAGTGCACCATCCCCAGCGGCCACTCGTGCGCAATGCCTGCCGCATGGTGGCGAAGGAAGAATGTCTGCTCTGGCGAGAACCGGTGAGTCTGTGCCTTATGGGAGCGTCGAGTTATCAAATGTCCCTAGCGACCTTCTGGAACCCCGATAAGTCACTGGCCAAAACGCACGCCAACACATCAATATGGGGCTTGCCCTCAGAGCCGCAACCAGGCCTGCAGATTGTTCATCTCAGATGCCCACTGCCCACTGCTCGCTGCCTCTAGCACGGCCGGACTCGACTCGGATGCATATCCAGACATGCCTGCTGCACCCGCGCCTGCAATAAATTACACGCTGTCCCGCCGTTGGAGCCATATGTCCCCCCATCCCCTTTTCATTTTCTGCAGACCACTCACTCTCCCTTGCTGTTCCCCCCTTCGATAGCATCGCCAGCATACTAGACAACTGTCACTGCTCGCATTGGTAGCTGTCGCGCCCCCGAACGCATCTGCCGTTGTACGACAGGAGCCACGATACCCGACACCCTCACCACCCTCCCACCTACGACCTCGTGGCAGTAGGGCTGTAGCCTCCAAGGTTTCCACGCCGCCATCCACGAGTCCGCAGCAGCCATTGCTCTCCTGCTCTCTAGGTCGCCCACGCCTGGCCAACACCCCACTCCACGCTCCTCGGCACCATGTTCTACATCATGTACCTGACAGGTAAGACTGCCCTTAGCGTCCGCGGTTTGATATTGGGGTACCACAGCGATGGGATCTATCGACAATGCAAAGAAAAATCAAGTCCGAGCCTCTCAATCGGCGTCTCCAGCGTCGCTAAGCTGCCATTGCTGTCTTATGAAGCCGATTCTGGCCAATGCAATTGTCTAAGATTGAACTGTGATGCCCGATCAGCAAACCTCGACACCCCACGCATCTACGTGTCGTGTTGGACAGCCGGCTAACTCGTCGCTTTCGTAGGGCTCTGCAATCGCCGCCACTGGCCCGACCCACTCTACGAGTGCTACAGGACTCGCCACGGGCACGTTTTACCCCCACTCTCATAAGGCTGCCAGCTAATGCACCACTAGATACGGATGTACCGTTCGCGTTAACAACCGAGAATACACCACGGACGTCGATTACGAAACGGACGAGCTGGCCCGTAATGCAGCAGCCACGCGGGCGTACATGATCTGCAGGAACTTCTCTGTCAACGATGGCATGTACCCCGGCCAACGACAAGGCCAGGGAGGCGTCATTCAGGGGCTTCCTGTGGCGATTGGGACTGGCCGACGAAACACGTACTCGTCTAATACCGACTACGACAGCGGGAGCAGCACATATGCGGAAACTGGAAGCGGCGGTAACAGCCCCAGAAGCAGTGACTGCGGACTCGAATCGGCCAGCAGGAGGTCCAGCAAGTCGTCGACTTCTGGATCCTGCTACTGCGGCCGAGGGGCCATCCGAGCATACGAGAGGTGCAACTCTTGCCTGCGAGAGAGCGGCTACAACTAGCAGCTTGCTGGTGTGACGATGCATGGCGGCCCACCTGGCAAACTAACAACTAAAACTTGATTACTACCAACATAAGACTTTGACGAGCTCAGGCTCAGCAACCATTCAGACGACTGTAATGGACCTACGAATTACGATTTATTACGACGAAGCGCTGCATGAATAACGACATCTCCACTTTCATCTATTGGAGGGTTCAGTTTCAGCAATCTTTTCTTACTTCTGGAATCACGACAGAATTCATCGTCTCTCCTTGAAAAAGTATGGCGGGGGCATAGCGATTGAAGCGTTCAGCGAAAAACATCACGGCGGCTCTCTCTTATTCCCAGATTGGCTTGGATTTCTGCTGTTCTCCCCTCTTCTCCTTAAAAGGATGCTTACAATTGCAAACCCTAACGATGTTGATGACGGAGATATTTCGGGTGCTCAAAGATGTCACAGCGATGTGGACGGGGCTCGCGTGTATTAGGGGGTAATCATGTCCTTCGTTCTGCTGGCACGCAATCAGCACGCCAAGCAATGCATGCTTTTACCTACCTGCCTAATGATACCCGATGCTTTCGGCCGTGCTTATGATTGGTCGGCGGCCCGCTGCCGTGGCGGTTCGGAGCGTTGAAGGATTGGTGGTTGGCTAGCCAATACCACGTTCGAGTGCCCTTCTCGCAGTGATGCACCAAAAGTCTGTTTCAACAACATCCTTCACACTCCCTTTCTCTTCACTTCGTCGCTGCTGCCTCATCTCTACCATTTAGACTGCCTTTGACACCATCGCGATCGTCGTCGCCGTCTCGATGTAGCGTAGTTACCTTGTCCAATGACCTTGGCCCATGGACGCTCGCTTTCTCCACACCAGCCGCCAACGGTCATCAACCATGGTATGAGGCGGATCGCGCATGTCATCCACAATGTTCTGGCTCCTCCCTTCCCTCAAAAAAAGTTGCCGACTACGGAACTATGTCTCCCCACGCGCGTCCACAATCCCTTGGCATGACCTACAAGAGTGCCCGCCAATCCTCCTCTCCCTCTCCAACCACTTCTACCTTTCCATCGTTCCTACCCTCTTGTTAACGTCATGCATTTATTTGGCAGTGTTCTCTTACTCAGCTGGGTTCTCTCACTCCAGCTTCTCAAGGGCGCCGAGGCCAAAAAAAACCCACCCTCTCACGTCTCGGACACAGGAAAGAGCGAAGAGGCATGGAAGTATAGACAGCACCCGGAATTTAACCTGGCGATGTCGAACGAGACCTATATCGAATGGGAAACGATGAATAACATGACCCACGATATGTTCAACCATGCTGGCGAGCTGAAGCAATTGGCGAAGATGTTGCACGCTGAGATCGATAAGACTCATATCAAAGTGCGTGTCGCGGAAGATGCTGCCGCTAAATGTGGCATCAAGCCTGTCTTCGAGCCCTTGCCTACGCTCAAGGGGGCGGCACTCTCAACGCGATGGCCAGCAGATAAGAACGCCCCCTTGCCTACAGGTGTAGTGGAGCACGTCGCGGAGCTTCATGAGGGCGACGATGGGAACACCTATTGGGTGGTCAAATATTGGGCCAAGAAGACCGGCACGGAGAAAAAGATAAGTGCGCCTGAAGGTATCGACCCATCAGAGCATTTCAATGGCTCCGTTACTCCCGTAGATCCCATCTTTAACCCTGAGCGGCCGCCATATATCAAAGTCGCCTTCAATTTGGTACAGGAAGCCCTTAGGGAGACCGAGAGGCTACAGACGGTCCTCAGGGAACGCAAGAGCTATTTGATTCAAATCCACCGCCAAGTGGAGAAGTATTGCAACAAGAAGTATCTCGACCAGGCGAAGGCGCCCCATCCTACGACACCGTACCCCCTCATTACCGGCAGCGTCCGGACGGGGAAAAGCCACCCCTTCCCAGTGGAATGGCTCGAGCACGAAAAGGGCATGCCCGAATCGGCCGCCAGGTTGGAAGACGAATACCTGACTAAAGAATACCTGACCAAAGAACGCCTGACTAATGGACACGTGACGACCATAACATCCCACCGCAAAACCCACGTCGGCGTCCCCCAGGTCCTGCCCCCCCGAACCTCCACCACCCAGACCGCCGGCCTCCCCGCCACCTACGCCCCCTGGAAAGGCCCCCCTCCCGACCCCATGTCCTTCACACGACTCTACCACACATCCGTCCACTGGGCCCAGCTCAGCGCCTCCATCCCAACCCCGTCGCCCACCAACCGCCACCCCGCCCCAGCCAAACGCTTCGCTCCCCTCGAGCTCTCCGTCCTCGAAGAGGCCCTCCGCGCCAACTACACCGCCGACCTCGCACGCGCGCGCGCCACCGCGGCCCAAACCCCCGTCGAGCTCTGGCCCGAGCCGCACATCGAGCCGCTGCCGACGTTCTCGTCGACCAAAACCGTCTTCGCGCCGCACACCGCCCACAGCGACTGGCAGCTCGTGAGCAGCGGCGCGAGCGCGACGGCTCGATTGGGGTATGAGGGCGTTGTCGCGCTCTACCCCACCCCGTCTCGCACGGGCGAGCAGGCGGCGCCGCTGTCGAGTTTTGCGGATCTGGATCCGGCGGCGCACCGCGAGGCCGGGGGGAGCGATGGCGGGAAGAAGCATCTCGAGGGGTGGGCGATTGCGCTGATTGTTGTGCTTGTTGTGTTGGTGTTGAGTGGAGTCGGGGGCGCGGTGGTGTGGGCAAGGCGGCGGGAGCGGAAGAGGCGGAAGAGCGTTAGGTTGGGGGGGTTGAGTCGGACGGGGAGGGCGATGGCGGGGGAGGGGAGTGAGGTGAGCGTGAAGGGGGTCGTGTTTGAGATGGCGGGGGGGAGTGAGAGGTCGAGGGAGAGTGTGCAGGAGAGGAGTCAGGAGGGGGAGAGGGGGAGGGAGGTTGTGTGAGAGGAGATGAGTGTTTGGAAATGGTATTCAGAGAAGGGGTGTTAAAAGTAGTTTTTCTTTTGTTTAGATTGGATGGTGAGAGGGTTGAAAAGCATCGAATACATTGCCAATATTCCCCAATATGCGCCCGAATCCATTGGCTGTGATATTGGATACACTATACACGTGAGCTGAAGAGGTATAGTCGTAAATTGATTCGGCGCTAGCATCTCCATTTGCCTGAACTCGTGGGAGTGGAGCCTGAGTAGTGTAATTTCAGAAATGCCAAGCATCTGATTTATTTTAGATCTGGAAACCTTGGGAGCAGACATGGTCTGGGGCGGTCCACGCGCAGATTGTGTCAACTGGAATCTACTTCCCTGGAACCTCTACGTCGGGACACACCTGTGAAACATAAACAAGATGAGCTAGAAGTAAGCTATACGTTACCGAAAATAATGTTCGCTGCAGCAAATCCACGATCCGCGGGAAGGAGAAATCCAGACCTTCTCTCAGTGCTCGACACTTTCTAAAAATGCCCAGACTTGCCATACCTAGATAATCCCAAGAATTAAGAACAGTATGTCGTGAAACAAGTACCACGCGCGGAATCATTCGACACGAGAAGGGAACCTTATGATAACTTTTGCTTCATTCGTCTAGCCCCTTCTTCTGATCTTCAGAAAAACATGCAATGCATGAAACATCTAGAACACCATACACTCAGCCCCATCCCCATACCGACCCATACTTCGCCAATCAACAAAAAGGTGGTGCAAATGTAGACACTATGCAAGAACAAAAAAACCTTACATACTAAAAGCATGCGAGAAAAAAAATATGAATGCTAACCCGACCTGACCGATACCCATTATCCCAGTCATCCGATGTGACCGATATCCCTAGTTGTTTTGTACCGTCGCGCCGCCGCCACCGGTGGGAAAAAAAGTAAGTGTGTAGAGAGTAGAGTGTGGGTCTAGAAACGCTGGTTGTACGAAATCTCCAGGATGAATAGTGTTGAGAATGCGAAAGACTCGAACATGTACATCGAAGTGCGCAAGAGGATTAAAGAGTTATAGGAAGTTGCACGGGACCAGCGCCGAGTGATGAGAAGGTTGATCGTGGGGAACTTTCATGGGTGACCGGAAAGGATTTACATAATGATCGCCGGAGCTGCGTAAATGTTAGAAAGGTTGTGATATAGCAAGGATCGTCAAAACTTACAGTCGACGTTCGCCTTGATAGACTTGTGGGGTAGCACAGAGCCGCCATTGACGTAAATCTCATCTCCGATGGAGACGTCGTCTCCGAGCACGGTAACATTCTCCAGACGTGCCCACTTGCCGACGGAGCTGTTCCAGCCAACAATGGTGGACTTGATCCAGGCATGGTCCTTGACCCTGCTGTTTTCCAACAGCACGCATCGCTGCAACCTAACACCATTTCCGACCACGACACCTGGTCCAATTGTTACATTGGGACCAATACGGCAGTTCTTGCCGATCTTGGCAGTTGGGTCGATGAGGACGTTTCCACCATGCACGAACGATTCAGAGACTGGGGTAAGCTGCTTCGAACCCCTCTTCGAGAGCGAGGAGAGGTAGAGGCAGGTTCCAGAAAGGAAGTCCTTTGGCTGTCCCACATCCATCCAGAAACCCTCCAAGTCAAAAGAGTGCAACTGGCCGTCCTTGCAAATAGCAGGGAAGGTCTCTTGTTCGATCGACGTGGGCCGTAGCTCGATGCGCTTCAGCACCGAGGTATTCAAGATGTATATACCGGCATTGATACGGTTTCCAACGAACTCAACGGGCTTCTCGACGAAGCGGTCGATTCTCGAAGCGTGGTTGGGCTTGTGCACCACCACACCGTATTTTGAGGGCTCCTCGACCTTTGTGACCACAATTGTGCCCTCTTCGCCGTGTGCCTTGTGGAAGTCGGCGAGCTGCTTGAAGGGGTAGTCGCAGATGACGTCGGAGTTGAGGACGAAGAAGGGAGTATCGTCTTTGCCCAGGATGGACTCGGCGAGCTTCAGAGGACCGGCGGTACCAAGAGGCTCAGTTTCCACGGAGAAGTCAATCTTGACATTGTACATCTCCTCGTACTAATCGGTTCCGGTTGTCAGCAAGCGTCGACGTTGGGTGGTCAAGTCTACTAACCTCCTTCAACGCCTTGGTCATGATCTCGGGCCTGTAGTTTACAGCCAACACGATGTTGGTCACACCGGCAGCAGCCAGGGCCTCGACCTGATGCTGGATCATGGGCTTGTTCGCAAACTCGACCAGCGGCTTGGGTAGAGTGAGAGTCTGTCGAGTATCAGTGGTCCATTGTCGAGATCGGCGGCTCTAGACTCGAAGAGCCAGGGCAGCAGAGGGTTGCAGGGCGGCATACGAGAGGTCGTAGACGGGTGCCAAACCCTCCGACGAGAATGAGAGCTATTGGAAGCCATGGTCAGTCCATGTTCTGCTGTTTTGGGCACTGCACTCACCCTTCATGTTGGTGGAGTTGCGGTGTGCGTTGAGCAACGTGTGTGGACGTAGTGGGGTTGACTGGTTGTCTAAACGAGCGTATTGGGATAGCTGGATGCGAGGACCTGGAGAGAGCGTCGGGCAGTGGTGTATGGGGTGCAATTGGGGTGAATGTAGGGGGCAGTCAGAGTGGACAGCTGGCGTCGGGCGTGGTTAAAAAGTATCTCGGCTTGGCACGCTCGACGATGGCAAGGGTCTCCTTTTCTCGGCCTGCCGCTTGCAGCTAAAGCCAGCTAATTTCGGCTACTGCTCCCCGCTGAGCAACGCTCAAGTAACTGCTCAGCGACACGATATTTATTGGCTCCGTTCGCAGGCCACCCATCACGAGCTTGTGTACCGCAGCCCTGACTGGACGCCCGCCATGTCATGTCACCGCCTCGCCCTCCATTGCCGCTTGCCCCTAGGCCACGGCCCACGTGGGACGAGGGCGCAATTGCGGAGGCGACGACAGTTTCTGCCAGTCACACCGTATATCCCTCCGTGTTCGCCATCAGTTGACCAGCCTGCTCGCGGGAGACGCGCTGAAACGGAGCCAGACCCGCCAATCGCCACGATGCTCCCGAGTTTCTGCACCTGATCTATCCAAAGCAAGGAACTGTCCATTCCATTATGCGATGCAAGTCCGGAACCTCTGGAGCGCACTTGTACCACGGTAGCAAGACATGAACAGCACCAGAAGACTGGATCCAGTAAAAGCGAGGGCCCTTGCTATTAGCAACTGTATAAAACGTTGCTCTCCAGATCTTGAGGGTGGTCAGATTCCGCTCAGGGATATACGTAGCCTGATATTTCGGTCACGATCTCACGTCCATCTGACCTCCCATATGCAGGAACCATCTGCCACAGGATCTACGTACAGGATTGTTTCAGCCATATAACCCCATGCTATTTTTATTTTTCTCTCGAGTCGTTTTCGCCAGTCTTCTTCCCTGCAAACCTCTGCTCCGTCTCCCACACCCATTTCCCCTTCTCGTACCTCCACAACCCCAGCCCTACGCTCCACCCCTGTGCCCCTTCCCACGCCTCTACCTCTTCATATGCCTCCCCCACCCGCCCCTCCTCGTCCACCTTGTTCATCACCGTCCAATGCGGCCTCCATCCGCCGCGGTCCTGCTCGCTCAGCCCATCCAGCCAAGCCTCTCTGAGCTCTTTATGAATCCGTCTCAACTCTAATCCTCCACGTGCTACGCCTATACCAACACCACGACGCATGCAGAATGGCCCTCCCGTCTCAATTCGAAAGGGTGTGGTATGGTCAGCACAGCACTTGAGCGTGACGAGGATCTTTGTGCGGGGAATGCGGCAGGGCGTGGAAGAGGGTGAGGTGGGCCGCGGTGCGGTTGAGATGGCGTGGGAAGTGGCATTCGCGGAGGGCGTTGAGCGGCGTGGAGAGGCTTGGCGAGGTCAGGAGTGTAAGGACGTAGACGTGGTCTTCTGGGGATGTGGTATTTGGGGCGTAGGCAGGATTGGGGCTGGTCTGACGTTGTGGAGCCTCTTGCAGAGGTGATGAGCGAGAACGCTGATTCGAAGTGGCAGACGCACCAGCGGCAATGCTGGCGTACGAGCGTGATTGGGCTGACATTAATACTTTGCCTACTACGTAGCGTTGAAATGTATTTGAGTATGACTGTCGAGCCCTCATTGCTTGTAGGGCAGTCGTCGTGCGAAAGCGAAGCGGGAGTAGTTCTAGTAACTATATTTCATGGTTTACGTCATCATTCAGCATTTCGCGCTATCACGTTATTTCCCGATTTGTCCTATCATTCAGCCTGTTAATGAACTAAACGGTCTCATATAAGACCCAAAGACATCTAATTAGGAGAATAAGTTTGGGCACACGGATATACCACTGCACTGGCACCACTCTTACTCCTCATTGCCACTGAGGAGTAGCCCAGCTAGCAGACATTCAATCAGTGAAAACGTAACCTATTTTCCACTGCGTCGGCCTTCGCATCCCAATTAGACATTCAAAAGCCCATAGGGACACCCTAAGTGGTGTTCAATAACAGTGCCTAAGCTCGTGTAGCACTGTATTTCCTATTTCATCCTTTTATCTTGGCTACTAATGAAATCAAAAGTCTCATATAGGACTCAAGAACATGAAACTCGGAGAGATGCAGCTCAAGTACGCATTCCGAGTATACTTTGCCATGAAGAGGCTCAACACCAAAACCTTTCGCCAAGACTATCTTCAACCACGGATCGACTGTACTGTTTCCAAATAAAGGGGCGAATAACAGCCACGCATTAGCTACTTTCGAGCGTATTCTATATCGTTACCATGGTTCAACCCAGAGGGCATCAGAGCGCGCTCTGGGCATAACTCACGTTGGAGGATTTCTTGAGATCCTCCACGTCACCCTCACAGCAATACACTCGCTTCTCCCTTGAGTCCTACACTACAAAAGCCGCGAAAACTACGAAGAGCCATACTCAACGCTTAGCTCCAAAATGGCTCAGATGGCTGCACGTACGGAGAGCCTGCTCGACAAGCTCCCACACCTCCGGGAACTAGAGCATGCGGTAAAGAAAACAACCAACCCGGTCGGAGCGCTTTGTTGCATTTTTGAAGCCGGTGTGGACAAGCAGGCCACCAATATCGACCACTTCTTAGACGTGCTGGAGACGATTGGGTGCGACTCCCCACTCTGGTCTGAAGTACAAGAAGAGAAATGGGCAAGGGGCCTGACTGACCGAAGCTCCTCAACGGAAGGAACCATTCTCGATGGATTATCTTGCGCACTCAAGGACACCCAGCGCGAAAATCCACTTCGTGACGAATATCGAGAGACAGACGCCGAACTCCTGGAGACTCTGAGGAGGACTCGCAACCGTCAACGCCATGGAAAGAAGACTACCCCCGACAACTCTCTGCCTTCATCCCCGAGACAACGCAAGCGCAAAATTCAAGAACTCTGGCACGCGCTCCTCGACGAAGGGGACATCGAATACATCCACGGCCTCCGTAATTCCGAAACCTTCAAAAACGGGCTCACCAACAACGTCTTCATCGACGAACACGCCACGATCGCTAAAAAGCACGCTGTCATCGGCAAGAACGTCTTTTGGACTGATGCATCGACCCAAATCAACGGACTCTCAGCGGTAGCTGTCGCGTACAGCCCCGTTAACTCTCTTTATCTTGCCACCACTCCCGCGAACGCCGGCTACGGCCACACTTCTGACTCCGCCGAAACATACGGAGTTCTCTGCGCCCTCCACGTCGCTGAAAGCCTCCTCCGCCAGGACAACGAGTGGCGTGAGGCAATGGGCTCAGACGTATTGGTTATACAGTGCGATTCCCAGAACGCTCTGCGCCAAATCGGAGCTTGTACTGCTGAGCAAGGCTCGCCGATACGATATTTTATCAAGAAGATTGTGGAGGCCGTGTATAGAATATACGAGCTTGGTTTAAAGGTGGAGTTTCGATGGGTGCCAGGACACAAGGGGGTCACTGGCAACGAGGTCGCGGACAGAGCGGCAAAGAATGCGAGGATGCAGTATGAGCAAGAGGCGAGTGCCCAATCAGAGTACCTCCAAGCCCAGTACGCGCATCTTCAAGGTCAAGTTAAGCAACTCCAAGGCCAGCACGAGTACCTCCAAGAGGCGAACGCACAGTACGAGTACCTCGAGGCTCAATACGTGCATGTTCAGGGTCAGGTCGAGTATCTCAGAGATCGGTACGTGCATGTCCCAGAAGCAAGTGCCCGATACGAGTATCTTCAAGATCAGTACGTGCATGTCCAAGATCGGATTGAGGATCTCCAAGTTCGGCATGGGCGTCTCCAGGCTGCTAGCGAGGCTGCCGCTGTTGCACAAGCTGTTGCTGGACAAGCCGCTGTTCAGTGGCATGTTCCGGGCACGTACTCTGTTTACGGGGAGCTGCAGATGTTTTATACTCAGTTTTGAGCAAGAGGTGGATGTGTTGGAAAGAATGTCATGTGATCGTGGCTAAATTTGGAGTATTTAAACGCATCTTCGGCTTTGGACTTGAAATTTTTCCTTCATCACACCTCGGATCGTTCCCGAATAAAACGGCAGACAGAAAGTCCCCATGTTCTGCTGGGCGTGGGATCTGGGAGTTGAGAGTCGCATGGAAATCCTCCGAGCAGCGGCTACATGGAGCAGTGAGAAAGACGGTGTGTCGTGGTTATGGTCATTCGTTCTTCATGATGATTTCCTTTGTCGACAACAGCCGATGCTTATCATCAGAACTGTAACTTAACAACAAATACCAAAAACATTAGAAAACCCATCGTTATGTCTTGCTCTTCGTCTTCGAGATTTCATGCTAATTTTCCTGATCTAGTGACAGATGTATATATCATCATCGCCTGGCGCTAACTCTCCCACCCTTCCAACCCCCTCCTCCATGGTCACCACTCTCCGCACCCATAGAGGCTCCCGAGTTCCAGTTTGGAACTTCCAAGACTGCACTCCGGATCTCTCCATAAGCGCAGACCGAACGTTGTTTTATTGGGTCTGACAATAACTTCTCTGCTGAGGAAGAAAGCCGGGATTGCAAAGAATGCGGGAGATTTTATGCCTAGGTCGCGGTATATGGCACGTGATCTGGGCGTGACTTGAAAGGGGAGAGATAGCGGTGAGCGGAGCTAAGTAGAAAAGGGACAGGTCGTAGAAGTAGTTTTGCAGTGGGGCGACAGAATATACAGGCTGGTCGCCTCCAATATAACTAATATAATCATAGCCAAGCCAACACTGCATCGCTCCAAGCATCCGCCGTCTTCGCCTATTACTTAGCCTTGATAGCAACCGTCCAAACCGACGAGGAAGGATAATAGGTCTCCGAAGCCGAGAACGCGACGGTGAAAGACGCCTCTCCATCTTCACCATCCGCTGCACCCGTCCCGACAGCTTGGGCCTGAAGCGTCCATATATCTGAACTTCCTCCCTCGAGATCGGGATCTTGCAGAAGGACGAGGTTCTGTGAATCGTTAGCAATGCATGACAAATACAACATCCATTCATTACCTCGTCGTTTAAGTCGACATCAATATCGACCGCATCAAGTGACTGTAACAGATTAGCATGACCGCCTTAATTCCTCGCTCTACTCCACTCACCGTGATCTTGATATCAAAAACGTCCCCAACAGTGACCGTATCCGGGAACTCGATCGTAACGTCGTCTTTCGCAACTCCCTTCGGCTCTGCCGGTTTGCGCGCCTTGACAAAATCATCTATAGCCTTCGAAACAGTAACAATGTTCTCCGGCGTCGCACACCCATCCAGCTGAATCAAAACATTACCATAGACTAGCACGTTCAAGTTGCTACCTCCCTTACTAACGAGGTGCAGCGCAGCCAGATACCCCTCGGCTGGCGTAGCCGTCAAGATGTCCTCTGGATCCCGCTCTAGCATCGTTACCTTCTCTTTCGCTTTCTTGATCGCCGAAGGGTTATCTTCGAGGATCTCGATAGCCACGGAAATGAAAGCGGGCTTGGGGGTGGAGAGTTTCTGGTGGAAGTCCCAAGTCACGGCGGAATGCTTTGGTCCGGTCTCTACGTGATGCTGTTTAGTGAGGAAGGTCCACGAGGGCTGAAGAGCTTTCACTGTGCTTTCGACCGCGGACAGGAGGTCCTTGATCGGAATCGCCATTGGTAAGGTCGAGTCAGCACGCTCCTGGTCAGTGAGTCCGCTCATGATCTTGTCGATCGAGCCCGAGATGGCCACGTCGAGCTCGAAATCAGCGACCTGTCCGAGCGTGGTGTGTTTGTCTTGGTCCCAAGTGTTACCGAGTATAGTTTTGGATGTGACCGCATCAATCACGTCGTTGAGATACTGAGTGACGGTGGTGGGCGGAAACACCGGCCCGGCACAGGCATCTGCTGCGAGTTCGTCGAAGGACGATCCAGTCGTGATACGGCGGATACAGGCCCATTTGTGGTTGCGGAAGCTCCACCTCTTCCGCCCATCGTGTGGGACGGCATTATCGAATATTTGGTCTTGGAGGTATACAGCTCCCGCGGTGTCGGAGTTGCCAAAGAAGGGGTTATTAGCGTCGCCCCAGCCGACGAGATCTTTCGTGTTGATGTACCCGAAGCGTAATGGATTCGTGAAGCTGTCGGCGTACGTGCCCTTCCAAAATCGATCTACCGTAGTCACGTCGACCATTTCTCCGGGGTTGGAGCCCTTCTTCTGAACGATATTGCCTGACAGGTCGCGGAGCTTGTAGGGGAGACCGAGATTCAGCACACAGTCGACTAGCCCTGCCTGGTCGTAGCAGTTGACAAAAGATACGCGATTGGGGTCCATCCGGTTGTCTAGCCAGCTGTCCAGCTTGAATGTCGATTCGTTCGCGGTAAAAGCGGAAGCCCCGGCCCAAACGTGGTATCGGTAGCTATGTATGGCGTCGTTGGCAGTGGTGGGGTCGCGTTTCTTCAGAGTCTCATCGAAGGTTGAGGCGTGGCATCTTTTCACAGCCCATTGGATCCAGTCATTCATGGTCTGCAAAGACTTGTCCGGGGTCGGCAGGGCGAAGAGCTGCAGGAAGTCGATGGGGATGCCGTCTTTCATGTAGTAAGGAGCGATGTCCTCCACGACAGCGTAGATCTCGAAATTAACTTGAGCGACTGGATATCCGGGACCTGCAGTCGTGTTCATCTGGAAAGAGATGGAATCCTTGAACCCCCATGGGCCAACTGATCGAGGTATGACGGTAATCGGGAACGTCGTGATCCCATTGACAGTGTCTAGAGTTTGCCAGCCGCTCTGAAGAGTGTATTTGTAGCCCGGACTTGAGCCTCCAATATACCAAAGGCTGCCATCAGCTCCCAGGGCCGGGTCGTGTTTGACTTCTGCGAGGAGTTGGGTGGGTTCCATGGCGTCCAACTTGACTGTGAAAGGAAAACATTCGGTTGGATTGGCGGGATCCCAGACTTTCAGATTGGCTTTGCGCCAGGCGGGATTTTTTTGGGTGAAGATTCGACGCAGCGGGACGTGCGTGTCTGGAAGTACCAGGGAGAGTAAAGCTAGAAAAACATTTATTTGGAGACCTCCGCGGATTCACGGCGACAGTACTTACAGAAATTGTGCAGGTCGGCCATATCGATGGTTTCGCGATTTGTACGCAGACTTGAGCAGAATGTTTCAATCAAGAAATGTCAATGATATAGCGATATTGAGCGGACTTGTATGAAAAGCGAAGATGGAAGGCTTTAAGTTGGAGATGGAAATATTTTTTTACTGGGCCTGCCAGAGTAGACTATTTATACTTCGGCCAACAAAGCTCAATACTATCTACAACTAGCAAGCTGACGGTTTTCTTAGGCATTATTGACGAAAGCAATGGAAGAGCTGAAGTTTGTGGGCTGGGCCTAGACTTGTGATTTTAGTGATTCTGATATTGGCTGCATGAAGGCTTTCCCGATGGACTTAGATCTGCTTGACGAGTCTCGGCTGCGGAGCCCGAACCATCGTAGCTATACGCGCAATGCACGTTTTCACCTCTATCACCTCGCTAAACTCCCCTAGACCTGTACTTGGACCATTAGTGCGTACTGGATCAGCTCAGCCACGTCAACGCCTCCCTCGGTTCGGGCCGTCCAAGACGTTCCAGAAGGTGAGCTGTTGTGAAGGGTGAATCTGTATCCGGAACCGCCGATGGCGATGGCGAGGAAGGTCTTTCGATGCTCGAGTATGATCTTTGTGCATCTCAGTCCTAGAGCTAAATCTGAACGATCTCGACCTTTTATAGCTAGCATATGGCGTCGCGCACGGACTTGACTATCCGCGTCGTTCCTACATAAATACAACTTGTGGCTTTTCGCTGGGATGATGTAGGCATGAATAAAAGTTAAAGAGATTGAAACATAGCCTCGATAGAGGCACAATCGCTGAATCTAGTACAACATGGGGCTACGTGAACCCTTAATGAGTTGACTATGACGCTTTTCCTGGGAGTAGTACCACAACAAATCAGCCATTCGTAAGGCAAAATACGTGGGGATCGGCCGATTTAGTCTTTCGCATCATCTCCACCTTGTGTATGTTGTGTGTTCCCGAAAGGTAGTTTGCCCAATGACTACGCGGACCCGGCCTATGCAGTCAACTCAATTATCCTGTCCCGGTGACAAAAATAGTCCCTCATCGCTGAAATCGTAGAGGTAGGTTCATGGTATGTCGTTGAACGGTTGCCACGTCTCCTGGAAGCGTAATTCACTCCCTGTGCCAAATATGAAAGACTCAAGAGACCGAAGAGGATGTCTTTCGTGTAGCCTATGAAAGGTAGTAAACATGGGGGAGCGCCGAGTTCGAGTGTATTTGCCTTAAAGGGTGGTGTTTCTCGGATTTTTCCATCCCCTGAACAGGCAGTTCGAGGCAAAGGGCCGTTTCGAGGACTTCAAGATTGATCGTAGCTCTGTCGAAGACGTATGGCAGGCCGATGGGAAGTGGCCGTATTTCCTTGAGTGCAGTTCGCTCTGCGAGTATAGTTGAAAGGGTGAACGAGGGCCTTTGCACGTCGCCTGGGAAAGGCCTTTCGGTGCTGAGGCGATTCTTCGTAGCTGCTCACAGTGACCGGTCATACGAAATTATGGGGATGTGAACGTGATGTGTAGTGAGCTGGCTCAATAGCTGGAATTGACGCCGGTGGTGTGGCCAAACCCCAGCTCCTCCGCCTCCGCCTTCCCCTCCTCACGATGTTATTGGGACCACAAACTCTACGAGAACGATACCAACAGTACTCTGACAGAGATATACAAGATATCCGGTGGCAGGGCAGCGCCTCCGCGGCCAATTGCGGTCTTACAGTGCCCCCTCTCCCGGCTTGGGAGCAGCCTCGAGATATCTTTCCGGGGCTGCATCAGTGGGTTCTGCCCCGGAGAGGACTCAACAACCACCAGACGAAGAGCGACAGAAGCACACTTTCACTCACCGAGGGCAAACAAAGACTAACGTAGGCGACTTTCGGATAGTACTTACGCATTAACGGAGACATGAGCAGCGATGTCTCGCCTTTCTTTCCACCACCTCGACGTCAGAGCCGCCACCCAGAGGCCCATCTCAACACCAGCCCACACAGTCTGAAAGGCACGAACTTGAAACACCGGCAATAACACGTCCATTTCTACAGGACGCGGCAGTTGGCTCCGTCTCCTGACTATCTGGCCCCGAGGGTAGTGACAGACGTCCGCCCGCTTGCTACTCGAGCACAACCACCCCGTTGAAGCGGAGGGCAACACCACACACCGCAGCTTGCCAACTAGGATTTATTAGCACATACTCATGGATAAAGACTAGGCAGATCTTACAGACGACTGACGAGATACTGGCAGCACATGCTCGTGCAGTCTTCTCGCCATGGTCCGCGAGGGGTACCCGGGCAGCCACCATTAGCTTTTGACCATAACCGATTCGTCAAGGCACTCAGATACCCCCCAGCTCCCGCTGTGTGCTGCGGCACGAAATGGTTAGCCCAGCCAGCTGCTGCAGCCCCTCACGCGAGTCGATGCCACGAACAGCAAATCGTAACGCAACGGTGGTGCCCACTGCTCACCCCTGCCCGGACTAGAGTCGTCCCAGACCTCTGACCCACGAATACCAATCCATTGAAGATCGGCATTACATCTGACTTGGTTTGGAGAGGCATGATCGGGGCTGGGGCTTCCCGCGGCATATCTGTGCTACGCCTCCGTATTTGCCTTAGGGTGCAAAGTACGACTTGTAGAAAAAGCGGGAAAGAGGAAGCCCATGGAGGGAGCAAGATACGAGAAAATTCTCAAATGAAGGAGTCTTGGTGTGACCAATTTCTGAAAGAGCTAGGATGACATGGTGTCTACGGTACAGCACGATACGTTACTGGTGCTTCTACCACACCAATAACGGAGAGACAGAAGCCTCAATGTACCGGCAACACCCGTGTCTACTCCTCCGTCAAGGCATAATGGCTCGCAGGGCCAGCAGTCAGCGGCCTGGGATGTCTGGACTCCCCAACGCATTCTCGCTTCTGATGCAATTAATGCTCGACCGGTCCTGAAATGCGGGGTCTGGGGCCTGTCACTTGGCGGTGGCAGCAAGCGGTGGGAACACTTGCATTCGGATGCAGGAGTTCCCACAGTTCCTTGGGATGGCATGCGCGCCATCTGGAATTGACCTCTAGAGTTTCGAAGGTTGATAGACAGGATAATCAACGTGGAAACTCCATGAGCCCTGTATAATCCAATGTGGCTCTAGGGCAGAGGCCCCGCTCCTGGATTACGTTGCACGGTCATAGCGTCGAGCAAGAGGAGGAGCTCGTGGATGCTGCACAGAACGTGGCTACAGGAGCGTTGTTGGGCTAGGCCCATGCCTGGCAGACGATCAAGCCGCTGCGATGACCACAGGGAGCGCGTGATACCTTTGTTTGCTGCGGCGCTGAGGTCCACCCCCCCGATGCTTCATTGTCTCAGCACGCAGGCCGATCCGGGCATGGTGGATGGCTCATCCGCCGCCTGAAGCGAACAATGGCGTGCAGGATGGCTGGCAGCCCGCTGAAAGGAGGTCCCGGGGGCGGCGGCAACCGAGCAGATGCTGGCCTGCAGAAAACGGCACAGAGCAGCGCAAAGAGGGGTTTCTGGGCCTGGAGGTGTGGTGCACCCTGGCCACGGCCGTTAGGGGGGTCTCACGACTCTGTTTGATGAGGAGTTCGACGGCCTGTTGAGGAGGGAGGATGTCACGATACGCAGGATCGTCCACGGTGATTTGCCAGTCTGTCCCGCGGCGCGGTCTCCTGTCGCCCCCGCCGGTGGGTTTTCAATTTGCAGGCGTTCGTCCCAAATTGTGTCCGGCTAGACTGCTGTTGGCCTGGCTTTCTCCGCATTTCCTCCCCCCAAGCCCCTGACCCTTGGCTGGGCCGTGCGAGCTGCAGCAAGCCTCAAAGGCGTTGCCAGTCTGCGCTCTCCGACCTCTCACCACCTCTGTGATGAGCGTTCTGTCTCCAGCCCTGCTTCCTACAAAGCTGGGATTCCCCCCTCGCCTGCTGCTGGACGAGCCGAAAGGACTTTGCTTTGTCTCCGGCTCGATACTTCTGCTGTCCAGCGTAGCATCCATCGAGTTGCCAGCGCACTTGCCGCGGACGCTGCTGTTGTTCCCCACAGCTCTTGCGATCTCGAGGGAGTCGAACCACCCGCCCAGGCCGTCGACGGCCAGCGCTCTTCCTCTGCGCTTCTGCCCTCGCCCTCCTTGCATCGCGTCGCTCGGCACCCGGAGCGACAATATGCGCCCTCGTTAATCCTTGGATCTCCAGCACGTCTGGTTCGGATCGAGAAGAGGTTCAGCGCGGCGCCAGGCCGTGGCGTTGCCCCACATTCTTTCCCGTTCCAAGGTTACTGCCATCCTGTGCCACGACCGATGTCCAGTGTATACCGTCTCTTTTTTCTATCCACAATTCTGCGCGCTTTGAAAGACTAGGGATAGACTGGCTGAAGACTTTTGGCGTATCATTACGGCTTCGTTAAGGTAAATAATGACCGGCGACGTGGCGCGGCCCCTGACGACCATTCGACTGTTTGTTCCCTGGCTCACTGTTGCTATTAGCTTTTTTCTGCAATCAAAAATTGTTTCGATACAGTACGAATAGGAAGCTTTCGTCGTAATCAGTAGAATTCGGTCGGTTAGGTGAGATATCCCCGCGCGTTGTCCCGACGCCCTTCTCCCTTCTCCCGGGGCAGGCAGAGGTGCGCGACGAGGCAGTAGATGCCTTGGTGCTAACAGCAATTGTAGGTAGCCTGACTGGTGATTTAGATAGAGGTTTTGGCCCCGATATATCCCCGGCTTCGTTTTTGGTAGAAAAGTGTTTCTGTATTCAGGTAAGCAGCTCTCCTTAGACAAGTGGTAAGACTGCTCCCGCAGCGCTCCCTGCAGACTTGCACGGCCTGACGGACCGGGCAACGAAGTGGAGAGAACTCCTCTGTCCCATTCGCACTCGTGTTGTCGGCGTTGTGGGGGTGAGTTGGTTGTGGTGTTGAGGGTAGGTCTGCGGGCTCGTCGCAGCGCCCGGGCATCTCCTTGCCCCCGTGCAGGAGTTCTCCCCCTTCGGCTTCGTATTTCGACCATCGTGCTTGCGGGAGGAGAGCCTAGAGAACAGCTCCAACTGTTCTGAGGCCTCAATCTCGTGGGTGTGGCGTGTTGAAGGGAGGAGTTGTCGTGAGCGCGGGCTGCAGCACGTCTATCAAATTCGGGGGCAGCAAGCAGATCGCGCACGATTCTTTGTCACATACAAACTTCTCTCCCGTCTGATTACTGCCCCTCGAGCCTCTACCTTCTTCAATCTCTTTTTGAGTGCAGTATCAAGGGCCCCGACTAAACAGGGCGTGCATCATAGTAATTCGCAGAGCCCAAGGCCCCTGACGCTCCAACTCGGCCCACGCACGAGCAGCCTCACGACACCGGGCAGGAGGGCGTGACCACCCCCTACGATTCCGCTAGTGCCGTCTCGTCGCACACGAACGTCCTTCCTCTTCATCGCCCTCACCCCACCTCCACCCCTTTCTCATCACCCTCATCACCTCCCACAACCCATTCATCAGCACCTCTCCGTGCATCATCTACAGCTTCTCGCTGCTCGACCTGGTGATCACTGGGCTCGACGGTCGCAAGGCACGTCGCTCCGCCCGAGACTCCAGCGCGGTGGCCTGAGTGATCCGTCCGCCCTCCCTCGAAGATTTCATCAAGAGTCATCGACAGGATCATCTCGGCGCTCGCCAGTTCATTGCACCTCGTCGACGACGTGATAGGTAAGCACTTCTATCAGCTCGCCGCATTCCTTTGGCTTGCTAGACGCGTCATTGTCCCCAGCTCACATCCCCTCAGCCTGCACCACTAACCCCGCCAGCCGCAACTTCCATCGACATAGCCCGTGGCTTGCAAGCCACAGACAATTGGTAAGTCTCTATCTCACTTTACAATCCCTCCAGCTTCGCGTTGCTGACCCTCACGACCAGCGTTCTCGTTGACGGGTTCGGCACGTGTGGCTCCACAGCTGTGTCTGCCATCTACAGTCGATACATCAACACAAGCACATCATTCCATTTATTTAATCACGAGAGCAATCTAGAAGCTTGTGACAAGAGGTAGGCCTTCCAACGTTTTGCTGAGTCTCCTTCGCGCTGCGTTTCTGACGCTCCTATTCAGCTTCTGCACCAACATACCTTCAGATCTTTACATCTTCGTGCTCTTCTAGCAAAAGACGAGCTCTTTTAGAGACTCAAGACATCTCTCCTCGAAGAACAATCTCCCTATCATCTCTTTGCGTTTTACCTGGGTGCCTACGATCGCCCAGTAGAACTTTCGGCCAATCGCAAGACTTCTGGAAAGACCACCATTCATCTTTCTATTCTTTTCAACAGCGCTCAAGCGACAGACCTTCAAGATGTCGCACGCATACAAGAAGTCCACTCAGTCGTATCCCGGCACCGCTGGAACGAAGGCCGACAAGCAGCAGGCTCGCCGTCCAACACCCGACTCGGAAGTGCTAGCGTCTTCTGATGAAGACACAAGCGAACACGTGCTTACGAGGGTAAAGTCAAATCCCCTCACAGCACGCCGCCAGTCTTCCTCGTGGCTTAACGACATTCAACCGCACCGGAAGGTCTCGCTCAGTGGGGCCTCGCAGACCGGCAACTCGCAGCCTCCCACCCCGTCAGTCGAACAGGGCACGGGCCAGCCGCGCACTGGATCGGTTAGCTTCCCATGGAACGCTGCGTCCTTCACCTCTGCGCGAGACGGCCTGACGTCTCCAACCGTACAGGAACAAGCTGATCCCACGATCGGCTTCCTCCTTAACCAAAAGCCTGTCCGCAAGGCGGTGCGGTCGCTCTCATACTCGGTCGGCCAACAGGACGACGAGCTCCTCATACCAAATCCATCCGGCCACTTCGCTGGCCGCGGTCCTCGTTTGAATTCCACCTCCGTTCGCCACCGGCCATCAAAGCCGAGTCTTCTTGGCGAGGCTCCTCTGGACTCAAGCGGGCTTCCGCAACTGTTGGAAGACGAAGACGATATGAACAGCGGCTCGACCGCGTCAGAGGGTGGACTCAAGCTGCCCGCGTCACATTGGGCCAAACCGGACTCATCCGCTGAGGCATCTTCAAACGCGCTCTTGCGTCAGGCTGCGGAACAGAACGCTCGTGCTCGGCACCGAGCCTCGACTACAGGCTCTCCGCCTTCGTACAACCGCAAGAAGACTGCAGGTCCCATCCGAGGCCTCTCCCTAACCGAATTTGACTCTGCTATCGAGGAGATGGAAGATCAGATGGAGGAACTGTCATACAATCGACGCTATAGCGAGAATGTCGCTGGTCTCGGCGCGGGCCTCGACCGCATCACTACGGAGGCCGGGATAATTGACAGCCCAAAAAAGCCCCACTGGGCCACCTCGCTGAGTTTCGGCGATCCCTTCGGCACACATTCCAGACGCCATTCCTTCGCTGACGTCAAGAGCCATCAGGGCTCAAAGACCGTCAACAAACTTGAACACACTGACGAAGAAGAGGGCGACCCCATGTCTCCTGGTTCTCGCTTCAGATACCAGAGTGAGTTGGAAATGTTCAATTACATGTCAAGTGCCGTCGAGGAGGACAGGAAGAAAGCCGAACAGCAGGCTTATACATACGCATCCCAATACTTCGACGGCACCGTCCCCAAGGGTCGAAAATTGAACGAAATGCTAATCAGCGCGATGCACCCAGATCCCTACGAAGAGGACATGCCAGGACCCTCCAACAGCAGCAATCCATATGCTGTCCCAGAAGTGATCAACCGTCCAACACGCCGCTTCTACATGGTGGCATTCAAGTGCTCCCGTTCCGATGTGTACTATCTTCCCGAGAATACTGGACTGGAGCTCCAACAAGGTGACATGGTGATCACTGAAGGTGACCGGGGCATAGATCTCGGAACCGTTACTCACGCCGATGTCACGCTGACGGACGCCAAGAGATACAAAGAGATAGCCTCCATCGAACACTTCCGATGGCTGATGATGTTCTCGCGAACCGCTATGAACAATGGTAGCCTGTACCCTGGGCCTGATGGCATGCTTGCGACCACGCATCAACCCCTGGCCACGGCTCTCGGGCAGATGACTGCCGGCGGCACCACACTTCCTCAGCAATATGTCGGAGGAGTGGACATGGAGCTTAAGCCCAGGATCATCCGCCGAGTGGCGGCTACTCACGAGGTTCAGGTCCTTCGTGAAAAGGAAGGCAGCGAGGCAAAGGCGAAGCGTATCTGCCAGGCAAAGGTTGCAGAGCACGGACTGAATATGGAGATCCTGGATGCAGAATACCAGCTGTAAGTCTACTTAATCTCCTCACGCGTAGCATTCCCTAACTTTCTCGCAGTGATTACAAAAAGTTGACATTCTACTATTACGCTGATGCTTATATTAACTTTAACGAGCTGGTTACGGATCTCTTCAAGGTGTACAAGACCCGCATCTGGATGTCGGCCGTCAATCCTGCGTCCTTCGCATCTGCCATTGGAACCAGCATTCCCCCGCCGTCGGCCATTGGCCCTGGAGCCATTGGTTCCAAGGACACCCGCTCAAATGCTCCGCTACGAGCAATGTCATCACCGCAAGATTTCAACGCTCCGTTAACCTCTACCCCGCTTCCTATTGGACTTGGGTACACTCGTAACGTCCAGTACAACGATGAATTCGGCTCATGTATGCTTTACCCGCCAATTGGCCTCTTGTTTCGTCGCCCGCGTACTAATCTGTAATAGATCGCGATAAAGTCAGCATGATGGAAGATGCAAAGAAGATTCGTGAAGGATTGATGCCTTTTGCCCCACCAGGCGTCAACCCGCTGGCTTTCCGACTTCCCGAGGCGACTCCGAACATCCAGCCAGGAGCAAATATGTACCCCCAGCTAGGAAGCCAGTACGCAGCCTTTGAACACCAGATGCCCCGCAACTACCCTCCTCACGCAGCTGGCTACATGTTCGGAAATGATCGCCCTCAGATTCCATGGGACCCGCAGGCCCAACAGGCGCAGGCACAAGGATGGAGTGTACCCATGCCACAAAATCAGTATAGGCATCATCACACGGGGCTCTCCCAGACGTCAACCGCTGGAGCTGCTGGTTCGATGGCTGCTTCGGAACATCAGCTTATCACATCACGTCCGTCGCCCACCCTTGGCATGAGCGGACTTGCGCAAGGCAGCTATCCGACGTCCTCGCATCCATCCCCGGTGCCATCGATGGGTTCGTTCCCTCCCCCAGGAAATTACTCGGGATTCTCGCGTCCTTCTCCATTAGCGGGAATGACTGCCTTGTCATCACCAAACGCGACCTTCAATCCTATGTATCCACGCGAACCCGTGTCCGTCTACGAACGAACCAACGTGGCCGTCAATCCTCCGTATGGACGTGAAAACGTGTCCGTCAGCTCCCAATATGGACGAGCAAATGTAGCCGCCAATCTTCCGTATGCCTATGGACACGCATCGTCGTCCGCTGTCTATCCCCCTTATGTACCGCCATCTCTCGGTCCGGAGGTGCCTGGCAACAATGGACAGGGCCGTGGCTACTACCCTGATGAAGAATGGGTGAAGCGTATGGGTGAGCTGGACATTTCGCCCATCGATAAGCCCAATCCACCAAAGTGAGCGTTGGCATCACCTCTGTTCGGAATCCTAGCCTGATTACTTGGGCTACGATATCGACCTTCACCTATCTTCAACTGCTCATACTTTGCTTCCTCCATGAGCTCTCCGAGCCTTTTTGGCTCTTCCCATACAGTCCTTTCGGACGACGCCGGCCTCACAGACTTACATTCAGCTGGAGAAGGCTTTTCACTACTTCCCATGGTTCAATTTGCTTCACTTCCCTTTCCCATATTCCCCTCCATATATGCCCCCTTCCAAAAATGGTGCTTGATAAGTCATCGGCGTAGTTTTCCTTTCTTCTTCCCTTCACGAAATGCATGCAAAATGATCGGTTCGGCGGAAAGGTCATCGGAGTGGTTTTCATATGGTTTCAGCGAGTATGGGTTGCATGATCCAACCTAGAGGATGGACAGGACGGTCATCGGCGAGCATACTCCTTCACTTGATCGAGTATGTGATGGCAATTCGCAGGATAGCTGAAGACATCCGGAATAAAACCTTTTGCACTACCTTGTGTACCTTGTTAAGCTGTGAATGCGCCCGGGCCCCTTGCGTGCGACGTGATGCCATCAACCATAGCTACTGTTCTCGTCATGATGGAAGCGGTACTGAAAAGCGATGTTACTTCCACAGTCAACGCTATGAAAGACTCTAATAATCAAGGCAAGACCGCTTTGGAGGCTTGTTTCTTGTGAAGCGAAACATATGGTTAGAGTCTTGTGCAGATGATTGAAATTCATCACGTGCAATGCTGAATGGAGACTGGAGCCGATGTCAAAGCTTAGTAAAGCTCTTTTGAACACGATTGAGCTACTACAACAAACGCAAGACCACGTACCGCGGAAAGCCGCCAAAATGAATACGTAGGCCAGCAGAGGGCCATTGTCCTTAGAGATGATGATTCTCGCATCTTAATGTGCGTTTCCCCTTCTGCCTCAAGCGAAACAAACCTTCCGCCATAAGAGCCGCAAGTCTCAACGAGGCTGCGAAGTCCAAGTCCAATCAAACCGTGGCAGTAAGCGCTGGTATTTCCTTGGTCCTCCTTCCCTCAAAGTCAACACGTCAGCACAGCCTTCCTCGGCATGGTTCCTGCAAAGATGGCGCAGTAGTTGGGAGACGCTTGGCCGGCTGCTGAAGCCAAAAAGCCTATCCCCGACGCCGCTTGAGGCCTGCAGGCTGGAGTGTTCTGCGAACTGGCGCCACGACATGCCTCTGCTTGTCACGTCCTCCGTTGACGACGCGTGATGCTCCATCAAACCAGGGGGAATCGGCGTTAAGCAGGGCAGGCCGTGTCGAGCGCTATCGCGCTACCCGCTAGCCTTTGGTGTTGTGCCCGTCGTCTCCTTTGCGCGCTCTCCCGTGCAAAGCACACTGGATCTCTACGTTGTCTCAGCGAGGGCGACTGCAACAATCCCGGCCTTGGCCCTGAGCCATATGTTTTCCTCGGCAGGCTCTCTCGGAAGAGTTTTCACATTGTCGGTTTCTGGCCTGCCGAGTCTCAACACTTGGCATTGACGTCTGCAACCTACGCACAGCCCGCTGCCAGCTGATGGCCCAGAACGAGCCCGCCGCACACCGTTGTGCGCGGCCGGGTGTGTCATCCTATCCGGCGTAGGGGCACTGGTGTCGTCTGCGTAGATATATGTAATAGCACGGTCCGTTGCGTTATGTTCTGGTTGCACCCAGCTCTCCGACACTCCCAGCTTCAACCCTGCCTACTCAGCGTCACCTACGAACAATCTTTTGCTCTTACTACGCAACTTGTCAGCTTCTTGTCCTTTTAAATATCTTCTAACTTCAAGTTATTTGTTCATTCGCTTCCTTGCTCTCGTCGCACGCCTCCTAGCATCCCACCTCCGCAAATCCTCGAATGCACTCACCCAACGCGCTGGCTAAACAAAGTAGTCAAAAGAATCGGCTCTTGGAAACATGGCGGACAGTAATTCTTCCCTCATTCAAGTCAACTCTATGACCGGGCTTTGATTTTCTTCGCTGCAGCTTCCGTGAAATGCCGGTCAAGCAATCTCTCCCTCGCCGAGCCAGCCATCATTCCAGGACTCCATCGTGACAATGACCCGGTCACCTTGTCCATCCGCCACGGTGCTGCTATAGAGCTGAAAGATATCACTACGAATGTCAACACACACCTTCGCGCCGCCACACCTTCCGCTATATCCTCCACCGCTCCACCAACAGAGTCAGCATGGGGTTCGAGGAAGGCCTCGAGCATGACGAAGCCCACCTCGCATGGAACAAATTATTCGGCGGGTGGATACAATGGGAAGCGCAATGGGCTGATCACATATGCGGCCTCTTCATTGAGTGCGACGCATGGCTCAGGGTCCGACACGGATCGTGAAGCCCAGCGTGACCAGGACACTCTTGGTATGGGCAGCTGGGCAGGACTTCCGCCCAGTCCCCCTGTAAAAGGGTCAAACAAGCGACCGAAGAGGTCGAAGAAGCCTCCCGTTGTGCTTATCCAGCATCAGCGGAAAGATGTCGCGGCCCTCCAGGCCGAGGAAGAGTACATAGAGGAGCCCAACTCAGCTGATCTGAAAGGTAAATATCAGCCACCTATGGACCATTGCCGTGTACTGATCCCTTCAAGGCAAGAAGTACCTTCGCCGACGCAAGACTAAACTCGACAACGATGCCAACGATCTCGGTCTCGCGGAGGAGGGCCGCGCGCCTTTGACTACATGCCGCACATTGTCGCCGCCCCTTGGCCGACTTCGCCTCATAGTCGTCCTCATTTCGCTCATGGCAATCGCCCTCACGCTTGGCCTAGCTACATGGGGCATTTGCAACACCAGCAGCAAAGATCTCAAGCACCAGATGTACCGCATCAAAGCTATTCTCTTCGGGTCGATTTCACTGGTTTTCACCTTGACGGCAATCATCATGGTCGCTATGCGACGGGTGCTTACGGAGGTGCTCCTCATGGCTTTGGTGGAGTTTTTGATTGGCTCCATGCTTCTGTTTGAGATTGGGGAGTTTATGGAGCATCAGCATCCGTAGGGAGGGGTTCGGAGTTTGGGGATGGCGTTTTGAGAGGGAAAAAAAGGTGCTGGCGCTCATGGGATGGCGCGTGAGGAGAAAGGGTCTGCAGATTCTACGTATCTTGGATGGAGGTTTCCTCATTGTTCGTCTCGACATTAGATTCCCTACGCATCACGGGAGTTTGGAGGTACATTTTAGATGATACTCTTGAGGCTGTATTCTTCTCTATCATAATCATACATCTTCAGTCTATACTCGATATCAAAATATCACTCCGTCCCTCCCAAAACTCATTCTCGACCAACATGGGCCGCGGTGCTTACGACACGACGGGCACGCCCAAGCCCCCACCGCGCACCTCCACGCCAACCGTAACGCTGCCTCGCCCGGATCCATCAGGCTGCCCAGGCCGAGAGTGGTCAATATTGAATACGTCCTGCACAGCCACGCCGCAAGGCCAGACGGGAGATTGCGCTTTGACCAACCCACCAACCTGTGCAGCACCCCTGCGCGGCATCTTGAGCGCGTCCGAGTCCGAGCAGGCCGCGGCCCGGGCTCGCGCATCGAGAAAATTCTGCGCAAGCGGGGAGGTGAGTGGCTGGTGTTTGGTGTTGGTGGCTGGGGGGGTGCTGATTTGGGAGAGCTAAGCCACAGGGGCCGGCTCGATTTTCCCAACCACTTCGTCTCAAGCATCGCGTCTCATTCTCTCTCGCGTTCGTGTTCGCGCCTCGGACGCCGATTTTTGACAGCCTTGCCGCTGCTTCCGCCTACGAATGCCCTCGCATTCTGTTTTGTGCTGGGCATGCAGGTATCTGCTGAGCCACAGCGGTCGGCTCGATGGTTTCAAAACATAGAGGCAGGTCAATCCGACATCTCAAGCGTCCGTGGCTCGGTGTCTCGCGTCCCGGATACCATCTTTCGACATCGCGCGGACGTTTTGGCTTGAGAGTTGGGCGTGCAGATTCTTACTGAGCCACAGGTCGGCTCGTTTTCCACCGTGCCACCGTTGCGTGCGGAGTTACATAGGTAAACACCAAATCCATCACCTCACTCGGCATCTCGCACCCCGACGACTTCGATTTCGAAGGCTTGCTTTACTTACGTATCGGCCTGGGACGCCTGCAGATACCTGGCCGACGGGCGTTGGGCCCCGACGCCGCGACACGTGGAGGCAACCAACGACTCTTCATGAGCCCGAGCAGGCAAACGGATCGCGATGCTCGATGTGCACGCCGACGCCGCGGATTGCGGATCGCCCAGATTTGTCAAGGTTGACTTCCACTAACTACCGAGTCCAGTCGAGTTTATGTAAGACCAGCTGACGTTGTATAATGCGAATCGCCCAGGGATATAGGATGCTTACTATTGCAAATAGGACAACCGTCAGCAGGTAAGTAGGGAATCGGCTTTGTGGAGTTATTCTAGGCGCCACAGTGGCAAGTGTGTGCCTGGCAGCCTGTGTCCCCGCATTATTATTTCCTCTTCCCTGTCAGTCTTTCAAATCATCACTTTACTCCGATACTTCCGCATAGACATCCCGAGGTCGGTACTGTCGGAGAGAAGCCTTGCTGCAACCTCAGAACGCCTGGGCCTATACGCAGCTGCAAGGATGGTGATGTTACTTTGTAGCCGATAACGCAACATGATCGACGCCATGGTGGCATATCAGCCTCCTGGTGTTGTGGCTGAAGCTGGCGTCGAGCGGGGACGTGCAGCTCCCCTGATGGCCGCAGCTCCCTCCGCATGGTGAAACCAAGCACGCTCTGCTCTCGCCTATATGCTCCCGTTACAGCAGCCACGGCAGTAGTAGTGATACAACACGCCTCTGCTCCCTTGGAGTCGCAGAGATACCCACGGTATCCTCACGACCCCACCAATGGTCTGGGCTGAACGACAGCTCATCCACGGCTGCCTTAGATATGCGTCGACGCTGTGACTGCACGGGGTATTATCGAGCGCTGATATCACATCCAACCCACGAGATAAGAGCAGTGAAAATTTTCGGGGCAGGAGACCGGGAACACGCACTCGGCCTGTGTGGCTCCCACCTGCAGCTCGATATGCGCGTCCTCGTGGAGCTAACCGCGCCCCAACAATCCCATCGTCCATCCCACGAAATGCTTATTTCGAACTGTTATCGCGTCAACACGCTTGACCCCTCTTCCGGTGAGCGCTGCCAGCGGCGCGCGTTTCATTTCCAAGAGACTATCAGCCGATTACCTCCGCATTCCCCGCGCACGCACCCAGTCATGTTTCTTAGATTTCTGATCTCATTTCCCAGCCCAGCTGAGGTGAGCTGGCGCTGGTTGTAAACTTGATCCGAAGATAGAAATCAAGGATCGGATGTTGGCGGGGTACGCCGCATAGGGGAGGGCTGCATCAGTCAATGATTGCGAGGTGGTGGGTGAGGTAAGATGAAGCGGATGAGTCGTCACGTCGTCACCCGGGCTGTCGGTATTGCGGCTCTAAGGTATGGCGACCGCTTCGTGTGCGTAGAAATAAGGGCTCGCAACGGCTACTAAAGACGTGTGCCGAGCTTTTAAAAGTATGCTGGTCTGGATTTGATTAGTCCTTCACGTCTTCTCCTTCTGTCTCATAGCAGCTGCAATTATCAGCGTCTGATATATATATTACTACATCCTACCCCCCATCTAAACGTTCAAATACCTTCAATCCCACCCCCGCAGAATACCCCTTCCCGCTCGCACACCCTCCGCCTCCCTCGAGAAGCCCATAGTCGCCAAACTCTCCGCCTCACTTTCAATCCCATCTCCACATATTCCTCCAGCACATCCCCCTCATCAAGAGCCAACTCCCGCTCCATCATCACCAACTTTCTAAACTCTGCCACTTTGGCCTCAACCCACCGCACATCCCCAAAACCCCGCCTCAAACCTCTCCACCGATACCCTCCCCTCCCCAAGCATGTCCAGACTCGGTTAGCCCCCCGCTGCACCTTGGCAAGCCACCCGCAAAAACTGACCCACACGCAGGCCCACTCCGCCTCCGATCGCCCCGGCTGACCCGCCGCAGCCTTGCGCACTACGGCATCCCAGACAACAGCAAGGTGCTTGCCATCTACCTATCCTGGTCCGCGCGCCGCTCTTCGCGCAGTCGCAGCTCGTCGGTTATGTGTTGTCGGTCGGAGACGGGGGTTGAGCCGCGGGTGGGCAAGGGGGCTAAGGGTGCGTCGGAGCGTGGGTGGCCGGTGCGGGCGCTGAAGCTGGATCTGATGGGGGTGGGGAGTCAGTTTGAGGGGACCGCCGGGCGGTGACTGTATGGCGTTGGGGGCGGGAGGGGAGAGGGGGATGGTGGTGGTTATTGGAAAAGTGTAGGATATAGATGCGTAGCAAAATTTCTCCCATCTGTCGTGCTGAGCCTTGTTGAGATGGGATGTCGTGGAACTCCAACGATAACCGCACGTGGTGACATTGTCCCCAGGCCCAACACCCAGCCAGCACAAACTGGGCTACCTTGCTATCAAGGCCTTGAAGACCTGTTAGTGATTTGTCTGCCGTTGACTGGAAGAGACCTCTGTTATCGTGGCATTAGATGGAAGCTCGATGGAAGCCATGATTCCCCGTAGCGAAACCCCGGACGGCCATGCCATCTGCCGGATGCACACCTCCCCATTGCCTGTCTGATAGGCGCGCTGCTCCCCGTGAAACACGAGCGGCCGAGTCGTCGGATGCCGCCTGTCCTATTCCTGATACGCATCCTTGAAATCAAACCGGCGCACCACCATCAACACAGCGTGACCCTGAGATCGGGCATCGATAGCGTCTGGCCGAGACAATGGCGCGGCGCAAACTCGAACGGTCGCCAGGCGCCCGCGGATAGGATGCAGAGGGTGGTCCTTCGGGGACAAGGAAAGCGCTCGGGGCAGGACCTCGTCGAGCTGTGGCCAAACTTGTGTCCTCTTTCTGGACCTGATGGTGAATGGCATCGTAATCAGAGCTCAATTGCGAGAGTTGGTCGCTGCCGGTTCGCCTGGGCGCTTGAGGTAGTAGCGGGAGGGAACAAAAGTCTTCGTGGCCCATAGAAAGCACGCGTTCAATCTGCAGCCACCTCGCCAGCCCTCCTGCCGTAGCCTCGAAAAAAGAATGTCCCTCAAGCATGCCTTCTGCCACCCTGACGCGGGGTGTGCGCAGGCGCGCGCCGTCCTTCTCAACATCCATCTCGCCGCGAGAATACTCGTGTCCGAGGCGGAGATGGAGTCTTGATGGATACTGTGCTGATGGATGCAGAACTGATGGAAGCGGCGATGAATGCTCAATTGATGCAGTGAGAACGTGTGTTGTGAGGGGAGAAGACGAAAGTAGACGCAAGAGGGAGTGCGGAAGCTCTCACTGCTCTTGTCGCTCTTCTCAGCCCTTTGATGTCGCTCAAGAGGACGTTGATCTGCGGGGGAAGCTGACGTTCGGCCGAGTCGTCAACACCGTGTTCAACCGATATTCGCTAGCAAATTCGTAAAGGAGGGCACGCGGTGGGAATGAAAGCCCTCGGTTGGGCTGCGTCGTTGCCGTGCTTGTCGTGCAGTTTGGACGAAACATTAGCTATGCTAGCCCACAGGGCACGCTCAGAGCTCTCTGGCATGAGCCCAGAAGCTGTCTTCATCTGTAGACGAGAGGGCGGCAGCGCCGGAGGGCTGAACGCAGGGCGCGCTAACGTCCACGATCCTTCCATAAAGCAATCGAGCATTTGATTTTTTAACGCAAGAGAGTGGAGAAGCCGGCCAGTATTGTGAGTGAGTGTTCGATCAAAGTGATACAAGGGTAGAGATACTAACTCCGATTGGTGGTACAGGCATTTGGGGCGTTTAGTGGCTTTTACCTGTTCCATGCTGTCGGTTGATGGAGGCGGGGTGTCGGTTGATGGAGAAGGGATGTCGTGTGATGGACGAAGAGCCTGTTCCATGATGGCACTCTCGGTGTGGGTTGATGGACGAAGAGTGCTGGTTGATGGACGAAGAGTATCTGTTGATGGACGAAGAGTATCTGTTGATGGACGAAGAGTATCGGTTGATGGAAGTGTATCGGGCCTAGGGCAAGCTACCCGTTCTGCGCAGCTGAGGCGACGTTGATGTGCCGTCAAATACCTTGCGGAGAAGAAACTTGTTGACATTTAGACACTAGAATCATGAAACGTGAACCTCATCTCTAAGCTTTCAAAGCTTCAGAGACAACGATGACTTCACCCATCATGGTTAGCATTTCTCAGCTCCTGTGCTGATGTTGTAGCAGAGTAACGTACCTTTCTTAAGAGCTAGCGAGGGTATCGATATCGCAGTAATCCTATCATGAGGGCTTTCCGACCTCCTTGAGCCAGTCCAACGGTCTCACCAAGCTATTCAACCAGGAATGCTCGAATTAATTGCGCCCAAAATCGTTCTAGTGATCATCGTAGCCAGATAGCATATCCTGAGAGTCTGATCGGAATACAGCAAAGAGATCTGGCGCTTCCCAGGCAGCCTGAGTATCGGCCTCAATTTTGACTTGCCATTTAAGCACGGGGTGGTCCTCGTTGCGCAAGGAACGGTGAGGACGGAGGGCAGAGACATAGGTAGCTAGGAACGGTCAGTCTAAGTATACTTGTCAAGGCCGGTATCGAGAACCTACTATCCTGCCTAATCTCCCTATATGAATCCGTGCGGACGGCAACCAAATCAAGCCGACATCGGGCTTACGCTCAGTAGCTCGTGACTACAAGGCTACCCTGCCACTTATCGAGGCCAGCTGAATAGACCTTACGCATTCCGAGCGCTGTTGCCCCACAAAGTGGCCCATGAAGAGCGAGGAACTTCCAGGGTAAGTTTGCTAGTGTCCGAAGATCTTCGGCACCGTGCTCAGCCATAGGTAGAGGTACACAGCGACGGCGAAGGCACGAGTAGTGCCTAGGCCAGCTCCTTCACGTTGTTGGAGCGATTCGGGACTCACGCCACCATTGTCGCGCTTGAGGTGCGATTTAGGTGTCGCGGAAGGAAGCTGGGCCTGTGCCTGTCCATCTGAGATGATATTGACGGGTACTCCTGGAGGGGCCTTGATCTGGCCATCGAGGATTTGCGTGACGGGAGCCGCCGGCATTCCAGAGGCGAGGAAGGCAGTGGCAGCGAGGATGAGCGCGATCTGGACCTTGGACATCATCTTGATGGAGCGGTGACGGTGTCTGAGGTGGCTTGACGTGGTGAAGTAGAGTGGTGGTGAAGCAGAGCAGTGGTGAAGCAGAGGAGAGAAGTGATGATCTCTGTGTGATGCTCGCTGTGAGGGATGTTATTCCAAAGATAGGGAAGGAAGGTGCAGCGAGGATGAGCGTGATGAAAGCAATGGGTACTCCTGGCGGCCTGCGGGGCTTAGAGCATCAGGTCCGATACTTGAGGTGGTGCCATCCAGTGGCCAGTTCCGAGGGCCTCAGAGCGTTAGAACGCAATCACCCAGCCCAAATTGACGGAACAGAAGGGGATGGCCATTGCCTTCCCGCATTTGGCAAGGGTCATTCATGCAGACTGTGACGTGTTTGTAGCAGAGATTTGTTTGGCCTTGCCTAAAGGTCTTCTCAGGCTTCGGGATGCAAACGTCCGAGAAAGGGAGACTGGGATACCTAATTGGGCGCAGGCACGCGCGAATAGGTTGTGCTTAGAAGAGTCGTCCAGAGACCCCGCTTTTAGGATTCAGTGACAAAAACGTTACCACAAGAAAATTAGTTTGTGGCAGCCCAGGTGCTCATGGCAACAATATCGGGGTTTCCTATCATACCGAAGTAGAGTTCGGTAAGCTTTGGATTGCTACCAGAGGGTCCTAAGCTGATTCGAGGGTTGACGGACGAAGAGTGCTGGTTGATGGAGGAAGAAGAGAGGCGAGGTGAGGAGGAAGGGAAGATATATTCGCGCCGCTTGGTGGACTACATCACTGTTGGAGCGCTCCGATATTCTGCACTTGTAATCCGTGCTGTTTGGCGCGCTCAAGGGCACTCAGACTGTTTTCGGTACCAGACGGATGTCTGTGCAGAACTAATCTGGACGTGTCATCAACTCTGAGCGACGCTAATGAGATGTTAGGTGTGTGTGGATTGCAGTGTCTGGGAGTGGAGTGAGGAGGCAGGTAGGTGTGTAGGTGTTGCCATCATGTGTCGATACTTTATCTGCTGAAATAGGACAAACGTTTTTTCCGGAGCTCTCTACGGTGCTGTAGAGGTATAGAGCAGCTTCAAACGCTCCTATGCAGGACCTGTTTGCTCAGAGGTGGATGGCTAGTGAAGGTGAGTTGAAGTGTGCGAAGGACGGAAGAGAAACAAGGAACAGCGTACATACATGGGTGAGAACGTGGCTGAATGGAGCTATCAAAGACTAACAACATCTGAGGTGAGTCACGTAGAAAGCTTGAAGTGTAGAGGATTGAAATGTCTCCCTCAAATGCGTACGCTGGAGGTACACCTGAGCTGGGTAAGTCGTCAACAGCTCGAAGCCGAAGTGAAATGGTCGGATTGAGGCTATAGAAGTTTGTATGTCTATGCTTAGTTCGGAGAAAACGCTGGGCATCTCTTGCGCTGCGATTAGATGTTGAAGTGAGATCCATTTATACCGGAGCATGTGATAGTTACCAAACGGAAATATTTGAGGATGCCAGGCACTTTGCTTTGCACGAAGAGCTTGATGGCCTTACGTTACTAGCACCCGAAATCATTGCAAGCAAAATCTCTTCGCTCTTGTAGCAAATACCACCGAGTACAAAGGTGCGCCTGGACACCAGCTAGACTAGACTTACCACTGTAGCATACAAATAAGCTATTTCGACACGAACTGCTAAGAATGAGTCCTCCAGCGATGAAATCTCACTCCACCTACTCAGCGTCGCCGAATTCCGAGGATATCGATTATTTCCACGTTTCTAAGCCAAAAGAGACTTTGAGTGCTCTCAACAGCATTCTACCAGAGCCTCATCACTTCCCGGACAACGCAATGAGCCATCAACACGTGTTACTTGTCTGTATCTCGCAATGCGTAGATGCTGGTGCGGATGTGCTGTCCGTAGTAGCACTGTACGGGCGTGATAATATTTGGAAAGACCGAAAATGGGACGAAGATGAATTTTCAGTGACTGCAAGGGTGGTTGAACCGAGCACGTTGAAAGCTTGGATAAAAGGAGACGACGGAAGTCTCGATGGACTTTTCAGCGATAGCAGAAAAATAAGGAAAGTCGCTCGGGAACATGGAATCTTTTACAACATGGTTGCGCGCCAATTTCACGAGGTTGTCGACCTACAATTCGGCGACGGTCCGCAAGACCGTAGGCTAGAATCGACGGAACAGGATGAGCAGGTCTACGTCATGTTACAGGCGATCCGTGGTCATCTTGATCGGCTTAGGGAGGCGAGTCCGAAGAATTATCCGAGGAAGGAAGATCACCTCAAGGTCCTTAAGACGGAGTTAACGGAAGTTGGAAACTTTATTAACCTGAAGTCTTGGGGTCAGTCAGGCCTCAAACACCAGTTCTGGTGAGTGCAGAATTGCGAAGGTAGGTGGGCCAGCGCTGATAAAAGAATACAGGAAGTGCGTCGCGACTAGGTATTGGCCGAACAAGAAAACGAGCGGGGATCAGATCAAAGATATGTATGACAGATTACGCAAGGTCGTCATTGAAAGCAAGGACGAAGATGAAGTCGTGTAACACAAAGACAGAGAGAAAGAGCTGTAGTCGTATGTTTTCCTGATGACACGGGCGAACTGAGCGATGAAGAAGATATGGGCAATGTCCAGCTTCTAGAGCTTCACGCTCGCATCAAAGGAGAGGAAGAAGATGCTTAGTTAGATAAGAGGTCTTCTTCATAACATGCGATAGGTGCTAGCTTGAGGGTATCGTATAGTCAACTGGTTGTCGTTGGATTGAAGTTTGCAAATGAACGTGCTCGTGACCAGCTCGGCAAGAGTTCTCGGGACCGCCGATTTCAGGCCTCCGACCCTCCCGACCCTGCCTCCCGACCGACTCTGCTAGGATACCGTAGCCTAATTCGAGGCGCAGCAACATCAAAAGATTATCAAAAGCCATCATCCCCCGGACATTCAGCCCTTTGCCCACGGATCCCTTTGCCTCTGCAGCGTTCTTGTGTGCTCTAGGATGAGCAACACGGCCCATCCGCACATTACCAAAAAGAGGGTCAGCACTGCGTGCAACGCTGCCATCATCCTTGTGTGCTTCCCGATTTTTTGCCCAATCATTTGCGTCGAGGGTGCTGTGCTGCTGATGACGAAACGTCGTGTCTGGAAGAAAGATCAGCAGATGAAGCAAGACAGAAAAGCACTCGAGGCCTCTTATTTAAAGAAGCGCGAGAGATATGCCCCGGATCCGCTCCCTAAGACGCGGCCACGTGCTCTCACACTGGGAGCCTTTACGGCAGAACCAGAGGAACTAAACCCTAGGATCGAAGAAGAAGAGCATGAGAGTAAACAGCAACAGACGGAAGACCGAGCCGGAAAGATGAGGAGACAGTCTACCATCGATAGCATCATCAGGAAAGCGAGGAGGCAATCCGCCGTTGATGGCGTCAAAGAAAAGCCCAAGCGACAATCGACCATGGATAGCCTCAAAAGCAAGCCTACGAGACAGTCAACTATCGACAGCTTAAAGAGCAAGTTCAGGAACGAGTCGGTCACTATTGATCAACTTGAGAAAAGTGGCCTCTGGAAGCTGCCGTTCGAGCTGCGAACGACTATATGGAAATACGCTCTCGGTGGCAACTACATTCACATCCTGAAGAAGCGGGGCCGACTCGGTCATGCCTATTGCCCCGCAGAACACCCCGAAGAATTTGCACGAGTGGATAAGTGCTCGTATCCTCTGAAGGATGGGTTCTCCGTATCCACGGCATTTCCCTTTAGGACAAAGCCTCTGGGATTGATATCTTCATGTCGGCAGATGTACGTTGCCGGTGATCTTTACTAATGCTTTCAATACATTGACTCTCGTATAGATATTCGGAGACCGTAGACATTCTGTACTCGCATAACACTTTCTCGTTCGACGACCTTGACGCTTTGAACTGGTTTGGTCTTACTACCTTGCCACGGAGACGTGAACTGATAACCAAACTTCATTTCGAGTACGAGCTTGTCAAGACAGCTCAGATCTTCCAGCCGCAGCTACCTCCGAACGATACCAAGACCTGGATAGACGCCTGCAATGTTCTAGCTTCAATGACCAATCTCCAGGAACTGAGAATAATCGTTAACAGCCCTTCTGGCTATAGCGCAAACAACGTGTTTCCACTATTCCCCGAGTTCCTGGAACCTTTGTCCCATCTCTCGATAGCCGGAAGGTTCGATGTCTACGTCCCTTGGCCGGCAAATCATCCAGCAGAGAACAGATTGGTCCCGGCGGAAGCATCATTCGAAATAAAGCGCTTGGATGAGGACATGAGTTTACGTCGCGCAGACTTCGTGATCCCATTCACCGTTCAGTGTCTGCATTGCGAGGAGTACACGGAGATCAAGAAATCCGTGGTTGGGTCCGCAATAAGGACTGAGTCAGATGGGACGACCCAATTCTGGACCTTTCACACCTATTGTGGAGGATGGATTGCGTTTACGTCGGCTTCAAGGGGGGAGTACGCGGTATTACAAGGCGCAAAACGGGTTCTTGAAGCTTGAGGTGCGACGGTTAAACGGGTACGAGTGGAACCAGATGAGAATCAAAAGTATGGCTCATCGACTATCCTCAGTGGCTACGTAGTTTGGAATGGTAGCTAGGTAGTGATGCTGCGGGAAAGTGACAAGCTAATGTACTCTTTTGCCTCGCGACAGTGAATTACACTGATTTGAGTGACTCCTATGTCTTCATAATACGGAGCAGTCGAAGAAGGTCAAAAGTTGGATTCCTACGGGCAAATGAAGTCCGCTTTAGCCGACCCTTTTACTCAATGTCGAATTCTAACCTCCTGTTCTAATTCAGTCTTCGCGTCCTTTTCCTTTGCTTTCTTGGTTGCCTCTGTCATCGTGTTGCCGTTGCTAATTAGTCGTCCAGGCTCAGGAAATCCAAATTTTCGACTAATGGGGCTGCCCTTTCGCTGAAGCACACGATGGTTTCATGGGACTTCTCCTCGTTCTAGTGTGGTCTTGAACTACGAACGAAAGAGTGAGGCTTCTTCGATTTCGATGAATTCCTCGACTCGGAATGATGGCAGATCAGATGGCAAGGGAAATTAGAACGATAACTCATAGCTTTCAATTGGAGCAACGACCATTAAACTAATTGAATTGCGTACAAGGGTATATTACGACTCTTCAAGCTCTCTGGACTTAGTCGGGGGTCAGAGTTGCATATTCCCCCGGTGATGTTGTTCTTGAACATCTCAAAATAAGCTGCATCATTTGGTGATCTTTCATATGCAACTCTCTCCCACTCAGAAGGTAGAGTGTCGAGCCGGGGGTCTTCTGCGGTCTGCTGGTACGTCCGAAAGCTCATATAGCGGTGCAATGGTCGGCCAAGGGCATCCCCGGTAACTATAACTTTCCAACCTACGGGCATTGGGCCGAGGATTCCTTTAGCATCTTCGAGCCCGTGGATGTATGCTTCGCCGACAACTTGGAATCTCCCAAAGCCGGCCGCACGTATAATGATAGGCGAATAGCTGCCGAGAAGAAGGCATACCTCATCCCCTGAGTGCGGTTAGTGTCTCGAAGATAGTCGATGATACAGCTACCTGCATACCTGCTTTGACGCCGTCGGGAGCTGTTCCTATATACCCATCGACTGTGGTAAAAAATACGCGGCCTCTAATCTTTTGAACACAGTTTCCGACCTCACGAATCGAATATATCGAATCATTATGTGAATCAGGTCGAAGCGCCGATATGTCGTGGAGTAAGCTCACGAGTTCAAATACACTCGGAAAGTGCTGCGCCGGATGGCGCTCGCGCGTTCGATTCATGAAGATGGTCAACGCGAAAGCTTCCATTATATTCTCTCCAGTGACATAGACGTCTGTTTTGGGCAGATGCTCCAACCACTCCGAAACGGCCAGAAGTACTTTCCCAATCTCCAGAGAGGCAGCTGAGCTTACTTCTTGGACAGCCGTACAGCGCAACCCTGTAACCTCTAATATGTCTGGCGGAATATACTTGAAGTTTGCACTTGATAAGCCTGTCGAGAGTTGCTCGCTAAGAATCGGGGCGGCGAAGTCAGTTTTGGACCAGTCAGGCACCCATGATGGACCGCCTATGCTTCGTCTAGAAAGAACGCAATGTTTCAGGAGCTCCAGTCGTCGTGTGAGTGCTAAATGAGCGAGGAAAGCATCCTTGTAGACATCCTCCACAGGCGAAGCGTAATCCGTCCTGAGCCTGGCATTGAACGATGGTGCCGTAAGTCCTAAAAGACCGTATATTTTGTCCCTGGGGTCGGCGCAACCCTTACTGCGGCCGAGATCTAACAGCGTGCCCATTGGGTGACCGATTGCGTCTGCCGTAAGGTAGGCAATGTGACGGCAACGCTCCCGAAACATTAGGGACGGCAGCTTTTCCTTATTATGCAGACATAGGATCGCTTTTCGAAGTATGGGCCATGTGATCTGATCGTGACCACATTGCAAAAGGCTGTGAGAGCTGCTAAGTTTGATCTCCTGCCAGCACCAAAGTCGGTAGAACCATATGCGTTCTATGAAGTGAGACAATGCTTTCCAAGTTCGGTCATCATACAGAAAGTGACATGCATTTCTCCATAGGTCTGGAGCTTTGGATCCCGGGGAGCTAAAGAGCCTGCCAGCCTTTGTGACGATGAGTTGGTTACCGATATACCGAAGGGTGGCGAGAGCGTGCTTGCTGTCGCCGTCTTCCTTGCCCGTCCAGGCCACTACCCGATACGCCAATCTGTATATATCTGCCATTCGCTTGACCTGGGCATTTCTCTCTTCAACGTCTTGTTGATTGATGCTAATCGCGTCGGCCCAGATTGTCCGTACTTTATCGACATGCCGAAGGTGTCGAAACGCCATTGCAAGACTTTTGCCAATTCTGATGACTGTCACCTCTATCTCTTCATTTGACTGATAGTCTTGTACATGGGCTATTTCTGGGTCATCCATGGTCCCCCAGTTGTATGACAAGGCTTCATAATAGGGCTCGAAGCTGGTTGGCCTGCTCTGTGCTGGTTGCAAATTGGCAGGTGCATTCCTCAATGGATGGACCCAAGATGTCTCGTATGTGTGGTTATTCAAATAAAAGAGTTCATCTTCGGACGTTCTCTCAGTGCTCCATGGATACGAAGGTATGGAGCCTATATCGCAAGTATTGTCTTCGGGATCCTGCACGCCAGTTGGCGGAATGAGGAGCGCATGATGGATCGATATTCGAATGTCATCGATGAAAGTCCCAGGCAGCAGGGAGATAAGACGAATCTCTTCTTGGTCCCTCCTGAGAGGAAGGTATTGATAGTCACTCATGTTCACATGGTTCTAATTGTACCACGTGCATGGCTCGAGCAGATTCTGTTACTGATTGACCAGGAACGCAAGGGGAATGGGAAGACGCGGTCTGCTGCACGGGCGGAGCACGTTTGATTTTAGCAGCGCGAAAGAGCTTGGTGAAGTTGAGGCGCCTCAAATCACGTGCTTTCCATCGTCCATCCACCATTGGGCCAGCTTATCTGGCTCACGTAAGCCAAGAGCCTCCCAGCCTTTGACGCCGTGAAGAGTGAATTGGTATTGGAGGTTAGAACTCGACATTGTATAAAAGGATAGGCTGAAGCGGGCTTCATTTGCCCATAGGAACCAAAGGATCAAAGGATACAGTTCAAATCGAAAAGGTGATAAGCATAAGGCTTTTGCCTTGCGAAGACCAATTCAAAAGTCCAATTCAAAATCCAATCCAAAATCCGTATCTGAAGTGTATCTTTAGGCAAACCTAGATGGGCAATGACTATCTGAGGGCACACACGATTTGACAAAAGTCTTCGTTTCGCCACATGCATGCAACCCGTCTGTGAATATGTTCAGACGATTACATTGGGAAAAGGGACTGGATTTCCCCAGAAACTGAGCACCGAAATCGCAGGGTACAAGGGAGAAACAAAATTTTGCAAAGACGTTAAACACTTTGCTCGGAATTTAGGCTATGGATGCTTGCCTACCTGTGCGGAGGTATACGTCAATAAAGTCTCATGGGTAGCTTAGGATAGAGAAAACACTTATAAGGGTCAGTCAAAGTCTTAATGCAGAAAGAATTGGAAATCATAGGCGTATCGGGCGTATTAACAAGGCCGTTGGAGTTCAAGTCAAATTGTCTGCCCGCGGTAGTCCGTATTGCCTATCCATCAGTTCAGTTTTTTCAGACTACTTGCCCTCGGGGAATAGGTTCGCTATTACTTACCTGGACGATCAGCTTCATTTGGTAGGCAAAAGGAAAGCCGTTTCCCACAACTTACAGTAGGGGTTGCGCGGATTCGAGGCGAAGTAGGGAAAACGAAATCCAAAGAGACAATCCAGAGAGGAAATCCAAAGAGGAAATCCAAAAAGCAAATCTAACGAGGCGAGGGAATTCAAAAAGCAAGTCAAAGTCGGATGGCAAGTCAAATCTGCGTTAACTCAGAATTTTGGTGAGTATCCAAACTATCAACCCCAAAAGTAAGCCAGTCTGTTTGATAGTGTTCCTAATCCTCTCGTCAAGCGTCGTACTGAAAGATTTTGCCCATAACTTTTGTATTCATCGTAACCAAAGCTTCCCTCCGTCGCCTTACCATTGTCAATTTTGGATTCCTTGCACCAAGTCGTCATCTCCGAGATTACGGTTAGCCCTTTCTCGTCACTCTTCCGCCTCTGCCCGCTATTTGCCCACTACTGCTGAAAGAGCGAGGTATCTCGCCACATCAGGGTATGGATTGACATGGAAGATCCTAACGGTGTGTAAGAATTCGTATAGCGTCGCATATGCGAGAGGGCCACTTGCCCTTTGCTCTTTGGAAGTGTTAAGCTGTGGCGTTTGTAGGTTAGCATGCTTCAGTCAATCCAATACCCTGGTTCATGGTCAAGTGTAACTTACGGTTAAAGGAGACCTCTCAATTAGCTTCACCTTCACCCCGAGCTCGCGACGTATTTGATTCTTCACAGCTCGTCGGCTGTCCTTCAGCGACTCTGCACCAATCTCCGGGGTCGAAATGTACTCGACTATTTTCGAGCTTTCTCGGTCGTAAGCCGTCAGCCACCAGTTCAGCTTTGCGTCAGAGCAAACGAACATGGCTTCGAAACTCAAGTCGGCTCATAACTTTGGTTCCTCGGTCCTCTCGTCCTTCATTCCCCGAAAGTCTTTGCCATTGATTCGCAGCACTTGCATGTTCTCTGGCACAGGAATAGTGGCCAAGACACAATCCCATGTTGAGGGCAGCCAAAGTCCACCCTGGGGCATTGATTTCATGACATTTTCCGTGAGCACGCCGCAACGTCCATTGCCTGTAAGTTTCAAAGGGGCAATGCTCAGATTACGATTGATCATCCGTACGATTGGACATGTAGGCTGTGCGATTAGACATGGTTCCTGTGCGGTCGCAGATTCCTTGTCCCAACTATTCTCTGGATTCAACGTCAGTTGTAGTTTAGACAACTCGTGTGAAACGATTGGAATTAAGCCATACCTTCAACAGGAGCGTTTGCCTCTTCCAGGGCTTTCTTTCGGATATCGCCCCGATCCCCCCTATCCAGTCTGTATAGTAAAGATTGGATGTAGAGTGGAGCCTGCTTCATCCCCAACCGCTTCATCGCATCCATAACTTGCTTGTGGCATTCATCGCGCCTGGTTTGGTCACTGTCGTCGTGTCTCTGTTTCCCATTGCTGCCGGTGGATGAAGATTCAGGGAAACCTGCCGCCTTTCCGGCGAATTCTTGGTTTGCCTCTCCAGTGTCCATAGCTGAAGCTGGTGCCAGGATTGGTCAAAAGGGGGTAAATTGAATGGCCGTTGAATGTTATAGGCAAGTCAAATGCTATAGGCAAGTCAAATGTTATAGGCAGTGGCCTCTGGCGGTCTTTGCTGTCGGATATCGTTATGGCGCATCATCCAGGGAGGCCGGTAGGTCTTGAAACCGTCCACAGATGAAGTCGGAGCTGCTCTAAGGCCTAGGACTATGAGAAAAAGAATTTATAGGTACCCCTATTCATCCTCTAACCCAATTAGGAAAGACTAGCGCTGAAAATCACGTGATTCAGTCTTTGACTTTCCATTATAGCACCATTTCATGTATGATTCCATCTACAATCTGACTTATCAGCGCATTTCGAGCAGATGATTTGACTTAAATGACCTCCTTACTGCGCCTGATACACCCTGCATTAATATTTGACTTACAAAGTACCTTTTCGCGTGCGTTCTCCTTCTTGTTCTAGGCTAGCTACGAAAGCTTAAAAACGTATATCCTCCCCGAGTGTACTGCGGAAGACATCAAGCCCTTGCGCACTTTCAGGCTTCAAGATTTTTCTCTCCTGTGAAAAACGAGTGTCAGAAATGAAGGACGGCACTCAGAAGAAGTCTTTGTACTCCCTCAACAAGCGTGTATGGTTATTTTAAGCTTCCAGCCCTGCCGTGGTCGGTATACGGTAGGGCTTGTGCGAACTCGAGGTAAAAGAAAAAAGGAAGGCCAAAAAGCAAATCTAGAGAGGATATATATATTCATAATTCATAAAATAGAATAGAGATGATACATAATAGTACTACAGTTAGTTGTATAGTAGATAGAAAAGAACACATCATGCAGCCATAAATAGCGAACTAATAAGAAGGCGCAGCTTAACATAAAAAACTGGACGGGGGTTACAGCAGATAGTAGCCCAGCTAGAAAATCGCACGAAAATGTTGACTTACAAAGGGATGGGGCGTAGTTTCGGGATACGCGGACGGCTGCGGGCATCAGCGATTCGATCGTAACTTTTCATCTCGTTGCTCTCCAGGTCAGACACACACTAAAGTTTGTAAATCTGTGTGAATGACATAGAGAGGCGGAGGAGCAGCGGCTCTCGCTGCTTCTTTCACCACATGTCTTAAATGGCCGAGTCCGGTGCAGTGAACTTGACTTGGTGTTTTCGTCCTTCGTTCATTGCAATGATGATGAGCAAAACACCAGCTCTGCCCGGATCTGTGCTTTGCAGTGAAAGCAGGCGATGAAATTATAATTGAAGTTGGAAGTGTTGCGATTGGGGGCCAGCTGGGAGCCGGAGCCCTGGAGAGTTCCGAGTGCTGAGACATGTCTTGGCAACTTCACCGAGTCCTCAAATAAGCACTTTCAAATGCGCACAAAAAAAAGTTGGCTAATAAGAAATCTATAGCATCTGTATGGTCCATATTGGCAAACGCTGCAAAGAAAGTTCTGAGTTTGCCCATAAGAAGTCAACATCGGAGTGCCGAAAGTGTAGAAGCCGCAGCATCCTAGACCACGGCCCACTTTACCAACTAGCCATCCAATCAAAGAACCCCTCTGATTCTTGCCCCGCACAATCCTCGCACATTTCGAAATGCCCACGCTTTCACAATTCTTGCTGACTCGCTGCATCAAGTCGTAATAGTATATCTAATTTTTCACCACTTCAAAATCCACTCCGGTATGGTGTATCGGCTAGCATCGCCCGCTTTCACTGCAAAGCACAGATCCGGGCAGAGCCGGGTTCGATTCCCGGTACCGGAAATTTTTCTTTTTGCATTTTTATGTTCTGGAATGCTGTTAGAGGTGTCGGGGTTGAGTTTGGGAGGGGTTGTGGACGCAGGGCATCAGTGCGAGATTTTTGCCCCGCCGAGCACCACGCGGGGAATCTGACGCTACGGGGAGTTGAACATGATGTGAAGCATGCAGAGGGTGGGTTCTTCGGTTGCCAGAATGGGCTTTGTTATTTTGTTCTTTTATTAAAAGACGCGTGATTCACTTGAGTATACGCAATTGATTCTAGCGACTTAGATCCTTCAAACAGGAGTGCCCAAGCGTTTCTGAGGTATGTGAAAGCGTTAGAAGCGTTGTAAAGCTTGCAAAAAGTTTTGTGGTAATGTATCTCGAATGGCATGATGTCGCATACTACTGTGATACAAGGGTAGCACTTGGTGAGTCCGACTTCTCTCGTTCTTTTTGCGCGTGTCTCGAGATGTGACCACCCTAATCACGAGCGCATTCCATACAAACGTAGAGCTTCACTTGTCCTCGAGTATCACGCAAAGATCATCCTTGCGCCGGACAATGTCACAGTCCCAAAAGTGAATCCATATCGAGCGGAGACAGTAATAACTCAAATTATGAGCCTAGTCAAAGAGCAAATAGCTACGAAAGTGGTATCTTGGACCTCTCAAAGGTATCAACCGACGACCTACGGGGCAAGAATGCTTGCAAATCCATAACTCGCTTTAACGCCGATGACAAAAACTTCCCGCCCTAAGACACTGAGGCAGAAAGTAGGCATATCGCAACGCCGACTCGGAAGTCTATGCATGCTCTTAACATTCAAGGTTGGCCACCCACCCCATTACCCGTGTATTACGGAGATCCGATCCCATATCCCTCGTTGGGGATGAGCTCGTAGCCTCCTTCTTCTGGCAGGTATATCGCTGCCACAGCCACACCGGCTGCGGTTGTGATGAGCATGCTCCAGCTGACGGTGCAAAGGACCCAGGACTTGTCGAGGTACCAGCCGTTGAAGAATCGTTCGTCGTGGTCGAAGAGGAAGGACTGTTCGAGAAAAATGGTCAGCTTTTAGTTTGCGAGGGGCTGTTAAGTAAAGACATCGTCGGCTTCCTTGAAGAGAAACACAAAAACAGTCGAAAGGTGCAAAACTTACCACAAGAGCCATGCTAACAAGCTGCACCAGTGCCGAAATGACCAGAAACGCGCATACAACCTTCCAGCCTCTGTCCCTTCGCTGCTTTCCTCCTAGAATTATAATCGCATAGGACGTGAGAGTTGCAAGTTCGAGGATGACGGCGAATGACATCAAAAAGCCGACAGTCCGCCACATGCTACAGAACGACCATTTGTCGCCAGTGCAGTCTTCGAATCGTGGGAAATGATTGCATACGCCGGTCACACTCGAACAGCGACGGTGAAGTCCGTAGGAGAACTCGCGGGTTCCTTCCTGTATAACATTAGCTCTGAATACGGAGCGGGGCTACGTGCGACGGAGTGGCCGAAATGTGGAGAAGAAAGAGTAGACGTGGGTAATTGAAGTCCGAAATAGAATGAACGTACAGAACCGTAGCTGAGCCATCGAGGCATCACAATGCTGGCTATGGTCATCGCGGTGGCTGCGAAGATGTCTCAGTAAAGCTGTCGCTTGTTGTGATGTAATGCCAGAACTCACCCGCAATGGTAATCCATAGCCCAACTCCATAAACAATCCTCCTCGTCATGTTGCCTGGTTGTCCTCTTCACCCAGCTCGTGCAGGATCGGTAATTGCCACAAACCGACTACGAAGGAGGAGGGTGGTGTGGAGGAGGCTGGGGACGAGTACCAGGCAGCGAGGCAGAAAAGTAGGGCTTCGAGGCGCGGCGCAAAGACAGAGAGATAGGCGAGGGTGCCGCGTGACTGAAGTAGCAGTGAGGCCGCGGGATGCAATAGCGTCGTATCTGCGCAGTGCTGGGGGTGAGATAGCTGCAGTCGAGTCTGCCACACCTCGACCAAATCGCGCACGATCGACGGGCTGGCAGGAAACGAGAACGGCAGAACGGCTTTGCAGTGCAATTCGGCTTGGCGCCACTCGCCCTTACCGCCTCCAGCCCACACGGGTCGCATACCGAAGCCGTATCGGGCCATGGCATTCCTACAATTCCATAGCCGCCCTTCACGCGCCGTGACTGGCTGTACTGCTCTACATATGCACCGTCACCAAGTTGGCTCTCGTCAAGTCTAGCTGAACGAGGAAAGGCCACAGGAACTTTATTCAGCTTCTGCTCCCGCCACACCCGCCAGGACCACATGATCTAATTCTATGGTGCTTTTCGTGACATCCACCGGTCAATAGCCATCGCCCTCTTTCCATGGCCGTCCCACTTCCGCTGCTCTCTTCTTGGGATCTCTGCCCCTCTCGAAAGCCTCCTCTTTTACCTTTGTCATCTTCGCATTCAGTTCAACGATTCTCTTCGGCGCCTGCACCAGCTTTTGTGCCTCCTGGTTTCCGATTCTCTTGTCATCCTCAATGACCCGTTCTAGATTCCCTTTTTCCCTTCCAAGGCTTATATACTCTTTGTACTGCTCCTCTCCACCGAAGCACAATCTAAACCCATCACAGTAACATATATGCACCTCAGGACAGAGCTCCGGCTGCCCAGTCCAGATATACTGCCAAAGATACTCCCATACCCTACCTGACAGCGCATCGGTCAATTCTGTCGCGAGCACCCAGTCCCGAAAGAACTCATACTGCTCCAAAAGCAGCGCCTGAATTCTCTCCCTGCTGACCGCAAATTGCGAGCAACAAGGCTGTCTCAGCACCTTCGGCATCGGTCTCGCGGGTAGTAGTTCGCTCCATGCCGTTGCAAACGCTGCAAGTTTGGGATTCTCGAGCCCGAACTCCGCCCCCAAATGGTGGACTTGATCTGAGCATCCAGGGCTCTGGTGACACCTCAAATTGAAGTACCCATCTCGCACCACCTTGTGTGAGGACAGCGCACGCAGCATCATCGGCGACGAATCGTCCAGAAGGTCGTTATTGTGCCACGCCACGGGTGACGCATGCATGAATATTGTAACATCGGAGAGGTTGTGGTAGTGTGTAATGATGTATGTCAAGTACGGCATGACTTCTCGGCCTTTGTTTTTGGGTACGGTGAAGGGAGGTATTGGGGAGTCGACGGTGTAGATAGCCGTTTGGAGGGAGGATGAGGAGCCAAGCTCCTCCTCTATCCAGCTCACATCTTCAGAAGATGTTCGAGCGATAACAAGCGTCCGTGTGTGTTCATAGTCCACGGACTTTGATGCGCCGGGGGTATACTGTGGTTTCGGGAAGACTCCTGGAGGATTCTATGGGCAGGCTGTCAGCCTTTCTCTATGGCGATTGAGGAGGCTAGAACTCACAATTGCGGCTCTAGTAGACACCCTATAGTATATGAATACAAGGGCAATAAGAATTGCTACCAATGCCCGGCGATGAATGTGTCCCAGCCCTATCATGCTTGATCAAAGCATGAAGTAGCGATCCGCGTTGGCGACTGGAAGGCTGCTGCTAAAACATAACGTACAACTGAATCATCACAAGCATACTGTATCTTTATCGATTCTCGTACAACGCAAAAGCTGAAGAGAGGATTGGTGGTTTTCTCGAGTGGGTATCCGCCTCCAAATCACGCCAAGCCCGGAGCTAACCCATTTTCTTGGCGTATGTCATGTGATCACGTAAATCTCTAGGCGCGTAAATCACTCCCACTCGCGTCTCTCATCCTCAAAGCACCAACAGCACCACCATGAGTTCGCCCGCATCTTTCGTCACAGCCCGACAGGCCCAGTCGTCGCTCTTGACTCCAGACGACTCAAGCCCTCCAGGTTCGGAGCCAGAGCCGGTCTCAGACGACTTTACATATCACCATCCGCAGGCGCCTCTCCATCGCCCCACCAAGCCCCTAACCTACCAATTGCGAACCCACTCTCTTGTTTATTTGGACGGCCAGCAATGTAAGTTCTCAGCATTGTCATACAGGTTTTGCTAATGCTTGTTCCAAGACCTCGACGGCTTTACGCTCCTTGACAGTCTCCTCGTCGCCGGAAACTCCATCTCTACACCAGAGAATCCCCACCCAGCCCTGCTTCCACCTCCACAATACCTCGCACTCGCCTCGACGCTTATAGTATATCCCTCTCTCACCACAAAGGCCAAGTCATTCGATAAGCAAAAGGCTGCAAACTCTGCGCTGCACTATTTACGCAATGTGAGCAAAGTCGTGGATCCTTCAAGCGATGCCCTTCAGACTGCTTTTGCATTTGCAACTCCAGGCTCGACTCGTAGAGCCGGAAGAGGAAGAGGAGAAGACTCTCCGGATGGTTTGGGGGAGACCAAACTCACAACGAACGTAGCGAATGCTGGGTCTATATGGACAAGGGCGGAAGATTTCTGGCACATCGTTGGTTGGGCGTTCAACTGTTCAGTGGCCTATAAGAATAGGTGGGAGAGGTGGAAATTGTGGCTGGAACTTATGCTCGACTTTGTTGAAGCTGATTGGAACAAGCGGATGCCTCTTTTCTCAACTGCTAACAGCGACGATCATATCGCGACTCTAATATGGCGTTACATCGCCTCTCAGGAGCCACAAAGTCGGACCACAAGAAGAAGAATCCTACGCGCTATCCTGGCAGATGGTACTTCCAAAGCGATGAAAGAGTTCACGGAGGTGTTCAAAGATGAGGCGAAAGAAAGGAAGCAAGATGAAGAGGCAGTAATCAAGGTCCAAAAACCACTCGATATCGATAATGACGAGTTCGGAGATTATGATCTTTCCGAAGACGAAGACGCTGTCATGGAAGACACAACCGAGCGAGCTTCGACTCGTCCATCGAGGAAAGCCTCAAGACAGAAAGAGTCGTCTACTTCTTCAGAATATTCATCTGATGAGGATGAAGATGGCAGAGAGGCGAGGGACCCGGTAGAGAGGCTAGGCGGTATGGATGCCATCAAACTGCGACAACGATTACTTCATCTTGTAAGATGCTTAACTACCTTTTGGAATGACTGGACTGACCAAGTCATAGCTTGTGGACGTAGCCGCCGCTACTGGACACCTCAGTAAAGCCAAAAAAATGTATTCACCCGCCCCGTTCTCGACGGCAGATGATTTATTCGATCTCTACACGGAGTTCCTTCGGCCACTTCCAACTTCAGTCTTCAGCATTTTCCTCAGCACTTCAAAACTAGACCCATCGGCCCAGGCAAGGCTAAACACGACTCTCCTGATTCCACTGTTGCCTGCAAATCCTTCGGAATACTATCCCCTGCCAGACCAGTCACAATTCGAGGAGCATTACTTACCATTCGCTGCAAATACGCATAGTTATGGAGATAATGCAAAGATAAGCTTAATTTTCGAGTCACTTTTCATACAGATGATGAAAAACAATGCCCTACAACCTTCAAAGGAACTACGCCAGGCCGTGGAGGAAGGTGTGGCAGCTCGGCAGGCTAAGGCATATGGCGACGCAAGACGGAAGCAGCGTAGGGAAAGCGAGGAGGCTGCAGCAAAGGACATCCTGAAAATGAGCCAGGAGAGGTTACTGGGGTTGGTCGAGATATTAGAATTATGTGAGTACAGAAGCAGACTCACAAAAGTTGCTGTTTGTTAGACACGATCTGGGGCACTAACAACCGCATAGCGTCTGATGACCTACCGAGCCTGCCAAGCAATGCTTCGACACCGCGCGGTGTCAACCAAGCCATCTCCTCCCCATTATCGTCCGCCATTTCAGACCATGATATAGATGCGATGGAACATTGATTGGAGCAGCCTATGACTTTGAATCGACTGATGGGCGCTTTGCGAAGCATACCCGCACTAAGGCAGGCTTCTTGTCGAGACTCGACCGGAAATCGGCTAAAACTCGAGAGTATGTTCATAATCGATATATTCGACAGTCCTTGCTAATACATAGTTTAGGGAGACGCGAGCTCAATTCACGTCATCACCGTAGTAGTGAAGGCCAAGAAAGAACATCTAGCTCCCAATGATAGATATGGGGCTATACTACTAGTCCAGGTCAATCTAGCAGCATACTGCATGTGACAGGATCCTGGCAACGTAGGAAGAACACCAATCAGTAAGGCGAGTGGCAGGAGTACTCAATCAAGCTTCTGAGGAGCTCGTTGCGAGATCTAGTTCCTATTGAGTAGACTAACGATCTATCTCGGCCTTATTGCTCTCCTCAGACAACTAGATGTAGTGAGATGCTATAGCCTTCGGGGCTAAAACATAATCATAATTTCCAGTCATGAGTGCAAGATCCTGTGGCCCATTGAACGGACCACCGAAGTTCATCTTGTACTTCGGGAAGCCCTGGTCAAACTGCGCCGCGGCTTCAATCTCCTTGACCTTCTTTGCCGTAAGCTCAATGCTAAGCGCCTCGATATTCGCCTTCATGTGCTCCAGCTTCCTCCCACCAATAATCGGGAAGACGTACGGGCCCTTCTGGATCGCCCAGGCAAGCGCAATACTCGTCGGAGCAGTCTTGCGTGCCGCAGCAATCTTCCTCAGTGCCTCCGCTACCTGCTTAGCAGCCGCCGTCGGTGGATACACCTGCACACGGCCCTCAGCAGCCTCTTTCTCAGCCACCTCCGCGCTCTTGAAGTTCCCACCCCCGAGCACGCCCCACGGCGAGATAGCCATGCCCTCCGACGCGCACATATATCGAAGATCTCGCGCTCCAGGTCGCGCTCAGCAGCGCTCCACTGGCCCGTGTACACCACGAACGTCGCCATGCCGTGCTGGCGCGCGTACGCGTTGCACGTGACCACGAACCACGACGGCATGTTCGACGCGCCGAGATACAGCACTTTGCCCTTCTGAACGACGTTGTTCAGCGCGCGCATCAGCTCCGCGACCGAGGTCGTGAAGTCCCACCAGTGCACGTACAGCACGTCGATATACGAGGTGCCGAGGCGGGCGAGCGAGGTCGCGAGCGAGTGCTTGAGGGACATGGTGCTGTTGCTGCTGTAGTTTGACAGGATTTCCGGCGCGTTCTCGGTGCCGAGGACGGCGCTGGAGGAGAATTTGGTCGCGAGGACGAGCTCGTCGCGGTTGTGGCGGAGCGCGAGCCATTCGCCGACCCAGAGCTCGGCTTGCCCGGATTGGTAGTGGTTGGCGGTGTCGATGAAGTTGCCGCCGAGGGAGTAGAAGTGGTCGAGCATGGCGAAGGCGGAGTCTTTGGTGCATTTGCCGAGGAGTTGGTTACTGTGGTGTGTTAGGAGGTATAGGCTGGGTGAAAGGGGAGTGCTTACCATGCTGTTCCGAAGTTGACGGTGCCGAGGGAGAGGGGACTGACGCGGACGGAGGCGGAGGGGCTGAGGACGCGATGGCGGCCCAGGAGGGACTTTGGAGGGGCTGTGGCGAATGCAATGGCCATTGTGAGTGGGATAGGCTGTGAGGGGCGAGGCTTATGATGTGTAGAGGATGAGAATGAAATCAACGGGCGTTTATGAGAGCAAACGGTTCAAGTGGGTGGTGCTTTGATGTAGTAAAGGATGAAGGGGATGAAGATGGAAATTCAGTGGATGGAACTACGGTATATATATGAAGCCAGGCTGTTTTCATTACCATATTGAGACGTTTTGATCGCTAACCTATGCTTCTTCATCTTTGCTGCTGACAAAATAATATTTCCTCTTTGGTCGTCGGTATGCACAAGCTGCTCCGAAGATGTCGTTGCAGCTTTCCAACATTCGTCGGAGGGCCCAGTGGAAAGGAGCATCTTGCTTAATCACGATGTGTTTGCTTGGAGTCTTTGCCTACTACAAGGCCATTATGCTAAGGATGCTTTGGCGATCGGAATACCGGGTACAGAAATGCTAAACGCTACTTGCTCATGGGGCTACGGTGAGTTGTAAGCAATGGAGAAAAACTTCCTAAAATCGACGGCAGTGGTATTTATCAGCTCGCGGACAAAGTCGAGCGGAGTAGAGCAATGTGCTGGGAGTACTACAGCCCTCTTGCGCATGATGCTGTGGTTAGTGCAGGGTGGCCGTAAGGATACAATACGGTACTAGAAGTCGAGGAGAGAAGTTTGATTATCCTGAATGGCCTGAATAGCCTTTTGTTCTAAAGCTTCTGTTACGCAGCTTTTCTGGACTACGCTAATGATGGCATGTGCAAAGGGGCTGTACAGCTTATGAAGTGGATCATAAGATTGTGAAAACATGCATTCTATGTCTGGGTTTCACGTGAGCTTCCGATGCCTCTCAGTACGTAGCAGCCCGAGGAGATGGCTTCAGCGTCATCAAAGAAAGAAGCAAACAGGGAGATCCCGACTGCTATGCTCTCAGGGATGGTGTTGGATACAAGGTCAGGCTAGTGGTGGAGCCCGAGTTCTTCGGAACTACTAGCGGCCCGACAGCTCCAGCTCTATCGTGACCTCCAGCCTTGTCCCCCATGTCACCATCACCGTTCTCAGCCTTGTCCTAATACCTTTTCTTGCATGAAACAAGCTCGCGTCATTGGTTGCAGCCGCTGTGATCTGGGGTATGTCCTGCAGCGTCCGCTTTGTCCGAACTCAGCTGCGGAAGCGCGAAGCATCGGTTTGCTATGGTCAATTAGAAGGACCTATCAAAGTGACCACAGAGATTTGGGCAGCAAGACAGATATTTTTATTGGGATAATGGACAAGACGATATCGTACCAGACTGTCGGGTTCGGGCATCACTTCTCCCAATGCTGTCAACCTCTTGCAAGCGATAGCGATAGCCAATCAGACCAATCCACGAAAAGGTGCAGTCAAAAACAGCGTGTGATTAAAAGGCAGTAGGACTAAGCAAACAAACGACGAAAAAGAGTATAAAAGAAGGATTCGCAAGGTGCCTACGGTGCCTAACAGTGTAAGTCTAGATATCCTCGAGCTGTAACACCATGACTGGACAATGGCTTGCAAAATATCCCCGGAGATTCCCCCTAACACCGGACCAGTCGATATCGTCCAATATTGGCAGAACTCATGTCGTGGCTCTTAGAATGATTAGAGAGGACCTTCCAAGGGAAGTCACTTTCTCGTCGTCGTGGACGATTGCATTCGCTCTAAGAATCTTGGTCAGCTTATCGAAGCCGGTCTGGTATATGGATTTGGGAAAATCATACCCGCAACGGCCTAATTGTATGTGCTCATGGCGTTGACCTTTGAGCTCTCATTCTCCACCACTTGTATTTGACTCGTTTGTAGAATTTCTCTCTAAGCTTTCTCTATTCTCATTCTCATTGTTGTCCTCGGACCATGCTCCAGTCTGAGCCCGATCATGATCATCTGGTGAATGGTACCCATTCGTGTGGTCGGCCGAGTCGCTTTGGGCTGAGCGAGGATTGGAATCAGCTTCTCCATGGACCGAAGATTGACGTTGAGGGGACCCTAAAACCACACGATGATTAGTGGAACGCTCGTGGTACTAATGGAAAGCTGGAGCAATGAGCCGCAGGGCCAGTCTATGCACAATCTTCTACCAGCACCTGAGGCAGCCCGGCAAGGTTTCAGGTCTATCAAGAGGATAGATCTGAATCTTCTTTCGATTGACGAAAACTCTTTGAAAGACTCCTTAAACCAAAACGGGATCAGGTATAAGTGTACACACCTTCTCTAGACCGATCCATGGGGCTCATCGATCTGCCTGGCCAACAAGCCCCGGACGCGTTTGCCTGATTCCTGATCTCAGACACATCCACCTCCGATGTGTCAGTGCGGAGATATCTTGTGAAGCCATCCGCGTCTCGTTGTATTCCAGGTACGCCTCCTCCAACCGACTCTCTAGCTGATCCCTCAGGGCGGTTATCTTCTTTTAATTGTCAGCAATGTCTCTTCTACACCGTACTTACTGGTTGTGTAATCTCAAAGGCGACTTACCTGGTTGTTCCATCCTGTGGTCTTCGGTTCTGGATGCCTGGCAAACTTGTTCAGGGCCGAGCATACCACCTCGAGGATCGAGGAAGCCCTTGGGCCCTAGCCCATTATGTATTCGCACCTCCAGTCGGAAACATCTTTGGCCGCGTTTCGTAAGATCGAGATGAACAACGAGTCAGTGGGTTACACAGTCGTGTCCAGACTCCAATGGTCATAGGCGGCCAGAGGCCTCAGGTGGGCCCATCCGATGCTGAAACGACAGCGCGGTCGTGAGGCTTGCGATAAAGAGCGTGGATACCCATTGTGGTTGGAGTAGTGTCGAGCTTACTGGGTGTATTATTGGAATAAGGTCGCCGGAACGGTGGTATGCGCGTGATGGCACTCCTGCCGGGACACCAGATCCCCTGTCCACTAACATTGTGGGGCTTCCCGGACGTGGACTCGCTCGCGCATCTCCCGAATGCAAGAGCGGTCTACCATCTACCGACTCGGCAAGGGCTGTCGAAAACACTGTCGGCAGAGTTCTAGAAATACTCAACTGCATGATGCAGTAGCGGATCCTTCAACGATCATAATTCTCCTATTCCCGCACTCAGGTCATCGCGCTGGGTAGGCAGGTTGGTCTACCACTTCTCTAAACGCTATCATCATCAATAGGGGCAGCTTAGAACACCATCGGATATGTCTCATAGACTGGTCCTGCTTCGAGTCTTCACCGCTTGTCTCACAGCCCTCCAATGTTAGCATTTCAAGGATTATTAGGTCGCGCTAGAACTTCCGGCCACCCCTTGACCTCAGTATCTGCTTCCGGCCAATCCTGTATTTTGATGGAAAGACCTGGCTTTCTGGCAGTCTGTGAATGGCTGTGATCAGCAGCAAAGCTTGCGCCTCATAACTTCTGCATGATCAATGGCAGCTTTGGGAGACACGAGGCCAGGAATCGGACCACAATTGCGTTCTGTCAAAAGCATATTTGATGCTTCTCGCTATTTACTCGGTCATGTTAAGTCACATGGAATCGGACGATTTACCACTACCAAAGTTTCGTCTCTTCTGTGCATGATGATTCCAGTCTCTCGCCGCACCACCCGAGGGAATGGACCAGCATCGCCGGCTAGTGTCGTCCTTACGAGGCCCATACCAGAGGCAAACGTGCTCAACATCGCGCTGTCCGCTTTCGTATCTGTGCGTTTCTCAGGAGCGGTCCAGAACCGTGTCTGCGGTTGTAGCTAGCCCTGTCGTGTACGGCTTCCTACACCTACAACTCATTCTTCAGGGCAGTCATCGACCCTTGTCCTGCCTTGCATTCTATCCGGTCTTTCCGGTCCCTCAATGCATATATGTATGGTTAGGTAGACCAAACCAAATGGGGCGACGAAACACATAAAGCCAGATGAAACTAGACTGTAGATATGACCTGCAGGTTGCAGCGTCATCTCGAGCTGCTCAAAATTTGAAGCACTTCTCCACCTCTTTCGATATTGCGGAAAATGGAAGCTCAGAGACCATCATCTGGCCAAAGAGCTTTGATTCGATAAAGCATCCAAATCCTTCGATGCGCCCTCGCGTTTTCCAGGTCTGAGTTTCCCTGCATCATGCATACGCTAGAAAACCGCATGGGGATGGCGGGGGACTCAGACCCTCCGTCGGTATTTTCTCCCAAGACTAGCTGCACTGAATACCTAGGAGCGGTATCCCGGCTACTGATATTCAGTGCGTGCGCTCCCGTGGCGCTTCTGGGGTCCGGGGTATGCCTCCAGACTTGAGATTGATGTTTTGCTAAGCGGTGAGTTGTTTTTGTGCGACTCTCGAGGAACAGCGCTATCGGGAGCCAAAGTCGCGTCAGCCGAGCGAGCCGATTCTTCAAGACAGGACGGATTCATCGGTGTGCAGAAAGCCAAATTTAAAGTATGAAGTATGTACGCGAGAGTCGAGATCATCCCCGGTCGAGCCGTCACCCCGCCCATGGCATGCTCGCTCCTGCCGAGATACGTGCAGGTATTCCAACCTCATCTGTGCTAGCCACGATGTCATGCCGCAGTCTGCGGCGCGGACAACACCGGCCCAGCTCCATAAAGACGCCACTTTGCCGCTGGGCATGCTCCGGTGAAGATACCCTGCGGGCGGCTCGGCACAGCCCGCGATACCGGCCGTCATCAGCGCTAGCCCCAAGCCTTACGGTATCAAACATTCAGATATCAATGGAAGTCAGACGACACATAGCATCGAATCCGCAACTTTGGCCATACACCACTACGACTTCCCCCTGCATACCACGTCAAATTTCCTAGCGGTGAAGAGGGGGCCGTCTGACTTCGGCCAGGAACCGACACCCATTGACCAGTCGATAGATACTGAGAAGTGGGAACTTTCGCCCTGTCGGAAATTGCGGATTTCATGGCGCTGTTCCTGGATAATGAGATAATCGGAGTCGGGCACGTCATTTGATATCCAGCCCTCGATCGGTCAGTGCGAGTGAAGGGAGCAAGCGTGTACAGCAGGGCCTTCTGGCTTTGCTCACACCCTTGAGACGATCCAAGGCGTCGATGAAGTGCTGCTCATTTCACCGTCTCTCCGCCGATCCAAGTCTCTAGCACCCACTTGTTCTGATAGCGCTAGTAGCGCACACCTTTCCATCCGGCGCACCAGCCGTTTTGTTGGGCTCTGACTCGTCGTCAACTCCTTTGTAGAACCAGCAAATCGAGCTGTCGAGTATGCAAGAGTTGGAGATGGTATTCGTATCTGCTTCCGAAAAAGTGCGAATCCTATGACTGACAAAGAAGACTAGGAGCAATAACTAAATATCCTAAACTCACCGCCCTATTCCCATCCACGCCCGCAACAACATCCGCGCCATCGACCTTGATATTCGCAAAGGTGAATTCCTTGCATGCTGAGGGTCGCAGTTTCCGCAGCCCCTGTACATTTGCCAACGATTCCCTGCCTACCTTGTATCAGCGTTGGTATCTTTCGATCCGCCCAGTTTCTCTCTCTGTCTTGATTTTCGTCGTCATGGTCTGCTAACACTTAGGAAATAGGAATCTCATGTAAACTTTTTTACCGCTACCGTTCCGCCGACGTTGTGCTGCAGCACCTTATCCTCCGCATTCCGCGTCCCGCCTCCATCCACATACGACGTGCCTTTAGTCTGCTTGAACGTAGCTGCATCCAAGCATACATCGGCCCACCATACGTTGTTGAGATTGCAGGCCCCGAGGTAGTGGATACCTAATAATCACATCAATACTGGCTTGGAGTGATGGGCTAAACAAGACTACGGACCGTCGCCGTCGTTTGGCCTAATGACGATGTTCGAGAGTACAGCACCGTCTTAGAGGCGGGATACTGCATCTGAATCGCCGCCCTCTGCTTGCCTACGCAGCGAAATTCGTAGTTCCCGACATTGCGGGAATTATGGATTGGAGCTTCGTGTATATGGTTGGGACTGTTGCAATACTAAGCCAGGAGGCTACAAGGAGAGCTTTGGTAGTCATGATGAATGATCTTTTCAGAGATCCTTTGATGGTGCTGAGAGAGGAGGCGGTATTCTAACATTTCCTAGCAAGAGCACGAATCTTTTATGTGTAAAAGGCAGTAGCGGTATTTAGTTATGTTTTTCTACCCCATCTCTGAAGCAAAATGACTTGCTGCATAGAAATAACTAAGATCGTCCTAGAAACCTCTCTCCCACTACGTCAAAGCCGAGACCTCCATTTTTGTCTATAGCATACGAGGAAGGTTGCGCAGAAGAACTTCGCCATTTTTGCTGGATGCTCGCGAAAATGAATACCTACGAAAAGTATTCACATGCACAGTGACCCGTGTCCTCCAATGTATGTCGAAAAGGGGCTCTTTAGACTTGTCGTCAAGGCTGCGAATCAAAAGCGTGCTCGGGACGCCTTCCTATTGCTGGGAATCAAGACAGCGCATTTCCGCGCGACTAGGACGAAGCACCCCGTTCAGGGAATATGCATGTATGCAAAGCAGCCACCCCTAGCTTTAGCGGGGAGGTGCAGTGCTAGGGGCGTCTTGATGTACCCTTTTTTGACCAAGCCTCCGAGTGATTCGCTCGTTGGCCTCCAATGATGTGGTGCGTTTTGGTACTCCTTTGAAACCTCCTCAGAGCTTCTCGTTCTCATTATCTCCCCCAGTTCTTCAGATTTCAAAGTCCGCTCACACGATCCTGCATCCTGAGATATTCGTATTCATCACCATCACGAGCCTCGTGAACTGATTCCTTGCACAGGATTCGCAGAAATACTTGTTTCTGTCTACATAAGTCAGGCTGTTTGATTTCCGAATCCTACAAACAAGTTTATACCTCTACCGTCGTACATGAACCGTCGTTTCATCAAAGAGCAATTTCACCTCGTCGATAAATCCACCGCATCATCGCGTGCAAGCTCTAGCTCTTTGGAACTTAGTCAAATCTATCGGCTTGTTCTCCCCTCTCCATAAAAAAAAAAAAAAAAAAAAAAGGCTCTCCCGATTGCTTTTCTCGACCTGGCTTTAGCTGCCGTCGACTCGCTCGACTTGAGCTTTTCGAAACAAGGGATGCGGCAGCGACAGCAAATCGATGACCATGGACAAGAAAGCCCTACCTATACATATGCCAGCCCATCCTGCATTCTGACAGATAAATAGCGTAAATCTAGCGATAGTTTACTAGTGAGAAAGCGAATCGTTATTCCGGGATAAGGCGGCTGTCCTCAGCGTCATCAAGCGAATATTTTGCGGGTGTTGTCATGTAACTGAGGCGTCACCTGTGAAGGCTTTTTTGATATTGAGGTGGTAGTCCACGAAAAGGTGCGAGATTCCATTTAGAAAGCTTTTAAGCTATAGTCTCTCCCTCTCTCTCTCTGGGCTTGTCAATAAATGCGCTCGTAAAACCTATGAAGCGGCAGTCTGGCAAGGTTAAGAGCTCTCTGGGCCACCCCAGACGGTGTTCGACTGCCATTTGATGTTCAACGGAGCCTGGCAGGATACTTTGATGCTGTATCCCATCCTTCCAGTTAACCATATACTCACAGGCTCAAGCGCAGCCGCCACTCGTTCGCGGTGAAGGCATTTTGCGAATGTGCACGATTCGTCGTGGAGGATTGAACTCGAGCGACCATTGTCATAACCGCGGCGGACAAAGAAGGAAACGGGGGCGTCGGACCAAGAAACATCGATATCGGAATAAGATCATAGAATGGATTTGTCTTGGTAACTAATTGATAGGTATCCTTCGCGCCGGCCGTCCTAATTATATTACATAGAAAAAGATTGTAAATTAGCAGAGAACGCCAGTGGATAATCTGTTCTGGAGGAGAGAGGCTGGTGCGGCTGCGGGTACCTTACCATTCATAGGTATCACCGACTGATACATAGGCACGCCCACGTCGTGCAATGCTCTATGTTCAGCACGGTGTTCGATGGCCCGATGCCTATCATTTCCCTTCCGCCTTCTGCACCAACGCCTCCTCAAGCCCGATCGGTTCCCATACACTCTTTTCCTTCTTGTTCTGCGCCCAGACGACGTCGCCTTTTAGGTATACCAACGCCCCACCCTTGCCGGTCGCGCTCGCTGTGACCCTGAAGAGAGGGAGGCCGGTGGTCGCGTGGGCCTCGCGCAGGGGTATGAGAAGCAGGTTCTCTTCGCTGCACCAAGCTTCGACGACGTCCTTGAATGTAGCCTCTTCCACCACTTCTTTACGCGCCGATCGTGGGTCTTTTCTCGCAATTCCCGGTGCTTTCGGGGTTCCAGGTGGACCAGCCACAGGTGGGCCCGCTCTTGGTGGCGCCAATTCGGCCTTAGCACGGTCTCCAAGATCCAGTGCTTCGTTCATCATCGCAAGTCCTTTATCCCACATCTCTGCGACTGCTCGAGTAGAGTTTATTTCGTCGGGGAAGTAGCTTTTCCACCATGTAAACCATTGCCCAACTTCTTCGTAATTTGGATCAGCCGTGAGCCATTGATGCAACACGGTAAGCCACTTGGGGAAGAACTCAGCAAGGAACAGCTGTGCCAGGACGCTGGCTTTGAAAAAGGAGTTCCATGCTATCACTCGCTCAAGAGGCTTCAAGTCTTGGTCCGAAGGGTCGACTTCGAAGTCCGAAGTGAGCAGAAGAGCGAGACGTGGCAGGAGATGCCGGACGAGCGCGTTGTCAAGTTCGCCGCGGAGAACTTCTCGCCAGTTCTCCAAGCCTGGCATGACACCGCGTGAGAGATCCCAGGTATCCAAAGAGAGTCGGAACTTCCTCTTAACGTCCACAAGAAGGCCGGAGGAGCTCCGAGGATCCGTGTGATGATCTGAGAGATATTGCAACCAAGGAAAAAGCCAAACATGAGGGAGCGGTGTTGAGGATCTCTTTTTCAGTGATGTGCGAGGGTTCCAATTGTGCACAGCAGTCGTAAGCTTTTGTACGATAAGCTGGTTTAGAACGTTGTGGTAAACAAATGGCGGAAGAATGTCTTTCCAGGCCTCGACAAGCGCGATCAGTGTCGTAGGTTTATAGACATCCCACTCGTTCGTCACTGCGGTGCGAACCTTTGGCAGCCAGAGAGTATAGATCATGGTTTCGTAAGCAGTGGTGGATTTGTGGCGTCGACCGATGTCGAATGTGTCGCCGCCGTTGAGCACAGCAACTGTGTCCTTGGTGGTTATTCCAAGTATTGTGCGTAGCCGATGAATATGAGGAACAAGATGCATCGGGTTCTCCAATGGGTCCCAGTCGAGCATTTCTTGCTTAAATAGAGGATGAATTGCAGCCACGGCGGCTTCCGAGAGACCGAAATTTTGAATCTCGTTTCGAAACTCGAACTGGATAGTGTCGAGCTGGGAGACCACTTCAGTCCACTTGTTAGCCGCTTCATCGGCCGTGCTCGCCTTGTTTAGATCTAGTTGGCCCAAAGCAGCGATTGCTTCTGTGACTCCTTTGACCTTTCGAATCTCTTCCTGCTGTGCCTCGATCTCCTGCTGCAGCTGGTCTTCTTCGAGGAACAAGAATTTCTTCTTCTCCGTAACATCATTCCAGGCGTCGGCGAAAGCCTCCAGCTCCATTCTGGCCTTCCTCGCTAGTTTTTCAGCTTCGGTGTCTGATGTGCCGCCCAACGGAGTCATCAATCCCGCCGTGGATGTGAGCAGCCTTGCCTCCTTGCCCGTCGCATCGATCAACGATTTGAGAACATTCGGGACGTGCAAGCCATCGGAGGCAGCTTCAATATCGGCGGCGGTCCTGTACTTGGTCTTCGTTCGCCCGAATCCGCCGGGCGTACTGGCGCCGCTGGCATTTCCAGACCTAATGATCTCTTTTCGCCGCTTTCTGGCCTTGCGCTCCTCTTCCGACGAGTCCTCGTATTCCTCTCCTCGTTGCTCGGCAGCCCGTTTGGCTTCGGCCTTTGCCTGTGCAGTCTTTTCCTTGACGGCGCCCACACCGGCGCCTTGGGGCCGTAGCTTGACCTCGATCGGATTCAGAATTCCCTCGCCGGTTTTTCCGAGGCCCTGGCCCTCCTGGTATCCCATCTTGGCCATCATCTTCTCGGCGAACGACATCTTGGGCTTTGCGCCGGCGTGGTCGCCGTCACCGTTCTTCGCGCTCTTGCGACTGGCGGCATCGCTGAAGTCGCCTTTGCGCTTGAAGGCCGGACGCTCCATGGCGGAGAGGTCGAGTGGATTGGGGGGGAGGTGGCGGTAGAGAGGGTTCTCGATGGATTGAGTGAGAGCGGCACTATGTAGGCAGAGAGCACTTCGCAGAGCTGAGGCTGGCAATAGTTGCCGCGACCGGGGTGGTTATTCTGGGCGCAGATTGTGGCGGTCGCGGCGTGAATTCGGGTGTGATCCCCCTGCTGAACGGGCCCCGTAAACTATTTTGGGGAGCGGCCCTATCTCTGCGCTCCAACGCCCGCCCAATTCACTGCAACAACACTGACTGACCTCCCTGTCGCGTGCCTCCCGCACCCCTTTCACCACCGCGGGCTCTCGACAACTGCCCTCTTCGCCATGGACCTCCCTCGCTCTACCTCGCCGCAGCCAATGGTGCGAGTCGCGTCTCACGAGGGCCCCATGGACCTCCGCCATCCCACTCCGGATCTGCAGTCGCTGCAAGGGGCATACATAGGCAATGTCGAGCGCCTGGAGGAGCGCGCCGAGCGCATGAGTTCGACCGGCTCGGAGCTCGGCGAGGAGATTCGCAAGCTGCAGCTGGAGCAGAAGCTGTCAGACAGCCGCAAGTCTTCGCTCCTCTCTGGCGGCGACGACAGGATACTGCCCGCCGCTCGCTCCCGCAATGCCTCGACCAGCTCCTACACAACCTCCATTGTTGACGTCAATAGTGCTGCCAGATGGGGCGGTTATTCACCTAGTGGCTTCATCACCTCCCCCATTGGCTCTTTTCGCTCGGGATCGTGGTCTCAGCCATCGTTGCAGAGACAGCGCTCAGCCAGCCGCACCTCCCGCCTGGGGAATGTCATCCGCCCTGAGGACCAAGAGTACCTTCACGGCCAGACAGTCTCGCCCACCATGCAAAACGCAGTTCCCCGAATGGCCTCGCCGAAGCCCTCAAGCCGTCGGGAGTCCTCCTTCGGCCAACACTACGACCAAATAGCCCAGGAAATAACAAATGCCTTCGATTACAACCCAAACAAGTCCCCTATGTCGGACGGTCAACACCACAGCGGATACTTTCCCCACCCAAACGACTTGCCCGACAGGCCGCCCACAGCAGCCTCCACCGACACCTATCACCAAGCTCGAACCCTATTCCAGGACTTCGATGGCGTACACTGTTCACCGGTAACGGAGGAACTTGGGGGACATTCACAAAATAGTGGTAGCAGGAACTCGTCACTGCTCAGGTCAATGCCTGCTCCTCCTCAACTAGGGCAACCTCCACCAACCGATGGAATGGTGTTCTATCCCGCACCTGTCCCTCGCATGTTGAATCTCCCTAAGCGCCTCTCGCAACTGCCAGCTGCCTCTGTCCAGGCTAAGCGACGCACGCAGCTCCTACAATCTCTACCACCAGACGCTCGGAAATCAGCGATATGGTTACCCGACGAAGCACGAAATTCCTCAGACTCTGCCGACGCCGCACAGAACCGGAAGTCTGTGATGAATCCGCGCAAGAGCGTCTCTGGCCTTCCTGCCCAGCTTCGAGCAAGCATGTTTTTCGATCAGGTTGCTGAGGCTCAGGAGTTTGAGGTCAAGGGAGAGTCCGCCGAGGAGACCCTTGACAGCATCCTGGAGGCGTCGGCGCATGCTCCAGTCGGCGCTTTCACGGACCACCCCTTTGCTGGCCGTGTTGGTAATGAGGTTTACGGCAAGGAGGAGAACCGGCATAGTGGTGTATCGCTACTCAACCAGGATAAAGCCGACGCGAGGAAAAGTCGCAGTTCTCTGAACCTTCTACGCACTCGACGCAACTCAAGTGGCGATGGACTGAATAAATTACAGAAGCGCAGTAGCACTCATGACCTTAATCGGCTGACCGTTCGAAACAGTAGCCACATGAGTGTCGGGACTGGACCTCTCAACGATGTCGCGACTGGACCTCTCAACGATGTCGCGACTGGACCTCTCAATGATGTTGATCAATCATACCACCATCACGAGGAAGATGAGGATGAGGCAGGCGAGCACACACCGCTGCGCCACTCGCTCAACGACGACCGTCTCAATGATGAACGTGAGCACTTCCCTGAGAACCTGGAGGAAGGAGAAGAAGGGCTGCATGAAGAGCCTCAAGGTCCTCAGTATCATGGTCCTCCAACAACCCTCCTCGCAGAACTACAGATGCGTAAACAACTGCAGAAGAGTCGAAACGTGAACAACACAAACTTCTCTGCCGGTCTGCACTCGACTCTGCTAGAGCTCGATGCGGTTGCCCAACTTGAGAAGAAGAAGCGCCATAACGCTAAGGTCACCCTAGCTTGGGAAGACCCCGATGCTCGACCTGCCGTCGAGGAAGACGACGATGACGAGGTGCCTCTTGGAATGCTGTTCCCCCAACGAGATGGTCTTATCAATAAAGGACGGGACAAGCCGATGGCTGCGGACTGGGATCGTCCATTGGGCCTGATTGCACAACGAGAATTGGAAGACAACGAACCTCTGAGCAAACGACGGCACAGATTGCGTGGAGGTGACCCTCGACGTGGGCCCAGCCCTGTAAAGCGACTTGGAATGTCTCAGCCCTCCCCGTCAATGCCAATACTTCCTGGTCAAGCCGCGACGCCGCCAGTCGAAGAGGAGGGCGAGGAGGAAACCCTCGCTGAACGAAAGCGCCGCCTTGCAGATCGTCAGGCACTCGACAACGCTATCGGCAACGTTGAGACACGTCCCATCAGCGGCGATTTCGCGAACGAGATGATGAGTCAGTTCGGCGGTCTCAACGATGTTGAAAAGGAAAAACCAGTCGCCGCGCCGGCGGATGAAGAAGAAGAGACGCTCGGTCAACGCCGTGCTCGACTCCGGGCTAAAGCTATCGCACGAGGCGATAATCCCGATGGTGCCGCGGGTGCCCTCTCACGTCCACCTCTCCGAGGCTCCCACAGCATGGCAGACCTGCTTTCGGCACATCCCTTAGGCCCACACTCCGCTCGCAAAGTATCAAATGAAGCGCTAATCTCTAGCCTTCCTCCAGGAAGCCTGCTCCAGCAGAGCGAGATCAAGCGAACTCGCCAGAAGGCTGACCTCTTGGAGACCAACAAGCGAAGCACAAGCTACGGCCTCGACAAGCCGCTCATCGGCGACCTCGGAAACATCCAAGACCCATCCCTCGCCGCGAAACCCACTCCCTTCAAAGGCGGCATATACAACAACGGCATGGGCGGCGTCGGTGGCGCCGTAGCCTCCCCGCAGCCCGCCCAACCGAACGGCTACTTCCCGATGGCCAACATGGGCTTGCCTACGAGCATGTCGATGAACTTCACGCAGCCGAGCTACTTCCCGCAGCCCAGCTTGATGCCCCAGCAGATGATGGGCATGGGTATGGGCATGCAAGCACCAGGGTACCCACAGCCGGGCTTTGGCGGCTATCCGCAGATGAGCATGCAGCAGATGCAGCAGATGAGCCTGGCGATGCAGCAGCCGTATGATCCGGCGATGGATGCAAGACAGCGGGATATGATTGATCGGTGGAGGCAGAGTATTATGCCTTAGTAGAACAGGAGTATAGACGGAGTGGGTTGATTTAGGCAAGGTTAGGGATAGGATGGCTCTTGTATTGTACGACTAAGTTTGCATGACGGAGCCTGCGGGCGGGCGTTTCGGAAGCTGGTAAGCTGAGGGCTACTGCTGGTCTGGTTGTCATGAGGTTGGGGGTCTTATTAACCTATTAATTTGAGCGTTTTTGTGTGCGGCGAGCAGAGATTTAGCGAAGCGTATGTAGTCGCACAGAAATGAAAGATTCGTCCCAAGTCACACTCTGTTCGCGTTTCACGTTTCAGTCTAGGATGTGGGTTGAAGTGAATTTTTGGTATTTTCTATCTAAGCTCCTCCCATCACTGCACAAGAAAAGGAAAAAAGCTAGGTGAAGATGGGGGCCCCAGCCAACGCACCCCATCCGTGACGGCCATCCAGGTGAATGGTGCCGCCTCCGCCCAGCGTGGGGAAATGGCCTACTATGGCTCGGTAGATGGCAGAGATAGATGGTTATAAATGGCAGACATGGTTATAGAGATGAGATAGGTAGAGTAAGGAGATTTTAGATGAGGAAGGATGATATGGATGGCAAGTAGATGGCAAGTAGATGCTGGGAAACGATGGGGGCCCCATTCCAACGCACCCCATCTGTGACGGCCATCCAGGCGATGCTGCCGTCTCCGCCCAGCGGGGGGGAAATGACTTACTATAGCTCGGTAGATGGCGGAGATAGATGGTTGTAGATAGCAAGAGATAGTTAGAAATGAGCTAGGTGGAAAGTAGATAGTAGATAAGTAAAGATGGGGATAGATGGGAAGCAGATGGCAAGAAGATGCTGGGAAACGATGGGGGCCCCATTCCAACGCACCCCATCCGTGACGGCCATCCAGGCGACGCTGCCGTCTCCGCCCAGGGGGGGGGGGAAATGACTTACTATGACTCGGTAGATGGAAAAGTAGATGGTTATAGATAGCAAGAGATGGTTAGAAATGAGGTGGTGAGAAGGCTTCAGATAAGACAAGTTGGGGAAAGGTAGGGATAGATGGCAAGTAGATGGCAAGAAAGATGCTGGGGAACGATGGGGGCCCCATTCAACGCACCCCATCCGTGTCGGCCATCCAAGTGACAGCGCCGACTCCGCCCTGCGAGGATAGATGACTCACTATGGCTTGGTGGATAGGAAGTAGATGGCAAGAGATGAGTAGAGATTGAAGAGGTGGTGAGTATATAGTTATTAGATGGAAGTAGATGAGTAGATTGGAGAAGTAGATGGCAGAAAGATGAGAAGGGTAATGATGGGGGCCCCAGCAACGCACCCCATCCGTGTCGGCCATCCAAGTGACAGCGCCGACTCCGCCCCGCGAGGGTAAATGACTTACTATGACTCGGTAAATGACAAGTAGATGGTTATAGATGGCAGAGATGATTAGAGGTAGAAGTAGATGAATAGATGGAATGACTAAATGGCAAGAAGATGAGAGAGGGTTACGATGGGGGCCCCAGCAACGCACCCCATCCGTGTCGGTCATCCAGGTGACAGCGCCGACTCCGCCCTGCGAGGGTAGATGACTTACTACGGCTCGGTAGATGGAAAGAAGATGGCAAGAGTAGATAGCAAAAGTAAATGATAAATGTAGATGGCAAAGATAGAGGGCAAAAGTAGAGGACAGATTGAGATAGCAAGTAGATGAAGCAAGCCTACCAGGCAGTAGATGGCACGTGGATGAAGCAGTAGATGGCAATAAATAGCAAGGAGATGAAGCAAGTAGACAAGAAAAAGATGGGAAGGAGATGGCAAAGGTAAATGGCAGAAGAGATCAGCTGGAGGGGTTAGCACCTACATTGTGAGCAAGGAAGCAAAGGCCGAAGCCCGCTCGAAAACAGAGAGGGGGACGCCCTTCTTATATACTCTTGCCAAGATGCTAGCGTCGGAATACCGTTATCGTGGCCCACTCACGATGAGTCGGCCGCGAGAGTCTGGATTACGCAGCCAGCTATGCTTTCCCATGGTTTTCTTCTTTCTACGCAATTCTTTACTGCCGAGTGATGATAAAATTTTCAAATCCCTAAAAATAGTGCCGAAATTTCCCGTTTCATCTCTGCTAGTGAAGGCAGCAAGCTGGGCGCGAGAGTCCAGGTCGCACAGCCAGCTGACGAGCGGAATCCTCTCCAGGCTGTTCAGTGCCTGCATCGTTCGTTGTTAGCTGAGTGCTATCAGCCTTCAAGTTTGGCTCAAGATACCGCGTAGTTGAGCCGTGCGGCAACTAATCTGGAACTACGGCGCAGTACAGTAAAAGCTCGTCATAACCTTCATGCCATATACCGTTAATGTACGCTATATCGTTCAACCTTCCAATTGCCGTTCTAATATTAGGCGGACAGTGACATTCGATATAACGTTCACACAGGCTATAACATTCATTACCCCGGAACATTAGGTGAATGGTATGACGAGCTTTTTCTGTACCTGCACAAGACTGCTCTGATGGCCGGACCCACGGTTCGGCGTGGGAAAGCTCCACTGTCCCTTGACCCTTGAGAGGGGCTCAACCTAATACCTGGATCGATGAAAATTGCAGCCAATCTGGCCCGCCCTGTACCTGGTGCAGTGGGGCGGTCCAGAGTTCTGGTCCGAGCGGTGCGGGCTCGCGATCGGCAAGCGGCTCGGCCCGCAGCATCCAAACTTGCGGGTCAACAGTCGGACGTGACGCAAAGCATTGAAGCTGTTGCGGCTTTGAGAAGTCAGCTTGTAATCGCGCTTCGACTACCAGAATGATGGCCAACTATATAGGCAGAGCGAGTGTTGCTATTCACAGGTGGCGGCAGCAAGAGTCTTACAGTCAGCTTATCCAGATCGGGTTTAGCGCGTTCCTGTGCCGACGTCAAGACATGGGCCGCCGTGAGAATTTTTTTTCTGAGAACGAACCAATGGTTGGAAATCCGCAAAACTTGCCAAGGAGGCTGAGAGGACTGGCATCTAGACTAACAGCAAGTTTGAACATTTTTCGTTCGCCAAATGGCGGACTAGGTCCAGTGTGGAATCTATAGCTTACTAACACGGAAAACTGGCGAGGGTACAAAAGGATGATGAGACGCACTGTGGAGAAGATAATGCAGTAGAATCTACTTTGCGATAACACGCATTGGGTGAGCCTGTTCAGAAGGCAGAGGGCAATTCATGTGTTCCAATCTTTTGAAGTGACCTCGTCAGCTGGGCATTGAGCGAGACTGAATCGAAATCCGTCAAATAGCTCTCTTCATAGCCGATAACTTGCAATACCAAGTGCAGCTGTAAACTCATTCCTCTCCATTACGCATGTTGATGCTGTGTCCTGGTTAACTGCAGCAATTATGACCGATTTGCGTTATCAGCACATTATTCCCATAGAACGCGTGGTTCGATGAGGCTGAAACCATACGCTGTTGCTAGTTGTTGCTCTTCGAGCAGATGATGGCCTAAAGTGACCCCTAATTGGCTGAATCCTATAGGCAGGCGGTCGGCTCTAGGAGGCGGTCGGCTCTAGTAGTAGCAAACAGACTGCTAATTCGCATCCATCAACCCCTGTCAAATAATCAGCTGTCTTAGCATGCGCTAACAAATCTAGTAATGTCCGATCGTTTTTCGGTTCGTGAAAGCCTTCGAATACCGTCAACAGTGCGTGAGGTCGCCCAGGTGGACGGTCAACACTGGGCGATTATCGGAGCAGAGTTACTTCGGAGCAACAACCCGCCCATGGAAGCACTGGAGGCCTTAAAAAACACGGCAACCTGCTGATCAGCTAGCTTTTTTGTTGGGGTGGGTCGTACCGCGGGCGTTGTGAGGAAGTGATATGTGGCCCTCCACGATGCAACGCAAGCCGAAATAACGCGTAAAGTAGGCCATGCAAGGAACAATACCGATGGTCTAGGCTCATGGGTCTACCGGAGCACCTCAAAAAATGCAGTAGAGCAAGAAAATCGCACGAGAAAAGGTGTAGAGGGTTTCGTTGGCCTCAAAGGTTCGCTAAGGCGCCGTGCTGCACCCGGGTGTCACTTCATCATAACTTCAGATCAGACGGTAGATAAGCTCTTCCATAGCTTTCAGGAGACTTATTCGCTACAAAACAATAATGTCCGACCGTAAATTGCGTTCGTTGTTGATTCTGGACCACGCAGCTTCCCTCGACGCTGAACAAGAAGGGTTAGCCAGCTACCCATATCATGGGTTACCATGACTCCTACCGAAGCAGTGGCCCCCCTGGCCTTTAGACGATGTTTCAACCAAGGTCTCTAGGTGTTCAGAGCCTATTTCAGCACTCCCAGTAGCATTACCATGGAGCTCTATCGTGAGTAGGGGGCCCCCTTGCCCTTTATGCCGATGTTTCAACCAAGCTCTCTAGGTGTTCGGAGTCTATTTCTGCACTCCCATTATCATTACCATGGAGCTCTATCGTGAGTAGGTGGCCTCGCTACATGCTCCACATTTAGAGCTCAAGTACAAATTCCTGCCAGAGCCTGCCCCCTACTCTCTCTCTCTCCACGTATACTTACAACCACTCTAACTTGACCCACGACGACAACCTTCTGCGCCTGACTTTGCCTACTGTGAACAGTGACCCTACCTCTCACGAAGTCTCTCTCAACGCTTTACAACCACCAAACCCCTCACTTTACGCCAAAATGCCAAAAGCTCCCTCCAGAGTCCCATGCACGGTGCAGGGATGTGCCAAATCTTTTGGAAGAAACACAGACATGAAAAAACACATCAAGAATGTCCACAACAAGATTAAGGACTATAAGTGCGAGTACGATGGTTGCGGCAAGGCCTACGAGGACAAGACAAAGCTACAAACCCACATAAACGCCGAGCACACACACCAAAAGCCATACAAATGCCCCAATCCGGGCTGCAAATTCCAGTCCGAGGGCTTCACAGGCTCGTCCGGTGTCGACCATCACAAGCCCGTATGCAGGTATCGCCAAGTCAACACTGCGCCTGCATCCTCTACCGCTCCTCCCTCCACTCTTCCGCAAACCGTGCAACCTCACACGAACGACTCGGTCAATTTTCAGCTTCATGAGCCGACTCGCGCCTACAACCAGACCTATGAGACCCAGCAAAACGGCGCCTTTTCCGGGGCTGTTTCCTCCACAACCTTGGACCAGGCCATCGAGCCCCAGCAAGACAGCGCCTCTTCCTCGTCTCTTTCCTACTCCACCTCCAACAATGCCATCGAGGCCCAGCAAAATGGCGTCTCTGTCGAGGCTGCTTCCATCGGCAGCTTGCACACTTTCCAGAACTTGCAGGTGGATTTCTACGCGGCTATGCCCGTATGCCTCCAGAAATTCGAACAAGAGAACCCCGGGCGTTACCCGGTAGACCACTACATCCAGGACGACGAGGGGCATCAATGGGTCTTTGATACTGAGGCGATGGTGTGGAAGTGTCACGAGACGGGGATAGTCTTTAGGTATGGGGATAGGGAGACATGGTCATGGGCTAAAGACTTGCTGCCTGATGGAATGCAAATGTTCGATAGCCTTGGAGGCACTTTTTGGAACGAAAATTGACGCTTCTTGTGCTTTTTTGTTGCTTTATACACACAGCATGGCGTTATGGCGGAATATGGTGGAATACCCCCAGAAAACCTGGAGCCTTACATGGCAGTCGGTGTTTGTGCTTTTGCGACTTGTTTCGACTGAATTTGGTTACATTTTTGTATCTTTTCAACTGCATTGGTTTTACCAAGAGAGGGTACCTTAGCTAGTAAAGCCAAAAAAACTGTAAAACCCAAACATGTGCCTTCGTATACCGTGAAGCCTCAAGGTCTATACACCTGCCTCACAAGGTGTGAACGATTTCGGGACTTTTAGCAGTATTAAAGCGTAGATACAAGACTTTATGGGCACGTTAGGTATACAGTAATCCCTGAAAGCCCTCATTGTGAGCGTATTAGGTATACGCAAAGGTCCTCGTCGTGGGCATGTTAAGTGGCTTTTAAAGGCCCTTTCACTCCTTCATCTACCCTAACGTGATTAATGGCTTTTATGCTATAATGACCCTAAGCGGGTATCACTGCAAAGCAAAGCGTAGACAGGTTTGTCAGTTGTTTAAGTAGACATTCGTCACTTCTTAGGCATGTTGCATCCACATGAAGGTCACTTCAGTGACATCTTGTAGTCTTTCTAGTATTAAACTCTTCACTACTTTAAGACCCCTAAGTGCATACGTTCAGGTAATTACTCGCAGTGGTTAAGTGCGCGTTTACTTTGTCGCCTTCTTGACACTGTTTGACGTGCCTCAAAGCCTCCAACATAATCAGTACATGATGTACAGTTTCCTACAGTCCAGATTACACCTCACGAAATAGCAACTGTTTGGCGCTCTGGAGCCACTGTTAGAGGTACTTTGTAGCATTACAAACAATCCGCAGGTGATGTAAAGTTCCTGAGCGTGTGAATTGCACAGTGACGATTCAGGACAGCGACATGTTGCTATCGGAGGCACTCTGAAGCATGCGAAACAGCTCAGATGTAATGTAAAGTTTCTTACATTGTAGATTGTATAGCCACTATTAGGAATGCTGGCGACACTAATGTGCTCTCAACGCACCCCTGGAGTATATCAAAAAGTCCGAGCACGACGTCAAAGTCCTCGCAACGTGAATCTCGCATCAGTTCCTACAATCATACCATAACATTAACTATCTCTCATGCCCTAAATTGTATTGCTCTTCCTCAAGAACTGGCAATGCTGTCGCACTCCCTAGCACCCCCGGGGCCAACCCAGAAATCACCCCCACGATGTCAAAGTCTACACCTCGTAAATCAAGCAGCAACCACTCAACATGCTAACAGACCATTTATTACCGCTATATCCAAAGTCACACTCATCTCTTCGAAGTCCTGGGAACGTGTGCGCACTTCTGTGGTCCTCCAGGCCTAACCCAAAACCACTCGGGTTGTAACAGCTACAACCTAGGATCAACAACTCATACGGTTCACGGTCACCTACGTACAGGCACTCCCCCCCTTTTTCTCTCTCCTTGATTCTCGTTCTTTGATTGGTTGCTACTAGCGCGCACTCAGCGTGGCGAGGCCCTCTGTTCAGCTACACCAGGGTCCTCTCAGCTGTGTCCATTCCTTTCAGCTGGCATCTATTCAGCTGAGCTGATAAGACCTAGGGGGTGGGCCATTTCCTATTAGTATATATTCGGCCCGTACGGCCACCACAATACAGGCAGAGTTCACATCAATTTAACCTGAGTAAACCGCCAAGCACGATGTCAAAGTCCACACCTTGCGAATCACACCACACTTACTCAACACAATGCCATCCCTGCGACTACCTTTAACACCATAAACCGTACTTACCTCTTCACAACCTTGCCAACGTACACACACCTCCGTAGTCCCCCATCCCCATCCCAAAAACCTCGCCCCCAATGTCAAAAACCTCTCATCGCAAATCGCATTCCTATCCCCCCGGCCCTTTTACCCCTATATGGGCCCCTTAGACGTCGTATTAAGCTCATCAGCGCGCGGCCAATATAGTACCAAGATTCGTCAGCGTTAGGCAGCAACGATTTTCCCACCGCGGCGGCTCGGTTCCACCGGCCCAGGCCTCCGAGGACAGGGGAAAATAGACCCAGCGTGGAGGAAACCGGCCAGGGCGTAGCAAACCTTACCTAGACGTCCTGTGGTGAAGCTTATGTGGACGTCGCGTGGGGGTGGTTAGCGCTCTGTCGCGATATGTGGTAGGCTTAGTGGGAATCTTGGCGGAAGCGTTGCGCAACAGCGACAGGTGTGGTAAGACCACTAATGTTTGCTACTTCGTTTCTTGCTAATGGTACTCATAGTTGCTATAGTTGAAGTTCTCTCATTTGTGTAGGGCGAGGGCTGAGGTTCTGGCGCAATCCGTGGCGGTCTTGGCGGAAGTTTCTTGCGGAGGGGCGCGCAACAACTGCAAGAACACCATTGTATACCATTGCGTCTCTTGCTAGTATTACTTATCGTCACTACTCTGGAAGTTCTCGCATTTGTCGCGAAAGGCAGGGCCTGTTCGTGGGCACGGAGGACGTCGGAGGACGTCTTGAGTGGTACGATGATTCGACAAAGTCTGGGGAACCATTGAACTTTGCAAAACTTATCCAAGTACGAGTGTACGAGTCACTTAGCTACTCCCTCGCTTTCGAAACAAGAGCCTAGGTATCGGTCCGTAGAGGGGGTCGCAGTGCGCTCTGAGCCTCAGGGTGTCTGGATCGCGGTAGGCGGAGGAAAGAAGTGCGTATTGTTCCACCAAGAATCATATATGTAGACGGTAGGCATCACGCTATGTAGGAAGCTGCTCGTAGGGTTGACGGAGAAACTGGAGACTGTATTCTAGATAGGAAAGTCGACACTGCGCTGCGTGTACGTTTGACTGTGGCATTGCCTCTAGACCATGACACATTGGACGAGTGCATGATGGAATGCTCGACTTGCGGAGAACCATTGCATCGCTGAAGCGGTATTCATGGATGCGATCGTCGCTGGAATGGCTAGCTTGTATGTGGCTTAAAAAGGGACGTCGTAGAACATGGGGAGTAGGTAAGCAGAGATCGCAAGCCAAGCGCCACCTCGTGATGTCGCCACCTTGAAGGACAATACCAGGTTATATGTCTGAGCACATAAATCCTACTGCTTGAATGCCGCTTTTGAACACTAGACACCACTGTTAGGAGTGGTCCCGTAGCCATGTAGCCACTCTGTTACCAACTTCCAGTGCCTTGACCTTTGCATGGTGTCCCTAACATCCCGCTGATCAGACGCTACTCTTGCTCCGTCGATCCCATTGCGAGGGGTCGCCCAGCTAGTAGGAAGCTTTTTAGTCAAAAGGCAGCTCAGTTTCCAGAGCTCGAAACTCGACATCGCGCCTGAGTTATGAAAACCCCATTAGGGCAGTCCGAGCAGTGGCAGACTAGAGTTAGAAGATTAATTATTAAAAGTAGCATGCTTTTACAAGATGGTATAGTCTAAAACGAAACGCCGCGCTTGCATGCAGTGTCTAATGCGAACATCTAGAACAGCAGAACATATCTATTTTATGCCTTAGCCCAATCCATGGTATCACTGACAGCCCTCTCTCTATCCCCGCTTGGCCTCATGCTTCTTCCTCCTGTGTCACTTTTTTCGTCCTTCTTTGCGCTCACATCTGCCGAGTTTGTGTCCGCGTCTTCCGGTTGCCGCAGCGCATCTGTGCTCGAAATCGGTTTCCTCAACCCAACCCCAGAGTCCTTTGCTTCGGCTTTCAGCTCACTCGGGTCAGGCATGGCTTCAGACGCAGCAGGAGCCAGTGCGTTGTCGACTTTCTCCCTCTCAACCTCCCTGCTCCTCTTTAAGGTCGAATTTTGGACTTTCAAGCTATTCCTGACTTCGTCTTTTCTCGGGACGTGTTTCCCGCCTTTCCTCTCGCTCGGCGCGAGCCCGAGTCTGCCGCGCACAGTACTATGCGACCTGATCCTCTCTCGTTCCACCTCCTTCTTTACGACCTTCCACTTCGAAAGGACATCCTTCTCAATCTCCTTCCTGCGAGCGACCATCTCATCCACCTTCTTCCGATCAAACTCGTTATCGTGTGTTAGATCAACCGCCGCCAATGCCTTGAAATCCTTCTGTCCTTGAATGATCCGAGCACGCCTTATGAAAGCAGTCGGCTGGCTCCCCTTCTTAAGCTCTTTTTCTATTCCCTTAAATGTATAGGCGAAGGGTCCTATTATTGCTGAAATGTCCTTAAGCACGAAACCGCCTATACCATAACCGATACCCGAACAGAAGCCCAGGACGCCGTTGTGCTTTGCGCCATTGTATGGTTGCATCCAGAGACCGGTAACGCCATCGTAGATACCAAAGAGAAATTCGTCGCGACCAGCGCGGAGGCCAGAGTGAAAACCTGAGATACGGGGAGGACGACGCACAGTTGGATCGCCGTAAAGGCGGGGAGCATTGTGGAAGCCTTGGGCGACGGCTAGTACTAGCTCCATCGGTGCTACAATCGAACCATTAGATGAGATCTTTCAGGCAGAACACAACACATGGAGATAAATGGTGGTCGTGGTGGAAAGGATATGGAAGAGGACTGGGTGATCTTACCTGTAGCCAATGCTTCCCCAGTCTGCTGAAACCCGTGCCCGGCCTCCTGTGCTAGTTCTAGCACTAAAGGCTCCTCAGGGTCAGCAGACAGCTTCGAAAGCGTAGTATTCCCTCTCTCCGGGCCAGATGGCCTGCCGTTCGGTACCTTCTTATGTTTAGTAGTCCCATCAACGACAGCCTCGTCTACCGCCCAAGTATCCTTCGCTCTTTTCTTAGCTTTACCTTTCCTGATCTCGTGGTCTTTGCGTTTTCTCACGCTGCTCGCCATTTTTATTGGAATTCCACCCACGCCTTTCGCAGCACTTGTGATGCTTCCCAGAATCGCGCTGCCAGTTCCAGTCAGTGGTTCACCAGGACCTCCAAAATCATTCCACTCGTAATGCCTGAGCAATCTCATGTCCGACCATTTGAGCTTCTTCTTCGCAACCAAGATCTCTGCGGCTAGCGCACTGAGCTTCGTTTCTGAGGTCTTGGTTTGCCACACCGCAACACGATTTCGCAACAGGTCACAGCGCATAGTATGCTCGCCCTTGAGCGGGAGACTGTGATGGAATGACTTGACGGCATTGCGAGCACCATCGCCTTCCTTCGCAATATTCTCCGCTATCTTTTGGGCATTAGCGCGTGCTTCGTCGGTCAAACATTGCTTGATGCCCTCAGCGAGGCGCTCGACGGTGAGACTCTTGTAGGGAATGCATTCGTGGGCTCCTGCCCGTGCTTTGGCGACCATAGCTCCCCAGAACGGTTGATCCCCGAAGAAGGGGACAATCATCGTTGGCTTTCCGCACTTCAGCCCAATAGCAGTAGTTCCTGCGCCGCCGTGATGGACGACTGCGCTGACTCTTGGGAAGAGCCAGTCGTGTGGTGTGTTCTCTAGCATGAAAATGTTGTCTGGTGTGTGTTTTTCGTCGCCTAAGCCACCCCAACCTTTGCTGACAATGGCACGCACGCCGGCCATCTCGACGGCTTGGAAGATGAGCTTTGTGAACCTTTCTGGATCGTCGACAACAATGCTGCCGAATCCAATGTATACTGGAGGTGGTCCCGCTTCCAGAAACTTTGTAAGAGCTTCGGGGGGGTTGAAAGACGATGCCAGCTCCAAGAATACGAAGCCGGCGATGTCAATTTCTGGACCCCAGTCACTGGGTTTGGAAACAAGGCTCGGTGACCACTAGGAAAAGTAAGCAATGCACCAGTAAGTCTTCCAAGCTAGATCAACTAACCATGTATGTGTATGGCACCCTCAATCTGTACAGTTGGCCTGGGGCCCAGATTGTCGATACTTGCTCCAAACCAAGCGTCGTCGTCCGAAATTTATTTATCAAGTCGCCGAGTCCCTGCCAGATCATCATCTCGACTAACGGATAGCTCATAAAATTGGTATAATTAGCATCGAGGTTACTCGCTTTGATGTTCGCTAAAGGATGAGGGAAATGAACAGTCGGGGTGTATGGAAAACTGGGAAGCGATTAGTTCAAATTCTCTCGCTTGAGTGGTGCACATACGTGAACATCATGTGCAATGGTATACCTAAACGCTCGGCAATATGAGGAGGTGCGAAACTTGGAGGATTCGCGATAATAGCATCTGCAATGAACGGATTCTTGTCTCCCACTAAACCATAGAATTAGCGATGAACTTCCCTTTCTCCGAGATTACGCTGAATATGACTTACTCATTTTCATATTTTCCTCGTCTGTTTCGTCGTCTGTAGAGTTGATGCAGGCACGCCACATGCCCTGAAACATATTATACATATCCGTTCTCCTCCTTCCAATTTCACCAGCCTTCACTGTGCCTATGGACGGTATCAGTCCTGGATTTTTGACCATGAAAGCCATGAGCTCAGATGGGTTCCCTCCCACTGAGAAAAACTCAAGGCCCGAGTCTTGCTCTACGAACTTCTTGAACGCAGGGTGAGTGGCGATTCTCACCCTATGTCCATACTCCTCTTTCAAGACCTTGCCAATCTTGAGGAACGGCTGAATATCGCCTCTCGACCCAATGACTATAACCACGATATTGAGCCTAACCCTAGTTTCGGGATGTAGCTCCATATCATCTTCGTCAGAAGGGATCTCGGGTTCTGGTTCGACACCATCATGCGAGAACATGGCGCACTTATTCCGTGGTTTCGCGCTCACAGCGTTCATTCCGGTGCGGACCCCAGCTCCAAGGGCCTTGGCCAAGTATCCGGTATTCGCGGTCTCGCTCAACGAGATCTTCAGTCGCCCATCCCGCTTCGATACCCTCCCTTTCGTCTTGAAGTGCTCATTGCCGACCTGAAAGCGCGAGAAGGGCGCCGAGCTCGAAACGCGTCTGCCTTTCTTTTTAGGTGAGCTTGTGCGTCGGCCGTGCTCGGGTGTAGCGTTTGATTCGGGTTCCTCCTCATCGGACGACGAGGACGAACTGGAGTCGGAGCTATATGGATCAAAGGCATACGTGAGAGATCCACGGTTTCTGTTGTGCTTCGCTGCAGTCGCGCTTCGCGTTCGAAAGAACAGGGAGTCGTTCGTTTGGACCTTAGGCCGCTCGGTCTGGGATTTCGCCGTCATTTGTGGTCTTAGCTGGCCAGTTGGTTCTGTTCGAGTACGGTTGAGCTCTGTCAGCGCAGGTTCTGGTGTTCCGCCGTTCGGTACACTTCCACCAGCGGTCTTCTGCCGGGAATCATGTTGGGCTGATCGGTCGACAGAGGAAGCAGAGGAGCTCGTTTGTGGGTAGGGGAACTCGGTATTAAGCGGAATAGCGGTGGGGATGATGGCTGGGTTGTGTTGCTCGTCCAAAAAGCCTGGCATTGTCATTCTTTTGAAGCCTGAAGGCTAGGCGTACGCAGTGAAGCCAAAACGTCGCGTTGAAGGCCAAACGCAGCTTTCGAGTGGCGCTGGACGACTTTTTGCACGAGATATCGAACGACTGGGACGATGACGATAGATTAGAGCAGCCGCAGAGGTCCGCCGCAGGACCACCGAGGCATGCAAAATTGGATCGTCACCGGGGCATGGCAAAGTGTGAATTGCGGTACTAAACGCGGGAGATGGCGGAAGAGTGGAGTGGTCCGTCGCGTGCCAGCGTGCCAGCGCGCCGATCACGGGGCCCTTGCCTGCACTTCCTTGTTCTGCCCCTTGCTGCTTTCAAGGCAGGCGTAGAGACGGCTTCACGATTAGGCGGCAAGAGCAGGGTGCGATCGGGGGTGGTGTTGCTCTCGGCCCACCACCCGATCCCTGCTGTGTGACGTCGCGCCCTCGTGGTGCCTGAACGCCACCAGTTGCTTCATTCGTCCCCATGCATCCCGAGGCCTGCATATGACATAGATCTAGAGTATCATGAAGAGATCAAACAGACTTTCAGTAATGAGGATAGCATGCTCAAAGTCCCACAGGCAAGAAATTACAAGGACATTGCAAGATCTATTAAACGAGCTTTTGATTCGCTGAGGCTTAGGCCTGGTTAACGATAAGGCCAAACACCAAATGTTAGACCTTTTTTAAACATCGTTGAAAAAATCATCATCCCTTCAAACGGCCGTGTCTGATGCAAACATATAGTGTGGATGGCCTACTTCTTTCCCCCAAGACCGACTCCATACGCCAGCGCAGCCAAGCAGTCCTTAGCCCATCCTATCCATCCCTGGGCCTTTTGGATTGCATTGAGAGAGTTGACAATCGCTCTGACAGACGCATCAGTGTACTGGAAGTCATCCGCATATACTTCCCATACCGCCGATGGCTGTATGTCAGCATCCTCGCCGAGATATTTCAACTCTCCGTTGTCGTCTGGCTTCAACTTTATCTTGGGGCCCACAACCACACCGCGGCCCAAGATACGCGAGTCCGCTGTGAACCTAGTCGCCGCATCGACGACGTCCTCGACCTTTCCAAGCCCACCACCCGCGATGGCGATGCGCAAGAAGGCAGGCATCATTGGCGTGTCGATGTAGTATGGACATACGATGTTGACGCGGATGCCTTGTGCAAAGGACGTCCCGCGTAGCGAACGGAAGAGGCCCAGTACGGCGTGCTTCGAGGCTGCATACTGCGGCGAGAGAGGCACGCCTGCAAGTGAAGCTACAGAGCCGAGGAAGAGGAGATGGCGATCACGAGGGGCCGTTGCAGGATCTGAGTCTGGGGTGCAATTTTTAGATCCCGGGTTGCGAGGCAGATAGAACATCGCAAGATGCGAAGTGTACATCACACCAGTAAGATTAACGTCAAGCATCTGCCACTTAGGTTGCTTTGGCTCAGCGACGCTCAAGTCGCATGGAAACTGGAGAATGTCGGCTGTAGAAGTTAGCATATCGTCCACCATCACAGCTTTGAGGTGTCTTCACCCTTTGCGATTCCCGCGTTTGCAACCACCGTATCGATGCCGCCATGAGGACTCAGCTTCACTGCTTCCTTGAAAAGGTTGACCTGGGATTGCCAGTCCGTGACGTCGCAGTGAACAAAATGAACGTTCTTGTTTCCTGTCTCTTTTTGTATGTCTCGAGCTACCTGATCGCCCTGCTCGGTGTTGATATCCCCGAATATGACGGTGGCTCCATGCCCTGCCCACTTGCGTACAAAGGCAGCACCAAAGCCACCGGCCCCTCCAGTTACGAGGATCGTCCTGCCTTTGACCCAAGCCGGGTTGTATGGGATTGAGAGATCGAGGGGTGGTGATTGGTGAATGTCCACCGGTCTTTTGTCGTTGCTTACTGCTGCCATTTTGGACCTTTCGATGTATAGTGAAATTTCGAAAGGAGCTCTCTTCTAATTGCGGGACTTTGATACGCTCGAAAGGGTTATGTGAACGCGTTGCATGGATTAGCTATGGCTAGCCAGCGTGATGAAGTCGTTCAAGTACAATTGGTCGCCTCCTCCGGACGTAACCGCTGGAACGTAAACGTTTGGGTCAGTGAGCTGCCTCTGCCTTAGACGAAGGCTCGTTCGCTGAGATTGCAGAAAATATGCAGAGTTGAACTGCGGCTGCAGGACTCTTCATTCACACTAAATCGTAAATAGGAAGGCGCATCACGTGAGCACCGGAGAATCATTCGGCCCGAAGAGCCGGTATGAGTATGTATACTCGATATCCTCCTCGGGATTCATATTGGAAACACGTGAGCAGATCAAGCCCATCGACGTCACTGTAGAAGTGAAGTGTGCTGGTGTCGATTAAAAAGGTGGCTTAAGTGACAATCTGAGGCGCGGCGGCCAAAAAACGGGCGCGCGCTTTAGCTTTGTGGTCCAAGCGCCTCGGGTTCTAGAGGTTGACCTCCCTCTTCCATTTCACTTCTGCTCTCTCACACTCTCACACCACTCTTTTCCGCCTTCACAACCTTTCCTTCGGTCCTTCTTCTTACCACAAGTCTCGCGCTATACCACTGTACCTACTCCAACCATCACTACCGACCCAAAATCACGATGTCCGACGACGATTTCCTTGATGATGCGTTGCTCGCGCTCGCAGGAGATGAGGACGAAGCCGAAGAAGGAGAGGCGTAAGTCTTTCCCCGAATGAACATCATTACTCCATCTCTGCTTCCTTGCCTCCGGTGCGACATTCCCTGGGATCTGTTGCTGACACTTCTCAGCTCCGATGCCGCCTCCCCAGCCAACTCCCTTGGCTCTGGAGCCATGGACGAGTCCGACTCGAGCCGTGACAGCCCGGATGCCACCGATACCGCAGTCATGTTTCCTCTGGAGGGTGTCTTCCGCAATGAGCGGGACAAGGCCGACATCATGGCCCTTCCCCAGGTTAAGCGCGAGGAGATCCTAGCCGACCGTGAGGAGCAGAAACAACAGAAGAACTTCAGCGCCCAACTCGCACGTCGTGCCAAGCAAATCGAGCACAATACCCAAGGTCTTGATGATAAGAGGAAGCGCAAGGCGAGCTCCGCCGAGCTGGATGAGAATCAACGCAAGGCCAGTCGACCAAAGGTCAAAAGCAGCCAGCATCTCGAAGCGTACAAGCGGCAACGCGAGCAGCGTGGCCAGTTGCGCGAACGACAGAATGACCGCCGCAATCATGGTCGACGAGAGTCCTCAGGTTCCAATCGAGCATCCGACATCGATGCAGAGGGCGAGAGCGAGGTGGAATGGGACTCGGGTGCCAAGGCTGCGCAGGCCACCCGCGAGGAAGTTCCCCCCAACCTGAACCACTACGACATGGCTCGTGTCGGTCGTGGCTTGTTCCATGTGGTTTGCTTCTACCCAGGCTTCGAGGAGACTATGATTGGCGCCTTCTGCCGTGTTGGCTCCGGCCAGGACCCAGCGACCGGCAGGACTCTCTACAAGATGGCCCAGATAAAAGGTAAGGAGACTGCGACACCGACTGCAATCGTTGACTGACGTTTGGATTAGGATTCACCACGGGCAAGCCATACGGCTTCGAGGGCAAAGGAGAAATTAAGGCTTGGACCGACCTGTATGTCGTGGTGCAACATGGCATCGGCAAGAAAGAGTGGCAGTTCCAATACCTCTCTAACCAGAAGTTCACGGAATCAGAGCTTGAGACGTACAAGAAGCACCTGGCGGAGAACAACCTTAAGGCACCAACTCGAACATTCCTCGAGCAAAAGGTTCACAGCATCAAGGCTCTCGTGGACCATCACTGGAACGAGGAGGAGGTCAACGCCATGATTGCGCGGAAGCAGAAATTCATGCACCTCGAGCAAGCCAGCATCAAGGTCGCCCCTCCCTCGCAGTCCGAACTCGCCGCGCAGCGCATTGCAGACCTCAACAAGGCCAACCGCATCGCCAACTCCGAATCCATCCGCAAGGCTCTCATCGCAGAACGTCGCCAACGCGAGCGCGAACAGCGCGAGCGTGCTCTCAAGAGGCAGAAGGAGAGGGAGGCGAAAGAAGAAGCTGAGAAGGCCAAGCTCCTCCAGCCACCGAAGTCCAACCTCGACGACCTCTTCGAAGCTAGCGACCGCAGCCGCTCGGGCACCCCTGCTACCTTGGCCAAGCCGTCTGGCACGAGCACCCCAGCCAAGAAAGAGAGGAAGGGCATTCCAACCTTCAAGAAGCGCACTATGGACGATGACATCATCGCCAGCCTAGATATTGGCATCGAGATCGATATCTGAACCTGATGACACTGCGAAGAGATCGAAAGAGCTGCCTTCTTCCCTCATGAGACTTGCTTACGGCGAATGAAAGGTGGCATCTGGTATAGGTGTTTTGGCTGTTTTGCATTTTCTGGCCCGGCAAAAGGCATAGTCGATCTTTCTAGGCGGCGACACTCTTGATTATGTTTGGGCGGGCCCGTTTCGAGAAGGCGATGTCGATTTCTGCATGTTGATGCAATGATGACTTGATTCCTCTCGGCATATCGAGAAAGACTCTGTTGACTTGGAGTATACTACCAGCGTAGCTTAGCTTGCTATTGAATATTACGAAGACATTCAAACTTATGACTTTGGACTTTTGACTGTACTGCACCTTGATTTTCATATCGCTTTTTCGAATAGCGGCTGTTATAGATACGCCTCTCCTCAACTTACCATGATTAGCAGTAGTCACATTGCAAGTTAGCGCGTATTCTGAGAGTGTTAAAAATCTACATCCATCTTGATTCTACGCATATAGGAACAGATACACTACAACGCGCTATTTCACCCCACATCATGCACAGCGCAGCAAAAAGAGCAGCTAACCAGATAGTACAGACGCGGCAGGGGAGAGAACACACAAGGTCTTTGGTATGTACAATCGTGTTTGAGTTTTTTTATCCTCCGTTCGTCCGACCTCGTCTACAGCGCCGGAAAGCCATGCAGCGTTTTCTCAGCTCGCAACTTAGTGTTCCAATGGTAAAAGGAGCCAAGATGGGAGGCGGACGGTGGAAAGAAGGGCTTTACTTGAGCTGTGCCCAGAGCTTGGGGGCGGCGCAGGCGGAGGCGCAGTGGGCGAGGTGGAAGACTAGGGATTGTTAGCGATTTCAATTGATGGATGCGGTTTTGATTGTGATGGGGTTCTGGGAGCTGAGCTTACATTCTTCAACGCAGTCCTCCTTCGCCTTGCCGTCGTTCTCGATCTGGCCCGTGACGCGCTCGACGCACTCGTCGTAGTGGTGCTTGGGAGCCGAGCATTGCTTGCTCTCAGTGCACTCTGGTAGAAATTAAATCATGTCAGCCTTCAACTCATCGAATAGAGATGAAAACAGTATCGCAACGCCATCCCATCGTCGGCTGCTCACATCCCAAAAACCCCTCCGGACGTCCAATTGGCCTCCCAGAGCTCCAACCTCAATTCCCCACCTCTCGCACAACCTCAGGACGTCGAAAACAAAGAATGTACTCACCCTCCTCAAGCTTCTCCTTCGGATCCACCGTTTCCTCCTCCTCTTCCTCCTCGGGCTCATCGTCCCCACTCGGCTTGTGTCCCTGCTCGCCGTCCCCGCCGTCCGTCGCATCAGACTTGTTGACTTCCTTCTCGTCCGCACTCTCCTCGTCCGTGCCCGAGACCGGCGAGTTCGTCGAGGCGCCGCCTGAAGTGGGCGCCTCGGCGTCCGCGTCCGGGTGCGTCGACAGCGCGTCCCACATGTCGCTGAGCAGGTCGGTGAAGCCCATTGTGAGGGGTTGGGATGGGTGGGCGGATGGTGTGGTGGGTGGTGGGTGGGCAATTGCTGGAGAGGTTGGCGTGGGAGAGATTCTCGAGGTTCGTGAGAGAGAGCCGGGATGGATCGGGCGAGGATGGATCACGTGATACAGTGGATTATCATAGCTAGGTTGTCATTGGTGGGCCGTACAAAGGTAGGAAAGTGTGTAGTTTCGATAGGAAATGCTTTAAGAAATCAAAGTGAGGTCGTAGGGTCACATTCATAAGATTACATCCGTGTAGGACTGCGAAGTGAAATCCTTCATCTCTCAGAGTACACCTTCCACCAGTAAAACTAATGCCATATTTATAGCTTGTCGCACCCCCACTATTGATCTGTGCACAGTCTCATGATACTGCTTATAATTTCTTGAAACACTTTTTAAATATGTGGTAGTTGTTTACAAACTCATAATCTGATGAACTGCTAAAGTTGCCGCGCCACTTGGCCGATACCTCGTAATCCAAGATCCTCCAGCCTCATGGAACTCGAGAGAGCATCAGTAAAGAAGCAGCTAATGCAGTCACCTTCGTAGCTGTCAGGATAATCTACGCGCCTTTCACGAAGGGGAAGCCCATTTATCAGGACCGTCCTCCCAATAACAAAGAACATGAAGCTAAAGCAAGCCTTATTAAGGATTGCAGACCCCTAATTCTCTAAGACATAAGCGGTGAGTAGGGAGACTATAGTGGCCAGGCCTGCCATATATAGATACTTTTAGAGGGAAAAGGACGCCCTGTCTAAGATTTAATAGGGATTATAAAAATAGATGTTTTAACATTATAAAAGCTTATAGATTAGATACTAGTATTCTAGCGCTAGCAGCGTAATTTCCCCCACGAACGTAATAGCGGAGAAGTTATCATCCAGCGGTATTTGTGTATCTGGCCCTGCAGGTCTAAGCATTTTCATATCTCTCTTTCGCCCATTGGGCCTCTCTCTAGCCAGCCAGCAATATCTTCCCTTCATCCACGGTACTCTTTGCAACTAAGCTCTGCAAACAGATCAAGACACTTCAAGCAGTACTAAACAAGTTTTGTACAAATCTGTGACGACATACTGGACACGCACAAATATTAAAACTTGCCTCACCTTCTCATTCGCATTAGCATCCTGCCTATGTAGCGTAGCAGCCACTCCGCTATTCAAGTACTTCTCAGTGTCAGGCGCCCAGTATGTTAAGATGACCTGTTCTCTGATTAATAACCGTTGAGGAAGCTTGATTCGATGACTTAGACTTACAGCAGTACTTGAGAAGGCAATCGTGGTCAAGTATACAGTACGGTACGCATCCGCATTGGCCTGCTTATAGCTTGCCGATCCAGCAGCAATCACACTCGCAGTGTCGCCAGGAACTATCATCAGGAGATCCGTCGCACCAGTCGTAAAGGCTGTCAAGAAGTCCGCGATTGAAGTGGCTGGTAGCCCTGCAGCAATCAAAGCAGGTGGAACCTCTTTCGATACGGTGGTGGTGAGACGATTAGTGAAAACAGTCACGTAGATGGCTATGAGAACGGCGCAGAGACCTGCTCGAACAGTGCCTACGGTACCTCCGGTACCTCCGGCTACACCAACGTCCTTCTGGTTGTGGACCAAGATAGTGGAGTTTGCGAGACAGAGGGATTCGTTCCAGCCGATGAAGAAGACACAGCCGAGACAGACACGGGCGATTATATTGTTCTTGTTGTCAGGTCGGGTGACAGCAACACCTACGACGAGTTGGTTGGGCGATGAAGAAAGAGACTGAAAGCAGTTACATCTAAGGAATGCACCTCCGATCAGGAAGACGAATCGAATCTGCCACTTCTGATGACCGATGGCTTTCGCAAGGAGGCCCGCAGAGATTTATTCAGTGATAAAGCTCATCCAACCAAGCATGAAAGATACCCGGCGTACATAGAATCATCTGAATTGCCGTAAAGCATAGCAACCTGGACCGGCCAGACGATAGAGAAAGCACAGTATACTCCAGCACCAAGGCCTAGAAGGATGACCGAAGCAGTCGACTGGAAGTTGGCGAAGAGATACATAGGAATGAACGGTTCGCGGAGAGGAGCGTATATTTCCAAGAGCACAAACGCGATCAGGCCTAAGAATCCGAGAGTGATTGCACTAATGACTGCGGCACTCTTCCAAGGATGCATTACACCTCCTCATCACATGTCCATGATGAAGACGACGAAGAACACCGCGAAGAAGAAAGTACCTAAATTGGTGAGCAAACCTCATCCTAAAACACCGAGCGGATAAGGCAGACGCACCGAGGTAGTCAAAATGCTTGATCTAGTCGAGTTTGCTAGCCTTCTCGCCCTTGTGTTTCTGGCCGAAATTCGGAGGAGAGTAGAGCAAGGCCCAGCAGGCTGTTGTCAGGACGTTTAGTGCGAGAAGGAACTAGTAGATACCGCACCACGAGACGCGGGGATACTTAGGACGAAAGCAAAGGAGATTGCCGGCCCCATACCGGAGCCTCTGATGCTGAAAGGATAGACCGATAGCAAGCCATGAGCCGATGAAGTATCTATTCCTGAAGTAACCCTTGGGAAGAGTTGCCTCTTCGTCTTCAAAGCCGAGATGCCACCCTCATTGTCGAGATGTTCGGATGGGTTGTCCACCTCTTCGTGGTGTGTGATAGTGTTCTTCTCGTGTATTATGTCGGCCATGATTGAAGTCTCCTCTCTAAGTGGTGGTTGTGCCGGCAAGTGAACGCAATTGTGAGCTTGAGGACACACTCGTTGATCGGAGATGCATAACCAACAGCAGGTACAGACATAGATATATCCGGGACTTGGAGGTGCTGAGGAGTCGTGACCATCCTACCGATACTGACACGCTCACATACTTATCGTACTCATGCGCATCTGGGGAAACGGACCGCAGTGGGTCGAGGGCCTATGGTCTAGTATAAAACGACCGCATAGGCGAGAATTTTGATAGATTTTCCCGGGGTGGGAAGGTATCGGAGTGGTCCAGAATAAATCGAGATTTAATCATAGTCGACGAAGCCTAGGCGGCTGAAAGAGTCATGCAGTCAGTTCCGGGCGCACGTTACGCTGTATACGAACGCCACAGCTCTTAGCATCGGATCTCAACCGACCGTCCGCGAAAAACGTGGGGAAATTTTGCGGGGAACTCTGGCGAAAGTTGGGGTCCGGATGCAGTTTTCCATAAGCTTGGCGTGAAGAAATTGGAGCACGTGCGAGGATGAAGAACAACCACTGTCCTCTACACCTCGCTTAACCCTTGTAATGCCAAGACCTTCCTCTCAAAGCCATCACGTGAATATTCTCGCTTAGGTGGGTCTGGCAGTGAAGACTACCAGGTTCGGTCTTAGAGTGTTTCCCTTTCAAATGGGTTGAGAAATGTGTTCTGGCTCGCCTGGCATTGACATTGATTTTGGGCTGCTAGTGCCAATTGAAAGACGCTGGGAGATATATCGGAAGCGTAAGAAAGCGATAGGAGCCAATCAGTCGTAGGAGGTATCTAATAGACTTCATTCATTGCTGCATAATCAGATCATCTAGAGGTATCTGTGCTCTATCCATATGCCTTCTAGTTCGCTCTAGCCCTCGGTGCACTACCGGTAGATGCTCCCATGAAGAAAGAGAAGTAAACGCTTTTCGGATGTACATGTCGGTGCGGGTCTCGGATATACTGGCAAGGGACGGCACACGGTAAGTGACCATGAGCATACTCATTGTTGCATATGTACTAGAGCAAAGCTTCGATTAGTAGGAGTATAATGCTGGAGTGGATAGCTAATTCAATCTACTGAAATGGCTGACGTCGTTGAGACTTACCTCCAAATAGCGAGCTGGAGACCGAAATGTCTCTGCATCAAGAGCTCTTCTGCCAATTCACAATTCAAAACGCAAAACTCAATGCAGTCCCGAGTTTCCTGCTGTAGACTGTCGAGTCTCTCCGTAGAGCCCTTCTCCGGCCCCTGGTTCACTAAGCTTTCTAAGAATTGGAGAACTGAAGGCCACAGAACAACGGCATGGATAGCTACGAACTGTACTCGAAGGTAAGACTTTCGTAGATCGAATAGTGGCGTTGCATTAATTGGGAATTGAACCGGCGGAGGTAGGTGGCTGTACCAATCCTGCGCTTGCTTGCGGAGTTCGGTCGCTACGATAGGCGCATAGATTACTTGTCCAACTAAGTCATTGTGAGCTACCTGGGAAAGGAACTGCTCTTGTGCTAACTTACCCCGATAACCCACAAGGTCCAAGATCTCTGTAAGAAGTTTACGCAGGCTGATTTGAGCAAAGAAATGGTAGAACCCCTCGACTTCAGTAGTAGTCTGTGGAAGAGGGACGACCTCATGGAATTGGCGCATCCCAGTAGGACTCATTTTCAATATCGATTCTAGTTCGCTTCGATACTCAGCTAGTGTTTACCTTAGACTTTGGTCACATACTTACTGCATGATAATTGATGACGTCCAAAATACGCGATGAAAGGATTCGCGTCGTGCTGTACTCATAGTATGATAATGCCCAGAACTCAAAATGTTCATACAATCTCGTCCGACCTGTTGAGGGTCAGTGTTACGGGACATTATAATTAATGGTATGTCCAGCTGACCTCCATAATCGTGTCCCATGCCATCAACGGAAGTGCTGCGCACTGAAGATATGACCTGGCCGTGGTCTTAGCGAACATACTAGATCGAGCAATGAAAATATCGACGTCAAAATTTTCACTCACACATATAGAACCCGGCACTGAAGAACCTCGATTTCTCTCCTTTCCCGTGGCATGAGTTCCTGGAGAAGCTTGGATCCGTGCCGAAAATATTGGAGTCCTGGCAGAAATACCTGATGTTGGATGTCAAGCTGGGAAGCTCGATCTTCGGAAATCTCAGCAAAAGCAAAAGAAAGCATGCTCAAGGCCGCCGAAGAGTTTTGTAACTCGAAGTTGCTAGTTTGGGCTATCTGGACATGATTCACGAGGTCTTCCACAGATAGAAGCGGCATCCATTGGAGGAAGTTCTTGATAGTAGCCTTTTGCAGACGCCATATCGTTCGAGTATCCGTGGGTGGAACACGGTCGCCTATAGCATCCATAATTTGGTACAAATCTTTTTCAGCTCTAAACTCATCGTCATAGAATCTCGAGGTGTCATCCCAACTGTCAAAATGGATGTAATAAGGGCACGTAAAGCTGACTAGAGACGGTCGCGCGGTGTAGGCTTCTCCGGTAGTTTGGCGAAAGGAGTTATCATAGTTGGGTGAAGTAATGAGGTCTTGATAGTACGACCGCCATCCTTCTATCTTGCTCTTCGCCGATCGAGAATCGTCTATGGAGGCAGGGGTACTCGCAGGCTCTGATCTGCTCGAGTTGATGCTATCTTCTAATCGAACAAGACGCTCTTCAATGCGATTAAGTATCTCGGAAGCTGAGGTGTATCTAGGAAAGTTAAAGATATTATTTCCAAACTCAGAAATTGAGGCCATCCAGCTCTTTCTCGAGCTCTAATGATCTGGAGAGAACGTACTTCTCGGGTTGATTAAGCGGTCTGTACACACACTGAAGACCAGAACTCGTACAGAAGCCGCAGGGTCGTTTTGTATCGCATCGCGTCTTTCGAACACGACAGACTTCACACTAATGACGATTTGGTTAGAGCTTAGTTCTGTGATATATTGACATTCGAAAAGAGATAGACGGGCGACGAACCGCTACAGCCACCCTCTTTCGAGGGTAGTTCCGAATCGGATTCAACGCATCCTCCAACTCTTCCACCTGCTCTTCAGCCCCTGTACTTTTTGATGCCCCTTCAGACATAGTCAAGATGGACTGTACTCGAGCATGGATCTGCAGGAGGGGTGGTTCCTTGAGCTGTCGGTCAGCAGATCGCAGGCGCGGTTAGTGTGCTTGGAAAGAGTAGAGAAAAGTTCTAGATGATGAGGCCATCCCGGGCATACGCGAGGGATGATGGCCTTCATGTCTCTGTTCGCATTAGGCGTCTATGGCGAGGTCTGGGGAAAGGTCTCCACCTCCGCGACTCCCGCTTCACAACCGGCCCCTGCATCTCTCTCAACTACATACCCAAACGCGTAACCAAACACCACGTCAAAGCCGAGGCTATGCCACGAACCCCTCCATAGCCTGTCAGCTACCTGTAGCATCTTGAAGAACCTTTCGCTCAAGCCGTTTCATCTGCAACAATCGCCCGTCATGTCAACGCGAAGGGGAGCCTTACCCGCAAAACATTCTCCGCGCAGTCTCCGCGTAGTTATACGAACTCTACGGATGACCTGGAGAACTCCTTAAGCATAGCACACTTTAAGAACCACTAATCTATACCATTATACTAACTCTACCTACCATCTCAAGTTCCCCTAACAGACCTCGAAGCGGCTCTACCTAGGCGCTTTTACTCACACCTCACACAAGACCACCCTCACCTCTCACAGATCCCCCGTCCACCACCCTCCAAAATGGTCGCCGACTTCACCAACAAAACCATCGCCATAACCGGCGGCGCCTCTGGCATGGGCCTCTCCATCGCCACCCTCCTCGCAACGCACGGCGCCTCCCTCTCCCTCCTCGACCTCAACCCCACCACCCTCTCCACTGCCCTCTCTTCCCTGCGCGCCCTCGCGCCCAGCTCCAAAGTCATCGGCACCGGCGCCGATGTGCGCAACCGCGCCGAAGTCGAGGGCTGGATCGCGAAAACAGTCGCCGAGCTCGGCCCCCTGCACGGCGCCGTCAACTTCGCCGGCGTGATAAACAAGACCATGGGGAGGCCCGAGGGCAGCATCGAGCAGCTCGCGCAGGAGGAGTGGGACTTTTGCATCGGGGTGAACCTAACCGGCGTGTTTCATTGTTTGCAGGCCGAGGTTGCGAATTTCGCGCCGGAGGGCGGCAGTATTGTGAATGCGGCGAGTGTGCTGGGGCTGATGGGAAGGGTGAATGGGGCGGCGTATGCGGCGAGTAAGCATGGGTGTATTGGGTTGACGCGGAGTGTGGCGAAGGAAGTGGGCGGGAGGGGGATTAGGGTTAATTGTTTGCGCCGTAAGTTGAGTTCTTGGGGGGTGAAGTGGATGTCTAGATGGTGGTGCTCATTCAGGGTGAATAGGGGATATATTGAGACGCCTATGGTGCAGCAGTCGGCGGAGCAAACGACGCTTAGGCTGGAAAATAATCCGCAAGTGAAGGCGACGGCGTTGGGGAGGCCGGGGAAGGCGGAGGAAGTTGCAAATTTGGTGGTGTTTCTATTGAGCGATGAGTCGACGTTTATCACAGGCGCTGTGCATACGGTAGATGGTGGGTGGGTTTGCTAGATGTAGAAAATGCATTCTCTCTCAAGTATTCGCCTGCGTAATGCTCAAGAAAATGCATTCTTCAACGCAATGCTTCCGCTAATAATGCTACAAACCTTCAAATGCTATAGACCCATCGACATCATTCGTTGATCAATCATCGCCTAGGACATGTACCTTAACCTACCTTTAAGAGAGAAGTCCCCTCTCCTCCTCAGGAACGGTTTCCCTCCTCTGCCTCCGTGCCCTCCAATCTTCCACCCTTTTCGTAGCACGGAATCCCCAATGCCATGCCAGCCCAACTAGAAAGCCAATGCCATCATTTCTGAATGCGAGCAAGGCAGCGACAGTAACAAGCAGGACCATCCACCTCTCTCTCCTCTCCCTCTCATCCAAGGACCTTACACCCTTCCCATCCCAGGTCTCTTCCCCATCCTCGTCTCCGTGCATTACCCTCAAGTCGCGTGCATCGGTGTTAAGGCTTTCGCCCACCTTCGCTAGTTCCACTCCAGCTGCCAGCACCAGCACGCCGAGCAACGCCGCCGGGAACCCCTTTAGGATGCTGACAACAGCTTCAGCCTTCCAGAGTGTTATTACCCCTAGTGTTACCTTGAGCAACCCAAGCAAAATAATGCTGGCTCCGCTCCGTGCCCCAAAGCGGTACTGTGCTGCTAGTCCTCCAGAACCATGACATGCAGGCATCGCGCCGAACCAGCATCCTATCAGGTTTATGAGAGACACGGAAAGACCGAGTGATGTGACAGAGGGAGCGGTGGGGTACGGCGGTGATGGAAATAGGTCGATGGCTAGAGCAGAGGCAGCGATGACGGAATTAAGGAGGGTGAGCGGTAGCTGGCCGAGGGCGGCGGTGGTCGTAGCGTGCCAAAAAGTCGCAGCGGAGGGATGGAGGATTGGAATATCGGCGAAAGGATTTGATGAAGAGTTGGAATGGGGAGTGGAATGGTCTGGAGGAGAAGCAGACGGGGCGTGGAAGCCTGCGAGAATGAGTCCCAAGACAAACACAGCGAGAGCGTAAGGAGCCCGTGGGAACGGGAGGGTTGCTAGAAGGAGTATAACTGCTAAGAGGGCCCATAGCAGATTATCTCCCCACCACGGCCCGGTCCAGCTCAGCGGATTGAGTAGAGATGATCCAGCGCTTAGACAGAGGGATAAACCGGCCCCAACTTGTATTCCTTTGACAACAGGTATAGGTGTAACATTGCTGGCCCAGCGTACAAGCCCAGTTACGCTCATCACCCCCACTAGTGCCGCCACGACGATTCCAGAAGCTGCCGTTTCTTCAAGTGAGAATCGCCGTGCAATAGCCACTGCGGCGACAGCTTTCATGGGTTGTACGGGTATAGGGATGCCAAATGCGACGCCGGAGTAGATGTTCGCGGCGCCGGTGAAGAGGAGGGTCGAGGGAAGGGAGATGGAGCCGGTGAGTGTGAGCGCGATCATAAGAGGGAGAAGAGTGCCCAGGTCGCCCAGCGAGCCGGACAGCTCAGCGAGAGGCTGCGAGAGAAGGGTATGGAGGTTGTGGTACTGCACCGCCCGGAGATGGGGGACGACGCGCTGGAGGGGTTTGGGCGCCATGACGAAGCTATAAAGACAAGTATTATGGATATGGATATGCTGTGACTATTGCAGGGTATCTCAGGTACGCAAGTAGGCCGAAAATGCAGGAAAGAGGAGGAGAAGAGAGTCTCATGGTATTGAAGGATGATATGCGTGGTGGTGTTTCGGAGCAGCCTTCACCGAGCCACGTGCGAAGCTCTTATCTTATCGGTGCTTAGTCAGTCATTCACTGTTTCCCCTTCACATCTTAACTCTCAACACTCGTTCAGATTATCTATCCAGACTCAAGACATACATACCTGAACTCTTGTAAGAACACTCTTCACATTCGAGTGGGCTGCGCTTGCTGTCCACCCGTCTGCCTCGCAAACTTGAGCATGTGAATATCGTCCTTGTCCACGCGATCTGCCTGAACTTCGGACGCGACATGTCCGGAATCGCTAATTTGAGTAGCGTGTACAGCCCCCCCCTCTAGGTAGCAGAAAACCCCCGTGCCGGAAAGAAACTGTTGTTTAGGCATCAAGGGGGACTTGATTGACAGATCATGTTTTTCCGTAGCACCAATCACAAGGCTTAACATCGCATGATTTTCAATAGCGTCAAGTTTCACCAAAATGTTGTCAAGTTATATTTGCCAGTAAAGAAAAGGTTACGTTGCATAACACAGCCCGGCCAACTTCCTGCTAGATATAATGTCAAAGGATAGCGTGGGGTCGAGAAGCACCTGTTAACTGTGATGTTCTACTATAGCGCGCCGGTGGCAGCACCCCAGACCCGCACTGTCGCGTCAGACGACGCTGACGCTAATAGCCTTGAGTCAGGCGAGAAGGTTACTGTATTTACGAAGTCGTTATGCTCCCCAAGCGTTTGCTGTAGCACTCCGGTAGACGCGTCCCAGAGCTGCACCATCTTGTCTTTTGATGCCGACGCCAGCAGTCTAGAGTCGGGCGAGAAGGCTACCGTTAAGACCGAGCCATTATGCCCCTCGAGCGTTTGCTGCAGGGTACCGGTAGCCGTGTCCCAGAGCCGCACTGTCTTATCGTCTGATGCCGACGCCAGCACTCTCGAGTCGGGTGAGAAGGCTATCTTCCAGACCAAGCCGCTGTGCCCCTTGAGCGTCTGCAACAGCGTATAAGTGGCCACGTCCCAGAGCTCCACCGTCTTGTTGTGCGACGCCGACGCCAGTAGCCTCGAGTTGGGCGAGAAGGATGCCGAGTAGATATGGCCCCCGTGCCCCTTAAGCGTGTGCTTAAGTTCACCAGAGGCCGCGTCCCAGAGCCGCACCGTCTCGTCGTGCGACGCTGATGCCAGCACCCTCGAGTCGGGCGAGAAGGCTACCGAGCAAACATGGGCCCTGTGCCCCTTAAGTGTCTGCTGCAGTACACCGGTAGCTGCGTTAAAGAGCCGTACTATCATGTCTCTTGACGACGACGCTAGTAGCTTCGAGTCGGGTGAAAACGATATTGAGTTAACCGAGTTGCCGTGCCTCTCAAGCGTCTGTTGCAGCGTACCAGTAGTCGCGTCCCAGAGCTTCAATGACTGGTCCCATCCCCCCGACGCTAGTATCCTTGAGTCGGGAGAGAAGGCTACCGTCCAGACCGGGCCGTAGTGCTCCTTGAGCGTGTGCCGAAGTATCAACCGCTTGGCGTGATTCGAGGTAGCCTGTGAAAGGTCGTCGAGTCGGTATTTCCATTCACGGTTCAGCCTACGGAATGCGTTCTCCTTCCCCTCGCCGTAGATAACCGGTATTGAGATGTCGAAGATGCCTAGCAGGGAATAAGCAAGGTCTTCTTCACGACTAGTTTCCCGATTTCGTGCCCATAATACTCGGTCGTCGAAACTGAAATAAGATAGCGGTCTGCCTCGAAGAGCGGAACCCGGAATCCCTGTTATCTTAAGGAGCTGCTCCTCTAATGATTTCTTATCACCGAGTCGGTTACCATTCGAGCAGAAGAACTCGACCGATTGCGGCGCTATAAGCTCTTGAAGTGTCCAACCACGTGTGAACCATCGACTGCTCTCAAAAGCTACTTCCCACGGCTGCAAAGACAGGGCGATTTGATCATTTGTCGAAACATCTGTCAGATACGCGTAGCATTTTGTTGCTTTACGATACCAGCGAAACATAGAATTTATGGCTTCCGAAAGCTCACTGTCGCTCGATTTGTTGATACAGCAAGTGTCCACCCAGAAGTATTGTAGGCCATCGCGAGCGGCCTGCTGTCCACAGAACCGAAGCTTTTCATATCCGTCTTTCGTCTTCCCAGAACCATCCTTCAGGTCCTCGAAGTTGACCTCTTCATCATCTTTTCCCCAGGTATGTGAAAGTATCGCATAAGGTGATGTCGGGTAGGTAATGTCTTTCGTGAGGCTAATTTCGCCACTTTCTTCCAGCTTCAGAAGACGCATTTGAGCCTGAGCATTGACAGAACTGCACGTGTCGCATTCGATGTAGCAGCGGTTCGAGGCAGAAGTGCTTGGGTTGAGTCCCACACGATCTAGCAAAGAATGGCAAGATGGTGGAGATGGATCTGAATTGAAGAGGTTCATAGAAGATTCGAGGCTGAGGCTCCAGCCGCGCGCCTGCAGACAATCGACTTCAGTAATGTCATGACTGTAATTAACACTATATGATTATTAGCGGAGAGAAAAGAAGATGATTTCATATAGATTCTTTACTGTTGCCTCTCCTTTCATATTTTTGATCGTCTTCTTGAAGATACTTTCATAGGCATTTCGTGCGTGCCATCGGTAAGCCTTGATACCTAGGTACGGTCATAGCACAAGATGATACGGTCACCGACTGACTAAGGAATAACGTAATCCACAAGTTAGTGGCCCGCACAAGCTAGTGGCCCACCCAACCACGCTACCGAGGCCAAATATTCCGAATTACTCCACCACGAACAAATATATTTGATGCAGCTACATACTAGCTAGCTGCCTGCCGCCTAGGGCACGTACGTGCATTGTGTTCTGTTGATTCGCACATGCTGCACCTAGGTTTTGCTCGCTGTGGCCGCTCGGCCGGTGGCTCTGCTGCCTCCTCTGCTGCCCCTTCCTGTACAGGTTGTGCACGATCGGCTGCTTCTT